TTACAACGAAGTTCATTAATATATTTCTGCAGTAAAACAACTTTCATAAGCTTCAGATGATTTGAGTTATTTTCTATTCTTGGAATAATTTTCTGGAAATGAGATTTTGGCTTTTTTAAATCAGCATTTCAACTTTAATCTTAACACTTTCTCTTTTTTTCTCAGTAGTCACCTAATAAACTCTGGTATTAAGAGGATCTGAGTTTAGGTTTTGGTGGCGATGTGAATCGCCTACATGTAAACTTGTGAATCAAGCAGCAAACCGTGTAGAGTTAACTAGGAGGTAAAATAATTATTGGAAAGTAAACATTGCAGCCTGAATGTAATCACTATGATGCATATTGTCAATTTTATTTATCTATTTACCACGTGTAGTATTTTAGATATCAACAAAGAAAAGAAAAAGAAAATAGTCTGTACTTGTCTGCCTCTCTTTTATTTCTAATAGAACTAACCACCTCATGCATAGAAGTAAGAAACCAACTGCCAACCTAGAGAAGCCTCAGCTGAAGTTTCTTACTCCGATTCAATTCCTCCTTCTACTTTAAAGAAATCAGACATGACACACAGTACGCTCCGCTGTGTAATTGCAATTTGGTGGCTCTACTTAAAATGGGCAATATGAATCTCCTGATTCATCAACCTTCATGTGCTCCATAAATCCACATAAAATAAGCCGCAGGTGTCAGAGTGTGGACAGATGAATGAATGAGGAAAGAGGGATGATTACCATCTGTCTCTACCATCATCACCACGGGCTGGCAAGGCCTTCTCTGGGATGATGTTTACTCAACGCTGTCCCACACACACACACACACACACACATACACACACACACACACACACACACACACACACACACACACAAAACACACACACACTTAGGAATAATGTGAACATTTCAACATGTGTCACAAATGTGGGATCACAACTCCAGCAATTAAAAGAAAAACGGTCTCTTTTAGTTTTATCAGCCCTCGACACCTACCTTTTCCACTCATTTGCATAATTGACAGAAGATTATGTCGTCTTTGCAGGCAGAAGTTTCACTAAAATCAAACTTTATCACAAGAATTTAATTTTCAATTATTGATTATTTAAAACTATTTGTACTCACAATTCAGTCCCATTGTTTTTCTAAAGTACACCGAGTAAAAATATAAATACAACACTTTTGTTTTGCTCCCATTTTTCATGAGCTGAACTAAAACATCTGAAACTTTTACTACATGCACTGAACACCCATAACTCTCAAATATTGTTCTGAAATCTGTCTACATGTGTATCAGTAAGAACTTTTCCTTTACCAAGATAATCCATCCCACCTCACAATTGTGGCATATCAAGGGGCTGATTAGACAGCATGAATAATGTACAGGTGTGCCTTAGACTGCCCACAATAAAAGGCCACCCTGAAATGTGCAGTTTGATCAAACAGCACAATGCCAAAGATGTCGCAACCTTTTCGGAAGGGGGGTGCAATTGGCATGCTGACTGCAAGAATGTCTACCAGAGCTGTTGCTCGGGAAATTAATGTTCATTTCTTTACCGTAAGCCGTTTCCAAAGGTGTTTCAGAAAATTTAGCTGTACATCCAACCGGCCTCACCACCACAGACAGCTGTGGCAACAACCAGTTTGCTTAACCAGAGATTTTCTGCACAAACTGTCAGAAACTGTCTCAGGGAAGCTAATCTGCATGCTCGTCATCCTCATTGGGTTCTGCATATATATATATATATATATATATATATATATATATATATATATATATATATACTGTACATATACATATATATGAAAACAATATATGAACTAATTGATTTTTGAAATGAACTTTCACAACACTGATCGTAGTATGAATGAGACAGAGTGACCATGGTGAGTGTATGTGCTTGTTTTGTCAACTCCGGCTACTGATTACGTGGTTACTATGTTAATTTTGGGGGATGTGCACAAACAACGCTTTAAATAAGTGCAAGTGACACGAGGCAGCCATTTTAAACATGCGTATGCTTTGTTAAGCGAGAACACAGCTGCTGCAAATGACTATTCAGGCGTGGACAGAGGGATCTCTTATCCCTGAGAGACGCTGACTATAGGAAGCAGCAGAAACAGTAAATAAAACTTGTAGACGATTGAAATCTGGTGTGTGGTGTTTTCACAATTCCTTTTGATGCTTGTGGCCTACTGTCACTGCAATACGCTGAACTGTGTGGCGCTACAGAGTCAAATATTTTTACACACTGGGGCTTTAAAAGGGAAATAAACAGCCATTACGAATATCTATCTGCTAATAGACCACCTTTCTGCTGAGGTATGCTGACAAAGTAAAGCTAAAATTATCACCCAGTAAACCGATATTTAGCAATACTTTGAATACAATAAAGTGATCAGGCTCAGAGTGTGTTACATCTAAAAATGGGTCTGGTGGAAACAATTATCTGTTTTCTAGATAAAATGTGATGGCTCTACAATCACTCTGCTTATAGGCAGACTAACATCCCCACCTTCATGGAGGATAATAAAAATATACATCTATAAACCTAAGTTGTGTGACTTCACAAACAACAAAACAAGTAATTAGGGAAAGCTGCATCCATCTTAATCCACCCCAAAACATTCTGTATGACACAAGAAGGCATCTGGATGCCCATCACAGCTGACCAGAGCAGGCTGCAGCACAATGACCTCATTGATCTGTGAGGAACTTTTGGAAGCAGATGTCAAACTGAGTCATAGTACTTTGTTTGTTTCAATAAAGCATTGCACATTTACTTTTTTTGTACAAAAGGTCTCTTTGTCGCACCCATCTACTTCTGGTCCACAGGTCCCATACTGCCAAAAAAATATCAATGAGAGTCTGTGGAGCAATGGAAGTTTGATATGTGCCATGGATGTGACATGGATTTAATGTCTGAATTTTAAAGACACATTTAGATGCCAAGAAAGTGCTTCAAATGTAGTCATGTGGTGACCGGCAGCTACGCAGGGGGAGAAGAGATTCTGTTGTGATGTCATAGAATAGAATAGAATAGAATAGAATAGAATAGACCTTTTAATCCCACAGTGGGGAAATTCACTTTCTACAGCAGCACATACACTTTGAGAAAAGGAAGAAAATCATAATGAGGTAAACACACAAAGGCTATTATTGTAACCTTCAACCACTAAAAACAACGAATAAAAAGAAAAACATTTCCAGAACTATGCAGCATAAAAGGCACAGACATACTGATGTACATCTGGTATTACATAAGTATTAAACACATACTGAGTATTGCATTGGTGTTATTGCAGGATAAGGCCAGTACCAGTTAAACTGAGGAGTTATACACTCTTACTGCAGAGGGGATGAATGACCTACGGTAGCGTTCTGTTCTACATCTGGGATGTCTCAGTATGTCTCTGAAGGAGCTGCCCATGGTCTCCACAGTGGAATGCAGTGGGTTTGAGGGGTTTTCCAAGATGGAGGTCATCTTCCCTTCCTCCTTTCACACGTCTCCTCAACTGAATCTGGTTGGCCGCCCAGAACCAAGCTAGCTTTTTTAAATTGGCTTGTTCCATCTCTTCCTGTGTTGGTCAGAGGTGCCTGCACCCACCAGACCACAGCAGAGTGGATAACAGAGCCAACAACGAGTGATAAAAGGATTTTAGCACATGCAACGTCTGATTTGTAATCTCTTTAATTACAAATTTTACAAGCAAATAAATCTCAAATGATGTAACAGACATAAATGGAACACATGTAGCTATTTATCATTTATATTGAAGTGCAACATTATGTGTGATTCGGGGTTTAAGGCAAAATGGATTAGAAAATATAAGTTTTCATTGACATTCTTTTGTTGTAGGGCAGGGATCCCTGAGCCGACTGGAAGGCGAGGAAACTTAGGCTTCCTGTTTTTTTCCCGGCAAATATCAAGCCTTCTAAAATTATTTTCTTCCCCTTAAATTTTTTTTTTGTTGCAATTACAACTCAACAGTTACCTAACATTGAAACCAGTATGCTTCTCTTTTTTTTAACTGATGTTTAACTTCATGTCGTCGTAATTGCTCCTAGGCTGATTTCACCTCCTTTTGATTAAATTTCTACCAAATCTCAACCAAACTGGAGGTCTTATCTGTAACCAGGCTGTGCAGCAGAGACGCAAACTGTTCCCAATCACAAGGATCGTTCACAAACGGTGAGGGAACCTCATCAAAGCAGATATTCAATTGGAAACATGCTGCTGTTTTTAATTCTATTAGCGCTAGCTGTTCAAGCATAGTAAAGCATACTAATGGAATTCATTAATGAACCAGCTAAATGAAATTCATCACTTTCATTTTATTAATTACCTCTTTGCCCTTCCTGCTGTGAAATGTCTCACTTTCTATGTAAAACTGATGTTTTCAGCATTTAAATGTAAACAAACTGACGTATAAACTGCAAGGTTGTGTCGTTGAGTTTCATCGCTCCTATAGCCACTGCTGCCACTGTTTGGTCCATTCTGTTTAAAACTGTTTGGCTTATTTCCATATCTACATTTTTTAAATTACAAAATCGCTTATGAATACATCCCAAAGCATTCTGAGCCCACTAACTGGAAATTAATCTCTTTAGTGAGGCTTGAAGTGGTCAGCACATCCTGAAGGAAAGACAAGAAATAGAAATCCAATCTGGAGATATTCTCCCCGTCAGTTTGTTGCTATTTTAATATAATTAGGTGCTTGTGCAAGGACGTGCACAAAGTGAGCATGTGCAGTGCATTGTGGGTGTCTTTTTAATTGTGTGTTTTAAACAGCTGATGCAAGTTTTTAACAGATTAACAGACAAAACGCTGTGAGGAAGGTGACTCGTGTACATGATGAGTAATCTGACGCTCCTATTGTCTTTGGCTCTCTCTCTCTCTCTCTCACACGCACACACACACACACACACACTTGTCCCTGTGTTCCTTTACCCTCCGTGTTTTACGTGGACAGTCTTGATATGTCTCTGTCCTTTTTGTCCCCGCAGGCTCGCTAACGGTGTCCATCACCGACATGCGTGCTCCAGTGGTGGGAGGTTCTGGGGGGGTCTATGCTCTGTGCTCAGCACATCTGGCCAACGTCGTCATGGTAACTGCCAAAATCATCGTCATCATCATCACTTCCATTGTTATGTCTGAAAATGCTTTTCACCATAAGTGAAATGTCAGGAAACATCCACCAATCAACATTCTTTTCTTTTTTCCCCACATTTTTGATGCAGGCTTGAGATTTAAAAGCATGTGCACGTTTCAAGCTTTTTTTGGTTTTGTAGTATGCAAATTTTGCTGTATCTTTCTCCCTTTTTTTAATGAGAAAACATTTTGAAGGAAGTGAGTCCTCTTGAAGCAGCTCCGGTGCCTCTCCCTCCAACATTTATTAGAATGTGTTTCTGTCACAGGGCTCTTATGTGAAGTGCCTTCCACATTCTCTTCAAGTCTCAAGGCGGCGTCAGATCTGACGAATCACTTTAACTAATGTCACTGTGCACTGTGGGCAACAGAGATGCCAGCAGGAATGCAAATCAAAGTGCGCTGACAGGCCCCGAGCAAACGGTGCTCGTAGCAGCCAGCGGTTTATCTGGTCTGCTGCGTGTGATGGAGCGTTTGTTGTTGGGAAATCCTTGAAGGTGCCTCTTAGTTCAGCTCTGATGATTCCTCTATTTCTCTTTTATTAAAGTAAAACTTTGTCTAGTCGCAGCCCAGAAAATTCCAAGCTTTGTGTCGTCGAACGTCATCATCTGTTTCACTCAGAAGACATTTATAGGTTCAGCGAGGCTTCAAACGCTGCGTTGTTCCCCACGAATCAAGCTCCAGCAACAACGTCAAAACACATCTGGGATCTATGTGTGCAAACTGAACTTTTGACTTTAAGCAACATTTTTCTTTCTTGTGTTAGAGGCATGGAGTGGAGGGGGAAAAAGCAAGATATTTCTCTGATTCTTCAGAAACACGTGACTGATTCCTCTGGTTGTTTCACATCGGAGCGTCCTGATTGTAGTGACAAGATCATGACTAAAGGAACTGACCAAACTTTGCAGAAAAGATTTGCCCTTCTCTTTTGTCCTGTGGGAGCAGAGGTTCACATGTGTAACGTCCAAAGGGGTCAATTTTCTCCTATATATTGATCAACATAATAACCTTTCATCTACAGCATAAATCCACTTTCTATTTGGCGTTCCAGAACCAGGAGGTTCTGTTCAGGGCGTGTTGACATTCCATGAAGACAAAACATTCAAACAAACATTCTCTCCCAAGGTCCTATTCTCTCTGCATGAATGCCAGACGTCAACATTCTTCACTCTGAATAAGTGAAGACTCCACGATGTTATGAGTTAAATAATCATATGTGATGGATGAACAAGATGTTTAAATGAAATGTTTGAATAATCTGTGCTTGAACCAGTGATTTTAAAATGAATATTGCTCTTACAATGATCCATTTATATCATAAATCAGTATGTGTTTGATTTAACAAGTCAATCATTATCCACACTCATACCAATTACATTAAGATACATATTAAGGTTAAAAACGTCTTGTATCTGAAGAAGGGCGTGGCTTTCTGAGGTTGGTAAAAACTCAGAAACGTGTCAAATTCTGATTTGTCAAACTTGGCCAGGAATCATAACAAAGTAGTTTATTAAAACAGGATTTACTTCCTGATTAATCCAGTTTCCAGCTGAGCCCTGATTCGGCCAAATCGGGAAAGAAGCCTCTTTTGAAACAAACTCCTTTGACCTTAAGTCAAAACCTTTCTGCGACGCTGCAAGTGATCACAGACACAACAGCTCTTTTCAGAGCTACTTCACACCTAACCTGCAGACCCCGGGTTGCATCTCATAGCCGAGGAAGCTGAACTCAGAGGAAGCTACTAATCTCTGAGTATTGTGGTTTCGACGTCCGGTGACCTCACCACTCTGACCGCAACCCTCCGGCAGCAACTCATACAAGGGTATCGTAAGCTTACATACTGGTGTCTGATGAGGTTTTCATCAATAACTAACTCTCTAGTTTATAACAAACAACAAATTCTTTTACACCCAGATTTCACAATTTCTCTCAGATACAAAGAACGGTTGCTACAACATCTAGCTTCCATCACAACACCTCACATCCACCACACCACATCTCATTATTCATGTCTTGTCATGTATCATTAGTTTAGGAACAATAATCAAATTCATTTTATAAACTATATACTGACTCTGTCTGAATTAATACGAAGTGTGTTTATGGTCCCTGAATAAGCAAAGAGGCCTAGAATCTTCTGATTAAACATTCAAAGATCAATCAGATTGATATTTCATATTTGTATGGAATATCACATCTTATTGGTCATAATTAATATGTAGTAGTTGCTACACACATAAGCTAATTGCTTTCAGTTGTGGAGAAACTCTTCCCATCAGTCCCATCGCAGACCTTTGCTGCAGTGACCCGTACCATATTAATCATTTTATTGGTAAAAACGCCACACTGTATCCTGGACCTTGTCCTTGATTCAAATGAAGGTAACCATCTATACACCCATCTGTCTTCTGATGCTCATCCCGATGAAAAGAATCTGTGACAAAGGACCTCTGGCAAAGTCCAAAAGTTACCAGCAATGTGATCCAAACCTTCATGTAGGTAAAGTAACTAAATAAAACACGAAACTCCCAAAGTAATCCCTACAGGACATTACAAGGGACACCTCCACGTGACGCTCTCATTCACCTTCTGACCCTCTGGTCCAGTGATGCACGACCAGGAGGAAAACCACACTGATCACCTGAATCTGTGGTTCAGACCCCAGACCATCCCAGGAAGGGTCCCCTGTAGGTTGAACACACACACACACACACACACACACACACACACACACACACACACACTCACACAGATGGGATTTTAGGAAACAATTTCCCTGAAAGCTGAATAAATTTGTGGCTCATACTTCATTCTGGGTTCAGGATGAACTAGGCCGCTGCCATCATTCATCCTGTGGAGTAAATGTGTCAAAATGTCTTGTTCTTTTGTACCTCGGAGAATCACGACGGTTACTCGTTTGCCCACTCCCCCATACCTGTAAATGATCACAGTCCTAATTAATAAAGCAGCCCTGAACTGGAACCAACAAGTGGAGAGCAGCCAGGAGGATTAATGTGGCTCTGTTTGGTGAAAGTGCTGCCATCTCTCTCATGGTCCGTCCCACTCTGAATATGTTCTTGTAGAAACGGAAGTGTTTCCTGCCAGATTTGTGTTTGTGATGGTTTGTTTTGCTCTGTGTTGCAGAACTGGGCCGGGATGCGCTGTCCGTACAAGCTGCTACGCATGATCCTGGCGCTAGTCTGCAGTAGGTTCTCCACATTCCCTCCAGCAACACTCTGCCTCTCTTTTATGATAATGCTGCAAAAACTAAACTAAAAACAGAAATGCTTTCCTTGTCGGCATCAGCACAGATACTGAAGTGAGTTGAACGTGCCTGCAGATTGAAAGAGAAAATGAGCAACAGACAGTGTTAATGGCTGAGAGTGAACGATGCCCCGATTGGACATGCTGCTTTGTTTTCAAAGCGTTTCAGTCACGCTATTGTCCTTTCCTCCACGCAAGGGCCGATACACTGCCACTGTCATTACTGAGCAATATGTTCTCTCCATCTGTCCCAAGCCTGCCACCCCCCACACTCACACATGCAAACACTGCTGGAACGTCACAGTTCTCCTCACTGGACGGATCATTCAAAGATGAAACATGATGTTTTATTTGTGTGAGCCACAGTGATAACTCAATAATCTCATCTTTTGCTCTCTTGGTTTTGAGCATCAGAGCCAAGTATCTGTTCCTCCAAGGGACTTGTGGAAAAGTAGCAGCTGATGAATAACATTTAGTGGTACTTTTTAGAGTAAAGATAGCAGCCGTAGCTCAGGAAGCAGTATAGTTCAGGAGATAGTTCAGGTTGTCCAGTAATCGGAAGGTTGTAGGTTTGATCCCGGCTCCCGACAGAGACTTCTGCTGTTGTGTTCTTGGGCAAAACGCTTAACCCACCTTTCCTGCTTGTGGTGGTCGGAGGGACCGGTGGCGCCTGTTTTCTGTAGTCTCACTTCCGTAAGTGTGCCCCAGGGCAGCTGTGGCAACAATGTAGCTCATCATCAACAGCGTGTGAATGTGTGAATGACTGACTGTGTTGTGAAACGCCTTGGGGGGTTGTAGAACCCTAAGGAGGTGCTGTGCAAATACAGGCCATTTAAAAATCTGCTTGAATTCTCCTGTGATCATTCTTGGCTCAACAATGCAAAGTTCGATAAATCAGCTGGCAAACTGGTGCCAACCACTGTCCTCCCTCTCCTGATATTAACGTTTTACTTTCTTTAACATAGAACGTGCTACTACTAGTTCATCTGTTGTGTGTAAGTGTGCATGTGTGTGTGTGTGTGTGTGTGTGTGTGTGTGTGTGTGTGTGTGTGTGTGTGTGTGTGTGTGTGTGTGTGTGTGTGTGTGTGTGTGTGTGTGTGTGTGTGTGTGTGTGTGTGTGTGTGTGTGTGTGTGTGTGTGTGTGTGTGTGTGTGTGTGTGTGTGTGTGTGTGTGTGTGTGTGTGTGTGTCTGCTCTGTCTTCTCGATCCTCAGCGAGTCGTGGTGGATGGCTGCTTATACTGAACAAGTTTATGTTGGATTCTTCCTGTTAAAAGGGAGTTTTCCTCTCCACTGTCGCTACATGCTTGCTTAGTATGAAGATTTCTGTAAAGACACTGACACAACAAGTCTGTGACTCGATGCAGTCTGCTAGGTTTACTTGAATAGAAAACATTTAATTGACTAACTGATCTGAACTCAGCTGGAACGTTTACTTTGGAAGGTGCGTTTGAGATGACTCTTGTGTTGTTTTGGGGTTATAGAAATAAACTGAACTGAACTGAAACTGAATTAAATCAGACTTGGGTAATGATATCATCTCAGTCTAAGGACTTGCATGGTATGTTGTAGAGGGATTCCTCTTCTCAGACATGATAAATTATGAATGTTTATAATCTCCTGAGGGCCTAAAGCTCCTATTAAACAGGTCAGTCATCATGATTTTTAACCCTACTGATGATTTAATCAAACTAATAGGAGTTGGTTTTCTCTTATTCTGGTAGAAAGTCTGATGGGCTGTTGTTATTGCTCACTGCTGAAAGATGGGTGAGAACATCTCTGCCTGTGTCCTTTTGTCTGGTGTTAGCAAAGTTCTCATCAACCACATGATGGATTTGAATGAAAAACAAATATATAAAAACTGAGTCACTTTAAGGATCAACCCAATTCAAAATGGCTTCCATAGCCAATTAACTTTATTCATACAAAAAAGCATGACTTATAAATACCCATAACCAAAGGGTTGTCAGTGTGACCCAGGGCTGCTGTGGCTATGGTGTTGCTTATCACCACCAGAGTGTAAATGGGTGAATGACTGATTATGTTGTAAGGCCCTTTGGGGGCTTGTAGAAATGGCACTACATAGAAACTGGCCATTTACCATATTGGGTTATAATTTGGTTTAGCAGCAGCTAACTGTCATCCCTAACACAACCTGAGCAAATTGCATGTGACTTGATGTGAGATTGTGTTTTGCTTTTTTATTAAGATTTAAAATAAAATAAAACTTAACTCCATTGTTTTTCAACACAAGAGGAGCTGAATTTAAAGAGGTTCTTCACTGATATTATATTACATTTGCAGTGGTATCTAATAGGAATTAATTCCTATTAAGCTGTATTCTGGGGGAAAACGTTTCAGCACAGAGAACTCAGCTGGAGGAGAAAATAACTTCACAAGGCAGGATTTTGTGCCTTAATTCCTGATATTTGGACATCTCGCCTCTGATGGGCTAACAGCAACACGACTCTACCACTCTACCCTGTTTGCTTTGCAATGTTGAGGTTTTATCTCCACAAATAACACAAGCCTGAAGGAGTTCTGCTGTGTGGTGAAGTAGCTAATGCTAACGGATATCTACTACTAGTCAAGACATTATCGGCTGTTTCCTGGACACTAAACCAACAGCAACCGTTCTCGTCATGAGTCAACATGGGTGAATCCATGATTGTTAAGTTACTGTATGATGTACAGTTAGGATTTATGATGTACGGTTAGGATTTATGATGTACGGTTAGGATTTTTGGATTATAGCGTTTCACCTTCTATTTTATATCAGAAGCTAACGCAGGAGAGAGATGTAGGAGACTATTTTCATGTTCAGTCTGCATGAAAAACACGGAGTGACAGATCATTTTCAAAAATAATTAATAAAAAATGGTTTCTCAGAGAAGAACCTCTTTAAGTTGTTGATTTCAGACTGATAACATGTGAGATTATAATAGCTAACTGTACTTTTCTTGTCCTTTTCTCTTTTTTTTTCAAGACATGACAGTTTCATTCTGCTCTCCATTGACAAACAGATAAAAAAATTCTGTGTCTGTCTCTCTTGCGCAGTGAGTTCAGAGGTGGGTCGTGCAGTCTGGCTCCGCTTCTCACCGCCCCTGCCCTCCTCGGGCCCCCAGCCCAGCTTCATGGCCCACCTGTCGGGGGCTGTGGTGGGCATCAGCATGGGGCTGCTGATCCTGCGCAGCTACGAGGAGAGTCTGCAGAAGCAGTGCTCCTGGTGGGTCATCGTCTTCTCCTTCATCACCTTCCTCCTCTTCGCCATCTTTTGGAACATCTTTGCGTACGAGCTCCTCGAGGTGCAGATACCACCGAACCCCTGATGACCACCCCCCACCCCCCACTCTTTCTACAGCCTTTCATTTTGTCCAAAGTTAAACCCAAATGAGATTGATCAAACTAAAAGTCCATCTAAGATTTTTTTTTTTACACAAATACTTTGCAAATCAAAGAAATACGTCTCTTTTATTAAAGAGGGATTACAGTAGCAGCAAGTACATGTGACCGTTCCTCTGATCCACTTCGAGGAACGTCGTGTCTTTTTATATAAACTCGTCCATGTTAACCTTTCAGTGACGATGTGTCATCAGCTGCATTTTCATTCACAATATGACCTCAAATTGGAACACTTCGTGACATGTGCCTCTTTAAAAAGTGATTTATAGCAGTGAAAGAGTGCAGGATGAGCAACAACAAGGCTCCAGTGTCTCCAAATCTGAATCTGTGCCACAAATATTCACAAGTCTTTTGTTTCGGAAGGCAGCAATAAATATAAACACGTGAAAAACGTCTGTGATGTAATTTTGTTGTGTTCTTTTTTAGGATTTCTGTTCCTTCACGTCCCTGCTGTAACTCACAGGGTCACTGTGGCTTTTTGCTAAATTGCTGGCACGCCAAATTGAAAAACAACTAACACACAAGTGGTGCTCAGAGGGAAAGCTGACAAGATTAATCTCCAAAGTGAGAATACAGCCTTTCGTTTAACTTAATTTAGCCTGGATCTCGTAGATTACGGTGAACCTCAAGATAACAAACACCACTGTCATCTTCAACTCATCTGAAGAGCGAGGATTTCTGCATCGCCTTTCCTTTGCCATGACACTTACACTGTGGACACACACACACACACACACATATACATTTGGGAAATTAAAGTGACTTTGTGACAGAAGAAGATGGATCCTTTCAGCAAGTGAACGCCTCCTTTTACTGTGTAGACGTCAGCTCAGTCAGTGTACCATGTAAAATATGCCATGTCATGCTCTTGGGTTTTCAGCAAGACAAGGACGCACCCACACACACACACTTTGTCTTTCAGAACGACCGCTGCCTGATTTTGTCGGTCATCACAGACAAACCAGTGGCAAGAGCGCCACAAAGCAACACACATACTCTAGTCTCCACCTGTTCTAACAATGACCGAATGAACTGGAGAAAGGAGTGTCGCAGCCTGACCTCTAACCTTCGAAGACCCAGGGGATGATGGCGGTCTGTGCGTCAGGCCAAGTCAATACCTCAGTTTCTCATTCTTAGGGACTGTATACATTTGTAAAGGAATGTAACTATAAACAGAAAAAAAGTGTTATTCTGTTCTCCCCCGTCTTTTTTGACTGTGGATGTTGTATATTCTATGTTCATAACCAAGACTATATTTATTATTTTTTTAGTTTTTCCTCTTCAAACGGGGGAGGAGTCAAATTTCAAATGGTGCAAAATGAGTTGTCCTGTTAAAACTCTGAGACAAAACCCCCTGGTTTGTTCAGTGCATGGACATGTAAACGCCCCATTGGGTGATGGAGAGTTTAACAGCGTCGCCGCCATATTGGATGGGTCTCTCACTCTCCAAACCCAACAGGAGCCAAGGCCAACTACGCTTGTTTTTTGTACAGCCTACATTTGCAACAACTGGTGTACTATTGAAAACAGATCACGTGGGATTACTATTGACTTTTCTAGTCTACCTGTTGGAATTTTATATTTTTATTTATTTTGTTTTATTATATTTATATTTCAATCATCATGCCACACTGCATGTCTGATTTTGTGAAAAATCATAATAAAGTGTGTTTTATAGTTGGATAAACACCTTCCTCAGTAGAAATAAATGCACTTGGGGTGAATAGAGACCTATCCAAGATGGCGGTCAGCAACTACAGCAGCTGCAATAGGCAGTGCCAGTCCACGGGCGTCTACGTATATGTCTGTGGTTCAGCGACCACCAAGATTTTATACATCTTTAGTCAGTGCTTTATATAATAAGCCATAAAAAATTACTATCTGAAGATTGAAAAAAATGTGTTTGTTGGTTTTAAACCTGTAGCTTCAGCTGAACTATTATTTTGTGTAAACGTGAGCGCGTGTGTGATCAGAAAAAACGAAAAAAGCTCAGTCTGTTGGGGTTCATGCCTGTAGAGAAACCCTAGATATGTAGCCATTTCTACTTCTCCTTTTGCCTCTTATTTCTTTATATTGAATCATGGATGCAGCATAGATTTAGCAATCATCCAAACCTCCATCCTGTCCCTCTGGGATACCAATTGTAAAGTGTATGGGATGCCATTTGTAAAGTGAAACTGTGATAACAGCAAAATTTTGAGTTATTTAGCCTATCATAAGAGAAAAAAATTGGAGTTCATTTTTCAAAGTCATATTTTCACCATGCTGTTATAAAAAGATCCCAACTAAATATTTAGATTGCATGCTAAATATTTAATTTTGAGTTAAATATTTTTATAAACTAAATATTTAGGTCTGACTTAAATATTTAGTTATTAAAATAAATATTTAATTTAGATGTAAATATTTATTTTACAAAATAAATATTTAGGTCAGACCACAATATTTGAATTTACTAACTATATGCTTAATTTGGAGCTAAATATTAAGTTCCAAATTAGATATTTATTTTCCAAAATAAATATTTAGATCCCATCTAAATATTTATTAATGGGCTATACCTAAATATTGAATTTGCAAACTAAATGGTTAGCTCCCAAATAAATATTTTGCTGGGATCTAAATATATATTTTTGAAAATAAATATTTAATTTGAAGCTAAATATTTTGTTTGTAAACTAAATATTTAGCTCTAAATGAAATATTTAGTAATTCAATTAAATATTTTTACAAACTAAATATTTAGTTCTGACCTAAATATTCAGTATGCAAAATAAATATTTAGCTTGTTAACTAAATATTTAATTGAGAACTTTAACAATCGTATAAATGTATGAATAACATGATGAAAATCTGATTTTTAAAAACGAACTCCCATTTTTTTCTTCTCTGATGTGCTAAATAACCCAAAATACTGCTTTTAAATGATAAATAATAAATGACTTGCACTTGTAAAACGCCTTTCAGCATCAGACGCATCCAAAGCGCTTTACACTACAGTGTATCATTCATTCATTCACACACACATTCACACACACAGTGAATGAAAATTATGACTCTTTGATTTTACAAATGGCACCCTATAATCCTCTGCAGGGTCCAGATTCATGGCTGCAGAAATCCTACAGACAGTAAATTATAGACTTCTGTCATGTTTTATCTCTTGAGCAAGTCAAGCTTTTTCTGCAAAGCTGAAACAAGGATTGCAATTACATTTACTTAATGCTATGTTCCGTTTCTCAGTCTTTCAGTCGTTTAAATGTCCAAAGCTGCCTAAGGGATTGCTTTTTTTTATGTTATTTGAACCAGATTTGACAGTCAGCATTTCACTTCCACATGAAACTGTCAGGGGTGACAGAAGACTTCATGTTAAATGAGGGGAATGAAATTGCTCTAACAAGCCATTTTCAGATCCGTTTAGAAAAATGATCTACCCATATGCGGCGGTCATGGTGAAAACTGGAGTTTGTCAGGAAATACCATATTATTATGTGGGATGGTGAAAATTGGCCAATGAATAATGCAAACATACCCTGTTAGCCTTTAATGAAGATAAAAGTGGATGCCTGAGAGGTTAATGTGCCTCTGTAACTTAAGATTCATAGGAAGCTAGAAGAGTTTGGGGAGAAAAAAGGGCTAAAGAATGGGTTTGTTTCTTTAGAACACAAAAAGTGGATTTAACCCCTCCTGGAAGTACAGAGCAGAACAAAAACAGAGGATTTGTGACTATATAATTGAGAGACCACACATAGATGCTTTTAGGCATGTTATCTAAATGTTTCGGAAGCTACCTCTCCACGTTCTGAGCCAAACGCAGCACCAACACACAACTATAGTAGCTTTTCTTTGGTAAAAACCTCTGCTGCTCTGCTTTGTGGAGATCTTTAGCCGACGTGTTGCTGTGCTGTTGCAATTCATTGATTTTATCTCCATTTGCTAATTACTGTGCTGTCACATCAATCGCCTTGTTATATGAAAAACCAAGCAGAGGCTAAAGCTGCTTTCCTGTTCGCTGTATGATACATTTTCTACGATCCTGTACAGAATCTAGGAGAGGTGATGCTAACATCTGTAGCTGCTGTGTGCCAACAAGCCCCGCCAGGATGCCTTTTCTCAGTCTTTAGCTCTTCTTAGACGTATAGGTGACTCTTACTGCAGGACTTTGCAGGTAAGGCAGGCCGCTGTAGCTCCTAGAAATCAACTTTACTCACAAATACTATAAAATATATCTGCAATCTGGTTTACAAGTTATTAAAGGGCACCAAAAGTGCTCCATTTCAGCTTCATTTCCTCACATTTGTTAGGATACAGACCTCCAATTATGAACAGGGTATGAATAAAAGACGTCAGCTGAATGAATGACTTACGGAAAAGACATGAGTGGGCACAGTTGCAAAAGAGGCAACTATTTTTATTTAAATTTCTGGTTTATAACATCAGCAACGTCCTGCTTTGTGTCTCTGGCTGTGCTGCAGATTTTTAATATTGTCAAAAAAAGAAATATATAGGTTTCTCCAAACAAGTGAAGAGACTAGAGCAATGGAAGTCATATGTCTGTGCTGCCGTGTTGGATTTCTCACAAGCTGCTTTCTTGTATTAATGAAATGGTGCCAAACTAACAACCTCTCAGACCAAAGCAGAGGTTGTGCGTTCACAAAAGATAAAAACAAGACAGAATAAGAAGCAGAAGCTATTATTTTCTGTGCGTCAAGCCTAAAGGAAACTAAATTTGCATATGGGTAATTTATATCAAAGTCCTCATGAATTACTTCACAAACTGTTGTACTTTTGAAATGTTCTGAATGGAACCATTTTATATTGTATATATATGAATATATTTTGTTTTATTTTGTACTGTTCGTTGTACTTTGCTTTAATTTAGAAACAATATAAATAAAGAACAATACAGTGGCCACAATCTGCAGCTGTTTTTGATGTCTTAGAATGGAACTAAAAATAAATGTGACGACAAAATAAAAGCTTTTATTTTTATTTTAAAAATGTATTTTTGTTAAAAAAACTGCAAACATTAAAGAAACTTTCAAGTAGGTAAATGAAAAAAAGCTGAATGACTATAGAATTTTGAGCTTCTTTGCTGGTCTCTGATCTCGGTCAGGGTCTGGGGTTTTCTCCTGTGTGCCGCTGCCTTTCACATCAACATCTGTCAGAAGCTGGAGCTGCAGTCGCGCGGCTGTGGTCATCGCCCACAAACACAGCTCCAGCCTGTGGGGTGTCCAGTCCCGCTGTGGATCCACTGAGGCAAAGCAACAGAGCATCAAATGGCCTTCGTTTCAAAAGTTTAAAATATTCCCATCAGAAGTCTTATTTTAAAGTGCTGAGCTGGTGATGAAGCTGAAACTGCTCTGTGTCATCATCTCACCTTTGTTTAGTTTTGCAGCCAGGGCAACCATCTTGTCCAGGTACAGAGCGTAGTGCTTAGCTGTGTACTGAATGGGCTTCAGCCCCGGAAGGCTCTCCACGGCCTCATCAGACATGAACGCAGTCAGATCTGGAGCTCCAGCTGCCAACACAGCTGGAATAAACAGGTACAGTCAGCCACACCCAAACTGTATGCAGCCATGACAAGAATACCAAACCCTTAAACGGAGGGGGGCTCTTTGTGAATAGGGTTCTGTCAACTTATTGAAAATCGATCAGCTAGTTTTTTTTAATAGAATCCTAGACACGTGAGTTGAGTTTACCTCCACTGGTTTTCTACATTTAAAGAGACAATGTACCGACCTGAAGCGGTGGCTGGACCCACTCCCTTTAGTGAGCTGAGTCGGGTGATCGCTGCCTGCACATCAGGCAGGAGTCCAAAAGCCTCTTTGGAGCTTTTCTTCACCACATCCTCGCCATTAGAAGCAACCAGCTGCTGCAGCCTTGGCCTGAACTTCCCTCTCTGCACGCACACACACACACACACACACATGCATGTATGCACACACACGCACGCACACACACACACACATACACACACACACACACATGCACGTACACACATATACATGTACGCGCACACACATGCACATATGCACACACACACACATACATATATGCATACACACATGTGCATTAGCACACACACACACACACATGCATGTACGCGCACACATATGCACACACACACACACACACACACATACATGTATGCATACACACATGCACGTTAGCACACACACACACACACACACACACACACACACACATGCATGTATGCACACACACACAAACGCACGTACACACATATGCATGTACGCGCACACACATGCACGTATGCACACACACACATACATGTATGCATACACACATGCACGTTAGCACACACACACACACACACACATACACATACATGTATGCATACACACATGCACATTAGCACACACACACGCATGCACGCACAAATGCATGTATGCACACACACACACACACACACACACATACACACACGCACGTACACACACATACACATACACACGTACACACACATGCACATACGCACACACACACACACACACACACACACACATACATGTATGCATACACACATGCACGTTAGCACACACGTACACACACACACACACACACACACATACATGTATGCATACACACATGCACGTTAACACACACGTGCACACACACAGGAGTTGTGTTTTATATATTTGATCAAGTCCTCACCAGCATCACAGATAGGGCTGCTCAATTAATCGAATTTTAATCACGATTACGATCTGAGTTTTGAACGATTATAAAAAACATAACAAGCCGATTATTTGCTCCTCCCGCTTGCGCTGCCCTAAGTTACAAATGAAGCGCTCCTCCACAGTGTTGCCAACTTAGCGACTTTGACGCTATTTCTAGCAGCTTTTCAGACCCCCTTCTTGACTTTTTAATCCTAAAAGTACCTAGCGAACATCTCAGAAACATCTCTGGTAACCCTTAGCTACTTTCTGGATAACTGTCGTCGACATTTCCTGCAGGTTAGCTAAACACTCCGCCTGTGCTCCGGACCGTTCTTCACAACATTAGGAAAGGGAATGATGCAGTGATGTGTCGGTCGCTAAAGACAGCTCTCGGAGCCGGCTCCTTGTTGGATTAACCAGAGTGAGTGACACACACACCGCACCTGCGGACTCCTGAGCAGCTAAAAACAGCTAAATGTGCGCGTGCGGCGTGCTAAACACACGTGCAGCTTGCTCGATTGCTGTGAGACCGGGGTGGGGGGGTGGGGGGTGCAGCTGTGGTCGGGACAATTATTACATTAACTGATGGGCCTGTAAATAAATAGTTTATAAATAAGGTAGAAATAAGTTCCTCACGCTGATAACTAATCTCTCTGAGGACACAGTGCTACAGCACCTTGACACGACTCAATAAATGTTATGTAACATTTTGTGAACATCAATTTATTTGCATTTATTTGTTATAAATGCCACTGTATAATTCTTGCTGTCAGTATTTGCAAGATATTGGTATTTGGGTCTGTACTGGTTAGACTTACATGAGTTAAACCAAGGTCTATAGCCCTTGGGTCATAGACTATGAGCTATAAGTATATTGGTCTTTTTATCCTGGGAATCAGGAGTTATTTTAGTGATCATCTTGTTTCTTATTTTTGTCCTGATTGTGCCCTGAGCAGTTTTATGACTGAATAAAAACAAATAAAATCAACATAAATTGAAAAATCGTCCTAAATAATCGTGATCTCAATTTCAGTCACCATAATCGTGATTATTATTTTTGCCATAATCGAGCAGCCCTAATCACAGATACTTTTATTGGCAGTTATAACAAAACACTGAAACATTCCTCTTATATTTCTGTGTGAGGAGTACTCACAGTGAGCTTCCACTCCATCAGCTTCACCAGCTCTGACAGAGTGATGTGTTTGTCGGGTCGACTCGAGATCACTGTAGGCAGCTCCTCCTGGAACCTGATCACAAGCAGGTACAATCAATCTGTAGTTTTCAATCTGCACGGTTGCACAAAAACACATACATTTGTTGATACATTAGCCCAGCTAAGAAGATAAGGTGAACAATTACACATAGCCCCTGAGTCTGCTAAGTAATCATTACCTGTCATGGAGAAGGTCTAAAGCTGCAATAATGCCTTAATTACTGCAAATAAAACTAAATAACCATATGCATGTCAACTGAGTGATCTGTAACTTAAGAGGGTTTTTTAAACTAGTACGAACTTAATAAAATGCAAAAACGTGATTTTTTTTTTTCTTTTTTCTTTTTTGTAAAGTGTTGGTGAGTTGATAGGAAAAAGGAAAAAAATATAATGACCATTTTTCCAGCTCCAGCAGCTTTCCAGGTTTCTTTCCTTTGGCCTTGGTCTCCACTACATCCCAGTAGCGTTCATACACACTCCTCCATGTGGCTGGCTCCTCGCAAGCGAACAAAGCAGCCATGGTAAACAGGTCACAGCACCAATTAAAACTACAGGGAGAAAACACACACTTCATGTAATTTTATGAATTTGTAATATTTAACAATAATAATGGTTTTCTTTTGCAAAAACTGCTCAGATTTGATTTAGCAGACACCAGGTTCACTTTAATTTGAACAGTTCCTGCAGGGTGGAGTTGGTAGCACTGTTGCCTTGCAGTACAGAGGTTGCAGATTTAAATCCTGGCTGCAGTCTTTCTTTGTGGATTGTGATGTTCTCCTCATGCCCCTGACCAAAAACATGCATGTTAGGTTAACTGCATGCTGTTACTACGTGTGTGGGTGTTACTGGTTGGCTGTTACTCTGTGTGTCCTTGTGATAATCTGGAGAGCTGTCCAAGGTGTTCCTCAGCTCCAGTGACTGTGGAAGACAGGCACTGCAGAAGTTCTTGACAACCATACTGAGGAACAACCGGTTATGTACGGTAGTGAGTGAGTGAGTGAGTGAGTGAGTGAGTGAGTGAGTGAGTGAGTGAGTGAGTGAGTATGTTTTTCAAAACCAAGGTGGCTTGACGTGCCAGCACGTGCCAGCTCGTTTAGGTGAATAATGGAAGCTGACTCCTTTCTGGGAGATGTTTATATTTTTTGTGCACTGATTTGGCACACCTAGTAACATATTAACCACACCTGTTGGTAAAGAAGAAGGTTAGGATTCAAGAGAAACCAGAACCCACAAGAAAGTGTAATTCAATAAATTAATGAGTGTGTGAGCAGAGATAGACATAATGCATGCAACTGTACTTTATTTTAAGCTTTTATCTAAGCTTTCAGGCCATTTACCATTACAAATTATTTTGTATAACATATTTTAAAATTTAATTGTTTACTTTGAATACTGTAACAATTTTAAATATTTGAGTGTACAAACACAATAGTTAAATATAGACTAATATATAAAACTACACGCGTTTACTACGTGACAAACAGTTTGAAAGCCAAAAGATGCGGCTCTTGTAGATGACTGGGCTGCAGCAATTTTTTTATACTGAAATCTCGCGAGATGATAACAAAATACTACTTCCGGTGCCGAAAGTAGTTAGCAACAGCTTCAGAACATAAGGTTTGTCCCCTGAAATAGTTACATTTCCTTCAATTAGTACATTTACTTTCCGTTAAATTAACAGTTTTTATATGCATTTGTATTTCTCTAATTGTTTGATGCACTTAAGTTTCTTTATTGTGTGAGCTTTGTCTCTGTAAACTTGCTCCGGTTCTGGGTTAGCTAGCTAACGTTAGCGTCACATTGCAGCCTTGTTTATGGTGGAAGTGCTTTGGCTGTTTGTAGCTGACTCACCAGCAGAGTGAACATCTAAAAGAAGCTGATTGTTGTTTCCCCCACAAGTTTTGAAGTGAAACGAATCTCCAGCAGAGCGGTAACTCAGGAACGAGACTTTAAGAAGCGGAGGGTTTTCAAACAACCAGGGTCCTGCACATGTTGTTCCATGGGTGAGTAGACCTTCACGTGAGCATCAAGTGACCAATAATCAATCAGGTGGTTAGAACACAGACCCCGGTAAAGCGCGATCATAAGTATTAATTACTTTTTATAAATCTCATGTTGAAAAGCGTTAACCAAGTTGAAAATAACATTTGAACATAACATTAGATGTAACACATTTTCACATCTAAGAGGTAGGCTAAATAGGTCTACACTGCTACCTACTCCTTTTTTTAAAACAACTGATTGTACAGTATTGTGATTAAATGGTCATGTAAGTGAATTTGTTTGACAAAGAAATTATTACTAATACTACATCAAATTAAAATAAGGCAAAAATCGTAGTTTTGTATGGATGTGATACATTTTATTTGATTTTATAAATGTCTAAAAATCGTAAATACTTATTTCATCCAATTTTTACTTTATGTATATTTCTGGAGTTGTTTACAAACACACACATATGAATAGTTATGCATTTTCTGTAAATGACTACATCTTTGAGGAATCCCACACTATGTATATAATATGCATATAATACTATGTATAATGTTTGGATTTGTCTGTCTGGTGTTGGGAATGGCTTTTAGTAACTTTGTATACTTGCATATAGAAACTTTCAGAGCAGTATTAGCTCCACATGTTGCTTATATTGACATCTGATTCACAGGTCAGCCCTCATGGGAGCAGATGAAGAGGACTCTGTGCAGCTGAAGATATTGATGAGGCCATCAGTTCTTCGCAAAGTGAGTAATGCATCTTATTTGCTTAAAGTTATATAACACAGTTTGTAATAGTTTTCCCACCCTCCATCTCTATTGGCCCCCTCCCCTCCCACTCTGAAGAAAGTTATTGTCCTTTTCTTGAGCGCCCCCTGCTGATTCGCCTTGAAACTGTTTATTAATCATTTTACAGCAATGCCATTAAAAATAAGCATGCTTTTTAACCTTTTGAACCCAACATGTTGCTTTAAATTCTTTAATCTGCTTTAGAAACATGGAGAAAATGTCACGGGTAACCACAGCCCTCGGCAGCAACGCTATCAGTGGCCGGACTATGTTCTGCCACCTGGACGCTCCAGCCAATGCCATCAGCGTGTGCCGAGATGCCATGCAGGTGGTTGTTGCTGGACGCAACATCTTCAAGATCTATGCACTTGAGGAGGATCAGTTTGTGGAGAAGCTGAACCTACGCGTCGGACGCAAACCGTCTCTGAACTTTAGTTGTGCCGATGTCATGTGGCACCAGATGGAGGAGAACCTGCTGGCCACAGCTGCCACTAATGGAGCGGTAGTCACATGGAATCTGGGAAAGCCTTCACGCAACAAGCAGGACCAGCTGTACACCGAGCACAAGCGCACCGTCAACAAGGTGTGCTTTCACCCTACAGAGGTGTACATGCTGCTTAGTGGCTCACAGGATGGCTTCATGAAGTGCTTCGACCTGCGCAAGAAGGAATCTGTCAGCACTTTCTCAGGTACTTAAAGTATTTGAGTACAAAATAACAATTTTTCACTTATAAGTGTACAATTACTACATTAATCCTCAGTCCCTCTGTTCCCATAAACCAGATTTTATACGCCTAATATATAAAACAAAACATTTAGGACCCGATGTAAACATAAAAAAGGCGTTTTAATAGTGTAAATAATGTTATCTGTATTTTGAGCTTCTAAACTAAGTCAGTTGTTTTCTCTTTATGCTTTTATTTTTTATTAAGATCTGGCTCCAAAAGGATTTAGACTTTTCAAACTGAAATACTTAACAAGGCCCTCGGTAGAAAGTTAATTGAATTTTTCTCAGTGATGCAAAATGAAATCTAAGCACTGCTTTGGACTTCATATGCATTTATTTTATTTATTTGTTGAATGTTTAGTGAAAATGTTTTGGAGTTCAATTGGAACATTGCATGTATCTGCATTTCCGATAATACATTAGAGGCGCCCTTTGTCATCCCGATCAGTGTGTTATTATCCTCTAATGTTTCCTTTTGATTCTGCTTTTCATCCAGGTCAGTCAGAGAGTGTGAGAGATGTCCAGTTCAGCGTGAAGGATTATTTCACGTTTGCTGCCTCCTTTGAAAATGGAAACGTTCAGCTGTGGGACATCAGACGTCCAGATCGGTTTGAGAGAATGTTCACTGCCCATACTGGTCCTGTTTTCTGCTGTGACTGGCACCCTGATGACCGGTAAAACTTTACAAAAATGTGACTGTACCCTCCACTAGTGTCAGGATTCATTCTGTTTGTTGCTTTCAATTTAAAAAAAAAGGTTTTGCTTTTATGTAACACCAAGCTTGTAGTTGTTTCTGATGTAGTTATCACTTCTTGTTTCTGTCTCAGAGGTTGGCTGGCCACAGGAGGCAGAGATAAGATGGTGAAGGTTTGGGACATGACCACAAACAGAGCCAAGGAGATATATTGTGTCCAGACGATTGCGTCCGTGGCTCGGGTTAAGTGGCGCCCAGAGAGGAAGTTTCATTTGGCTACCTGCTCGATGATGGTGGATCACAACATCTACGTGTGGGATATTCGCCGACCTTTCATTCCCTTTGCCACATTCGAGGAACACAAAGACGTGACCACTGGTATCGTGTGGCGCCACCAGCACGACCCTCATTTTCTTCTCTCTGGTTCTAAAGACAGTACTCTCTACCAGCACATGTTTAAAGACGCCACCCGTCCCGTGGACAAGGCCAACCCCGAGGGTCTGTGCTTTGGACTGATGGGGGACCTGGCCTTTGCGGTCAATGACAGTCTGATCAGTAGTGACACCACCAGGAAGCCCTACCCTGGAGGTGACCGCCGCTACCCCTTTTTTTCCTTTAAGAAGGCCAACCCAACAGAACAGTTTGCCCACGTGTCCAGCGCTCTTAGTGTCTTTGAAACAATCTTGGACAGTCACCGTATGGACTGGTTTGTCAAGACAGCACAGCTCTACCTCCTCAGCGGAAAGCCGTTTGCTGAGCTGTGTGATCACAATGCTAAGGTGGCCCAGGAGCTTAAAAGACCCCAGGTAGAACTACTTCCTCAGGATCCACTGATTTCCCTCTTTCTCACCCTTTCTTCACTCTCTCTCTCTTTCTTTACATTTTTTAATCACAATTGTCTATTTTTCTCATTTAAAATATACTTTTAATCATTTTCTAAATTCTTTTTTATATTTTACATTTTTTGTTTTGTTGAAGCGCCTTGTGATTTTTATCTTGAGAGGCGCTATAGAAAAGATGTTTTTTTCTTCTACTAGTTGAAGCGGAATAGCGACTGTCGTAAACAACCCTGCAGAATCAGATTTGTTGCCATGTAGGTGAGAGGCTCATCTACTAGGAATTTGTTTCGGTGACAAGGTGCAAACATACATTCAGGTCAGGCAGTATTTACATTAGGATACATCAAATAATAAAAAAAGAAACATAGCCAGAAAGCAATCATAAGCATAGGAATGTGGGTGACCGGGGCATTTATGTGTGTTTTGGCCATTCATCGGTTGTTCAGGAGCCTTACAGTGGAGGGGAAGAAGCTGTTTTTGTGGCGTGAGGTTCTAGTCTGTAAGGACCTGAACCTCCTCCCTGAAGGTAGGGTTTCAAACAGTCCATGACCAGGGTGAGAGGGGTCAGCTGGACTGCAGCAGCCTTCTGTGCTAGCACTAGCGACAAGCTAACGTGAACGTGATCCAAATGATACCACATAAGCCACAAAGGAAAAAGATCCATACAGTTGGAGGAAAAAATATATAACTTACAAGTCCAGTAGCAACAAAGCAAGGTCACCATCAGTCCGTGATGTCATAGCCTCCTTCAGCTTCCTCAAACTAGAGCAGGACGCACCAATCTTCACTCTGGTTTTAGCTCTTTGCTTAACCTCCAAAGACATTACTCTTACTTTTTCTTCCGGGCTCTGACATGATCCCAACAGAAAAAAGCAAAACTCTTCTTCATCGTGTGCTTTTATTGCCAGTTGGAGAACCGAAAAAGATAACTGCTAGCCTTTATATGAGCTACTGGCACAGAAAAGCAGGTAGAGACCTTCCACCGATATTCCTACCTGAAATTGTTATGTGCAGTTTCTGATCAGCAGAGGCCTGCAAAGTAGAGGTTGATCGATATTGTTTTTTTATTGCAGATACCGATATGTAGGAGACATGGTCAGCTGTCGGCTGATGTGCTGCCGGTTTTCATGGGCCCATTTTCATGGCCTATATCCAGACATTTTTCACATCATTTTCAGGCTAATAACGTTAGTTGATGCACCACATTTCAGAAGCTGAATCAGCTTTTGAACTCTGAATTTAACTAACTGTTAAATCTTAACTTTGTGCACTGCTCGGTGTTAAAGTTAGACACCTAGAGTATTTATTATGCAGATGTTATTAATGAATGTAAAAGTACATTTAAATTAAATTCTGGAACAGCACCAGGCTGCCCAAGGATGTGCCTGACTTTAAATCGGCTGTACTAATGTGGCAAGGTGGATAAACGAGGGCCCGGGCGGGATTCGGTCCCCAGACTCCCGGGTGAGAGTCATACGCTCTAACCAGTCAGCCAAAGGGACATCCCCTTGGCCAAGTAGCCAGGGCGCATGATCAATCGGGAAGCTGTGACAGGACGCTCACACTGCCACACTAAGGACAGATATCGGCCGATGCGGATATATAAAAAATGGTAAATATCTGCCCGATATATCGTCTACCCCCACTGCAGAATGCTGTCGTTTGTAAAGTTCTTTGAGTTTCTGGCTGAAGAGTCACCAAAACTAGTTTAAAAGCAATAGCTCAAAGCGGTAAAAACTCTTTAGTGCTGCTTTAACACGACACAAATATTTAGATCTGGAACACCGATACTGTAGCTGTGTTCCAGTTCAGGAACATGTACTGTTACTCATCCTCATTTGTCTCTTTGAAACACACTGCATACTCTGAACTGTTTCACCTGACTTACTACAAAGGTTTCTACTACATGGACCATGCTGAGAATCATGTTCTCTGACCCAGCGAACCTGGCTGCGCCCACTCCAAACCACAACCTCAGTAAACTGGGCTCCTTGCCCTTAATGAACAGGTAAAGTTGTTCACCTTCAAAAACAAATGGTTCCCAGCACATGGAAGCAGAAACCTAAATGATTGTGTTTCAGTTTCAGTATGAAGGAAATGGCTTCTGGGATGGGCGCGGAGAGCAGACTGGAGCGCAGTAAAGGTGAAAGCAGGCAGGATAACATCCACCTGGAGCCTGGGAACTCACTTATCAGCAATAATAACGATGGTGAGCGTGAGTGATGGAAATATACAGATCAGTCTGGAAGCTGGTTGGATCATTCACATAGATTTCTGTTTAATCCAATGTCAGAAAACGAGGAGACGGAGGGCAGTGAGGGCCCAGCAGAGTACATGTTTGGTGATGCAGAGTTAGATGATGATGAACTTTATTCCATGGACCATGACAACCAAGCAGGTCAGATTCAGAGAACTTGTTTGGCTTGGATCAGTCGCTGTGATCATCCCTGGTGACCCTTTAGTGTGATAATGTGTCTGGTAGCGGAAGAGCCGGAGTACACTCTGCCCCAGGAGGCCTTCCAGCTGCGTCATGAGATAATGGACAACCCATCAGCTCCGGAGCCTCTTCAGCAGGACAAGGCCGACTCTCCACACGTCAGCGGCAATGAGGCAGAGGTCACCTGTCTGACGCCCATCGAGTCGTTCTCTCTTATCTCCATTTCCCAGCCACTGTTCAGCCCACATCTGTCCGCCAGCTTCTTCAGCCCCATAGTGCGAGAGATGCTGAGCTACTACGCTGAGCAGGGCGACGTGCAGATGGCCGTGTCTGTTCTCATCGTGTTGGGGGAAAAGATCCGTAAGGAGATTGATGAGCTCACCCAGGTCAGAAGAAAGCTAACAGTATTAGTAGCATTATGGTTGTTGCAGAACTGTCCTGGAAATTAGCTTAGGACCAATTCATTAAGTTGCTTAATCACAATTAAACCAATTCAGAGGTTCATGTTTGACCAACTTAAAGGCCAGCGTGTGTTTCTTCTTCCAGGAACACTGGTACATGTCCTACATAGACCTGCTGCAACGCTTCGAGCTGTGGAATGTGTCTAATGAGGTAATCAAACTGAGTACGTGCAACGCCATCACCTGCCTGAACCAGACGTCGACCACTCTGCATATCAACTGCAGCAACTGCAAGCGACCAATGAGCAACAAGGGATGGATCTGTGACAGGTACAGACTCGCTGTTTACATGCAAACACACAGCTGTGATTCTGAGCACTTCCTGTTGGATGTTCTGTCTCTCTGAGCAAATCTGACAACACCATTTGCTTTTCTGAAAGCTCCATCAGCTTTTATTGCAAATGGGTCCCATGCTACTGTGTCCAGCGAACATGGAGACACAGTTGGCAGTTAGCAGTACCTGTGTACGGTGTGTGCAGCCTGATATAACTTTAATGCGATACAAGAAATGGGACATTAAGTTTATTCCTCCTCTTTTGCATGGTTCAGGTCCAGGATACGTCCTGTGAGGACTTGTTTCTCCAGACTCCTGTAAAAATGTTAACAGCTGTAAATTTTACATGTTTACATTTTCTGTTATGGCTTTTCTATGGCTCCAGGTTAGCTGAGTCAGTGCACAGCAATTCCCAGTCTGTTACCATGACGATGGACTCACTTACCCATCTCTCTGGAACAGAAAACAAAGTTTCTCTAAATTCAGGGTTAGCAGCCTCCTTAGGTTCAGTGTTGCTCTGCTGTGTTCGTGCAGGGAACACCCATCTAATATGCTAAAGGACCACCATCATAAACACCCATTTGACCCTTGAGCTCACACATCACCTCTAACTCTAACTGGTACGCTACGCCTGATTCTGAGGAAAAGGGAACAGCTGGTGGAGAGGAGCGGATGCACCTCTAAGGGTTATCACAGGAGAGCTCAGAGTCTTTGAATCCTAAAAATAAAAGTAAACGAACCTTTTCGGTTAGTTTTTGCTTTCATAGTCATCCAAGTACGAGTGCATCATCCAACCGTGATGATGCACTCGGGGTGTTGAGTGTTGGTCCTTCTGCAGTGTTTAAAACAGCTAGATTACAACCAGCGCATATACAAACGCATCACCGCTCATCCCACACGGCAGAATCCCCATTCCCGTCTGGAAAATTATCCAGCAGGCTCTGTGTTAATAAGGAGGAGAGGGAATGCTGCTGGCAGCTCAGTAGGTGTTGGCGAGCATTAAAAGACAAACAACTTGTTTGAGAATAAAGTCCTCACTGGTTCTGTCGTCTGGGGCTGGTTTGGATTTAGTAAGGGCCACTTTAACAGTCTTACTGGGATTAGCCATGTTTCCACACACAGACAGGATGGGAGTCATTACCAGAGAAAATTAAACACATTTTTTACTTTCTTTCAAATCTTTTATTCATGTTGCATTTGAATTTTAAATCTACTATTTTATGTTTGGTTTTTTTTTTTTTTTTTTTTTTTCCCACCTGAGTGTGAAATGTGCTTTTTAAGTAAATCTGCCGCTCCTTGACGACTACTGTGTAACCAAGTGGCTGAACTGGTCAAGCTATTTAATAGTTTAATAATTTTATTTAGACAGAACCTTTTTCAAAATGGCTGTCATTGGCTAAAGTGTTGCTTTAAGCTAAAGAGTTCGATGAAACATGAATTCTGTGTCCAAAGCTGGATTTGAAATGATTGCGGTAAAGCTCCCAAATATCCTGACTACTCACGGTACTTAAACCTCTAAACACCTGAGCTGATTTATGTTGCTCATGTCTGCCTTGACTTCTATTACCAGAAAAATGCATTACCTCAATGGTGTGATGGGCCTAGCTTCCACAAACCATGTGTGTCGTTCCTTCAGGTGCCGCCAGTGTGCCAGTGTTTGTGCCGTGTGCCACCATGTGGTGAAGGGCCTGTTCGTGTGGTGTCAGGGCTGCAGCCACGGAGGACATTTGGAGCACATAATGAACTGGCTCAAGAGCAGCGCTTACTGCCCCGCTGGCTGCGGTCACCTGTGCGAGTACACGTGAGCGAAGCACACAGCTCGTCCAACGCGGGAGAGCAGAGCTCAAGTGCCTCCGAGCACATCCACAGGGTCCTCAGAGAAGGGACGTCTCTCTACATGGATCTGGGCCATGAAGTTGAAAAATCAACATTTTGAAGTGAGATCCGATCAGAGATCTGCGTGGAAAAGCGTTTAGAGGCTCATGTGTGTTTGATCTCTTACTTCACGTAGATGACGTTAAAAATATGATTTTAAATGTGTCATTTCTATTTTAACATTTGGCGGTTTTAAATCCTCTCCTAAAACCCTGAAAGCTGCAGACAAGTGATCATTGGTACAGTTTAAGTGACTTAGACATTTGTACATAAGTTATAATAAGGTACTGTAGATAGAGATGGATTAATTTATAACAGAAGTATACGTGTCAGTTCAAGCAATACGTTGTATGAAAACACTTGACTTTTGACTGTTCTGCTCCAGAAATCCTGTCTTTTTTCCTGATGAGTATAAATGTGCTGGGCGATGGAGGCAGAAACCCAGCAGGCTTGAGGCCAGCGTGTTTGAACCAGCCAACATCCCAACTGTTCCAAGGTTGCTACTGTCCACTGTCCACACATTGCTTTACTGCCAAACCTTCCCAGGCACAGGAATAGCTTCAGTTGTGCTCAGTATGAGGACATCCTGACAATCTGAAGAGGATCGCTCGACCTGCACACTCAGTCTGCAACATTTACTACATCAATAGTCTGATCAGAACCGTTGAGCAGCAGGAGACATCTAATTCAGCTTAATATCCCACTACAAAGGCTAAATGTGAGACTCTTAAAAATGACAACTTTCATTCGGATTCTTCTCGTGACATTTCGCCAATAAAGAACAGCTATGCATACGCCTCCCACTCTGCCTCCGAGTGATGGTCTGTTGAGCACGTTAGCCCGCCGCAGCAAGCTCCAGAGTGTGAACGTGATCTCAGATGTTTACCTGATAAGCATCCAAGTTGAATCAAAACCTTTAATCTCTGCAGCTAGAAGTTTGACTTTTTATTAAAAATTGTCCCTCTTTAACCACTCCAGACATAAAAAAAAATGTGTTCTCTATTTTTGCCCTTTCACTTTATGTGCCTAAAACAAGCTATTTTCAAAAGTCCCCGTGTGTGATGTCACAAACTGGAAAAGTAGAACTGTTATAACTGAAGAAAAAAGTAGGCCTCTTTAAAATAGTTTTCATCCAACAGTGTGTTCTTCAGCATGATTTACTCTGAAACGTGTCTAAATGACTGTTTTGTCGGTCAGGTCTAAGGAAACTAACATGGCAGGATTCAATTTTAATTTCATATTTGAACAAACATTGTGATATCTCAGAAACACTCTGGAGGATTTCTGGTTAAAACTGTTCAGAGCTCATGGCAGCAACATGTGGAGATATTAGAACGTGAACTGTCAGGTGTTTGTGCTTTGAGGACAAATCTGAAATTGCTTTTCCTAAATTTGCTAAAATAGTAGTTTTAAAAAGCAGTTTTCATCTTAAAACAGAAAATTAATCTGGAGTTTAACCCCTCATAACATACTGCACATTTTAATAAGACAAGTCATTGTTTGTTTAGAGGGAACTTCACAGTATCGCCCCCTCTGATCCACCATCACCACCTCCTCCTTCGTGCATTTGCACACCCCCACCAGAGGAGTCCAGCACACACCAGCACAAGCAGTCCGAGTGTCACGAACCCTTCCTGCCTGCTTGTCATGTTCCTGCAGCAGCCCTTATCTAGCGAGCCTCATCCAGACCATCAGCCAATCGCAGGCGAGCATCGTGCCCAGGCTGTCCGTTGAGCCGCTGTGCTCCAGCAGGGCCGGCCTCAGTTTCTCCTGTTTCACTGAGATTGTTCAGGGTGGTTAAGTCACCCTCTGTCAAATGAATGTTGGCAGGTTCCACTGAAACGAGGAGAACAAAGTTAGATTAAAAGACAGACGTTAGGAGAATCAGGTGAGAAGCTGTCACCTGGGTCGTCTAAGGTCGCTCCCAGCTGTCTGAGACTTTTTCAGGGGCACTCAGTCGTCTCAGACTCTGAAGGATGGTTTGCAGAGTCCCTGCTTGGGAGGCATGCAAGAGGTCAGCTTCAACTCCTCTAAATCATTCCCATTTCTAGCTTTTACTCTTAACTTACCCATCTCCTCCTGGTAAGACTCCATCTTCTTCACAAACTCTACGACAGTGGAACATCTCCGTTCCTCAGCAACTATAAAACACACCAGATCACTATTTAATTACAAAATTAAGCTTTAAATTAGAGCATTTGTTGTCCCAACTCACTTTTATCAACACTATCAGTTTTGTCTTTAGCCTTCAGATGTGAGAGCAGCTCTGCCAGACAGGCCCTCTGGTTGGTCAGTGTGCTGCTCATGTCCTGAGCCAGCCGGTGGTCCTCCACCAGCTCACCATGGACCCTCTTCCAAGCCATTTTGTCCTCCATCAGGCATCCCTCCATTACTGTACGCAGCTCCTTCTCCTGAGACACCTGGCTCTGCAGACTCTCAATCTCCTCACAGCGCTACGTGGACCGGTAAATGAAATTAAAACTGTTTCTAATTGGGTCACAGTCAGTATTTCCTTCAAAGATACCTTGTGGAGCTGGATGGCCATCTCCTGCATCTCAGCCTCCAGCTGGTCGGCGTATGCCTGCTCCAGAGCATCACTGGGTGGTCGAGCATTGCTGTGCCACCTTGCGATAGCCGAGGTCATCTTACGTTTGGGTCCAAACAGTCTAAAAAACAAGAAGGCACTCAGCACTACCCAAAAGTTAAAACTATGTGAACTGAGATAACGAGAACATACGTGATCCCTATCTCTTTCAGATCATTCTCTGTCAGGGTGAGAAAAATCCGCAGGTCGATGTCTTGTTCTTCGAGTAGTGGGAGGTACTTGGAGAAGCCGATCTGCTCCAGGAATTCTGACAGATCCTGCAGCCGAAACAAGCTTTGGATTAGGACCCTAAAATCTAAACCAGACACAAAACTCAACAGTGAAATTGTGGTTTTTCCCTTTAGAAACAATAAAATAATGAAGAAAAACAGGCATGCCTTTGGACCAGCGTAGGACGGTAGGGGATCAACACTGGTGTGTTTGCTGCAGCTTCCTGTCCCACTGATGTGAGCTGACTCGCTGTTTCCATGGCGAGTCTTGCTTTTTGAGTGATGACTCTTGTTTACTCTACGAGAGCTGCTCTTTTTGCCTTGGTCTGAATCCTGGTGGACAAATGTGCATGTGAGAAGAATCAAACATGAGAACCTTCTCTCTGAGCTCCAGCTGCTGCGCTCACCTCGTTGCTCTCCACCGACCCTTCCCAGTTGAGTGCGATCACATGAGGCAGACCTTCACTGCTGCTGCTGCTCCTCATAGTAGGCATGTCGTTGTCAAAGAATGGACTGTCATCTTCAAAAAGGTGAAGGAACTATGATGTTAGCCCATGTTGATTAAAAACTAGAGCATTTCCTGTCATCTGCCCCTCACCTCTGCTGCTGTGGCTCTGACCATCCAGCTCATTGATGGGTGAGGTCACATCTCTGTAGCAAATTCCTTCACTCTGCTCTCCTAGATCACGAAACGTCACGAAGCCCGGCAGCTCAGCAGGAGGCTCTGCAAGAAACAATAGCAACTAATATAGCATGCAACCCGAGAGGGAAAACACTGCATTTTAATACATCTGATGTAGTCTCCATTGTAAATAAATGCCTTGTGAGTTGATCTTTGTGGAGAAAAAGCTCTGGTGCTCCTGTTTCAATAAGTAAAAGTTAGCCGGAGGAGTGGGGAGCAGCAGCTGGCAGGATTATGTCTTTTTTCCTGATATTGGGACATCTCGCCTCTGATTGGCTAACAGCAACACAACTCTACCACCAACTCTGCTCTGCAATGTTGATGTTTTATCTCCACAAATAACTCAAGCCAGAAGGAGTTCTGCCGTGTTGCTAATGCTAACAGTTAGCTTTTAGCAGAGCAGCGCTATGCTCTCTCCTGGATGCTAAATAAACTATGGCCTTCCTAAATGGGTGAGTCCATGAATGCTCATCGACAGTGTAATGTAAAGCTGAGTGGCTTTTTCTGATCCGAGCGTTTCACCCTCTTGTTTCCTATCGACGACTAATGCAGGAAATAGGGGTAGAAGACTATTTTCATGTTCAGCCTGCATGTGAAACTCAGAGTGACCAACTGAATTTCAAGAATAAAAGCATTTCTCAGTGAATCTATGAGTGAAATGCAGCTCCGGTCGTTAACAAGATGGCACCTGTGCTTGGATTAGCCGCAGTCACCGGCCACTTTTCCACCTGCGATCCTCTTCAGTAGTGTCCCTGCTACCATCTCCTATGATCGCCAGTCTCTTGTCCTTCCGTTCGTTCACGATCGCCCAATATGCAACAAGGGTGTACCTCCCTGTTTGTTTATCTGAGTGGCGCACTGGCCCGGAGCCAAACGATTCCAACCAGGGCGCCTCCAGCGATGTTTATCTGGTCCCGGGAAAACGTCGGAGGAAAAGAGGTAAACGAACAGGAATCCAGGGGAGAATAAGACTTATCTTAAAGCGTGGTTTATCTAGTAAACATCGGCATGATCTTCTAGCTTCTTGTCCTTTGTTTGGTGACTTGAGCGCAACACCGTGGATCTAACCCTGCTAATACATCCACTAACTCCAGCTGTTTCTGTAGTTTCTGATTCCTCCACCTCACTCAGCATGGCTCTATTAAATACCCACTCTGTTAACAATAAGTCCTTCTTGCTCAGTGATTTATTTCTCTCTAAAAATCTGGATTTTCTGTTTCTGACTCAAGTTTGGCAGCAAACATCTGATTATTCTGGTCTCTCTGCCAGAGTGGTTATTCTTTTCTTAGCCAGCCCTGGGGTTCTGGTCGTGGTGGAGGGCTAGCTGTTGTTTTCAGAGACCATCTTCCAGGTAGCTCTACAACCTCTGGTCACTTTGCTTCCTTCGAACTGCAGCTGATTAAAGTCGGGCGTAAGGACCCGTTCTACTGTGCTGTGGTCTATCGTCCACCTGGTCCAAACAGTTCTTTCCTTCAGGAGTTTAGTGACTTTCTATCCTCCACTGTGAAGCTGTCCAGACTGGTGATTGTTGGTGATTTTAACATCCACGTTGATGATCCCTCTAATCTCTTTGCCATGAATTTCTCCAGCCTTATGGACTCCTTAAGCTTTACCCAACATGTTTCTGGCCCCACACACACCAGGGGGCACACTCTAGACCTTGTTTTTACCCTGAGTCTAAATGCTGACAGTGTTTGTCCTGAGGACGTTTATATTTCAGATCACCATTGCATTTTCTTTAACTTGTCAGTTTCTGCGTCCCCACCTCTTGCTTGCCGTATGGTTAGTTCTCGTTTTCTTAATGAGAGCACAGCTAGCAATTTTTTCTGCTGCTTTTGATCAACCCTGTTCTTCTGATAATGACCCAGATTCCTTAACTTCTCAGTTTAACGAACTCTGCCTCTCCATTCTGGACAACATCTGTGCTGTCAGAACCAGATCAGTTCCTGCAGTGAACCCTACTCCCTGGTTTAATGACAGCCTGAAGCGCCAATGCAGAAAAATTGAGCTCTTGTGGAAGAAAACCCATCTCCACGTCCATCTGCTGCACCTAAAGGATCTTCTGACATCCCTTAACTCTGCAGTCAGTCAGCTTAGACTCTATCAAAGCCTGGATGGCTGGGAGCTTTCTTCAGCTGAATGAAGATAAGACTGAGATCCTCATCTGTGCCCCAGACAAGCTGGTTCCCAAAGTCAGAGACTCTCTTGGTCAGCTTGCTTCTCACACCAAACCTTCTGTCAGGAATCTTGGCATGACCTTTGACCCACCTCTCACCCTGGATTCTCATGTCAGTTCTCTTGTTCGCTCTTCCTTCTTCCATCTCAGGAACGTTGCTAAGCTGAGTCCCATTCTGTCCCGTTCTGAACTTGAGACAGTTATCTACACCTTCATCTCCTCACGCTTAGACTACTCTAACTCTCTTTTCACGTGTCTGAGCAGAACCTCCCTGAACCGTCTACAGGTGGTTCAGAATACCTTTGCTCGGCTTCTGACCAAGTCCTCCAAACAACCCACATCACCCCGCTTCTCCTCCAGCTTCACTGGCTGCCAGTCAACTTCAGGGTTCATTTCAAGATCCTGGTTCTGGTCTATAGGGCCTTACATGGACAAGCACCATCTTACATTGGTGATCTTCTCAGTCCCTACACCCCCAGCAGGTCCCTGAGGTCCAGTGATCAAAGCCTACTGGTTGTGCAGCGCACCAGGCTAAAGACCAAAGGTGACAGATCATTTGCTGCTGTGGCCCCCAGACTCTGGAACTCTCTCCCCCTGAGCCTGAGATCGGTGGACTCAGTGGTCTCCTTCAAAAAGCAGCTTAAGACTCACTTGTTCAAGCTGGTTTTTGGATGACCTTCTTCACCCCTCTCTCTTTATTCTGCTCTCCCCACCTATTCCACCTTCCTCAGGATCCACTGAGTTCCCTCTTTCCTGTTCACTCTCTCTCTTTCTTAACATTTTTTTAACCACAATTGTCTATTTTTTGCTCATTTTAAATATATTTTTAACCATTTTCTAAATTCTTTTATATTTTTACATTTTTGTTTTTGTGAAGCGCCTCGTGATTTTGATCTTAAGAGGCTCTATAGAAATTATATTTTCTTTTCTTCTCAACTCAAATCTTGGTCTTTCAAATTGTTGCCATAATTATTAAAAGGTGCACTAAGGTGGTGATGATAGTTATACTGAAGTAAACTGATCAACATTAAAGCTTTTCTCATTAGAAACACGATCATCAGTTTGACTGCTTTACAGGTTTGCTGGGCAGATACTTTGTGACCTACTATGCAGTGTGCTGCTGCCTCCTACTTTGAACTTTGCAATGGCCTGAGGCCCGTCATGGATGCTAACGCCTTTAGCTCGGCTCCGGCTGGGCCGGATCCTCGGCGGTGCACTGTCAGAGTCCTCAGAGGAGCTCAGGTCTTCAAAGTGACCTGATGGGTTAGAAAAAGCACATTCAAACAAACTAAAATGATCCAGAAAACAAAAAACGGAGAACTTTTGAACGGCTGAAACAAGCACCTGGTTTATTCCTTGACGATCGTGAGTCAATGAGGCTGGCGATCTTCGTGTAGCCGTACATCATGGCGAGGGCGCGAGCAGTCTCTCCTTTGGCATTACGATCATCAACTTTGACTTTCTGAAAGTGAGTCAAAAATATTTTTGATGCTTTAACTAGAAGTGGCTCCACCTTTATGTGCTTTTGGCCTTTTTATAGCTGAGAAACATAAGTGACAGAGTAACATCTGGCATATCTAGAATAACAACTAACAAAGTATAAAACAATCTGTGACCGACTCACGTGATCCAGTAGGTACTGAACAATGATTTCATGTCCAGAGGCTGCAGCCTCCATCAGGGGAGTAAACCGAGACCCCGGCTCCCTTTAGAAGGAGGAAAAGCCATCAAAGATAAGGCCAGTTATTGTTGTTGTCTTGTATTGAGTCCATAAAGAAACTCACTTGACATTAGCATCAGCGTTGTTATCCAGCAGGAACTTGACCACCTGTTGGTGGCCTGTGCTTGTACAGTGAAACAGAGCCGTCCAGCCTCGAGAGTCCTTCAGCTCTAGTTCTGCCCCTTGCTTGTGAGTAAAGAAGCAGAAAGACGCAGTTACATTAATAAGTTTTAAACAGCTATGCAGTTTTAACCAAGAGCTCGTTTCATTTTTACTACAAAACATGATGTAAAATTCATTGAATTTCAGAGTGAAGGTAGAAGATTATTCTAGATTCTGCTGTGTAGCCAAAGGGGTTCCTCAGGGATCATGTATGTCAAATGAGGATTTTCACCCTTATGCTGATTACACCATAATGTCTCACCAGACACCGTAGACTCCAACAACCTTTCAAGGCCGCCATTTTCTCATTTACAAAGAATCTATATCAAGGGAGTCCAAATATTTCAAGACAAGAGCCAAAGTAATCTATTTTAAAGTCATTGAGGGCCAAAAATGTGTGATTTTCTTAATTTAAAAAAGGCAAACTGTATTTTTTGGTGATTTTGTTTGTACCCCTCAAAATACATCTTATAGACATATAAGACAAATCTGAACAGAACATTGTTAGAAAGTGTCAATTTATGTCAACAGCCTACTAGAGGGACAAAATTCATCACTGTAGAAAGCGGAGGTTGAACAAAATCGCTCTGAGGGCAGCAAATGGTCCCCGGGCCACACTTGGGGCATGCCTGATCAATGTCCAGAAAAAAAGTGCATTATTTATTGCTTCTTTAAGTTGCCATCACTCTTGACCATGGCACTTCTGTAACAGATTAATAAATCCCAAGTGTAGGAGCCATTTGTGTATTATTTGATTTGTATTTTTCCTAAACCAAGAGGCAAGTCCAGGGCCTGGGTGGCAGCCACTCCCGCTGGGGGAGATCAGCGCCAGGTGTTGCTAACACAAGCAGTTTTTACTGCGTGGAGAGGATTGTGTGGCAGAGTGAGCACGAACGCACGGGCAGTTAGGGGCAAGTAAACATTATAGAAGTAAAATTGTGCCTGTGTAACTGAATCATGGACAATTACAAAACAATAAACATGTTAACAAGTACATTCAAGCTGCATGTTCTTTAAATGCATGTAAGACTTCCGTCTACGTCAGTAACCAGTAGTGACAACTAGCATTGGGCCTGGGCATTACAAACACCAAGCTTTTTTAATTTTGGGAGGGTTAAGTAGTGGCCTTTATAAAATCAAACAAACATATTTCCCAGTATGAAACATTTAACTTTACATTTAATAAAAGCTTTGATTGCAGCTCGTTTCCTTCCCAACATAAACAAGTTGTTGACAGTTTTGTACCTGCAGAAGAAAGTATGCAATGCTCTCATTCCCGCAGCTTGCAGCCAGCATCAGAGGAGTGAGTCCCTTAGCTGTGGTCGCGTTTACATTCACCCCAGCCTCCAGCAGCAGGTTTACTATGTTGTCATGACCAATGTAGGCTGCATACATGAGGGGCGTCCATCCTCCAATGTTCTTGCCGTCCAGGTTCACCTCATGCCTGAAAACAGTTATAGGGGTGCACCGTGTGTGATATGAGCTCTCTTGATTATAATGGTTTGTTTTGTAGGAGCAGACCTTTTAATGCACTCAGCCACCACGTCGTACTGTCCGATGGAGCAGGCGGTGTGGAGGTCCAGCGGGACGTAAAGCTCCTCGGGTCGCAGCAGGGGGTCACCCAGCCACAGGGAGAGACTGGAGCCCAGCTGCTCGGACTCACTGGCCTCGTCACTTAACTCGGACATTTCCACTGCTCAAACAAATTAAACACACATCAAACAAAGACAGAACAATACATTATTAAGAAAATCTCCGGGTAATGAGCGCTAAGAGCGGTTCCTCTGAGCTGTACAGCTGGTGTTGATTTAGCTAGCCACTAACAACCGTCATCTCTCCGCCTCAGAGCTCCACTTACGACCCGCTTAGTAACCCTAAGTAAACCCATACAGGGGCAGCACGTGAACAACACGTCCCTCAGCAAAAATGTGTCTGGAGTTCAGATAAACTTACAACCAGCACAGTCCGTTTCATCGGCAGCACAAACTTTTCCTGTTTTGTATGTCACACTGATTTGTGCTCGGCTGGAAACACATTCCGCTCATTCCAGCGTTCCGATTGTTTACAAGTCAGAAAACATTCAAGGAAAAAAATCTGAAGGATAAACTGAAAACGTTATCTTAAAAGGTACATTGTAAAAAGATTAACAAGCTGAAACTAATAGAGAATATCCAGAAGTATGCTTGGAAATATTAATGTTTGCAAAGTTCCCAGAGTCCTCAGGAAAGTCTTTAATTTATGGTTTTACTGGTGTTTTAATTCCCATTCTAATTTCCAAGGATAGAGAAAAAAATACTGAAATTCTACCAAAACTGTTGGGAGTAGCTGCAAGTAAACCAATACATTACGAGGCTAAATTGAAGAACTAAATACTTTACAGTTAGGATTACATTGCATTACAATGATGGCTCTCTGATGTCACACGGGCTTGTAGGCGGGCGTGTAGATCCTCTGAGAGAAAGTGGATAAAGGATGGCCTACAGGTCTCGCGTGAGTTGTTCAGAGCATCTCTGGTTGCTTATCAGGATGCTGTGAGGGCTGCCAGAACGGCCTATTTTGCAGACATCATCAAAACAAACTCCAAGAATCCCAGGATTCTCTACAAAACACTAAACTCTGTTCTGGTGTATCAGGAGCCCAGCTCCATGTCTCCTACAGCTGCTGGAAACTCTGAAGCTTTTCACAGATTCTTTGTTGATAAAGTATCAGGCATTCGAGCAGCTATTTCCGCTAACTTTATTGACACTGTTCCACTTCCTCAATCACCACCCACCCTGAGCCCCCTGAATACTGTTTCATAGTCTGAGCTGAGTAAGCTTGTTGCAAGGCAGAAGCCATCTGGCTCTCCACTTGACGTTCTGCCACCTCATCTCTGGAAGGCTGCCTTTCCGTGCCTTGGCCCATCACTTGGTCAGATTATCAATGGGAGCCTCAGCACAGGTGTGGTCCCAGCTGCTTTGAAAGCAGCAGTTATTCGGCCGACCCTGAAGAAACCTGGTGCTGATGTCACTGTGATCACAAATTACAGGCCTATCTCTACCCTGCCATTTACATCAAAACTGCTTGAGAAAGTCGTTTATCAGCAGCCGGTCTCACATTTAGCTGACTCTGATCTGTTTGAGGTTTTCCAATCAGGGTTCAGGTCTGGCCATAGCACGGAGTCAGCTTTACTGAGGGTCCTAAAATGACATCTATCTATCACTAGATCAGGGTACATCTGTGGTGCTTCTGTTGTTAGATCTGACGGCAGCCTTTAGCCCCATTCCCATCTGTACCGGGTCGGCCCAGGCCGGGTAGCCCCAGTCGGCCCCAGCCTGGCCCGGTTGTTTCCACACATCCTTGCTTAGGTATGCAAGGAATGCAGTCAGAGACACTTTCAGCTTCTGGGTAATCAGCATGATAATGAATGATAATGAATTGAGCATGCCTTAAGCCCATGTGGGCTGATTCTACCAACCAATCAGAGGCTTGCTCTAATGGAAGGTGTGAATTTGCTGTCAGCAGTGGGTGTGTTGGCCCTTGTCGGCCTGAAGCAGACCCCTTCGAGAAGAGGGCTGAGAATGAGCCTTGGTTGTTACAGATATGTAAACAACCTACGCTACCCAGCCCGGGCCGACCCGGTACAGATGGGAATGGGGCTATAGACACAGTCGACCACGCGATTCTACTCGATCGCTTGGAATGATGGGTTGGGATCAAAGGGTCTGCTCTGGATTGGTTTAGATCGTTTCTCCACAACAGGACATTCTGCGTTAAACTGGGTGATGTTTTTTCTTCTTGGGAGGGGCTCCGCAGGGGGGTCCCACAGGGATCGATCTTTGGTCCTCTTTTGTTTGCCATTCATCTGCTACATCTTTCGTAAACATGGCCTATCATTCCATCTCTATGTTGACGATTGCCAGATTCACTCTCCATTGTGTCAGGAGAAAGGTCACTCTATCCAGTCCTTTGTGTCCTGTATTAACGAGGTGAAGTCTTGGCTAATGGCCAACTATCTGCATCTGAATGAGGGAAAGACAGAGCTCATTGTTTTTCACCCCCAACAGAAGGAATGTGGGTCGTTATGTTGATCTCGGCCCTCTTTCTCCCTACTCAAAACCAGTTGTGACCAGTTTGGGGGTGAAACTTGATGCTGGACTTAAATTTGAGGCCTCACATCAACTCAGTGATCCGGTCCAGTTTCTTTCACCTGAGACGCCTTGCAAATATCAAGCCTATGCTGTCGAGAGCCCACCTGGAGCGGGTACTACATGCCTTTGTAATTTCTAGGCTTGATTACTGCAACTCTCTCTATGCAGGGTTGTGTCAGTCATCACTGCGTCGCCTACAGGTTGTGCAGAACAACGCAGCCAGGTTCCTGACTGGGACCAGGAAATAGGACATCAGTCCAGTTCTGGCCTCCCTGCACAGGCTTCCAGTTTGCTATCGTGCACAATTCAAAATTCTCGTCTTTGTTTACAATTTCTTCCAGGGGGGTGGTCCCCCCTATCTGGCCACACTCCTGAACAAACATTCCCCATCACGCGCTCCTCTGAACAAGGCCTCCTCGCTGTCCCTCGTTCTAGGTGTCGTATTCGCGGGGACCGGGCTTTCTCAGTCCTAGCACCGTCTCTCTGGAACCAGTTGCCACCCTCAGTTAGGCTGTCCCCATCTCTGCCAGCCTTTAAGAGTCGCCTAAAAACCCACCTTCTCCGCTTGGCGTTTCCTGAACATGTTTGATTCGGCCCTCTTTTACGTTGAATTTCTTTCAGTTTTCATTGGTTCACTCTATCCATTGTTTTACCCATCTGTCCTGTACTAGAATGTTTCACCTTTTTTTGTAATTTGTATTTTGTACTTTGAGTTGCTTTTATTTCTGAATTGCTTTGATTTTTGATTTGTTCACTATATTTGTACTTCCACTGTACCATGTTCAGCGCCTTGGGCTTCCTGACAGGGTTGCGGAAGGCGCTTTATAAACAAAGCTTTGATTGATTGATTGATTGATAATTAAAAAGGCTAAAGAAGGCATTACAGTGTAAATACTGAATTGTTAAACACAAGCATAGATTCAGAACCATATCTACTGTTTATGTTTGCATGTGAAAAGGAGCCAAAATTTTAAACACCTAATAAAAAATAAGAATTTAGAAAAGTTTGTAATATTTGCATTTGTATAAAATGCATGAGGATCGCGTTTCTCGTATCAGACACACATGATGGCTGTGGTTTGTAGTTGCAGATTTATATGGTTAATAACGTTCTTTTCTAAGTAGTTTTTTAACCACACATTTAGACTTTTTAGAGTTCTGCTCACTCAAAACTAAAACAGAAAATTCCTCACATGCGGCAAAACCTTAGATAAAATAAATGTATTCTTGAAGATAATTTAAACAATGCTACTTGAAGCACGTTTTGATACAATAAACACTTATTATCATGTTCAGATAACCTTTTGTTGTGTTTCTCAACATAATAATCCTGTAAAACATTTACTTCTGATCTTAAAATGACACATAAAATATTCCAAAATAGTATTTTCCTTAAATGTTTTAAAACATTCTAAATTATTTGTAAATTAGACTGAAAACAGAGGAGACACATAACTCTATAGTTTTATTTTTTCAATTAAAACTAAACTTCTAACAAAAGTTTTATAAAGACAGAAATAAATGAGTAATAAGGCTGTAATTAAAATATTAATGCCTGTATTATTACACAGTTAGTATCAATAAAGCAGGTGGAGTGTTTCTCCACAATCGTTCATCAGGTAAAGTTATCTCCAGGGGAGCAAAATTAGAAAAAATTAAAGCTAAACTCCTCCTTTGATGGAACAAAAACAAAAGTCTCTTGTTGCGTGTGTGTGTTTGGTTTTTCATCATCCTGGGGTTGTGTTGGCGGTAGGTGCTCCTCTGAGGCTGCTGGCTGCATCTTCACTTCAGCTCTCCGGTGAAAAACTGACTTCTTTGGGCAATCTGACACCGCTTTGACATGAGCTGATGCCATTTCTGTCAAACAAAGACAAAAGTAGCTCAAAGTAGCAGCAGCTCAGGAGGTAGAGCGGGTCATTTATCATTCATTCTACACCAAAGGAACATCTTACCGATGAAATAATCCACTCACCATTCTGAATCAGCTTAAACTGCTTGTTCTTCTCTTCATCCATTTTTTTCCTGTAATCTCCTGCCATGGATCTCATCACCTGCCTCTTCTTCACCAGAGGAGCTTTGGAGCTCCGGAGAGTTTTTAGAGCTCGAGAGGCCTCCTCTTCTGCAGAACGAAAACATGTCAAAATGACAACAGATTTCTAGTTGGTCAGGGTAGGTTTTAGTTTTTACTTCGGTTTATTTTAATTTAGGATCATGATTTTAGTCACATCCTGGTTATTTCTGCATCTGTGTGTCCATTAAAATCTAATTTTAGTTCCCCGGTCCCAAACGCTGGCATTGTGTTTGAAGGAATGCTTTTCCTCCTTCAGGTTTCACTTTATTTTTCTGTCACATTTGGAACAAATTCACATCTTTCGAATCAATGGCCATCCCTTTGTAATGTAACTTGTTATTTTACACTTTTCTTGCCATTAACCTCACTACTGAAACTAAATAAAAGACTAATACAAATCTGGTACATGAAAGTACTTGTGAGCTACAAAAACTCAACAGTTTTAGTTGGTTAAATTATTTTAATGTGATATTTATAACCTGCACAGCTATATATACATATATACATATATATATATACATACATATATATATATATATACATACATACATATATGTATATATATATATATATATATATATATATATATATATATATATATATATACATATATATATGTATATATATATGTATATATATATATATATATATATATATATATATATATATATACATATATGTATGGATGTATATATATATATATATATATATATATATATATATATATATACATATATGTATGGATGTATATATATATATATATATATATATATATATATATATATATATATATATATATATACATACATACATACATATATATATGTATATATGTAAAAGAGGGTTTGTCAATATTTGTGGTAAATACAGATACATTTGTCCAGAGGTGGGAAGAGTACTAAAATGTCCTACTTAAGTGCAAGTACCAATACTTTGATGTTTTTTTTAACTCAAGTAAAAGTACTTGCCTCAATTTTTACTCAAGTAAAAGTAAAAAGTATCATAAATAAAATGTGCTCACACGCTCACGTGCGCGCGTGCACACACACACACACAGTTTGATGGAGGGATTTTGATCCAATCAGTGAGAACCAGACGTGCACATTGATTGGATGAGGTTTTTCCAGGTTTGTATGTTTCAAATGTGATTCAAATTATTCTTTATTTTAACAAAAAAATATAATTTTGTTCGGTGCCATCAGTATGTGAGGAATCTCAGTGTTTTCATGACAAACCTCTAACATGAGACCGTGTTCTAAAATAAAGAAACAAGCTAAATCAACACATATCTGTGGCATCAAGAAGCAACTTCTGAGTTCACGCACACACAGGGATGTTACACATAATGTTTACAACTGCATTTGCTCCAGTATTACGTGTTGATTTGCACAAACAAGATGTTTAAAGTCACAGAGGCTGCCTGCACTGGTTTCCTGTTTTATGAGCAAAGCACTGGGAATCAGCTTGTTAGGAGCGCTAAATGTGCCATGCGGAGCTATTGGGGAAACACATTTCAAAGACAGAACCGAGTCCGGCTACCGAACCGAGCAGAATACTGACGGTGCACGAAGGTGCGGGTTTCAACCAACAGGAGAGGGTGTAAACAGCGAGTGCATCACAGGGACTGGACTGATGTTTTTGAGCAAAATTGAAAGAAAAGTGTGGCTGTTTACCGCCCTCGTTATAAAAGGCGTACAACCCACATCCCCCACGGCTGAGACGCAGTGCTCGAGCAGGTGTCTCTCTTTCTATTCCGACGCTGGAAAAAAGCGCAATTTTTTTATTAACTAAGCCTTTTTTTAACTCAGTAACGGATATGACTCAAAATGTAGAGAAGTGCAATTCTTTAAAAAATCAATACTCAAGTAGAAGTAAAAGTACAGATTTTAAAATCGACTTAAAAAAGTATAAATACACAAAAAAGCTACTCAATTACAGTAATGCGGGTACATTTTATTCGTTACTTTCCACTTTTGCATTTGTACTAATGAAAGAAATGAGTCATATTTCCGGTATTCGATGTATCAACCCTCACCTGTGGTCACGAGCTTTGGGTAGAGACCGAAAGAACGAGATCGCGGATACAAGCCGCCAAAATGAGTTTTCTCTGCAGGGTGTCTGGGCTCTCCCTTAGAGATAGGGCAAGAAGCTCCGTTATCCAGGAGGGGCTCTGAGTAGACCCGCTGCTCCTCCACATCGAGAGGAGCCAGTTAAGGCGGCTCAGGCATAGATAGATAGATAAACTTATCGTTTGATTACTTGAAACTTGATTGATCTGATTAGGATGCCTCCCTGGTGAGGTTCTCCGGGCACGTCCAGCTGGGAGAAGGCCTAAAGGAAGACCCAGGGCATGCAGGAGGAACTATGTCTTTCGACTGGCCAGGGAACACCTTAGGATTTCCCCCAGAGGAAAAGCGGACGAAAGTGGATGGATGGGTCAATTGTTTTCTGTTTTTTTTTTTGGTCATAAAATTAAGGTTTCCTCTCATCAGCAACAGGATCAGGATGTGGGTCACTCTCCCTTCAGTAATGTTTGGTCACAAATGGTGCTCACATGTCTGGATTTTGGTAAGAGTCAGTGAGAATTTGTGTTTTTCTTTACTGGAAAAATAAATTAAAGAGGTCCTTCACTCAGATTTTCAATACATTAGTTGTAGTCTCCTGTTGGAATGAATGGCCTGTAAATCATACTTGTAAAGCTCAGATGCTCTTGTTTCAGCACAGAGATTCAGCTGGAGGAGAAAGTAGCTTCAGACAGCAGGATCTGGAGTCTGATTTACTGATATTTAGACATCTGACCTCTGATTGGCTAACAGCAATGCAACGCTACCACTCTACCTCTTTAAGAGCAAAAGGCTGTTGATAAAAGACAACTTTGTATTGAAGTTGAGCATTCGTATTTAAAAAATATTTCATTTATCTGCATTTTTAGGCCTCACATTAGTAAAAATCATCACATTAAGTGTCTATCTGCATCCCCATGATGATGGGATAAAATTCTTCAGCTCTTGAAATGAAGTCATGGGACGCAGAATATCACTCCAAGTGCTGCCACTGGCCCATGGTCTGCATTTTGGACACAAAAACTCTAAATCAATTCATTTTCTACTGAAAAAAAAAATGCAACTGTCTTGTTTTGCCTGACAAAGCGGAACGTATCTCAGACAGAACTCAAATTCCCACAACGTCTTGTGGGCCAATGCATAAATCCCAGCATTCACATTAAAGCCAAATAAAATATTTGACCAACTTTGCTTTGGCGTTCCCTTCTGGGACCTCAGTCCCAGCTCCAGCTGCTCGATACACCAGTCCAGCTGCCTGTTCAACTGCTCTTCTGCGCTCTAAAAGAGTCCCATCAAATCATATATTTAATCACAAATTAAGAACCCACAATAAACATTTTATATCAACACCCTGACCTGCTCTTCATCTCTCCGACTGCCCTCATCTGGCTGTGGCTCAGAGTCAGATGGTTTATTCTTCTCTGATTTCTTCTTCTTCTTTGTTTTGGATCGCACTGACAGCTCAGGTGGCCTAACTCCCTCCTGCAAAACAGGAGATTTCTCCTCCTCGTTTCTGGATGATGAGGGTTTTGCAGCCTCGGCCATATCCACGTCTTCTACTCCAGGGGGGATTTGGAAGTTGAAAGTAAAATGTGAGTCCTGTCCTGTGATGAATACCGGGGCTGCCTCGGCGTGGTCTGCTGGTGGTGGATCCTCCTGAGGCGGCGGCTGGTTTTCAGACAGGAAGTTAAATGTAAAAGAGTTGTCACTGTGAGTCCAGAGGGGAGGATTCAATCCTCTTCCTCCGGCAGCTGTGGAGCTCTTGGACTCTGCTTCAATATCTGCTCAATAATAACAAACACGGAAAGGTCAGTGACAAATGCACCAAACAATAGTAAAGAAGGCATATCTAATTTTCCGTACACTGCATTATAATTATGTACCTATAAACATCTGCCTTTGCTCGGTCATGCTTTCCTCCAACAACCTTTTTTTTTTGTTTGAAATTCGCTCGTTAAAGCGATATTTTTAACTAAACAGATTAAAGACACAAACATAGTCCGCATAATATATTATTGAAACGGTTCCAATTGTTCTATTTCTTTAGCTTTACGTGGAAATAAACAGAAATGTTTTCCAAAGAAACTCACCGCCAGTGTTACACGACATTGGGTCCGTCTATTAACGTTTTCCCAAAAATACATCGTTCCGCTTTGCACGCGTTTACGGTCATTGAGAAAATGAAATGAATGTGTTTTTTACCAAGCTAGGTTATTAAGTTTCTCAAGAATCGTAAATTGTAGCAAAATATAAAATCAGCTTTTTTTTTAAAGTGTGATGTACGTTTTATGTACGTTTCTTGTTGTGAAAAAGGCATGGAGGTGAAGAATATAAAAAATGTAATTGTATCTAAAGCTGCTTTGGTGGTGACTGTAAAAATATTTTTATTGATATGCATTAAGGTCTTTTTTCTTTTGATTTACAGGGGTCTGTGGCGGGCTGCTTTCCCCATCAGTAAGTTTCCCTCCGTTCTCAGCACAAAGGAAGGGAACATCTGACCCACCTCTGGCTCCATCATGCCTGAGTAATCACAACGCTCAGGCAGCAGGAATCACAACTGGACCGCGTTTTGTCAGCAAAATGATGATGCTCATCATTTATACTGTTTAATCATGTGAAGCTTCTCAACAATTAAACGCACAGGATAGTCAGGGTCATAGTGTCATTTGTTAAATAACTAGGGATATTGAATTAAATAAATCAACGGTGGAACCTGACGATGGTTATTTTATACAGTATATTTTTCTTTAGAATACCTCTAAAATCCGTTAACTTCAAATTCGGGGACGATTATGCTGATTGGTTCAATACTGATCAGTTTACGGCTAGACCAATCAAATCAGTTGAGGGCGGGACTTAGCTCATGCCTCAGCGGAGCTTATAAATAGCACGTTCTGTTTCCTCCGCCTTAGAGCGAGAAACGAGATTGAAAGAGGATCATCGTGCTGTCTTTTGTAAACACTCACGGTAAGGCGCCTTTTACATTTATAAGAAATATTGTTTTCTGTATTTATTGGTATTGTGATTCTTAATGTAACTGAGTTTAAGTCATAATGCAGTTCATACTTGTTTGAACGTAGAAAAACAACCTTCTAACTAATTGTTATTCTATTTACGGTTAAAGCAGTGGGCGCCATAACTGGAAACTAATTGTTTGCTACTAACCCTTCTTCTAAAAAAATAATAATAACCGTTTATTACCAGTAGACATTACCACTGCTCTCTTTATTTTTGTGATTCAAGTCGAGGTTTTTGTTAACATATTCGGAACAGTCAGTGGTAGATAGCTGGCGCCATTTTGCAGCACTCAAGGCTAGTTTTTAAATTAGGCAAGCACAGAAACGTGTGTGTCCTCAGCAGCTTAATGGTGGCCGAGCTTTAGCCAGATCTATCCACGAAACACGACGTTTGATTATTTTAATAATAATAATAATAAGTAACATTCTTCACTAACGGAAACCCCTACCCACTGACGTAAAATGCAGCAGCACTAATTGTATTTAGTTTTGTCTGCTCGAAGCATAATGCTACTGCAGATGTTTCGTTTTATTTATTTATTTTGAGATGACTCGCCTAAAAATGAAGTCTTTGTATTCAGTTATTGTCTGTTTAGTCACAGACGATCACATTTATGAGCTGGTTTATTCACTTCCTGCTGTTTGTTTTTCCCCTTTTTTTGTTATCTAAGGACTAAATTTAGCTAGAAAATGGCTCGTACAAAGCAAACGGCTCGTAAATCCACTGGAGGAAAGGCACCTAGGAAGCAGCTGGCTACCAAAGCAGCCAGGAAAAGTGCGCCATCCACTGGTGGAGTGAAGAAGCCTCATAGATACAGGTACACATTTGTTACAGTGTAATTGTTTTTAATGACTTTGTTGCTTAAGCACTATGGTTAGTTTTTGTTATTTGAGGGTATTCTAATAGCTTTTCATTTTTCAGGCCTGGGACTGTTGCTCTGCGTGAGATCCGTCGTTACCAGAAGTCCACTGAGCTGCTCATCAGGAAGCTGCCTTTCCAGCGTCTTGTCAGGGAAATTGCTCAGGATTTTAAGACAGATTTACGTTTTCAGAGTGCAGCTATTGGTGCTCTCCAGGTAAAGCCCTGATCCTGTTTTTATGACGAGCTACATACTGCTTTGTGAAACTGAAACACTCATCTCGTTTTCACCATTTAGGAAGCCAGCGAGGCATACCTGGTTGGACTGTTTGAGGACACCAACCTGTGTGCTATCCACGCAAAGAGAGTAACGATCATGCCCAAGGACATCCAGCTGGCCAGGCGCATTAGAGGAGAGCGTGCTTAAATGTTCTTTTTGTTTTGTTTTTAAGCTGGGTGGGTTGTTGGGGTTGAGGTTCAGACTGGTTTGATTTTTGTAAATCTTGATGTATTACCAGCACATGTACCACATGTGCATGTGTCATTTGTAGTTTTAAAGCATGTTTTTGTACATTATTCATTTCACTTGTAGTCACTGTAGACTACAGCTAGAGATGTTTGGTTTTGTCTCACTCTTGTGTGTACTTTTTCTATCCTGTTGGCATGTGATGGGGTTTCTTTTTGTGCTGTAAATAAACTTTCTGCTACCTCACTTGTTTTTAGAGTTTAATTTCATATGTTGTGGTAGTTCCTCTCAAAGCCAGTTATTTGATCATTATTGCATAGCAGTTTATTAATATTACACAACAGTTCTTTAGATATCAGCAGTATAAGTCCTCAAAATCAAAGCAAACTTTACATTGCAAAGTTTGGTCATGGACGGCTTCAAGTTGTCAGTCTTCGTCTTCCTTGGAATCTGAAAGTAAACCAGATAGATGCTCGTGTAACTGTTTCTCCAGCTTTGCATCAATGTCGGTCTCCTCTCTCAGAAAGCACCACAAAATGGTGGCAGTGCCTACAAGGATAATTGGGAGCACTTTCCACAAAGGCCTCTGGTGTTGGATCCCCATGGAGCTGGAGACTTTCCATGTCCTGTGACTGGCCTTGCTGGTGGAGAACTTGATGGGCTTGTCTTCATTGCTGTTGGGCTCCGGACCGGCTGACTTCAGAGACCGTAGAAAAATGGGCTGTACACTGTTCAGACAAAAGGGATATGTGGTTGTTAATTGGGTTTAATGTCTATTAACAGGATTTTCAGTCATTTACATGTATTCGTTGAAGATTTTTGCATCTAAATCAGGACCAGGAGAAGTACGTTTTGAAATGAAATATTTAAATGACACTGATAATCTTAAGAAATCTGGAAAAAGTAAAACTGAAGAAGCAGAGATAATAAATATATATATATATTTTAAAAATACTTTTCTTTGTCACCGTTCCCTTTCATCATCAGGAGGCGCATACTTACACAAGTAACATTACATTGCTGTGAATGAAATTTTGAACAACTAGATGAAGGGAAGAACTAAATCATTCATGTTAGAAATACAGCAACATCGGTCCTAAAAATAAGTAAATGGGTTTGGTTTCCATAATTCAGCAGCCTGAATAAACTATAATTCTAGTTATTTTTACAGATATTGTTACACAAAAGATAAATACGTAATTTAAAACCGTAAATCGGAATCATAATTATGCATAAAAAAGAAAACTTTATTGCTTAATGATTGATTTTGATTGCTAGCACACATTACATTTTTATCTTGTTTGTATCTCATCTATCTGATTTTCTTTGGTGTAAAGCTAGCTATGTGTCTGTCGCTGCTGCCTCTTGGCCAGATCGTCGTCGTAAATGGGAATGAGTTCTCAATCGACTCATCTGGTTAAATGAATGAAGTCAAACAACAGATTTACACTCACCTCGCGATCACGGAAGGACCGTGACCCAAACCCTTTCCTCTGCTGAGAATCACTCGCTTGAGGCCGCAGAAAACTCGTGTTGTTGTGAACATCTTGAACAAATGTTCATGTTATTCCTCGCAACTATACCAGAGTATAAAATCAAGACTAGCAGGTTATCTACCAGGGTACTTTCAGGTCGTGTCCAAAGTGAGTCATATAACATTGTGCAACTTTGAATTCCTTCCCCGGAAGAAACTTGATGGTTACTTGAGCCGTTCCGACTATTACAAATAACAGAATAAACTGATGTTTAATTCAGTTTCTTATTTTTATTATTACTTATGAATAGAATCATCATTGATGAAACATTTAGTCCATTTCTTGGTGACAGTTTGACAGGAAAAAAAATCTGAAAACTTCATTTTCTTGTCCTCCTTGGCCCGAAAAATCATAACCACAATTTTAGCTGCATTATACACAGTGTTGTGTGGAGGGTAAACGTTGTTGCTTTTAAGCTTAATATATTACCTTTACTTATGACCAATAAGCTGTGATAAACTATATAAATGTAGAATATCAACCTGCTTGGTCTTTGGATGTTTAATCAGAAGATTCTAGGATTCTTTGCTTTTACAGGGATCAACACACTTTGTCTCAATTCAGACAGAATCAGGTTTATAAAAGATAAGAAATTTATTTTCTAAACAAATGACCCCAAGGTACTGAGGTTCGTAGAAAAGACAGCAGTATGACCAGGTCGATCCAGAGTCGTCTCCCGGATCACAACAGATAGATGAAATCGTTTGGGTCTAGAACAGCTGTTTCTGAATAGCTGAAGGAACCGTTTTGCTGTGTCAGCTGTAAAGTGTAGCACGTTTCTTTGACAGCTTGTCAAAAATGCTCTGGGTTAAAGAGGGTTCGCTCCGGATGGCCTGTCCGCAGCTTTCTCCAGAACTAACTCACCGTCAAGTGAGCTCTGTTTTAATATTCTCATATTATGAATTCTTGGCCAACCGGGACGTGCCATGTTAAAGGGTGTTAACAAGCAAACCTCAGAACTTCACGCCTTCTTTCAGATACAGGATGGTTTGATTTGTGGCTAAGAAAATATCTGTCATGACGTTTAACTTAAATTTAATTTATCTCTAATGAATGTTGTGTCTGAGTGTAGATAATGATTCATTTGTCATATCAAACATTATTGATCATATATATAAATCTTTCAATGTAACAATAACATTCATTTCAAACTTCAGTAATTCAAGCACAGATCAATCAAGACATTATCATCATTATTCATATAACATTTGTTCCTTCATTTCACGATTGATTAACTCATATGAGCTGAAAATAGTCACTTTATTCAGAGAGTGAGCAACTTTGGTGTATTCTTACTGTGTCTAGTTTCTAATTCCACTTTTGGTTCTTTTTAAAACACAGGAAAGGTTTCTCTTTACCTTGCTAACGTTTCGTTTGCCGACTGCAAAACCTCCTCAGAGCTGACGGATGTTTTGCAGTCGGCAAACGAAACGTTAGCAAGGTAAAGAGAAACCTTTCCTGTGTTTTGAAAATAACCAAAAGTGGAATTAGAGAGTGAGCAATCCTGCGGTGTTATCAAAAGAAGGCTTTGTTTGGGAACACAGCCTGACATCTTGTTCCTTCTGAAATTTCAACAAGGCTGAGTATCCTTCTGGGCTTGTTGGAAGCTAGGATGTAAAATCCACTTTAGAGAATGGAATTTATGTTTGCAGATGACCAGTGGCATGTAGGTGAAAATTGATCATTGCTGGATGTTACAGTTGTGTTCTACTCCATAGTCAGGGCAAATGTCTAGTAGCTGCTGTAGACCAGCAGTGCTCAGACGTTGAACCACTAAGTCATCCGCATACATCAGATGATTTATGACAACACCACTAGCTGCACAGCCAGTCCCGCAGGCCTTTAACCTCACTGATAAGTCATCCATATACAGGTTGAAGAGAAGAGGAGATAGAATGCCTCCTTACTGACCTTAAATGGCTCTGAGATACTGTTACCTCATTTTATCTGTAATATTTCTTGACCATACCAATAAACCAGGATGAGTTCAATGTATCCTGGAACACCTCTTTGCAACAGCTTTATGAATATCAAATGCCTTGGATGCATCTATGAAGCACATATAGATGACAATCAAAATCAAAACATAATTAAATGAAAAAAAGAAATAAAATATAAAAGCACAACAGGTAAGCTAGAAATGTCAATAGTAATACCACGTTTTCGTGCGCTGGTTTTTGCACTCAGCGTTGACTTCAGTTGGGTTTGAGGAGGAACCCAACCAATATGGCGGCGACGCTGTCACGCTCTCCAGGGCTTGCCGTACTCCAGCGCCCAGTGGCGCGTCTACGTTTTCATGTCCACCAAACACGTTTCAAAAACTGACCAATCACATTCTACGTAAGCATCACCATTTCCGGGTTTACTTCTCACGCTGGTCAATGCACGTTTTCCTCTCGGTTCAAGTAAGTCTTTGACTTGAAAACGTCTTTGCTACTTGGTGGTAGATGTACTTAATATTGGAGTAACCGATGGTAAAAGTGGAAACAGTTCAATTCACGTGGGTGGATTTTACTCTCGACACTGTGTCATTTTTTTTACGGTAACACGTTTTCTTTCGTGCTCTTCTCATGGCGAAGGAAAAGGACAAGATGGTTAAATCAAAGTCAAAATCCTCAGAAAAGAAGAAATTAAACTCACATGACATTAAAGTTCTTTCAGAAGATCTAATGGAGACAAAAGTAACAAAGAAGAGGAAATGTGTTGAAGTTGAGGTGAGTAGACGTTTTATAAAAAGTCATCTAAGGCACTTATTTCTACAAATAACGTTGCTACCTGAAATTGTTATTTTAGAAACACACATTTTATTTTGTTCAGGAGCTTCCTGCACAGAATAACTCTGTAACAAGCTCACCGAGTGAACAGAAACCCAAAAAAGGCCAAAAGAAAAAGATGACAGAGGAAACACCCACAAGTCCAGCTGAGGTGAGTTGCTGCTTGTTTATTAGTAGTCATCAAGAGTGTTATGTACACATTAAGGTCCATCTGCAATCCAGTCAAATGTAATTTTCTTCTCATCTTTGATGCAACGTGTCTGATTAGTCTTAATGTAGTCCATTTGCTTCATGGCAGCTGTTGGAGCTTAGACTGGTTTAGCGTTTTACATTTTGTGTGGAAGCATGTTTGTGTAGCTGGTACATATATGGATTTTTCTGAAACTCACCCATGCACCCTGGAGCATTTGCTGTTTTTCTGGAGGAATAGCTTCAGTTTTTTCTGAAATGTTCCCCCGAGGAAGCCATAGATGAGCGGGTTCAGGCAGCTGTTGGAGAAAGCAGCAAGCCTGATGGTGTGTCCTGTCAGGGGGTAATCCTGCCACAGTGTCCCGCTGTCTGAGTCTCCCCTCAGGAGGTGGACACTTATGAAGATGTTTTCTGGGAGCCAGCAGAGGAAGAAGACCAAAACGGCTGCTGAGATCATTCGCAGGGCTTTCTGCCTTCGAGGCTTTAGCTGTGGGTTGTCTTGTTCCTTTTGTCTCAGCACCTGTGCTATTTTCCAGTAGCATACTCCCAGGATGCAGAAGGGCACCAGGAACCCCATCATCACCTCCAGCCACAGAATTTGGGTCACATTGGCAAAGCAAAAGTGCAATTCCCCTGCATGCTGGACTTGGGTTACAGCAAAAGGTAGTAGGGTGAGCAGAGATGACAAGACCCAAATGAGGCAGCAGCTGAGGCGGGCGATTGACATGCTGCGGCCGATTATGTTGGTCAGTGCGACGAAGCGGTCGAAGCTCATCCAGGTCAGGAAGAAGACGCTGCTGTACATGTTGACCTGCTGGAACAGGTTCATGAAGGTGCAGAGGCCGGCGTTGTTGTAGTATCCCTGTTTTAGGTTAAACACCTCAATCAGAGAGTCAGCCACCAGACTCAGGTCGGCCACAGCCAGGTTCACAAAGTATAGGTCTGGTCCCGTCAGGCGACCTTTGTGGTCCAGGTTGACCACCAGGATCAGGATGTTCCCAACGATGCCAATGGGGAACAGGATGAAAGTGTATAACCCGGAGAGGAAGAGGCTGATGATGTAATGCTGAGGATTCTGGGAGGAGGTCCAGTGAATATCAGTGGTGACCTGTTGTGTGCAGTTGGCTTGTAAAGTGAGGTTTCTGTCCATTAAGACCCTGTACTCCACATACATGGTTGTGTCCATAGTAAAGTCTCCGATTCAGCTTTTATATGTGGTTGCTGTGGTGTCAAAATTGTTAGTTTCCATCAGTCTTATGTCCTTGTAGAGTTGGCGGCCCATTTTAGTTCCTCTTGACAGATTAAAGAATAGATTTGGCTATGGAACAAAATCGAAACAAATCTGCAGCTTATTATCAACATTGTAAAACATAGACGTCACATAAAAACACGTCTGAACTAAGAGTGAATAAACGAAAGCATGTCTGCTGCTTAAAATAGTGTAAACTCTCAAAGTGAGATTTTTAAAATGTTTGTCTTCATGAAGTTTAATTCTTACCCTGAGCCTTAAAAATTGTGATTGTTCCACAGTTAAAGGCACAAAAAATCTCTAGTCTGAGTCTAGCTCGTAATCCCGTAAGCTTCAGTTGTGATTTCTTTGTTGCGCTCAAAGACGTAACACGCCAAAATGCCGTTCTTTTGACGGCTACACGAGCTATTCCTTAGAAGTTAAAGCAAAAAGTTGATTTGTCAGTTCTCCTACCTTTACGTCTTTGACGGGCTTGACAGTCGTGTGTGTCCCGCTGTGGGGACTACTAAGGCTGATGTTCAGGACAATCCCAGGAAGTGTTGTGCCATACCACAACACGGCATGCAGGTGAGTTAACGAATCATTTTGACCCAACTCAAAATTAAAACCTGTCTGCAGTTCAGACTCAGCTGAGGGTAAAAATAAACTACAGCTTTGTATTTAGGCAGGATTGTGTTTGGGGATTATTGTATGTATTTGGGATATTTGAGAATTTGCTTTTTTTCGTGCACCTAAGTGACACTATGTGATGCGTGTAAACAAACAGGGGTGTGTGATGTCAAAATATGTAAATAGGGGTGTTGGATTTCTTTTTAAGAGGGACTAATTGCATATTTACACCAAACAAGTTGAAGGGCAGGGATGGATAATTTTACGTCGTTCACTTTTTGTTTTCAAGTACTTTTTAAAACCTTTAAAGTAGGTACCAAACTAATATTGTAACTTGTCTATTTAATTTATTGTTTGATATTTAATGATAGATTTCTGGTATTTGCTACTAACTACATGTGATGTAGTCACCAAAGGCATCAGCATCTCATACATCAGACCTGCTGTGGGATTTTCTTCCAAAAACGAACTGGTTTTTGCCGTTTCAGTTGCTACAATAGCAACGTGTCAGGTATTCCAGGAAACCTGGAAAAATAGCTGGAAAGTTTTCTTGAGTAGTTTTCTGGCAGATTTGAAACCATAACATTAAGGCTGTTGGCCTAAACTCAAACTGACTAAATGGTTCCTATGTGGCAGAGGGTTGCAGAAGGATTTGTTTTTTCCAGTCATTTTGGCTGAATGAGCTTTTGTGGAGTTAGTTTTGAAGAACTGAAAGTGGAAAATCTTCATGCAGCTGCCTTAAACCTGGTGTATAAAAATAAAGGTTTGTACCAACATGGTACGGCTGCATAGACTTGCCAGTGAGTGCACATCTAAAAGCGTATCTATCAACAGAAAAGGAATGTAAGTTACCTGCCACCTTTCATACAGTTTTAAAGGGGCCATGTTATGGAAAATCCACTTTTTGAAGCTTTTTAGCATATTGTTGTTTCGTCGTGAAAAATACCCCCAAACACGTTTTTCAGAGACACAGAAACATGCAGGACAGGTAACAGGGTGTACCACACTGAACATCGACCACAGATAGCTAAGGACAGAGTAGTCTCAGGAGATTATAGAGACTAGTAGTGATCAGCATGTTAAAGGAAAAAGCTAGAAGAGCATCTCCAGTCAGGTTGATTGGACCCTTTTTCTTTTGCTGGTAGGCAATAATAAGGACTACTTTGCTCATTTATCAAATTTAGGATATTTATTGTTCTTATACATTTTGTGTAGCAAAAGTTTTCAATACAGCTGATGTCAATCCACACATTTCAATAGCCACGTTGACATGGACACGATTAATTGGATTGAACTCCCAATCAGAAAAGTAAATTCTGCATGTAAACATGTCAATCGGAACATTCTGATCCGATTCGGCAGATTGGAATGAAATGTCGATCCGATTGAGAGAGATGGTTTTGTCCAATCATCATTCTATTGATGTGCATGTACACAGCCATTCGGATTGTTGGAGTAAAATAATGCCCACTGTGCATGTGTGCAACAGCCAGCGAGCCTCCCCGCTGTCATTTAGACAGCCTGACTTAAATAAATGACGGCCTAATTAACTTTTACATTTTTTACATTTGATGGCAGGCCGTCCTCTTTTCTGTAATGTCTAATCCAGAACTTCCATTTTGTGGAAGTAAAATAAAAATCAGATTACTGCACAAATCATTCGACAAACCTGTTCAAGTCTGGACTGGATGTACGGGATTCAAGAGGTTTTTTTTTTCCTGTTTAGGATTCTATATCCTGGAGAGAGTCCGTGATCTCGATATGTGGTGTGATGATGTTTCTGTTGGGCTGTGCACGGCCAGGGTTTCGACACAAGTCCCTCAGCTGCCTCATGACTCCGTAGAGACTCTCCCGACATGGCCTGTGCATGAACAGCACCAGCACCAGGCTGACGCTGCTCCCCAAGAACAGCACACACTCTGCCACACTCAGAAACGCTCTCTCCTTAGGGCTCAGCCCCCCACTGCTGATGAGTTGAAATCCTCTCACCAGAGCTGTGGTGTAGAAGAGCAGGCAGAGGAACGTAACCATGCTGACTGTCAAGAACATGGGACCCTCCTCGGAACCTGATAGGAAACGCCCTCTAGATTTCCTCTTTAGGACACAGCTACTTATTAAAAGTCCAAGTTGCAGACTGTAGGGGAGCAGAAGAGCCAAACACAGTTTTGCAACTGCATATGAAACACCAGCGTGGGCTGGGTCCATCACACAATCGTTCACTTCTTGCAGACCACGAAGTGCAGCCAGCAGCAGACAGATCAGAGTAGATGTCAGAAAAACCAAGGCTGTGCAGACTTTAGGATTCCTCAGCAGGGCGTGAGAAGGTGGGTCAAAGGTGAGGACGTATGCCAAGAGCGCCAAGACCAACAAGCTGCACAGAGAGGTAGAGTTGATGGTGAAGGAGAGAGCAGCACAGCCCAGAGCCGTGCTCTTCATGAAGTCTGGTCTGTACACCACAATGTGGAGAGAAAGCAGCAGGAGCAGCATCTGGAAGCCACAAAAAACCCAGAGGAGAGAATCGAGCCACGCCACTCGTCTGTGGGCCCTGTAGGTCTGAATGAAGCTGAAGAGCAGAAAGCAGCCTGCCAGGAATCCCACAGCGGCAAAGAAGCTGTAGACATAGTTTGCTCTGGAGGTTATGTCATTGGCTGTGATTATGTCCAGGATAGAGGACGGGGAACCTTCAGGGGTAGAAGTGAAAACGACGAAGGTGTAATTGTGGAGATCTGTGGTGTTGCTCTGAGTCAAGTTTGTGATTTCATCAGACTGGAAGGGATAAAAACAAAAACCATGGTTTTAATGTCATGACTCATCGCTGTTGATACTTCTCCACCTGATCATCGCTAATTCTGTTAGCAACAAGTTGGTTTTCAACAGGATCACACTCTTTCAACATACAGTGGTGTGAAAAACTATTTGCCCCTTCCTGATTTCTTATTCTTTTGCATGTTTGTCACACAAAATGTTTCTGATCATCAAACACGTTTAACCATTAGTCAAATATAACACAAGTAAACACAAAAAGCTGTTTTGAAATGATGGTTTTTATTATTTAGGGAGGGAACAAAATCCAAACCTACATTGCCCTGTGTGAAAAAGTAATTGCCCCCTGAACCTAATAACTGGTTGGGCCTCCCTTAGCAGCAATAACTGCAATCAAGCATTTGTGATAACTTGCTACGAGTCTTTTGCAGCGCTCTGGAGGAATTTTGGCCCACTCAATTGTTGTAATTCAGCTTTATTTGAGGGTTTTCTAGAATGAACCGCCTTTTTAAGGTCATGCCATAGCATCTCAGTAGGATTTAGGTCAGGACTTTGACTAGGCCACTCCAAAGTGTTCATTTTGTTGTTCTTCAGCCATTCAGAGGTGGATTTGCTGGTGTGTTTTGGGTCATTGTCCTGCTGCAGCACCCAAGATGGCTTCAGCTTTAGTTGACGAACAGATGGCCGGGCATTCTCTATCGCGTCATACCCGTGCCACAACCCGTGCACGCGCATTGGGTCCACAGCGCGCGTGTGAACGGGACTCGCGCGCGTGTGAACGGGACTCGCGAGCGAAAATATACATGGCAAGAGGTCATTTGTGCACTGAGAGGGAGCAAACTGTGTCTGTGAGCGCACAAGGATGTGCACAAGTGACAAACCTGCGTGCGCGCGTTGTCAACGAGCACACGGCAGAGGAAAACGTGCGCGCGCGGCAGCCTCTGTGCGCGCTCGGCAGCCTCTCTGCGCGCTCGGTTTCTGACTCCTTCTCGCTCGGCTGTAAGGGCTTTTGGCACTCTGGAGGCGTGGCCTTTGGCAGATCTTCTCTGTCCTCTGATTGGTTAGTTCACCCCGCACTTTACCCTCTATCTATATAAAAAAGTCTGATAATCAGTAGTTGCTGGCATAGCTCAGCTGGGAGAGCGGGTGACTCTCGCCCCGGAGGATCCAGGTTCGAGTCCGGGCAAGGATAATGCAGAAGATGTCATGTTAATTTTTCTTAATTTCAGGTATTTTACAGTTGTGACCGTTCAACTGTCATTAAACGTCCGAATGTTTGCTGGGCAGTGTTTTAAAAAGTGCACATAAGCTAGATGGTTTTAACCATATAAAATTACATTTTTTGTGATACTGGAAAAATACATACTGAAATAAAACTACTGATTGAAAACTTTATGACTGTGGTTGTACAATATATGACTCACGTACACTGCAAACTCCCTTAGAGTGGGGCTGAGAGAGAGAGAGAGAGAGAGAGAGAGAGAGAGAGAGAGAGAGAGAGAGAGAGAGAGAGAGAGAGAGAGAGAGAGAGAGAGAGAGAGAGAGAGAGAGAGAGAGAGAGAGAGAGAGAGAGAGAGGAGAGAGAGAGAGAGAGAGAGAGAGAGGAGAGAGAGAGAGAGAGAGAGAGAGAGAGAGGAGAGAGAGAGAGAGAGAGAGAGAGAGAGAGAGAGAGAGAGAGAGAGAGAGAGAGAGAGAGAGAGAGAGAGAGAGAGAGAGAGAGAGAGAGAGAGAGAGAGAGAGAGAGAGAGAGAGAGAGAGAGAGAGAGAGAGAGAGAGAGAGAGAGAGAGAGAGAGAGAGAGAGAGAGAGAGAGAGAGAGAGAGAGAGAGAGAGAGAGAGAGAGAGAGAGAGAGAGAGAGAGAGAGAGAGAGAGAGAGAGAGAGAGAGAGAGAGAGAGAGAGAGAGAGAGAGAGAGAGAGAGAGAGAGAGAGAGAGAGAGAGAGAGAGTTCTTGCCTCATTAATGAATTGTTTATTTTTTCAGTATTTAATTGACAAATTATCCTTTCAAATAATTAATTGATGAGTTACATAATTTTCCATTTCATAAAGAAACTGCATATCAAGCTTTCATTCAGATGACCTTCAACAGTGCCGCACCCTGCTGAGGGACATCCGAGTAAAACCTTGAGATGGCCATTTTATGTTCACTAACTTGCTTTAGTAAATCCTTACTTTTGTTAAATAAATCAGTTGTTGAACCCCCCACTCCTCTGTTTGGTCTCCTTTCTTATTACAGCCCGCCACTTCCAGTCTGGGTTGTAACAATCTGCAGACAGATTTCTGAGTATCTCCTCCTTTGGTATACAGATCCTCACTGAGCCATGTACTGTGAACAAATAGTTTCTCCATGATATTATCCAGCAAGGTCCCGTTTTTGTCAAAACAAGGGTGAGGTAATGAAAAAATAGAAATATTTCATTAAATTAACATTTAAATTATTTATATGCATCATTAAAATAAAAAAAACATGTTTTGAAATATATAAAGTGCACCAAACTTGACTCAGTCCATTCAACAATTCTAAATGGACAATTATGTAACTCATCAATTAATTATTTGAAAGGATAATTTGTCAATTAAATACTGAAAAAAAATAAACAATTCATTAATGAGGCAAGAACTTTCTCTCTCTCTCTCTCTCTCTCTCTCTCTCTCTCTCTCTCTCTCTCTCTCTCTCTCGAAGCCCCACTCTAAGGGAGTTTGCAGTGTATTAGTGAGTCATATATTGTACAACCACAGTCATAAAGTTTTCAATCAGTAGTTTTATTTCAGTATGTATTTTTCCAGTATCACAAAAAATGTAATTTTATATGGTTAAAACCATCTAGCTTATGTGCACTTTTTAAAACACTGCCCAGCAAACATTCGGACGTTTAATGACAGTTGAACGGTCACAACTGTAAAATACCTGAAATTAAGAAAAATTAACATGACATCTACTACATTTTCCTTGGCCGGACTCAAACCTGGATCCTCCGGGGTGAGAGTCACCCGCTCTCCCAGCTGAGCTATGCCAGCAACTACTGAATGTCAGACTTTTTTTTATAGATAGAGGGTAAAGTGCGGGGTAAACTAACCAATCAGAGGACAGAGAAGATCTGCCACAGGCCACGCCTCCAGAGTGCCAGAAGCCCTTACAGCCGAGCGAGCAGGAGTCAGAAAACGAGCGCGCAGAGAGGCTGCCGAGCGTGCACAGAGGCTGCCGCGCGCGCATGTTTTCCTCTGCCGTGTGCTCGTTGACAACGCGCGCACGCAGGTTTGTCACTTGTGCACATCCTTGTGCGCTCACAGACACAGTTTGCTCCCTCTCAGTGCACAAATGACCTCTCGCCATGTATATTTTCGCTCGCGAGTCCCGTTCACACGCGCGCTGTGGACCCAATGCGCGTGCACGGGTTGTGGCACGCTTTAAACGCCATAATTCTCCTTCAGGATGTTTTGGTAGACAGTAGAATTCATGGTTCCATTTATCACAGCAAGCCTTCCAGTTCCTGAAGCAGCAAAACAACCCCAGACCATCACACTACCACCACCATATTTTACTGTTGGTATGATGTTCTTTGTCTGAAATGCTGTTACTTCTACACCAGTCCACAAGGTCTTTTCCCAAAAGTCTTGGCAATCATTGAGATGTTTCTTAGCAAAATTGAGACAAGCCCTAATGTTCAGTTGTTTGCGTATTGGAAATCTGCCATGCAGGCCATTTTTGCCCAGTCTCTTTCTTACGGTGGAGTCGTGAACACTGACCTTAATTGAGGCAAGTGAGGCCTGCAGTTCTTTAGAAGTTGTCCTGGGGTCTTTTGTGACCTCTCAGATGAGTTGTCTCTGCGTTCTTGGGGTAATTTTGGTCGGCCGCCCACTCCTGGGAAGGTTCACCACTGTTCCATGTTGTTGCCATTTGTAGATAATGGCTCTTGCTGTGGTTCGCTGGAGTCCCAAAGCTTTAGAAATGGCTTTATAACCTTTACCAGACTGATAGATCTCAATTACTTTTGTTCTCATTGGTTCTTGAATTTCTCTGGATCTTGGCATGATGTCTAGCTTTTGAGGTGCTTTTGGTCTACTTCTCTGTGTCAGGCAGCTCATATTTAAGTGATTTCTTGATTGAAACAGGTGTGGCAGTAATCAGGCTTACAGAAATTTAACTCAGGTGTGAAACACCACAGTTGGGTTGTTTGCTAACAAGGGGGGCAATTACTTTTTCACACAGGGCAATGCAGGTTTGGATTTTGTTCTCTCCCTAAATAATAAAAACCATCATTTCAAAAGTGCATTTTGTGTTTACTTGTGTTATCTTTGACTAATGGTTAAACGTGTTTGATGATCAGAAACATTTTGTGTGACAAACATGCAAAAGAATAAGAAACCAGGAAGGGCCAAATAGTTTTTCACACCACTGTAGCTACTTCCTACATGAAGTCACAGCGGTGTTAAAATCTTACATTACAGATCCCTAAAAATGTTCTCTATACGGTGCTTGTTAGCTGGTTCTTATCCAACCTTCTTACCAGAGAGGCTTCCTCTGAGAAACTTTCTTCTGAGTAATGTGTGTCCACTTACCATTTTGCTTTCTTCTTCCTTTGGCCTGGTTTTCTGCCACCGGCTAGAAGGCTCAGATGTACGCGAGACTGTGAAAGTGATGCTCGTCGTGTGGACCTGACTCCTCACAGTCGACTCTTTTCATATTTCTGTGGGCTGTACCCCGGCAGCAAGCTCTCAGTGACTATGGCCATGTGATCAGAATCTCTCCCTCCTCCCCTGTTTTCATCACTGACTCTGCATACTGTTTTACTTGTTTAACTTCCCTAGAGTCGTGGAGAGCCGGAACTGTGTTTAACTTGCGCCGTGGTTACAGTCTGTGGGCAGGAAAGTGGCTTCAGCTTTTAATGAGCAAAGCATCCTTTTTAGTCTAATCAACAAGCAGATAGCCAAAACAAAGTCATTCGCTTTATTTATTTTTGTCAGCAGTGAGGTGTGTGATCAACAACTTCTCATCAGCAGAAGGGTATTTATAGCAAAGAAAAGTGAGTGCTAAATATGCTGAGGTAACGGTAGAAGAACACCACGCAGGAAATGGCCCCCCGGTTTGCAAATCAACAGGAAGTGATTCTTACCTAAAAATGTTATAACTTTTGCTTCTTTTGGCATCCAGTTTTCTGTCTCTCTCAAGGTTCAGTCGATTTAAATCATCAACTTTACTTTTTTCCTTGTTTATTTTCACACCATCAACCTCTGTGCCCCAGACAAGCTGGTTCCCAAAGTCAGAGACTCTCTTGGTCAGCTTGCTCCTCACACCAAACTATCAGTCTGCAATCTTGATTTGACCTTTGATCCAGCTCTCACACTAGATTCTCATGTCAGTTCTCTTGTTTGCACTTCCTTCGATCATCTCATGAATATTGGTGAGTCCCATTCTGTCCCGCTCAGAACTTGTTATCCACACCTTCATCTCCTCACTCTTAGAATGCTGCAACTCTCTTGTCACGTGTCTGAGCAGAACCTCCCTGAACCGTCTTCAGGTGGTTCAGATTGCCTGTGCTCGACTTCTGACCAAATCTTCAAAGTACACACACATCACCCTGCTTCTCCTCCAGCTTCACTGACTGCCAGTAAACTTCAGGGATCGTTTTAAGAGGCTGATTCTGGTCTTTAGGACCTTACATGGACAAGTACCATCATACTCTTGTAGGGTTAAATATAGATGCTTTTAAGCTTAACATATTACCTTTACTTATGACCAATAAGCTGTGATATTCTATATAAATGTAGAATATCAACCTGCTTGGTCTTTGGATGTTTAATCAGAAGATTCTAGGATTCTTTTTATTTTTCAGGGGATTTCAGGGATTCGTAGTAATTCAGACAAAGCCAGGTTTATAAAAATCTTGAAATTTATTTTCTAAACAATTAAAAACATGACAAGTTAACTAAGTCTACCCGTGATGGATGAATCTAAGTGGATGGGATGTGATGTATGGTGACTGAATGGTGTGTGCTTATCAGAACCTTGTATCTAGAAGAACTGAGTTCTTAGAGTGAAAAAGAATTGGGTTTGCATTAAACTATGAAGTTTATTCTTATCAAAACCACATCAGATGCAATTCATGCTGTGTCTACCCCACCCTTTTTGGAGACCCTCTTCGCATATCCGGAGGTCAGGAAGGTCGGACGACCTCTGGGCACCGAGGTTCAGTAGATTAACCGCAGCACCGACGCTCCAGTACAGAGATGTTTCCAGGCACAACAGGTTGGAACTAGTTTGCGGCTAGAAGGACACTTAGGGAGTCTGAACTGTATCAGCTTTGTTCTGCAGGAACCGTTTTGCTGTGTCAGCTTGAAGTTTGGTTTATGCTTGACGCATTCACTTTCCGCGCGGTGATGCGGCTCGCGGCTGGAACGCGCTTCACAACTCGCAGCGTTTATGGTTTGTGCGGCTCGTCTCTGCGGTGAGCCAATATTCTCCCAAACTGAACGGGGCAGCATGGAGCTCTACAGCATGCATCCAACACTACACCATAGTAGAAGTAGAAATCACTGTTTACAACATGGTATTTAGCATTTTTAACAGCGTTCTCGTCTTTTCCGACAGTGCGAGCTATTTCTCTCCAAGAATTATTAACAACATGTTGATCACGGTGATCTCTGAGAGCTGAATCATACAAATGTCTGTATTTACGAACCTCTGCCGTGCCGGTCCGCCATGTTTTTCCGCGTCCGTCCGTCCGCGTGGTTAGAAATTTTCCGAGGTGCGCGTTGCGGAAATCTTGGGCCGTGCGGAGACGCGGTGGAGGGGCGTGGTTGTTAAAATGACGCAAAATGACGCAACTTTTCCGCGCGGAGCCGTGCGGACCTCGCGGACGCGTCAAGCATAAACCAACCTGTAGGCAGCTTTTAGCTTGTCGAAAGCTTGTCAAGAGATGCGGTGTGAGCAGAGTTTCCCTCCGATGGCCAGTCAGGGTTAGCTCAACTAAGAGAACGCTGAATCTCACAGAAAGCTGGAATGCTGAAGCACTCCCCAGTGATTCTGTTTTAATATTCTCATATTATGATTTACTTGGCCAATCGGGACGTGCCATGTTAAGGGGTGTTAACAAACAAACCCACAGGACATCATGCCTTCTTTCAGATACAGGATGCTCTGATTTGTGGCTAAGAAAATATTTATGTGCGGCGACGTTACTTTCACTTGTATGTTATGAACTTTGTGTATGAGCATAGATAATGATTCACTTGTTAAATCAAACATTACTGGTCATACCATAATAATATTCATTTCAACCACAGTAATTTAAGCACAGATTAATCAAAACATTTCATTTAACCATATTGTTCATTTTATTTCATGATTAATTAACTCATATGAGCTGAAAACGCTCACTTTATTCAGAGGCATGAGGAATCCTGTAGAAGCGATAAGGGAATCTTAGGCCTTGAAACAGGAACTGTTTGTTGACAATATGTTATCATGTGTTCAGAGCAGCAGAACCTTCTGGGCTTGTTGGAAGCTAGGATGTAAAATCCACCTTAGAGAATGGAAATTATGTCTGTAGATGACCTGTAGGTCGATCTGTAGGTGAAAACTGACCATTTCTGGACGTTACACTCTAATGATCTTCTCAGTCCTTACACACCCAGCAGGTCCCTGAGGTCCAATGACCAAAGCCTACTGGTTGTGCAGCGCACCAGGCTAAAGACCAAAGGTGACAGATCATCTGCTGCTGTGGCTCCCAGACTCTGGAACTCTCTCCCCCTGAGCCTGAGATCAGTCGTTGTTCATCAGGTTGTTAATGGCAACAAGAATGGGAAAATCATTCAGAGTAAAGTCATGAAAAATCTTGCACAGCTTAAGAAGTCTTGTTATGAAATGAGCTTAGATTTCATTCTGAGGTAGAATTATCTAAAGATGCATATTGTTTGTTTTGAGTACTGTATATTTCTGACGTGTTCTGTCTCATTTTTGCTCCTTCGTTAGGAAATGTTACTGGATTAAAAAACAAAATTGAAAAAAAAAAGGATTATTTAAGAACAAAATGAATGCAACCTCAGACGATGTTGTGTTAATAATGAAAGGTTGACTTTTCTGTCTTTGATGTAACAGTACCCAGATCCATCCAGCTGTCCTGATCCATCCAGCTGTCCTAAACTGACATGTGAGCCAGAGGGAGCACAGGACCTGAGCCCTGAAGAGAGGCGGGTTCTGGAGAGGAAGATGAAAAAGATTCGGAAAAAAGAGGAGAAGAAGAGGCTTAAAAAGGAGGGGCAAACTACTCTAAAAACACAAGATGTTGGACCCAGTGCTTCCAAACAGGCCCAGGATTACCTCACATGGTAAGAACTGCTGTTCAATGTACAACATGTAGATATAACAGCTATAGCAGCTTTTCTGTTTCACACATTTACATCATTAACAACCCTCTGATGTTGTTATGGCAGCTGGGCTGAAAACCGTTCAGCGTGGAAGTTCCAGAAGATCAGACAGACATGGCTGCTGCAGCACATGTTTGACTCGGAGAAGGTAGGATGAACTGATTCAGTAAAGATGGGCTCGACCTACTGGAAATACAGAGGAATGAAAATGTCAAGGAAAGTTGTGCTTTTCTCTCAGGTTTCAGATGAGAAGTTCCCAGTGCTTCTACAGTATCTGGAGGGTCTTTGTGGAGGATCCAAGGACACTACTGTGCAGAAGGCTTTATCTCTAGTGGAGGAATCCGGAAAAGCCCCAGATGATGCAGTTGTCCAGCAGAGGGCGCACAGAGCCAGAGAAGTTATTCAGCTGCTTTCCTGAACCCAAAGGAAATCAGAGACCACATCTCTGACTCTGCCATGTGTTCCCATGAAGAATGTTTGAAAGACACTTTTTATGTTTTAATTACCTTTTTATTTTCCCCATTTGTCCTTTCATGTGAATTCAGTCAATAAAATATAAAAACAGGACAAGGTATTTTTCGGTCAGAGTTCCACTACTTTTTCCATCTCGTATTTAATTTTTCAAGAATGAGTATTGGGGGGGGGGGGGGGGGGGGGGGGGGGGTTAAACTCCAGGGAGTGAAACAGAGCTGCTGAGTTAAAACCAGGAATGTTTACTTGTAACACGTAACATGTCAAGACCCATCAGGGAAACCACACTGACACAGATAACATTTCCTACCAGCTTTTATTGTGTAAAACCTGTAATGACACTTGAAATTAAAGCAACACAAACTGGAGTTACAATATATTAATTTAATGCTTGTCATCATTTTAAACTAGCTTTAACCTACTTTTTGGTAATGTTCACACTTCCTGTAAATCAGCTTCAGACTGAAGAGGTTCAGCTTTAAATGAATGTAATGAGGGTCACCTCAGAAGAAAACTGATCCTGTCTGCTCACTTCTCATTTTGTACATCCCTGTTTCCTGTTGAGACAACGGCTGAAACGAAGACGAGACTTTCTTCACAGCAGAGATTTTAATAGAGCAGCCACAATCTGGGTGTTTTACAGCTGTGTCGACTGTTTTGTCTTTCGGTGTCGTCGTTCTGATTGCATTCGGTTTAGACAACATGCAGATGGTCCAGTCCTCCTTTAATTCTCACATTATGTACGACTAGAGTAAAAATAGTGAAGTGTGTGAGGATCCAAAGAGATTAAATTGGAAGAATGAAATACAACTTCTTATTGGTAAAGGAAATAAAACTTACACCTCTTCTGTATGTTGGGAAATTTGCAGTCAAAAAGTGTTATATTTAACATCTTGTGATCACTTTGACATTCATGGTACACTTAACACGTTTTGGAAAACCTCCAAATGTCAGTGGTTCATGCTGGACCCTGTTCAACAAATAAACACCCATTAGTCAGATGCTGTCACTTCATACTCAAACATGCAAGAGAAGCTTTCCTTTGCTTCATGCGTGGTTTGGGTGCAAGTTATAGATCACAAAAATAAAAAATAACTGAACTTTGGACAAGAAATTCAGAAGAAAAGTCTGAAGAGTCTTAAAAAACATCCTTAGTAGAGCGATAAAGATGACCCATGCTTTGGAAACATTTTGTCGTGCTGCATCCTTGAACCCCCACGTTTAATAGCTCCTCAGTAATGTTGAGTGGACGTTAAGATGATTCGTTAAAGGCACATCAGGGACAAGAGGCTGCATCTACCCAACATGAAGCAGCAAACTGATGCAGCAATGTTTTTCTCTCTAACCAAACTGAAGCTGCAGCCCATCAGTCACAATAATAATGTATTCCCGTTCCAGGGTGGATGGTTTTAAACAAACACCGTCTCTCACAGCAGATCAATGAGACCAGTGTCTCCTCTTAAGTGTTGATCCTTAGTTGTCACGCTCACTGGACCTTTTTCATCATCTGCCACACAGAAAACCATGGAAACTGTTTTAAATGAAAATTACAAATATTTTACGATAATGACTGGAGAAGACTTACCTGGCTGAGACGCAAAAGAAATGTTGTGTTGGGTGAGGAGAGCACGCAGCCTCTTGATCTCTTCTCTTTGTCTTTTATTGTTCTGAAAAACAAGAATGTAATGTTCAAATGCGTTTCGTAGGACTAAATAAATGATGCATAGTTTTTCCTATAGCTTTTTCAAATAGTTGCATGCTGTGAATAAACATACCTCTTCACATTTCTGTAAAGAGTTGTGCTTTTCTGAGACTACTTCAGCTGCGGGTGGACTGACGTTCACTCTGTGACTCTTTAAGACTCCAGAATCCTCAAAAATATCCCTCAGGAGGTTGTTGTACCCCTGTGACAAACATTGTAAATAATGTAGCATAAAACAATAACATTAAACTGGGAAACACAAGTGTCTAAAGTTGAAAACAGACAGGAACAATCTCTGAGTTAAGTAACACGACACTTTATAAAAGCTTTTTACCTGCTCTGTAATAAGACCATCATATCGAGCTTGCTCTGTTTCATCCCATTCCTTTTGTAGCTCGTTATTCAGTGTTGGGTACACTGCAAAGTTTATTGTACAAGTTAAATAAAATTACCAGTAACACCAGTGAGGCCTCAAGTCTAAATCCTACCTAAAAGAGAATGTGGATGGCATACGAGTGGTGTCTCAAAGGTTAGAGAGTAAACACAGGTACTGGGCTCTGAGACATGAGATAGCTTGGTGGTGTTGCTGCAGACCAGAATCACCTACAGAAGGATAATATTGTTTGTTGTTAGCCTCAAGGACAATCTGCTTCCTTCATTATTACTTTTAAGTTGCTTTGGACAAAGGCATCTGCTAAATACATAAACATAACATTTGTGTTTTTTCTTTGATCCAACTTCAAGTTTCTTAAACTTGATGTTCAAAAAACTAAATGGATGTGTTATAAATGTGACTTAAACACCTTTGTTTCTCTATTTCTGGTTCCACAGGTATCACCATCTCTCATCCACATGCCGGTAAAAGTGTTGTTTGTGACTTCCCATTCCTGCCAAATCCTATCAAGACACATACAAATACTCAAACTTTCTGTTGTTATAAATAAGCAGGCTGCAGTAAAATATTGTTTCTGAAGCCTCTTACCCCAGTATTCCACTGTAGGCATTCCACCTGAATGATTGCTCGTGTTGTGTAACATTGTGAAATGGACAGAATTCATATTTATACCTAAAAAAAAAAAACAAATATGTTAAAAAGGTGGAATGGGAAGTGACACTGCATATGGTACTTTCCCTGAAATAACCAGAAATTAAATGTTTTAATAAATAATTGTCGTTAATTTAATAAAACACAGTGTTTTGTTGAGCACTTACGCTGATTCTGTGAGACTGAAGCACTTTCCAGCAAGATGGTGAAGGTGAACTGGGCCTTAAAGAAGACATTACTGAGATTGACTGTGGTTGGCAGATAAGCAGAAAATTTCATTCCGCGTTTGTTTTTTTACTTGTTTTGAACTTTAGGTTATTTAAAACCAGTTATCATATGCAACCTAGGATTAGAAATATGTCTGATCCTTTTACCAGATACTGGTGATGGGGCGACTTTAGGCTGCAGCCTGCTCCCCTGAGCCATAAATGGGTTGTTCAACCTAAACAGAAAAACAGGGTGACGAGAAAGGCCAATAATGTTCACAATATCACTGAGGTGTGTTTGCTTCACCAACCCAAAGGTGTTTGGCTCCTCAACAATCTTCATTTTACCAGCGAATCCATGGCTGACTATAAAAGATAAGTAAAGGTTTAGCATCATGCATATGGTTAGCATAACTCGTGCCAATAACAAACAGCGCAAAAAAAGGTAGCGCATCCAGTTTGGTTTATCATTGGTACGGTAATATAGAGTAAAATACTGATACTTACTGTAGAGCGAGAAATAAACGACCCTAATTCCCAATAAGTTGAATATTTCATTAAATAAACTGTACATGGTTGAATAAGGAACCAGTGTGAAATGTATTGCTAAATTTCCGGTTTTGCGTCGACCCTGTCAGGTGGTGTGTCACGTGATGAAAAAAATCATGTGCACGCGCTGTGCTGCACAGTACTACAGCGTGCTCGCCGTTACAGAAAGCTACGTTTTTTTTAATTACTTTTTAATTCTTTAAACTACGGTATGTAAATGTTGAGATATGTGCTCTGATGTGTTAATGTATTACATGAGACTCTTATTTTGGAAAACACGGTTAGAGGAAATTACGTATACTGTCATGTGATATGTTGTGTGCCAATAAGAGTTGTTAATAATGAACTTTGAACTCTCCCATCCACCAATAACAGCAGAGCTTTGGTGACATGTTGCAGCTGCTGTAGACGACAAGCTCAAAACGACAGCTTATCTCGTTGTTTGAGAAAGTCAGTGCTACTGCGCACGTTATCTGCTAACAGTAAACATGCTTTTAATTTAATCACGAATAACCAAATGGTAGTGTTTAAGTGTATCGTGAGCATGTAAGTGGGTTGTAAAGTATCTTAGCGAACGTAAAATACCAAACATCTGAAAGACAAAACACTAGTGCCCATGTTATGTAGCTAGCTAGTTAGCAGTAGCACAGACTCAAGCTAGTTTTGATCTGTAATCGTGTAATCTAACAAGACCACAGGTTGCAACATGGGACGAAAGAAGCAAGGCAAGTTTGCGCGTTCTGACAATAAAAGCAAAGACAGACGGCATAGAATGAAGGGAAAATCGTTGGAGGCTTTTACAGAAGAAATGCACTCCGCTTTTGAAGGTAAATAAAATAATGCTCATGTTTTTCCAGTTTGTTTTAATTTAACCAGTATTTACCCATTTTGAATGAAAATTTGCTCTGTACCATCCACAATTCACACATAAATATGTCTAAAACACTTATATTTTAAGTATTTTTCTACTGTGGAGTAATGTTTTATTCAGTATTTATGTCAGTATTTTTTTCAGATGAGACATTTTAAATCAAAAGGCACATGTCTCATATCTGTTGTTTGGATGTTCTTCAGTTCAGACAGCATAAAAAACTAAAATAAAAGTACTTCTAACACTTTCTGTTTACATTTTTGTATTTCTCAGCAAGTCTTAACTTGGAAGACGGAGCACAGGCCCCACAGGTGAAGCTACCTTGCCCACTGGCCATGTGGGAGTTGGGTCATTGTGATCCAAAACGATGCACTGGCAGAAAGCTGGTGAGGAAGGGTTTTGTTCGTAACCTCCGACTCAATCAGAGGTTCAGTGGACTCATACTGAGTCCAATGGGCACAAAGTACGTGACACCAGCAGACAGGTCTGTGGAGTTTAATTTATTCTGCACACATGAAGTTTTCCAGTTAATTTTAACATTCAGCGAAAATCTTCTCTGCCAGATTTGAGTTTTAACGTACATAAATGTTATAATCAAACAATATATGGGTTTTAACTTTCAGAGAGATTGTGGCTCAGAATGGGTTAGCAGTGATTGACTGTTCATGGGCCAAACTGGAAGAAACGCCCTTCAGTAAGATGGTTGGCAGTCATCCCAGGTTGCTGCCGTACCTCGTTGCTGCAAACCCCGTCAACTACGGCAAACCCTGCAAGTTATCTTGCGTTGAGGCATTTGCTGCCACGTTTTGCATCGTTGGTAAGGATTAAGCCGTAGTTATTCACAAATAAATCCATGCACAGTATTACTGACAAACTGTTTTATGTTTTAATTATAAAAGATGACTGTGACATTGTAATACTGTGTGAAATTGCAGGGTTTGAGGAACTGGCTGTTCTCCTGTTGAACAAGTTTAAGTGGGGGAGCGTGTTTCTGGAACTGAATAAAGTCCTGCTTGAACGCTACGCTGCGTGTCACTCAGAGGAAGAGCTGCTCTCGGTGGAGAAGGAGTTTCTCACGTCAAAACCAGAAGTGGAGGAGTTTGGTAAAATGAGGGTCCTATTAATGTGTCGTCCCAGTGAAGTGGTGTAGCTGTAGAGTGGATTAGTTTGGTTTTCTGCTGCTCTTTAATCTCTAATCCTTTCTGTAATTTTATTTTTGTTTTATTTAGTGTGTAAAGACTCGTATTTAAAAATGGAGTTTGGGGAAACTTAAAGGAGATATAAAAAAATCCTTTATTACAAAGATATAATTTGATTTAACACATTTATTCTTTTTATGACAGAATGCAAAAATTGAACACATAATGGATTATTTAAAACTGATGGCATATTTTCTACATGAATTGAATAGCTTTCGCACTTGGTTTTGCATTAAATATAATACCTTTCTGACTGAAAGTTGTTTTCTGTTCACAGATCCGTTTGATGTTAACTCTGGAGTGGAGTGTAGGAATCTAAACAGACATCAGTGGTAAGAACCTTATTTTATTGTTTTATAAAGTCATGGACCAGAAGCAATTAGAACGTTTTTATAGCAATGAAAAAAATAAATATTACAAGCAAGTTATTGTCTGTAATACTTATTATTTCTGATCCATTTATGCTCCAACTGTAGCTTAGAAGACCTGTAGTGTTATTTTAATCTCACTGACAAGTTTATTTCCGCAGCCTATTAATGCTGTGCTTCATTTGAATGTCAAATGTTTTGCTTAAGCTGTGCTTTCGAACCAACAGCTTGCTAATCACACAAAGAGTTGACCTCAAACCTTTTATCAAGTCACTTGTAGCTAAAACAAAACACTCTGCAACTTTTCAAGTTAAAGTTGAAAGCTGAATTTCATTCCCTTAGCCATTATATTAGTGAATTTAATATGTTTTAGTAAAATAAATATTTTTGACTAATCTAACAAGTACATTTTTTATTATAAGGATTTCCTTCCTTTGTTTACATTTGTGTGTGAAACCCTGAAAAACTTGTGAAAGCTGTTGTTGGTTTAACATCCAAGAAACAGCAGAGAGCATCTCAGCTAGTAGAAGCTAACTGTTAGCATTAGCTACTCCACCACACAGCAGAACTCCTTCATGCTTGTGTTATTTGGGCGACGGTGGCACAGGAGTTAAGTGCTCGCCCTGTAATCGGAAGGTTGCAGGTTCGAGCCCCGCTCAGTCTGTTGCTGTCGTTGTGTCCTTGGGCAAGACACTTAACCCACGTTGCCTGCTGGTGGTGGTCGGAGGGACTGGTGGCACCAGTGCTCGGCAGCCTCGCCTCTGTCAGTGCGCCCCACGGCAGCTGGGGCTACATCGTAGCTCATCCCCACCAGTGTGTGAATGTGTGTGTGAATGGGTGAATGACTGGTTGTGTTGTAAAGCGCCTTGGGGGGTTCCAGGACTCTAGAAGGCGCTATATCAAATACAGGCCATTTACCATTCATGCTTGTGTTATTTGTGGAGATATAACATCAATGTTGCAGAGCAAACAGTTGGTGGAAGAGTCACGTCATTGTTAGCCATTCAGTGTAAAGATGTCCGAATATTAGGAAATAATAATTAATAAGACTTCCAATTCAACAGTTTTGTGCGCCCCACTCCTCTGGCTAACTTCTACTTCCTGAAACAGGAGCACCAAGGGTTTTTTTTCCCTCAAAGATTGACTCAAAAAGCATTCATTTGTACTAGAGACTTGGAGTCATGTTGCTGTTAGCCAATCAGAGGTGAGATGTCTAAATATCAGGAAATAAGACTCCAAATCCTGTCGTCTGACGCTCAACTCTGATGTGGCTCACTTCTAATTTGTCAAAAAATAAAAAATAAAGCGCACTGGTACTTTTTTCCTCCTGAGTATGACTTACAAGACTTACATTCCTACTGGAGACCACTGCAAATGCATTGAATAAACAAGTAAACAGCATCTTCAATTTTATCCCTTTTAAGCAAATAATCAGAAATTGACTTGTGTGGTTGGGTAAAACCAAGCAGGTGCATTTGGAATAGTTTTTATTATTATTACTATCATATCAGTCATGAAAATGTCATTTCCCTTTTTAGTGATGATAACAATGACGACGACGATGGTGATTCGAGTGAGGACAGTGACGCGTCAGATAATGGAGACAAAGCAGAAGGACACCACTCGGACGTCGACGATGATTGACGCTCTCATATCAGGAGGAAAATAAAGACTGAATCTAATATTTAAATCATTTTAGTGCAACAACTGAATATATTTTTGGAAAACTATACACAGTCCATTTTCCCAAAAATCTGAAAACTTTCTAATGTAAATAAAGATAAATGCAGGGACTGAAACAAACTATTCTTGTTTAAAAATTTTAGAGGACTTAAATTCGATGGCAACAGAGTGTACAAAAACCATCTGAGGAGGCTGTTTAAGACCGGAAGGGAATGCCAGTAAACATAAACCAGGATCATTTTCTCTCTTTTCTATATGTCATCTCACTTCTAATATATTTATCTATGAAAAATGTTTCAAAACTTACCATCTAAACTCAATATTTAAAGTAAATAAAATATTAAGAAGTCAGCAACTGAAAATATGTAATTGGTTTGGATTTTATGGATTCTGTATTATATTTATAATTGTATAATTGTATTGTATTCAGTAATTGAAGAGTTTACTGTAATTTAAGTCCCAATTTATAAATTTAACATCCATGATGCTTTACATAAATGCACACAATATGAGTTGCTTGCACATTTGTGAATGCTTTATGACTAATTATAGATGCTGCCATTCAGAAGTTACCTGATTTCATCAAAAAATTGCCAACAATGAATTTTCAGACATGGAACAGCAGTGTAACAAGTCCAGGACTGACCTGGATTACTGGCCGTACAGTTCAGTCACTTCATAAAAAGATGATGAAAAAATAGATTTTATTGTACTGGTATTTAAAAAAACTTTACAGTTAAAAGTGTTTTATTTATTCATGTCAACATGATGCCTGTTTTTTCATGTTCATTAAACACAATCACAGTTTTAGTTGCTTATCAGTGGGCATACAAAGAAAAAATGCATGTTATATTCTAGTGAGACCTGTAGATAAAGCTCGCATAGATTATCTGAAATAGGTTAAAATAGTTCGTAGGCCACATCGTCTATTGATTGTGTATATCAATAATCGCTGCCGCTTTTCTTCGCTGCTATCAGCTAAGATGAAGTTCAGCGGGTTGATAATGTGGCGGCTGGGGGGCGGACGCTGCAGGACTCTGGTGTCCTGCGGTAACATTGTTGTGGAACGACGTCACACCTCGAAAAAATGAAGGCACAGAGGCAGCAGCCATTACTGGAGCTTCTCTAATTATTTTATTCCAAATAAATACTCACGGAAAACTCCCATGGCAAGAGCTACAAGTCAGCTGGTAAGTGTTGAAACTTGAACAACAATAAATGTTCGAAGCCGGCGCCCAGAATGTGCAGTGTAGCAGCTGTATGATAATAACTTATGTGGGGCCTTCATTGGAAGTGCGAGGCTGGCCGTAAAATATCGTTACGACTCACTAGCATCGTTAGCTTCCGAAACGCTACCCGGTGTTTCTTTAGCTGTTTTTCGGTTCCTATGTGTCTGTCTTGCTTCATTAATTAACGATTCTCGATCGAATGGTTGACAACAAACTTACGAATGTTAAGTATTAGTTTTTTCATGCCTGCGAGACTAATTTCCTCTAACCAGTAACAGTCGGCTAATCTTAGCATAGGTTCGCGCTTTTGACCGATAGCAGGCTAGCATTAGCTCCCTCCTTTCGTTTGAAAATAGTTTCCTTATGATGTTGTCGTGCTTCACAATTGTCAGGTTTCAAATGTTGATTAAATGATTAGCACAGCAACTTAGTAAACAAGTGGGTAATACTATCTGGAGATGGAGAAAGGGTTTGAAGTTGCTCGTGTTACCTCGCTATAAGTTTGTAACTTGCTGTCAGTCATAACCGGTGTTGTGCCGAAAAAAGCATCCCCATTTAGAAGGGTATTTTAAAGCTGCTTGTTTTCACCATTAGAATTTAATACAAGTAAAAAAAAAACATTTGTGTAAAATTTCAGTACCATTAAAGAGTTATTCAACTATTTAACGGAGCTTTTGTGGTGAAATATTCCTGTCAGGAAATGCTCACCTTGCTTCTTTAGATTAAGAAAGAGACACAGCCACGAAATTCTCACAAATATTTACCAATATCATCCCTGTAACTATACTGTCATCTGTTTGCTTGGAGCAGTTATGGTAAGAAGTCATCCAAGGGGCCTGTGGTACTCTGTAGCCTACATAGTCAGAGTGACATTTGAGTTAAACAGTTTTCAAAGGGTGCTGAAAATCAGGAGTGCGTTTGTTCTAGAAATAGCCTTATAATTAACTAAATTGTCATGGAACGCGCTTTTTGTGACGGGGTGGCTTTTTCAGACACTACACCGGTGGTGTCTTGGACAAGGTAGCAGAAGCTAACGTTAGCATGATACCAGGCTTGGATTAGCAGAGACAGTTCGCATAGGCCAGTTGTTACCCACGTACTTCTGGTTGAAAAATGTTGGCTGTCAACCATGACATTGTTGACTTAATGGTTACGGGTCTCTACGTAGTTCCACGAACAGTTGGCAACTACAGAGACATGCCCGGAATAGACAGCTCAATGGCCACACCTTGGTTTTGAATGAGAAACAGCTAGGCCAGTTGAACCAACTAACGCTACTGCAGAGCTGCAACCCTAAATGCCCCCGTAGTTTTATTACATTTTACAACATTCATCGAGGCAGAGTTGGTGTGTTTGTGTTCCCGTCTGCTCTACCTGCTCCGTTCTGTTTATTCATCCGGCTGGAATGAGTTTGGTGTTGCTTTACTAAGTGCAGCTGCTGTGACATAAAACAGTACAACTTCAAAGCAGAAGGGCGGGACCACTGTTACCTCTATCAGTGCTAGACTTTGTCCTCATTTTCTCACGTGAAATGACACATTTAAAGTATAAAATCTTACCAAGAGTGTCAGACATCTTTGATGCAGCCAGAGACTGTAGAAAGAGATGCAGCAGACAAGGATTAATATGTCTGTGTTGTTCAAACATGTCATTGTTTTTGTTTACTGTGAGTGATTTACTTATTAATTGTGTTAGGGATATATGCTGCAGCTTAATTTCTCATTTATTTGTTGTAAATCAAAATACATTGTCATGCTTTCACTTGCGCCTCTTGTATAACCAATGCTCTTTGTTATTTTAAATGTTAGCTCTCAGAAAGTTCCAGAATTAGTTTTTGTGTGTATTAACTTGTTACATTTAGAGAAAAATACTTGCATGACCTAGTTTTTGTAACCGCTCAGATTGTCAAACCATATCAAATGTTTGTTATAAGAATCCTTAACAGCTCCTGAATTAAAATACAGGCCTAGTAATCATAATTTTGTTTGTGTCTGGTTTAAGATTGCCAGCATATCAGTTTTCACTCCCAATAGTTCAGTTGAATGCTTTGCATGGACCGTGTTTGACACTTTTATTAGATGAGGATTAGACCGTCCTTATTTGTTAAATAAAGACATTGCATAAACCACATGCTTTTCATTTTAGATTAAAAAGAAAGTACAGTTGCATCACCCTGCTGACCCATATTTACTCCTTCTTGTTCCAGTATGATGTTGTGCCCATTAAGCCCAATGCTGTCATCTGTTCCTGCTCACATTCATCAATGGTAAGAAACCACCCTGACTCCTGCTCGCCACTTGCTATCCCAGGCGCAAGCAGCAGTCACTGCCCTAGCATGGAGGGCTCAGCCTCACAGGCTCGTGCTGTTGGAGCAGCTGGCTGTAGTCAGAGCTCTGATGACCGCACACAGCCAGCCGCCCAGGCTCCGCAGCCACGCAAGAAGAAGCCTGAAGATTTCAAGTTTGGCAAGATACTGGGAGAGGGCTCCTTCTCAACGGTATGCAACTTGAATTCCTCTGTTTTTGAATTACACAGGGGTAGATGTTATTACATGCTTGCATTCTTTTGATTAATGCACTTAGATGAGTCATCCTTGGTTCATTTGAGGATATTTCATAAATGGTCCCAAAGACTGTTTTATCTTTTCCCTGTTTAAAGAAACGGCTATCAAGCCATGTTAATGTATTTTTCCCTCTCTCTCTTTCTGGTCTAAGGTTGTCCTGGCAAGAGAACTGGCCATGGGAAAAGAATATGCAAGTTAGTGTTAACAACTGCTTTTGACTGATCCAGTTACTTATGTTTAAACTAAGTTGTGGTTCACTGAAAACCCATTTTCTAATGATTATGTCTGATTATAATCGGTCACTCTTGAGTTTTTCATTCAAGCTGATCGTGAGAATAGTCTCCTTCACCTATCTCCTGCATTAATTTCTAATAGAAAATAGAAAATCTGAGATCTGAATAGCCTGACAGATCTATGTCACACTGTCACTAAAGCTTGGTTTATGCTTGACACATTCACTTTCCACGCGGTGATGCGGCTCGTGGATGGAACGCGCTTCACAACTCGCAGCTTTTATGGTTCGTGCGGCTCGTCTCTGCGGTGAGCCAATATTCTCCCAAACTAAACGGGGCAGCATGGAGCTCTACGGCATGCACCCAACACCACACAATAGTAGTAGAAATTACTGTTTACAACATGGCATTCCAGCATTTTTTTAACAGCGTTCTCATCTTTTCCGACAGTGCGAGCTATTTCTCTCCAAGAATTATTAACAACATGTTGATCACGGTGATCTCTGAGAGCTGAATCATACAAATGTCTGTATTTACGAACCTCTGACATACTAGTTCTTTCCGGTCCGCCATGTTTTCCATGTCCATCCGTCCGCGTGGTTAGAAATTTTCCGAGGTGCGCTTTGCACAAATTCTGGGCCGTGCGGAGGCGCGGTGGAGGGGCGTGGTTGTTAAAATGACGCAACTTTTCCGCGCGGAGCCGTGCGGACCTCGCGGACGCATCAAGCATAAACCAACCTTTAGCATTCAAGGACTCACCCATCTTGGCTCACGACAGAGAAGGCTGTTGTTGTTTTGCCATCTGGCAAATGGCAGAGGACGTCTCGGCTAGTAGAAGCTAACCATTAGCAACTTCACCATACAGCAGAACTCCTTCAGGCTTGTGTTATTTGTGGATATAAAACATCAACGTTGCAGAGCAAACAGAGTTGGATGTAGAGTTGGAGATGAGCTGTCCAAATATCAGGAAATAAGACTCCAAAACCTGTCGTCTGAAGCTCAGCTGTGATGTGGGCAACTTATACCAATAAAAGTGGTGGGCCGGTATATTTTTTCACCCCGAGAACAACTTGCAAAGCATTCATTTCCACTGGAGACCACTTCAAATGTATTGATTGTTTGAACAAACCACTCCTTTAATAAATATGGTAGACGTGTTGTTATTTCTGTAACGTTTCTCTTTTCTGTTCACCAGTTAAGATTTTAGAGAAGCGTCACATTATGAAGGAGAACAAAGTCCAGTATGTGAAAAGAGAGCGAGATTTGATGTCAAATCTTGATCATCCGTTTTTTGTAAAGCTCTACTTCACGTTTCAAGATGATGAAAAGTTGTGTATCCTTTTCAAGTGTCGTTGACACGTGTTTTGTTTTAACCTTTCTGGTTTATTGTTTGATCTTTTGTGAAAAAGAAAACCTTGTTTTTCTTAACTGATTTTTCCAGATTTTGGTCTCAGCTATGCTAAGAATGGAGAACTTTTGAAATACATTCGCAAAATTGGTTCATTTGATGAGACCTGTACGAGGTTCTACTCCGCTGAAATAGTTAGTGCTCTAGAATATTTACACAAGAAGGGGATTATTCACAGGTAGGAGGCTGGTTTTCTTTTTTGTTTTATTGCTGAATAACAGCATTTGTCTTCCCTCGCATGGAACAATTTTATTATCTTTTATTTCAGAGATCTGAAACCAGAAAATATTCTTTTGAATGAGGAGATGCACATTCAGATAACAGATTTTGGAACTGCGAAACAGTTATCGTCCGACAGCAAACAAGGTATGCCCACAGGCCTGGATTTGTAAAAATGTTTATTTGTGTTGTAGATTGACTATAACAGAAATGACTGTTTCAACTATATAGTGAGTCACATATGCAAGTTGTTATAATGACCAACTGTCAAGACTCAAATCAGCCAGGTTTGTTAAATGTTGATGGAAGTAGGTGAGCTCATTTAAATCATAGACATGAATACGTAGACGCCCCATCGGGCGCTGGAGAGCATAACAGCGGTACTGTCATATTGATTGGGTGAAAGCATAATTACATGTGTTTATTCAGTTGGTTAAGCACCTTTCTCAGTAGAAATTAATGCTCGGGGGGGCAAATGGAGACCCATCCAAGATGGCTGCCAGCCACTAAGACAGCTCCAATTGGCAGCACCAGCCCACGGGGCGTCTACGTATGTAATGTGTGTGGTTAAAACACCCAATTAAAGTCATGCTTGTTTGAACCCCCCTCTAATGCACCGGATCCATGGTGGGTTGGTGTTTTTTATTTTAAAAGATTGGGGCTTTGATTCCCAGGTCTACCCTGTATCGGAGACATGGAGCAAGTTATTGAACCCCCATTTTGTGTAGGCTAAATGATCTGAGCTTGTGAAATGAGATTATTGTGTAATTTAAACAGTCTTTTCCCCATCAGTTGTTATTTAAATGCTGTTGATGTTTATGTTTGATGTTGGAAACTAGTTATTACACCACCTGAATGATGTTAGTGTTTCAGATGAGTTGGCTGCAACATTCTTACAAGTCTTGTTGTTTATTTGCCACGCATTTGTCAGAATATATGCAAAACCCACAGGTTAATCTGCGTCTCTTTGTGAATCTGCTGTAAATTAGCTTGCACAGGAGCAGAAGCTGAAAATGACTTTTGTTACAACACCTGAGCTAGTCTTTCAAGTCAGAACGTCTGCTGTGAAAAGAGACTGTTGTCGTGTTTTAATGTGGCTTATAATATAACTTAGCTATTTTATTCATGTTCTTTTCATGCTCTGACAAGTCTGTTGAATATGCAAGGGTGGAGATGCAAATCTTGTGAGGGTCAGATTTCAAAAGTTTTTTTTTTTTTTTTTACTAAATCAAGAAATTGAACCCCAATTGTGAGTTCATCCTTAAAATTTCCTTTTTTGCAGCGAGGGCAAACTCCTTTGTTGGAACAGCACAATATGTGTCTCCAGAGCTGTTGACTGAAAAATCCGCCTGCAAGAGGTAGAACCGTTTGTGTTCTGGTTATTCAAATTTCAGGTTTCACTTCTGTAAGTGAATCATTCTTTTTTCTCCAAGCTCTGACCTGTGGGCCTTGGGATGTATAATCTATCAACTGGTGGCTGGTTTACCACCATTCAGAGCAGGGTGAGTACTGATGGGATACTTCTGTAATGGTATTGCAATGTTTCAAAGTGCTTCATGGCATACCTAAATGTTTTTCGAGACTTAATTTACTATTAAAATGTTTTCCTAAACACTTGTTTATTTTTTCTAAAGTACATCTGAAACACTTTGGCACCCACATTTAATCTGTTTCTCAGTGACCTCTTCTGTCACTGAGGTGGTTTGGTTAAGCGTCTGAGCCACACGGCGATTCTCGTGAATAGGAAGCTAAACTGGTTCTTTTCTTTAATTAAAACTAAAACGCAAGCTGTTTTTATACTGCAGGTGGTACAAATGTCCCTGGTAATAAAATGTTTTGGATGATCATTTTTAAGTCAGTTCTTCCAACGCATACGAACAATTCTGAACTTGATAGAGTTTTTAAAACCTTATCAGCAGGCAGGAACTGGTATTTAGGATTCATTTGTTTTGAAATTGTTGTGCAACAAGTGCTAAGAGCAAATTACTTGTTTTATTATTTAATTTGTGATTCTTCTTCTTTCTCACATTATAGAAACGAGTACCTAATATTCCAGAAGATAATAAAATTGGAGTATGAATTTCCAGAGAAGTTCTTCCCCAAAGCCAAGGATCTTGTTGAGCAACTTTTGGTCGGTTATCCACCACAGCCGTTTTACTTCTACCTCGGCCCCTTTGTTGTCTGGGGGCAGATGTGCTAGTTTTGGGGTTTTATTTAGTTGTTGTCTGATCTGTTTGCTCTTTAGTCACTGGACCCCTCCAAGCGGCTTGGATGTGAAGAGATGGGAGGGTACGGCCCACTGCAGCATCATCCTTTCTTCGACACCATTTCCTGGAGCGACCTACACCTCCAGACACCCCCTAAGCTTACGCCCTACCTGCCAGCTATGTCAGAAGATGACGAGGACTGCTATGGAAATGTAAGATATACCCCCCCCCCCCCAGTCCTAAGTAGTTTTTTTTTAATCATTCCTTTTATGCCCGGACCACACTGTACAATTTTCGGTCGTCTTAGCCAAATCATGCTCTGCTGGAGCGGGACGTCCTGCAGTCTGCCTACCTTGTACCGTAAAGCGTGCCATCTTTCTGGAGTCCTCACCGTGTGACATGAGCAATCCTGTGTGATGGCCAAAAAGCACACAGTGTGGTCCCGGCTTTAAGGACATTGCAAACTATAAATCTGACTTTTGTTCTTTCATCCCTTGTTGCATCATGAATCTCAGTACGATGACCTCCTGAGCCAGTTCAGCAACATGCAGGTGGCCCCTTCACACTCCTTGTCGCCACTCGACCCCACACCGCCACAAAGATCCAGCAGCAACATTGAACAGTACATCCACGACCTGGACAACAACTCCTTTGAGCTAGATCTGCAGTTCACTGATGAAGAAAAGAAACTATTGCTGGACAAACAGACTACTGGGAACGCCTGGTAGTTTCCGTTTTTGTCTTGCTTTGAAAAGTTGTTTGCTGTCAGACTTGGCTCATCTTCAAGAAATGTGAAAGGAGTTATGATGGCTCAACCATGCACGCTTGTGTTTGTTTACACAGGCACCAGTTTGTAGAGAATAATCTGATCCTCAAAATGGGCCCAGTGGATAAACGCAAGGTCGGTGGGATTTCTATGTCTTATGATTAACTGTTTGCACAAGTCTGGCTTTAACCCTAAACTTTTATCAGGGAACTCTTTGCTCTGGTTGTTGAACCTCTTGCATTGTGCTGAGGAAAGCCCTACAGGCCCCGCGGCCCCCTCTGTTGGTGAACTCATGTTTTGAAATGTTTGCATTCCGTGCCAGGGTCTGTTTGCTCGCCGGAGACAGCTGCTCCTCACTGAAGGACCACACCTGTACTACGTGGATCCTGTCAACAGAGTCCTGAAAGGGGAGATTCCTTGGTCCTTAGAGTTACGCCCAGAGGCCAAGAACTTCAAAACCTTCTTTGTTCACACGGTAAACAAAGATTTATTTCGGAAGTCTTGCAAATATTTCTCCAGCAGCCTGCTCATACTTGCTCATTGTTTGGAGTCTCGTCACACATGTTTTTCTTTCTCTTTTGGTGTTTAGCCAAACCGAACATACTATTTGATGGACCCCAGTGGAAATGCAGACAGATGGTGCAAGAAGATCCAAGAAGTATGGAGAAAGATCTATCAAAGGCACCAAAACCCTGGCCTATAGGAGCACATTTCATCCTGTGCCCACTCCCTTTTAGCTCCGAGGCCAATCACTGAGCAGAGTAACACCCTCTTTAGTGCCCTTCATCACCGCATTGTAAACAAACTCTTAGAGACGCTGGCATCTAGATCTTGTTTGTTTTCCTGAGTAGATCCAGGGGAGAAACACAGCTTTGGATTCAGGGTTGCTTTGCTTGTTCTTTGTGCTCTCTGTGAGGCTTCTCTTGCATATTTTTTCCCATGTATGGATGACAAGATTTCCATTATTCACATCTGCATTTTGTACATTCTGCTTGGCAGGGACAGAGATGGGCAAGCTTGTCTTGTACAGTGACACAAGCTTGGGTACTGCTAGGACCATCCCAAATACAAAGACTGGTTTCCTGCTTCATCGATAAAACAAAATCTAGCTTTTATGAACTGGAGCCTGATTATATATCTTAATTAAACCATATCCATAATCATACACAATATGTGCAAGCTGTAGAAAAGCCCAACTTTTAGTGCGTGTACTCCATATTTGTAACAGATACTGTAAACTGATTCAGTTTCACCTTTATCCAACTCAAACCTCACTTTTGTCTGAACCCAATGCGTATTTAAGTTTTTGCTTTTTCATGTCCTTTTCCAATCTCTTGGTACTTGCTTATTGCAGTCCAGTAAAGGTGTCAGTGTAACGAAGCAGATCTGCAGTAAAGTTGGCCTGGACTAGCATGTAAGGGTGAGCCATTCATAGCTGATGCTGAAGATGTTTTTGTTAACGGGGCATAAACACGCCACTAGCTTGTTCTGCTTAAATCATCACTTGCTTATTTTTCCAGCATGGCCAGTTTTGTAACTCATCTTTGTTCGCTTTTTTCTTGGGGCACTGGAGATAGTGTTTTATTTTATTTTTAAGTTTAAAGGTGGGTATTTTTTAACTGCATTGGCAACCATGGCAAAAAAAAAAAAAGATTGGATGTTTTGGTTTTGTACCATTCACTGGCTTTGTGGTGTGAATTTTATTTTATTTTATTTTGTTTATCTTTTTTGGTGGAGTAGATTATTTTCATTATGTTCTGTTAAATAAAATCTTATGTGCTGTTTACCCCATGCTGAACAGAACACCTCTGTCAACTGAGACACCTACCTACCTACATACATACATACATACCTACTATCATTCTCGGGAGCAATCATTGAAGAAAGGAAAAAGAAAACGCTGTTGCAGTGGCTTCCATGCCACAGTGGGCTTACCGGCCCATTTATTTAGTTTTCTATTCGACGTGTGGCCCAATAGAACTCAAAGTGACTGATTTAACATGCTTTTGTTTTAGCAGTATGTATCATAAAGCTTTTAATTCTTGACATAGATCCTTAAGGTGACTGCCGAAGACCCTCTTCCTTCAGTTGTGTGTGTGTGTGTGACTGGAGTTTTAGTGAACAGGACCTTGGAGCCCAGGGGCTTGATGTGGTTGGATGTTAAGTGAAAGGATATCCCTCTGATCCAAATGACCGATGAAATTGCTGTATCTGTCTACAAAGTTGAGGAAACACCAGAAGGGTACGTTCCTCTGAATAGTAAATTGTTTAAATCAAGTGGGTGGCAGTCGGTTACATGGTGTATGAAATGCTCTACCTGGCATGTAACTGATTTGAACTGTGATGTACAGATGATGTATTATTGAATCTGAAGCGAGTAATTTAATGATACTAGGATACAGTTTTTGTATTTTTATTCTTGTATAAGGTTATTGAAGGCTATTGTTTAGCCTATAGTTCATTCTGTGTTATTTAAATTCTAATATATGAATCATATTTGGATTGAAGTCATGTTCAGGGGCCATGTTGTGTATGTATCGAGATGTAAAGCCTTTGAATGTGAATAATTATTGTAAACTATAATATTTTACAGCTTTTTTCTTACTATATCATACATTTTCTATTTGCTCAGTGATTTAATCATATTCTGATAATTTAACGAATTTGTTCATTCTCTCTCTGATTATTTGTTCGCTAGGTCAGTAGATGTTGAATGATGACTTTTTCCACTTAATGCTTGGTAGTCCAGTAATTAAAGCATGTAGGGATTTAGGCATTCAATTGAAAACCACGTGTCCTGTCTTCTGTTGACCGCCTCAGCCACCACACACAGAGCAGTCTATGGTGGTGACATGATCTCACACTGCAACATGTAAATAAAGTACCGACCCATTATCAGAACTTGTGGAATTTTATTTAAAGCTAAATTAGACTGGGTAGTTTTACGCATGTCTTGTTTATTATAAAGTATGCTTTTTTTTAATTGATCGCGTGTTCGTGTTGATGTACTGTGACCTTTACTGACTGGCACGCGGGATCAAGAGATCCTCTTTACTGAAGCGTCAGGAGATCAAGCCGGGGAGGGCCTCGTTTCCTCTCAAATAATTTATGCAAGTGTGTGTTGGAGCTGGCGGACTGGCTGAGTAGGAGTGGCTGGGGAGTTTGCAGCCTGATTTACATGAGTCGTAGATCAGGCTGACTCCTAGTCACCGGCTTCAGCTTCGATATTTCCTGTCCGCCACTCGCACAGGCACAGCCGAGCCGAAGAGAGCCTGGGCGGAGGAGGCGAGGAGAGGAGAGAGGGATGGCAGAGAACAGCTGCGAGACAAGCGGCTCCGGTCACCGCAGATATCCGGCCCATTCTCCGGGGGACAGAAACGTTTCAGCTGGTGTCGGGGCGTCCAAATGGATCCGACTAAATGTCGGCGGGACGTATTTTTTAACGACGAGACAGACGCTGTGTCGAGATCCGAAGTCATTTCTGTACAGGCTGAGCCAAGCTGACCCCGAGCTCGACTCTGACAAGGTAAATGCTAAGCTAGTTCAGCTAAGTCGGGAGCGTAGTTCATTTCAATACATTTTTACTGAATGAGCTTTCATTTACTTCGAACAGTTTGCCACAGCTAGAATAACTAACGCGTATGCCAATCCCTATAGACTTGCATTGATTTTTGACTGAGAAAAAGACGCTTTTGTCAAAATACTTTTGAGATATTCGAAAATCTATGGCTAGCTAACGTTAGCCCGATAGCTAGCTAGATTCCGACAGTCACCACATGACATTTGATGCCGCTGGTCTGCTCTGGTTTTCTTTTCAGGGGCTAAATTCAGTAGCGCTGGATTTCAATCTCTCATTTTCAGCTTCCTCTTGAGATGAAACGTCAGGTCGCCAGTCACAGTTGGAAACTTTGCTGCTTATGAGGCAATAAAATGCAGTTTGGTAGTAAAGAAACCTAATGTTTGCCTTAGTTTGAAATGGTAATAAACATCACATACATCCGTACAGGCTGTGTGAAGTAGCACAAAAGCTCAGCATAAAGTCTTGGGCATTTGCATTTCTGTGGTTCATTTACGCCGTTTGCTCTGCAGCAGGTAGACTTTCCCTTTGTTCTGCAAGTAAACCTCCCTGTGAGTACACAGGACACTACCAGGTGCAATGGGATGGGAGATGAAATCATATTCATACTCCTGAGTGATCTCCATACTACGCCTCACTGTTTGGCCATCTGCTCATTCTAACAGCTGAGTGCTTCAAGGCCCCTAAAATGTCATACACACCACATTAGTGTCTGTCTATACATCTAAATGTCATCTGCTTCTGTTGTCCACTTTCCTTCCTTTGTTTTCATTGTTTCAATAAGCTTGCACACTTTAATCTTCACCTCTGCTCTTCTTAACGCTAAGCTGAGGCCACAGCTCATCTCATATTTTCATGCAAATATCTTAATCTCTTAATAATCAGCTTGGTTTTTTGTTTTGTCGGTTTATCCTCCCCCAGCGATGGATTTCAAATCCTCATCTTAAGTGTATATCACACACTCAGGCCAAGATGAGAGGGCTCCCACAGCAGGGCAGATTATTATTCGATATCGTATCACTTGCTAGCGTGTCTCCTGCTGTATTCATCAACATGGGTTCACCTTATCTGGGGTGAGATAGATTCGCTGCATTTGATTTGTGCAAAATGCAGACTGACAGGGCCAGCAAGGAGAGCTTTATTTATTTATTTACTTATTTATTTGGATGAAAGTAATATTATGCTTCCCTGCAAAGGCTGTGAGTGGTTCATTTCTCAGTCATGCAGGCTGATGTGCTTTAGCAGGACTCGAGCAGAACTGCATTATTCATGTTGTTGACTAGACTAGAGCTTATTTTGCACTTTGAGGTGGATTACAGTGGAAGTGAAGCACCCGAATAGTAGAAAATCAGATCTTTAGAAGTAGTTTTAGTTAAATTTTCACTCCCGTATAATTTTTATTTGACCAATTTAGTCAAAAAAGTTCAGTTAGTTGGGAGATGCACCAATAAACAGATTCCTGCCCAGCACCGCTCAAGTAGAGACCAAACTCTCTTGCTTTTGAGAGCTGCATGGATTTTTCAAGCAACTCATCACAAAGATTTCTTGTTCCTTCACAATCTCACCCTTTTCCTATTCATAGCCATGTGCTGCCAAAGGAGGCTGTCTTTGCAGCATGTGTGAGAGAAAAATGGCTGCATTTAATGCAGGGTTTGCATTTTACGTCATGCCTGAGTGCACTGTGGGAGGCTACGTAAATATTTAACGGCAATTTCATCTCCCTTCCGCTCTGTCTTCTTGCAGTAGGTGCTCAGCACGACACAGCAGAGAGCTGTTGAGCAATTAGGTTTCACCAAAGTCTAATTTTATCGTCTTTATTGGTCTCACTGACGAGATTAAGACACCTTCCTGTGCCCTGACGGATTATTCTAAGCATGCTCACTTGTAACAGGTTTTTCACTCTTTTCTATGTGTGTCTAAGTTTCAGTAATTTGGGTTTGCCTCCATTGCGGTGCAGGCTCCTTGACTTCCTACCATCACTTTAGCTTTTAAATGTAGCTTATCATTTACCCGTAAAAGGCTCATTAGTCTCAAGGATTGGCGAAGCGTCTCCCAGACTTGAGTGGTACATCCTTTTTCATTGAATTGCCTCGCATGTCAAGATATGAGAGGTTTTCCATGCTATCTATGATGAAATGTGTGTATAATTTAAAGCACAAAGGCCTGTTTTGCCATTACTGCTTCTACCCCTCCTGAGGGACGGCCTTCTCATACTCGACAAGGATCAGGCTTCCACTTGGCTAAGTAGGCAAAGTCATGTGACTCAGACTCTACTGCAACATCTTTAAGCTTTGCTTCTGCTGTTTGGCTTGTGAAGGCATAGCAGAAAATGCCTTCATTCTTTTCTCATTATAGGCGTCAGAGTGGCTTCACCTGATATCAGTTGCATTTACTTTATTTTTATTAATTACTGTTGACCATCTGCCACGCTCATGGAAACATAGTCTTGATTGGTTTAAAATCGAGGGTTGGCATTCATCGCTAATGCATCTGCAGAAAGCCTTACTGGACATTTTGTGGTGAAAGGGTGGGCCACTGTGGTATTTCCTGTGGGAGGATATGTATTGTGTTTTGGAAAAGAGTGATGAGGTTCATGCAAAACATTTCCCTCTGCAGCGAACCCTCCCTTCTAATCGGTCGTGTTAACGTGCATCTTAACTCATCTGTGGTTTGGCTTGAGTCGCTGTCAGAACCGCTTTTGTCTTGGTTCCAGTCACAGATATAAAGGACTGCATACTATATTACACCTGACTGTGGACATTACCTACCACCTACCTAACCAATCTAGCAGCTATTTTCTATTTTATGTGGTAGGTTCAGAATAATGTATATATTTCTAAACACTGAAGTGCTCAGCTTTCTAATAACAAAAAGTGCAAATTTTTCAATGAGCTACTTTTAATCTGACGTTGTTCCCACCCCTCCAGTCCTCCCCCCAGTTTGGCCTCTAGAGACAGCCTTTTGTTTAGAAACCAAGTACTACTATGTCCTCATTGTTTACATGCTCTTGCTTCAGAGCCTCAATGATTACAGTAATCTGTCTGAACTGAGTCACTGTCAACCCAAGGGCCCTCACTGAACTGTGCTCTATGCTAAGTTGGGAGAGTTTTGTACAAACCTGTTTTTCTTTTTTAGTTGTGCTAGGTGGCAAACTGGCAGCAAGCTAACAGAAGTACGGGGTGCACACTCAGCATCTTTCTGCTGCTAGTTGTGTTTTTTATTCTTCGACAGTAATCTAGTATGGTACTGAATCGTGAAACCTACATTTCAGCATGGAATTCTCCCATAAGTCATTTTGGTTTCTCTGATAGCTGTGGGACAGTTTCATGGTGTTGAAAAGTCTTTATGACAACCACCGCTGTATCGTTCCTGGGATGTGATGGAAGACGTATTTTGACTCAGCGAAAACCCAAAGAGCAGAAATTCTTTACGTCATCCTAAAGCTATGTGTCTAGAAATGGACAGATGCTGGTATGTGGAGGTCATGGTCAGCCAATGGCCAATATGTGCTGCCAATTTTTTTTTTATCTTTGGACTGATTTTCATGGCCAATAGCTGGATGTTTTCCACCTTATTTGCATGCTACAGAAAAACTGTAAATGGCCTGTATTTTATATAGTGTCTTATAGAGTCCTAGAACACCCTAAGGTGCTTTACAACATAGTCATCCACACATTCACACTCTGGTGGTGGTGATCTACAATGTAGCCACATCTGCCCTGAGGCACACTGACAGAGGCTAGGCTGCCAAGCACTGGCACCACTGGTCCTTCTGTCCACCACCAGTAGGCACAAGGGGCTAGTTGCCTTGCCCAAGGACACAATAGCAGCATTCTCTGCCGGGAGCCGGGGATATGTCCTACAACCGTCTCTACCTCCTGAGCTACTGCTGTACAACATTTCTGAACCTGAATTTGCTTTTGAACACTAATTTGAACCAACTGTTGAATCCTAATCTTGTGCACAGCACTGTTTTAAAATCACACTTTTCATTTGAACAAGTTTTTTTTATTAAGCTTTATTACCTTTTCAAATAATCACATTTAGTAAATTTTTTTTAATAAACTCAACAATTATTGAATAAAAAATGGGTGGATAAAAACATCTAATTGACAATGTTTTAAAGCATTAAAACTACTTTTCAGAAATGTAAATTTACATTGAAATAAGATTTGGGAGCAGCATTGGTCTGCCCATGAAAGTGCCCAATATTAAGTTGGCTCTTCAGAAAGAAAAATCACAAATAGATCAACAAAACTAAAGTCATGAAACGATCATAAAAACAAAATATCTTAATGTAAATGAAATAATTGAAAGGCCATCATGGTCAGGAGGCCTAAAGGCCTCAAGGCTTATTTTTACTTAACAAATATGAATTAAATTTCCAGTTAGCACTAAAGCTTAGTACTATAATTACATTTACCACAGTTTCTCTCACTGCACATTTGTTCACAATCATAACCTCCATTAAACAGTCTACTGACATTTTTTGGTGACTGTTGAGAAAGAGGACACAACTTTATGTATGAGTGTCACGCTGTTATGATATAAATGTCACTTTTTCATTAACACAATTGCAAACTTTTCTTTTTTGGTCTTTACCAGATGACGTAATGGAAATTCATTCCAGTGAGTTGGGAAAAGATGTTGAATAGCTCTTTTGTCCAAGAGATAAAGTTGGTTTGTCAAACAGGGATTCCATTTTTGATCAAATAAGACGTCACACATTTATGCAACTTCCTGTTTTTTGCCTGTAGTTTTCCTGCTGCTACAAGCCAGCGTGCCAATTTAGGAAGAAAACTGTTGGGATGTGCATCTATTTGGTGTGAGACCTTTATGGAAAAAACGTTCAGAAGCAAAACGTGATTAAAAATAAACGTTCTGTCACTAACACAGAATAACACAGGTTAATGTGTGTTTATAGTGAGTTGCTTAAGGGCACATTTATTTTTTTCAAGTTTGCAAGCAACAGTTTTATGTTCAGCTTATTGCAGGCATCTGAATTTTGAAAGAGTGAATAAATCTACCCTAGCTCGGGTTGACCTTGTTTACGTCCTGGGTCAGACCCATCTGAACTTGTGCTTATAGAAGTTTAAGACACTGACACAAGGCATCAGGACCAGAATAGAGCTCCTCTGGGCTCTAGTGAAATATTTTTGCCTTAGAAAACAGGTCAGCCTGCCAAGAGGACTCCGATTCATTACAAAGAGAAATGCTCTGGGACTTGCCTCATTATTGGAGAGATTAATGGGTTTTCAGCTGAACTCATTTGTGGACAGTAGATGCATCTCTTGGTGAGGGCACAGCTGTGTGCTTGGTCATGAAAGTGTGACCATAGCAGTTGTCCTTTCTTATTGTCACAGATTGCATCAGAAATATTTGCTGAGGACAAATATCCAAAAGCATTTGAGGATTTGTACAAAGTTTGCTTAAGGCCTTTCCTCACACCGAGGCTCATCAAATGTGGAGCTGTTTGACTCACTAAATGAGGCTTGACATCTGCACAAACCACCTTTTATGAGTATGTGAAGGGTTAACCCCATAACACTCCAGATGAGGCTAATTAATGGTGGTAAGTGAAGGTGCTACCTCCCAGTCCCCTCAGTGGGATCAGTCGGTTGTTTCAAATCTTTTTCTGTTCTGCTCTAATTGTGTTAGCTTGCTCTTCCCCCGCGAGAGATAAAGACGGTCTAATCACAGCACAGAAATAAGGGAATACCCAGCGGTTGTGCAGGAATCAGGGTGAAACCCAAGGCCTGTGATAATACCCAAGTGATTTCCCTAAGCGGATGTGTGTGTGGCGCCGTGTGAGCATGTCATCTCCGCCTCTGTAGAGAACATTGGCACAGGAGCTGACCTCAAATTTCTCATCCCTTGAGTTTTCTGTAGTGGGAGCTGTTTCTGTCCAAGACAATGTTTTGATTACTGCAGGGGTCTGCTTTCCTGATGGACATCTATAAACGAAGCAGTGACACTTCAGAAAATAGTTTGCCATAAAGGTCTCTCACTTTTAGAAGACGCAAATGCTGAAATGTTCGTTCAAACATAAATGGCAGCATGATTAATTCTTGTGTTTTCTGCTTCTCAGGATGAAACTGGTGCCTATCTCATTGACAGAGACCCTACATATTTCGGGCCGGTGCTTAATTACTTGAGGCATGGCAAACTGGTGCTTAACAGGGACTTGGCAGAGGAAGGTAATTATTCTGACCCTCAGTTTCACTCCAGCACAAAAATAAAACAAACTCAACCGAAAACACTTTAGTAAAACTAAAGCCGTGGTCTCGTTGGGCTGCAGCTGCTGATGGTGAACAGCATGTGAAATGTTTTTCTTGCACGAGTCACTAGACTTTGCCGTTTCTCTTTGAACATTTTTGTGAATAAAAATCCAGACATACAAGTATGACTCAGTGGTTTCTGTCATTACCTGCATCTAGACCCATCTGGGCCTTTTTTTCTGTGATTTTGAAAGTGGAGTGTTTGTGAGGTAAATTGAGGAACTGGCAACAAATCTGTGGCATTTTGATGTTCAAAACATGATTGTAAACATGCTGGATTGTGGCCAAGAGCTAATTTCCACGTGATGGGAACATACAAGGTTACATTATGACATTAGTTTATCCATGAGACACTTTTAACTGAATTGCAACAAAGAATTGTGTGACAGTCACACGACTTTCACCGCTTGTTTGCAAAATACGTCCGATGTCTTGTGTAAACTGGCAAGTCAGTTTACTGTGTCCAACATAAAACTGACATGATTTATTTGTTCTCTGTCGTTTGGTGAAATACTGGCTTAAAAGAATATATTGTTGCAAATTAAAAACTTTTGAAAAAAGTGTTTTGTATTTTCAGGATTTTGGAAATGAGTACATTTTTAATAAAGCACTTGAAACTTTTAACTGGCATAATACAATACATTAACTTTGCGAGAAGAGGAAGTGCAATAGTTCAGAGCATGTATAAACTAGCCTGGCAAGCCATCCTATATACACTCACTGGCCACTGTATTGGGTACACCTTGCTAGTACCGGACAGGACCCCCTTTTGCCTTCAGAACTGCCTTAATTCTTCATGGTATTGATTCAGCAAGGTACTGGAACTATTCCTCAGAGATTTTGGTCCATAGTGACATGAAAGCATCAGACAGTTGCTGCAGACTTGTCGGCTGCACATCTATGATGAAAATCTCCCGTTCCACCACATCTCAAAGGTCATCTATTGGACAGTGATCTCATTGTCATGTTCTAGAAACCAGTTTGAGATGATTCGAGCCTTATGGTAAATGGCCTGAATATGAAATAGCGCCTTCTAGAGTCCTGGAACCTCATAAGGTGCTTAACAACAGTCATTCACACACACATTCACACCCTGGTGGTGATGAGTTACATTGTAGCCACAGCTGCCCTGGGGCGCACTGACAGAGGCGAGTCTGCTGTACACTGGCGCCACCGGTCCCTCCGAACACCACCAGTAGCAACGTGGGTTAAATATCTTGCCTAAGGACACAGCGACAGACTGAGTAGGACTCAAACCTGCAACCTTCCGATTACAGGTGAGCACTTAACTCCTGTGCCACCATCGCCCCTTATGACATGGCACATTATCCTATTGGAAGTAGCCGTCAGAAGATGGGCACACTGTGGACATAAAGGGATAGACATGGTCAGCAAAAATACTCCGGTAGGCTGTGGTGTTGCAACGATGATTAATCGGTACTAAGGGGCCCAAAGTGTGCCGAGAAAATGTCCCCCACACCATTACACCACCACCATCCTGAACTGTTGATACAAGGCAGGATGGATCCATGCTTTCATGTTGTTGATGCCAAATTCTGACCATACCATCTGAATGCAGCAGCAGATATCGACTCATCAGACCAGGCAACGTGTTGGTGAGTCTGCATGAATTGTAGCGTCAGTTTCCTGTTCTTAGCTGACAGGAGCAGCACCAGGTGTGGTGTTCTGCTGCTGTAGCCCATCTGCCTCAAGATTTGATGTGTTGTGCATTCAGAGATGCTCTTCTGTATACCTTGGGCGTAACGAGTGGTTATCTGCGTTACTGTTGCTTTTCTATCAGTCTGGCCATTCTTCTCTGACCTCTGGCATCAACGAGGCATTTTCGCCCACAGAACTGCAGCTCACTGCGTGTTTTCTCTTTTTCGGACCATTCTCTGTAAAACCTAGAGATGGTTGTGTGTGACGATCCCAGAAGATCAGCAGTTTCTGAAATACTCCGACCAGCCTGTCTGGCACCAATAATTGTGGCCAGAGAGTGTATGTGAATAGTCTTGCCACGACCCATGGACAGCTCTCAGTTGTAGGGCGGGATCTACGGTTGTCTTTCAAATGGTCTCTACATGCTATCAGACAACAAGTAACGAGACGTACTCACTGCTACGGATGTCAGTCAACGGGGCAGTCCACCATACGCTCAAAGAAAACACAAATGCATCCTTTTTTCTAATAAAGGATTTAAGTATCTATCTGCTCTTTACTCGAAGAGAAACCAAATTCTAAATGGTCCAAAGTTGATGCCAAAGCTATTTCAAACAAGCAGTCACCATCTTAGGTTTGCTCAGTAGCAGTCGTTCACCACACCGATAAAGAACTGTGGCTGACCCACCAGACGGATAGAGCACTGTGGCTGGCATGCCTCCAGACTGGCCAGGGCCGCAGAGAGTCCAATGGAGTGAGGCTAGACTGCCATGCAAAGCAAAATCATTTTTCTTCTGCTGCAGACGGTTTAGATTTCTAGGCCATATATGTACAGTTCAGTTCGTCTTGAGTGTAAATTGTCACCAATTAAAGGATCTGGAAAGTCTTGAATTCACCTTTTGGTTTAGGAAAAGTTATAAGGACAACTTTTAAATGTAACATTACCACTTAGATACTTTTGGATCATTTCATAGCCGTGGTTCTGTTTTTTTTATACATGGGAATGAGATGTTTGTTGCTCCTGTTAGGTGTGCTGGAAGAAGCAGAGTTCTATAACATCACATCATTAATAAAGCTCATCAAGGATAAGATCAGGGAGCGTGACTGCAAAACATCCCAGGTATGTTCCAGTTTCTGCAGACACACCAGTTTTCCAAAGATCTAAGTGTCACAATTCCTATATTCATACAAAATAGGTTTAAAATCGTCCCGTCTTCATCTCATTTGGTTTGTGTCAGGTTCCAGTGAAGCATGTGTATCGGGTGCTGCAGTGCCAGGAGGAGGAGTTGACACAGATGGTGTCCACCATGTCTGATGGCTGGAAGTTCGAGCAGGTAAATCTCCTCCCAGCAGGGTTGCATCAGCAGTCGTCCTGTCGTGCTTCACCCACCCTGCTGTGCTCAAGTTGACCCACAAAGTTCCAATCCTTCATATTAGAAATGAATTTGAACAAAACAAACAGCAACTCGGGATCTTTCTCAAATGTCTGCATACATGATCCGGGCATGCCTTCTGTGCTCTGATTGGTTGTTGCAGCTTGTCAGTATAGGTTACGGGCGGGCCCACCAGTCAGAGTTTCTGCTGATTGTGTCAAGGGAGGTGAAGGGAGAGGAGTCTGCTTTGCCAAACAACAGCGGAGAGGTGTGTCCCACAAATTTTTGTCCACGGGCTGGTCACTTGCATGGTCCCCATATTGTCCATACACACACCCTTTTGGCCGTTGTTTGTCCCAAGTAGACACACACAGCTATTTTGTTTTGTTTGTTTACTTTCTTGAGCTTATTTTTTTCAGTGTTGATGTGTACTGCTTGCTCACTAGTGAAGCAAAAGAAACCCAGCACTTTTGGTTCTGGTCTGTGATTTTTCTCCAGTCGTTTTAAAGCATTATGGTTGCCTTAGGGGTTAAATAATTATGGGATTATTTGGGATGGGTTCATCACCCATCGGAGCAGAAATACCACTCATGTCCTCGCACACGTCAGACAGGAAACCAGGGGGCTACTGAAGCTCCTCTGTCAGCACAGGAGAGGCTTCCACTGAGAGTTACAATTTGAATTTGCAGCGAGTGGCAGTAGCTAGCGGAGTCTACAGGGTCGTCTTTGTGGCGTTGTCGCTTGAGCCTAGCAAGGCAGCTTAACAAGTATCCAGCAGCAGAGACTAATGAGGCGATGCAAGTCTGAACATGCACACCTGGGTACAGTCAGTACCTCAGTACACATGTAGTCTGCAACACACACACACAATATTCAGTGGTAGGAGTTGCTCTCCTTCCCCCCCCTCATGTTGGTGGTTGTGTGAAGGGTGTTTTCTTCACCAAGCTCACAGATGTTCTGCTTGTTGTTTTGAGCATGTTAAATCTTCTAGATTTGTTTTTGTGGGATATTTTAACTCCTGGTTATTAGTTCTGATCTCAAATAATGAAAGCATTGAAAGAAATTGTTGTTTTGTCAGAATTTTGCTCCAAAATACACATTTTAAACTTTATAGCTTCAGAATGAGTGACTTGTTGACCAGATGTAAGTTGCACCGAGTCAAATCCACCCGTCCGAATGAACTTTAACCAGCATGTGTGTTTGTGGGTACTCCCTGCACCTCTGTTTAATTGGATCTCTCTGTCTGCTGGATGGTTTCTGTTTAATTTTGTTTTTGACTGAATCAGTGATCTTATTACTCTGCTTCAATAACTCAACTTTGTGTTTTTGTGACACTGTTTATTTGTTTATCTTTTACATTTCTTCAGTATAAATTCATTTATTTGTGTTATTTGTATTTTTTGAGTGAGGGGTTAAACTTATTTTGCAGTTGTAGTCGCCATTTTCAACCATGGCTGCTTGGTTATAAATCCGTTGATGGATTTGTGTCACTCATGCCCTATTACACACTAATATCCTTTAATTATAAAGTAGAAAAAGAAAAAAACAAATTTGTTCCTCAAAGCTCAAAGTTAGAACTTATGTTTGAACTGATCTAATTTGTGGAACGCCGTTTCAGAACCCTGTTCTGTGCTCCTCGTTTGGTTTTTCAACACCTTTTCTTTTTTTTACATGATGTTGTTATAATCTAGGATCTCACTCTGACACCAGCTTCTCTGTTCCCGTGTGTCTCTCTAGCTGGTCAGCATCGGCTCTTCTTACAACTACGGAAACGAAGACCAAGCTGAGTTCCTGTGTGTCGTCTCCAAGGAGCTGCACAATCAATCATATGGGACCAACAGTGAGCCCAGTGAGAAGGCCAAGGTGTGTGTGTGTGTGTGGGGTCAGAAATTCGTCCTTAGCAAACACCCGAGTTCTTTTAATGAAAGCACCTCTAGTTTATTGATAAAAAAGCTACTATAGAGGATATTTTACTTCTAAGTCACTTTGGACAAAAGCGTCTGCTAACTACATAAACACATTTCATATTAAACTCCTCCGTAGAAAAATGAGCTGAAATATTTAACTTAGACTAAAAAAACTAGAAAAACACATACGTGGGTATTTAGGTCATTTCCAAGTGTGCTTTTGCATTAATATTATTAATACTTCTTATCTGCTGCAGATCCCGAACAGCCTAGATCTGGATAAATATGTATGTCCTACAGCCATCTTAAAACAGCTCCAGTCTGCGAATCTCATAGAGGTTCATGTGTTCTCATTTTGTAGCGTTTCCACTGCTGTCGGTTATTATATGTTGTAGGGATTAACAGGACCGACCCCAGGGTGCACAGGAGGTGCTTCGTTTTGCTGTTCCAGGTTCCGCTGCTAAATAAACATGTCATCTGAGACTGACAGTAGTGTCAAATGTGACTTAAACAAAAATGTTTAACTCACTGAATCTTTCATCAACCTTTGCAACAGTTGGTTTGCATGCAAACAGTACGAGAGAGCAGGTCTGCAGGTTAGTGGAGCTATTGGCAGCGTCTGCTGCCTTTTAGAGGTTCAGACTGAAAGCTCAGGTCGGCTTGTCCACGTTAAGGCGCCGTCCCCTGAAAGGAAGGAAGGACTGGTTATTCTTTGATCATTTATGATTTGTGCTGAAATATGACATGATCTCCCTCTCGTTGTCCCTCTTAGTTTTGTTTTGATTTCCTCACCTAAAACGTGGCCTCTTCATTTTTACAACACGTTTCTTGTCTCCTCCCGTGCCGTCTGCATGCTGCACGTTGCTCAGAGTGAGGACGAAGAGACGGATTATGAAATGAATGACTCTGATTAGGTCGAGCACTTGTGACTCACTGGTGAGCGCTCAACTGCTCGTAGTCTCCCCTGCACCAAACCTCCTTAGTTCATCCACTCTCCATTTCCTCTCATGCTTTTACCCCCCCCCCCCAAAAAAAAAGGTGCGTCCCATTTGTTTTCAAAGACAACAAGAGCTGATGTGAGATATGCAAAAGAACAGAAGCCAGGCTGTAAACCAGCTTTGGAGCGGAGTATGTTCGAGATGGTTGGTGCTGATGCTGGGAGCTCGGCTGCAGGTGAAGCTCTCTTTGAAACCAGACGGGAAGACCTCTGTAATAACTGACATGCTTGCAGCCGTGTTTAGTGCAGACGCTGCATCATCAGCTGCTGCTTTGTGATTAGCTCTGCCCCATAAAGAGAAAAGGCAGAGGACACCACCTCCTGGTTTACTGTCAAAGTAATTTAAAACATTAGGTTTTATTTCATTGCTATAATTTATTGTAATTAAATGTACAAATCGCTATAGCTAAATGCAAAGCTGTGCTAGATGTAGGAGATTATTTAACAAGTCTTCAGCCCAATAATGCTGTGATGATTTTCTTTTGTCTGCAGATTCTTCAGGAGCGCGGTTCACGGATGTGAGCAGGACTCAGTATTACGAGCTCCAGGTGTTACGATGCAAACGTATCATCTTTGTGGAAGAACACTCAGCACAATGGAGACTTAAAATAAGGGGTTTGGGGGGGGGGGGGGGGGGGGGGGGGGCTTTTTTTGGCTGTTTATTTTAAGTCTTCCCTCCACTTTTGTTTTAATTTCTGGATGTAAAAAGCCTGTTTACTGACAGTTTGTGCCTGTACATTTAAACTGGATCTTTTTTTCTGTTATCTGATAGTGAGAAAATTTCAGATTTTTTTCTGCTACAATACACGGCCGCCGTCCTTTAAGGCCACAGATTCACTCAGGTTCATCAGATGAGTTGATGCTTCTATCTGTTAACTCAAGAGTCTTGTAAGGGATCAACGTGTTCTTTATGACATTAACACAGAATAAAAACAAGGGAACGGTGTATTCACATGAGTTAAACTAATACTAGATTAACTGCAAAAACACTGAGTGGTTAACAAAAGATTTCAGTTTTACTGGGATCCCAGCTAAACTACACATTTCATTAGATGTTTAATTTAAGTAGATGTCTCATCAGGAGAACTGTGGGGGCATTGGGTATTTAACCTATTCACACCCTCTAAATATGAGAGAATTATAATGTCAATGTGTTGGCTCGTAATGAGTAAACTAGGATTTAAAGGGGCGGTTCAGATCTTTTAAAATTAATTAATGTGAACAGGAAATGAGGAAGTTATAAATAACTTCCTGAACAACCTCTTATTTTGGATTAGATTGATAAGCTAACGGCTAGTCACAGTAAATCCAAGGCTAAAGCAGATTTCTTTCTTAAAATAACTTTAATCTCAGAATTTCATTAATCCAGCTCTGAACATGGGCCGTTAAAAGCTTTTCAGCAGAAACCCATTTTAACAGACCCGCACTGTCTCTTTAATACAACATTACAATCACTCATATTTTGGAATGGAATTAAGCCGATGTTTGAGATTTTGAAATATTTATCTTAAATGTGTAACAGTATAGATTATCATAGCATATCAGAACCTAATTCCCTAAGATTAGTTTTGGGTTCAAGAAATGGTAACAGAGTAAAGAGCTAAATCATTTTTAATGGCAATTTTTTCTTCTAATATTCATATTTTTATTAAATTACTGCCAAAAATGCAAAAAACTTAACACTTCAAATGTGAATCCTGTAAAACAGCATTTTTTTTTATCTAGACCTATTCTATTCTCTCTAAAAAGATTATAAGGCAATGTTGAGTTTTCAGTTTATTTGACATATTTGAGGGAACCTCTTAATAGTTTATTTTACATATTTGAAAGGAAGTGTTTGTAGTGTTTTTGGACTGGAACTTTTGAGTTGGTGGTGAACGACTTCATATCAGGAGAATATTTTTGTGTAAATAATCCAAATTCAATAGTGATATTTGACTCTTAAGGAAAACAAACTGCACGTTTTGTACACTGTATAGAGTACACAACTTCAAAGGGAAGTTGTTTCTACTGGATCTTTGGGCAAACGAGTAAATCTTGACGATGTAGACTCCTGTTTTGCATCGCTCTGCGGAGCGTGGAGCGTTTTCTGACTTGAGGGTTTTGACAGCTGATGCTGATTACGGTGTCTTTACTGAGAAGATGGCTGGAACATGTTTTGATAACTAATAACAAAGCTATACTTGGCTGGCTATGAAATCGACTGTTACATTTAAGAAATTTTTTATTTCTGTGTGGTTTATTCTTAGCGTTTGATTTCACAGACGGGATGAAAAGCACCGCAGTGGAGAACACTGTCCACTCTGCTTGCAGCCCGTGATGCCGTCTAATGTAAATACCGCAGTTTTCTTTTTTAAGACCGTTGTTTTAAGTTTTTTTTTTAATAGGTTTGATATTTTATTCACAAATAATCATTTAGTGTTGCCTTTTTTTTTCCCAGTGACCAAAATCCAATGTCTTTTGTGTAGATTAGACATTGATCTTAGTGTCAGGGACAAGTAAATGTTTCTTAATGCTGGCACACTTTGTACATAGACTTGTTAATGACACGCAAACCTCCAGTTAATCACATGCACACGTATACACTTGACTAAAACAAGTTTTTATATTGTCAGAAAAAAATCTGGATGCATGTTTATTTTATTTTTTAAGTGAGTTAGACACAATTGTATAAACACACAAGGGCTTTTAAAGTGCAAAAGTTGAAATCTGTACAGAGGTTTTAATGGAAGTAGACTGGAACTCCTGCCAGAGCTAGGCTATGTTTACATTTGCTGTAGTATTCTGAAGCCTTCCAAATATGTACTGTCTTGCACTCCTTCACACACGTTAACCCACGTCTGACTTGTGTGACTTCACCAATGGCAACTAGCACTTCCTGGATTATCACTCCACCATGCAGGTTTATCTCGAGGTTTCCATTCTACCCACTCCTAATCAATCAAATCAATCAAACTTTATTTCAGACAAGGGATATGTCACTCCTAATCTGCTATGCTTGATTCTTGTGTCCACATCTCATCTAATAGCTGATATATGAAAACATGACCTGTGTTAACTCAGAGCTAAGGTTTACTTGAGTTTTCCTTTGAGACATTTCGTCAGTTGTTAGGTGTGTTTTATTTGCTTTGCTCGGTTGTAACTTCTGATATATATTTGTTTTTATGGTGTTAAACCTCTCTAATGCTGCATTTAATGCTCTTCTTATACAGGTTGTCTCATCACCGATCAGACATGGAAAATCATTCATCTAATGGATAGAAACGTATCAAATCTGTAGCCTAATACTTTTAAGTGCCCTGTCTATTTTGCATTCAAATCATTAACCACCCACTGTAATGCATGATGGATGATCACAATGTTTAATCAGAAGGAATGAATGCCGTTTTTCCTTAAGTTTCATTATTAAATAGGGTTACCATATCACTACATAGACCACCTCTACATGATCTTATGCAATGTTTAACCCTTTGATGCATAATGGTCACTACAGTGGACAGGTACTCAAAATTGTTATTTCTTTATTTTTGCTATTAAGCACAGCTGTTGAAGACTTTATTGCATTTGAGCCTCTTCATTTGGACTTCAGTAAGTCAAGCCAACATATTTCATGTTCAGAATGCACGTTGTCCACTAAGATGGACATGTAATAAATTATTTGTAAATTAACAAAATGGTACAAAAAATATTTGTTGAAATTTGTGTCATTCACACCTAAAGATGAATGAAAAAAATTGTTTAAAAAATCATGGTTGAAGATTTCATAATTCATGCATCAGAGGGTTAAAATATACGTTGAGAGGTAAGACATAAATTTATATGGTCTTGCATAAGTAAACCCAATAAAAATGTTGTCATTCACACCTGTCTACTTGCATTTGTGTCTGACCTTTTTCGTCTTTTGCATCTGATTGATGTGAATATTTTTAGGCTGTCCCAACACCAGACCAATGAACCACAAGTAAAAATGTGAAATATTAGTAAATGGCGTCCTCTGGTGTCGTCAGTCAGAATTACCAGTAGCCTGAAGTAAAGTTTTTATTTTTATTTGGATCAATGTACACCTGTCACTAAACTGTGTTAAAATGCACACGCAAATAAATGAAACTTGGCCGTAAAAACAAAACTTTCACTAGGCTGAACGGCCTGTTGTCTAAGCAAAGATGATATGCGATACAAGATAGAAATTCTACAATGTGAACAACACTCCTGCACTTCCGGTGCAAAAGTTTTCATTTTTTCTGTTAAAAGTTTTAGCCTACACTTAAGTTAATCCTTCCAGATCGTTAAAACCTATGTATTTTCTTTAAAACAGGTGTGCATGTTCGAAACGACAAATAGTTCATGTAACCTTTGGCGTTCCCTGTACACTATCGGCATCACTAGAAACGTTATAATGGAGGCTAACATGACAAATATGTGTGGTTTTGGTGCGTTAAAACACAAACAGTTAAAATGTAGATTAATGCCTTGTCTGATCTCCTTACACGTATTGAAGCAAAACCGGAAGTGAAGGACTGGTAATTATTTCGCTTCACTGTTTCTGTTCCGGAGTCTGAGCGGTTGGTTTTTCGGGAGGGAAACTTTACAAGGTTTAACGAGATTCGAGCTCGATTAATTCATTTCGCTTTATTATCGAAGCCAGTACAGCCACACTGAGAGGTAGGAGTTCATCATAATCGCAGAGATTTTAGTTTTCTCGTGTATCGTGATATTTTGCCCGCTTCAATTTGCGCCATTTTCGCTAGTTTGGTAACGCATAAATGTGCGCCTTTCAGCTCCGGCTTTCTTTGTCCCTATATATTTAAAGGATTGTCACATGTTTGCTCCTTGTATGCCTTTTCCTGTCGTTCCCTGCCAAAGCAGTCTCATAGGTACTGATTAGCGTCAAAATTAGAGCGGTTGCCACTTTTCTGTCGTCCTAAATTGTGTCTAAATCAAGTGCAGTTGCGCATTTTTCTGCTGCATCAGGCCGTGTCTGACGCTAACAGCGCGATTCTGGCGCACATGAGTTAGCTTGGCAAGCTAACATGCTAGCCTGCTAATCCTTTAGCCATTTTCGTCAGTTTCTAAACACTGAACACAACTTTACAGCATAGTTCAGTGAGTATTAAACGAATAAAGCATCACAAATTAAGATTTGGACGGCTATTTTAGATTATAAGTTATAAACTAAAACGTTAAAGCATCTGCTGGAGTCCTGTTTACCACAACCGGCTAACTTCACTAGCTTTTCAGGAACGATAATTTCCCGCATTAGACTTGCTAAATGCTTATTCAATTCCGATAAAATTATTATTGATCACTTTCGAAAAGGATACCAAACTACATGTGTTTGTGTGGTTTGTAAACAGCGAGGCGACACTTTGGACCCTGTTTATTATTGTTTACTCCCACCATTACCCTGTGAAACATCGCTGCTGTAGGAATCACAAGTTGGTAAAGGTTGTGTTGAGTTTTAATTGTATTCAGGTGATAAAAGCTTTTTAAAGGCATAGAGGAAGATGATCTTAATTCACACGCTTTTAATGTGCGGGAAGTCTTCTTGTCTGATCACAGCAGTACACAGTTAATGATTTTGTTTTAAACTTCTTGTTGTTGTACATGAGATGGTTGATTTATGTAGGCAATTTATAATCTAGTTTGTTAACATCTGTTTAAACTGGCTCAGTATATATATATATATATATATTTCAATATAAAATGTTTCTCTGCTCTTTGAATATACAAAATGGTTAACTTGGACTTTAAAAATAAAAAAAAATGTCCATAGTTGTGTTGTTATAAGCCCAAAAGACGAGGTTAAGAAGTAGATCTCAGCATCTCCTTTTAGAGTTTAAAAGCCTTGTTTCTGAATTCTAATTTTCTCTCATTTCAGGAGTCTGAAAATCATGTCAGGCATTGCACTAAGCCGGCTTGCCCAGGAGCGCAAGGCATGGCGGAAGGACCATCCATTTGTAAGTGGTGCTTCAGAAGATTTAATTGTTTTACTGTCACATCAAGACATTTCCTGTAATGACTGGTGGTACTCTCTCCATCAATTTTCCAGGGATTTGTAGCCGTACCAACAAAAAATCCAGATTTAACCATGAATCTCATGAACTGGGAATGTGCAATTCCAGGGAAAAAAGGGGTAAAGACCAACATCAACTGCTAATAATAACCTATCTTGGAGTTTTGTATGTAGCAAACATGCATGATGTATGTCTGCATTAAACTTGAGTTTTACAGTGCGTTGTTAAAAATCAAACCGCAAGCTTGTACAAACACGATTTTTTTTCTGCAAATCGAATCCGATGTTCTTGTTTCTTTCTAGACTCCGTGGGAAGGAGGTTTGTTCAAACTGCGCATGTTGTTTAAGGACGACTATCCTTCTTCACCTCCAAAATGTGAGTTCTCTCAGTATCTAAACTGTTGACACAAACACCTGTTCACAATGCAGAAGAAGCTTCCTTTGATCTCAGATTTATTCGCTAGTTAGAAGGAATGGTAAAGAAAATGCAGACTAATATTAATAATAATACATGAGCTCCCTGTGTGTTTCGTCATAAGCAGGTGTGACTTGTTTCCTCAGGCTTGCATCTGCATGTCTTTTGTTGTGCTGTTTAAGACTGTCTCTAATTCTGATCTGATTTTAATACTAAACTGTGCACTAAATTAAGATTTAAGTTGTTTAAGTTCAGTATTTAAACTGGTTCAGGTTCAGAAATGATGCACATCAAATGTTACCAGTAAAATTTTAGCCTGCACATAAAGCGGGAAAATTCTAGATGTCACCCATGAAAGTCAGCCTTAGAAAATCGGCAGCATGTCACACATCGGCTGCCCCTGACAGCTAAGTATTAGCATCAGTGTCAGGATCCAATGCAATAGAAAACCCCACATCATGGATCTCTAGTCAGTAATATAACTATTCCTGGCTATTCCTGCTGTTTCAAATCCACGGGACATGTAGGTCGTGACTTTGGCTACATTTACATCGCTGGTCTTGATGCTCAATTCCGATTTATTCATTTTTATTAAGTGTGTGTGTTAGGGATGTCCCATTCAGGTTTTTTTGCCCTCGAGTCCGAGTCATTTGATTTTGAGGATCTGTCGATACAGAGTCCTGATCCGGTACTTTCGATACATAAAAAAAATAAAGAAAAGGAAGAAACAGTTCCAGAATGTTCCTCATCTTTTATTTAATTACCTTTTTATTTAAAATTTAACAACAGATCACTTCTGTGAGGTAGCTTGAACAATCAAGTAATAAATAACATAAATTCTTCACTTTTGGACTTTATTGCAAATATAAAAAGTCTAATATAAAAACAGATAGCACTTCAACTTAAAATACCTGGCAGGGGTCTATTTTGCCTCGGCCCCCAAAATGCTTAGATACGCCCCTGGGTATGGGACGGAGTTTTGAAGATGATCTGAATTTCATCAACTATATAAATACTACATGCTGGTAAATGATTGCTTTATACAGGTACAAACGTGTAGTGGGGTAAATCTACCTACATTTTATTTTTTTAAGAACTTTGTTTTGTTATCTTGGTTTTTATTTTCCTATCTTCCTGTCCTGTCTGCCTCTGATCTTCCTGCATCTCCCAGTCCTCCAGAAAAACTCCTGCCTGCTTCCTTCTTTTTCACCTCACAAGTAACTTTTTAACTAGCAGATCAAATTGATCTATTGACCGCAAATAAAGCGGAGTGTGCGCTGCGCTAACCGGCTGCGCCAGTTGCGCTGCAGCGGGAGCGCGTCATGCTCAAATTCAGACAGAACTTACCAGAGAGGAAATGAATGGACACGAATGACTGTGTGTTAATTATGTATTTTTTGGTGACGCCACTTAAAAACTTAGAAAATGTTACTGTGGCCGTGTGCAGAACGCAGCTGGAGTTCATGAATAATCAGCGGTCTGCCTGCCGCTCTCTTCATCACTGCTCAGAAGAATCCCCGCTATGCTGAGTCCATATAAATAATCTAATATAGGTAGAAACTGGATCTTTTTTGTTCTCCTTCTGGGTGTGTATGTTAAGGGCATCAGAGGAGCCTGACAACCTTAAGGAGAACCAACTTGCTCTCCTATAATTTGAACGGAAGTAAAACCCGAGTCCCGAGTCTGAAACCACGTGATCGGGGCCGATTTCCGATCATGTGATCGGATCGGGACATCCTCTGTGTGTGTGTGTGTGTGTGTTTTCACATTATAACTGAAATACAACACTGAACACTCCAGTGTGAATGGTTGATGGCCCCAAAGCAACCTGCTTGTACAGAAGACAAGGGGTGTGTCTCAATGTCAAGGATCCTCACCTTGGTCCTGTCCCAGTTGCCTCTGAGATACGTCATCAGTTCATGTGGTACCAAGGCGTCTGTCCTCCGTTTGTTAGCCATGTATCTAACTGAGCAAGGACACATGAGGTGCCTTGTTGCCTTCTCTTGGTCAAAAGTTTCCCAGATCAGGAGCCAGCATCTACTTCTGGAGCAAATTTCCAGTTTAAGTGGAAGTCAACTAACTGTAGCTATCGGGCTGATACCTAAAATGATTTTTAGATCCAAAGCAGTTATCTATGGTTGGTTAGTTGCTTTGGGCACCAACCCACTTAGTTTTTTTAACCAGTACATACTCAATAAAAAAAGTAAAAGGCTTGTTATACATTTATATTGAAACTTATACATATGAAATACAACTTTACGTCACGTGATGCAAGTCTGTTGCATTTACTGTTTTCTTTGACCAAGGAAGGGCAGTGTCCTTGTAAGCAAGGCACCTTACCTGCCAAGGCGAGGTGCCTTGACATTGAGAACACCCAAGAAGTCACAGTCAGTGGAGGCAGAACCAGGAGGGATGGAGTTGTGATGTGAAAACCTGCACTGACAGTTCACCCAAAATTTCAGGATCACACCTGTCAAGTCTCCTGTTTTGGGCTGGAAACTGTTTTAAAAATCATTTTACTTCTTATTCCCGCCGTCTTCCTGTATTAGTACTCCCTGAAAATGTTTGGTATTAAGTTCATTCACGGAGAACACACCCCAACGCCCTGAGATGCTTGGCTCTAGCAGCAGCACCTCCTGCTGTCACACTTTTCTGTGTTTTTAATTTCAAAAGTTGACAGGATGTCCAGATAGACCCCTGAATCCCTCTGTCAGCACGTCTCCTCAGGAATGTCAACACGTGGCGCTCTCCTCCGCTGACTCGATGATGTAGGAGACAGATTTAATGCGACATGGCCGTTCAGACTGCAATCACTTTCAAAAACATCATATTGAATTCCGTACCACATATGAAAGTGACCCGGATCAGTTTTATATCTATCGGCATGAATATCAGTATCGACAGATGTTAGCCGTTTTTTAACATATCGGTATCGATCCAATGAATAAAACTGGGCCGATATTAACAACCAATACTTTTCCATCTTGTTTCCATTTATCTGTTTCAGATGGTGAAGGGGAGATGTGTGCTTGTTTAGTCATGTGACAGTGATAGTAATCATCTCCAAATCATAAATGTGTGTGGTGTGTACATAACATAAATTCAGCTTTAATAATTTTGATTCTATACAAAATCTGATTTACAAATAAATTCTTTAAAAATCCTGCCATGTGAATTCATGGATTTTTTTTCACATTCTGTCTCTCACAATTGAAGTGTACCTAATGATGTAAATTACTAACCTCTGTCATCATTTTAAGTGGGAGAACTTGCACAATCGGTGGCTGACTAAATACTTTTTTGCCCCACTGTAAAAGCCCTAAAAAAACTGCACATAAAATATATTTTTAAAACGATATTCAGTTATAGGGTTGGCCATCGTTTGATTTTGAACGATTCCAATTCCTTGTTTTGATTCCGGTTCCTATCGATTCCCGATTCCGATTCTTTCAAGACATGACATGTTTTACATGAGCCAGCTAACCGCAGGTCCTACTTGATGAAATAATCTCAACTTCAACATGAATTCTAATTCTATGAACAACAGCATCACTTTCATTTAGACAAAAACATGTTTTGGAGAAAAAAAGAAAAAGACTTTCAGCACAACCAGTGTGTTTGTTTCTGAGCACAACCAAAGTGTGGAAGAAGCCTTTGGGATGAGAAGCTAAATGTCTCCAACATATCCAGAAACGTCCAGCTGTTTTCAGCTAAAACTCTCAGGATGATCATGTCCAGGATGACTGAGAACTACACCTCCATGCTGCAGCAGCTTCAGTCAGAACAGAAAGTGACACTTAAATGTAGCTGCTGTCAGTAACAATCTAACAGATTTTAAACATTAAAACTCAACAGAAATAGTTCAGAAAGGAAATTAAAATGTTCACCACTTTGTGTGTGATTTAATATTGTTATTAGAATTATTTAGAAATAATGCTGCTCTAGCATGATGACTTTTAATTATTCTACAGGTTATTGTTCAGCCTTCTGGCGCTCACACACACACACGAGTGTTGGTGAGTGGCTGCTTCTGATTGCTGATGCTCCGTGTGTGTTTTTATTTCTGCAGTGAGACAAACTCACCTCACACCGTCCAGAGTTTGTTCTTTAACGCTTCTATTAAATCCACCATGTTGATGTATTTAACAAGTTTCCTCTACGCTGCAGGAATTAAAGTTTACATTAAGGAGTAAAAGTTCGGCAGACGTGTTTGTTTATATTTGGCCGCTACGCACCGGGTGGGGGGAGGGGGGACTCGGTGCTGCACACACACACACAGCTGGTGTGGTCAGCTCTGAAAAGCGTTGATCACAATTTGCAGATCACGTTTATTTTTCACGGAAATCGGCCGCAAATTCATCTTCCGGTCGGCATTCTAGGACTCGAAACTAGGAATCGAAATGAAAAACTTTGAACGATTCTGGGAAAAACTAACAGTTGGAACCGGTTCTAATCGATGCTCAACCCTATCACTTATCACTTAGAGCAGTGGTTCCCAAACATTTCAGCCTGACCAACAGATGTTCCTTCGTATTGTTACGTTATTTAGAAATTTTCATTATATTTGGAAAGTTGTAATTTACATATAAATATAAAAATCTCTTTTTCAATTTTATTTTATATTTAACTTTTTTATGATCATGTGGCACACTTTGACTTCCATATGTAACGCATCGGCATCTGCCTCTTTTTATGGCCTTTTTTTACATTGTCGCTACGTCTGTCATGTTAGCGGTGTTTTTACCATCATTTCTACATCCATCACGTCCCAAAGAAGGTTAAACCAACATCAAACCCAACTTTTGGAGCTTGTAAGCTCCACACACCTCTCGTGCAGCACCAGCTGTCTGATGCTGCAGCAGCGTCAAGCTTTCCGACTGGATGAGTTAATTTTTTCATCAGAGTCAATATTCTGCTTCATAATCCGAGTCAGTCATTACCAGACAAAGTGATCAGTCAACAAAGACCAGACCTGTCGTCGGCAATTATACGTTTTATCTAATATTTGCGCTATTCATGCTGCACACATCTCCTCCTCTCCCCGACTGGGAGCCTCTTGCCTTGAGGAGTTTTTCAAGCTCTTAAAAACTCCAAAACTTTGCTCAGCCTGAATGTCACACATCTCCACTATCTTCTGGTGTAAAGTAGTAACTTCATGAGGGATCATATTTGTAGATGAGACTTGTTAAAGTCAGCAATGAGACTTTGGCGCTTATAACGAGTAAGTCCCAACACCGACAACAATGTACTGAAACTATAACCAACATGCATAAACAGACAGATCGGTCCTGCCTACTTACACGGTTGATTACTGCGTATTTAAAAAGACCGTCGCTTACCTTTTTCGCTTCATCCTGCATCCTAGCAGCAATCACTATGGTGCCTCTGGAGTTGGTGTTTGTTTACGTCATGCTGCATTCAATGTAATTGGAAAAAGGAGCTTCAAGCGCTTAACCTCAGATTTTGTTTTCTTTCTGGCCTTAGTGCGGGGGACGGATCGGCGTCGATTTGAATCTGGGGGGGGACCCCACCCTAATAGCGTGCCTGAGTCACAGCACGCTCTTCAGTGCTTACTGACTGCAGGATTCTGTGATGTTATTATTCCCAGGGTTTGATCCAAACAGCCACGACCGCCATCATTACCATACCATACCACTTTATTTATATAGCGCTTTCAACACGGCATTACAACCATACAAAGCGCTGCACAAAAAACAAGCAAGAAAACACAAGTTAAAATAGTCAGGTAGATAGAAAATGTAAAAAGGAGCAAAGAAATAAAACAACAGACTATTAACAGTAAAAGCAAATAAAACCAGAATATAAAAACACAAAATTAAAATTGAATTGTCTAGGAGGGACAATGGTTGAGCTAAGGAGTTATGGAATTAGGGATCGAATGCGTAAGTGAAGTAGAGGGTCTTCAGACGAGATTTAAAGACGCCGATAGAGGAAGCTTGCCTAACCTGCAGTGGTAATGAGTTCCATAACTTTGGGGCACAGACTGAAAAAGCCCTTTCCCCACGAGTTCAAACGTGCCTTAGGGACAGTTAAGAGGAGTTGATCTTCAGACCTAAGAGCTCGAGGAGGGTGATAGTAATGAAGGAGATCACACAGATAGGGAGGCGCTTGACCGTTCAAGGATTTGAACGTGAGAAGTAAAATTTTATAATTGATCCTGAATTTAACGGGCAACCAGTGAAGCGTTTTAAGAATAGGTGAGATGTGGTGTCTTCTTTCAGCTCCAGTCAAGAACCTTGCTGCAGAATTCTGAACAAGCTGAAGCCTAGACAAAGCCGCCTCACTGATACCGTAGAAACAGGAGTTTGAATAAACCAACCGAGAAGTGATGAATGCATGAATCACAGATTGTAGAAGACGAACACTCAGGATGGACTTTAATTTTGAAATACGTCTAAGATGGTAAAAGCAGGACCTGACCGTGCTATTGACCTGAGCATCCATCTTCAGAGCTGAATCTTCACTAGAACTAGAACTTTCAAAGTGCACTTTAACTTATTTATCAGTGCTGCAGCAGTGGAACCTGTTAATTTGTGTTTGTTTATTTTATTTATAATTATTCAATATATTGTCTTTGCAAACTATTTCAACGTGTTGTGTATTCTGTGAGCTGGAGCCTTAAAGGGTCGCCTGGCCAATTCCAGCTTGTCATTCCTCGCCTTAGGTTTGAAAAGAGGCGGGCAGTATACATTTCCTCAAGGAATGGTGTGCCTTTAGTTTGTTTATTCATGTGTTGGATCAGGTTTTTGTTAATGATCTTAAACCTGAGTTGTTTTCCAGGTAAATTTGAACCTCCACTCTTCCATCCAAATGTGTATCCATCAGGCACAGTATGCCTATCTATTCTAGAGGAGGACAAGGACTGGAGACCAGCCATCACAATAAAGCAGGTTTGCAGTTTTACTTTCACTACTCTGACTCTGCATCAGTCTTTTGGTCGTGTCTCTGATCATATTTTCCATAACCTTATAGTAATTATGCACAAGCTATTGTTCAAGTTTATGGTATAAAGTCAACCTGGCTTTAGTAGGAGTCCCATTTATTCTGGAAAGCTTTAGTATATGACCTGGCAGTAATATTGGTATATTTGTTTTCTAGATCTTATTAGGTATCCAGGAACTCCTAAACGAGCCCAATATCCAGGATCCAGCCCAAGCAGAGGCTTACACAATCTACTGGTACATACCCTTTAATTCCTTCTGCTATGTATCTAATAGTATACTAACATCTAAAATAAAGTGTCTAAAATAGTTTAGTCTTTTATTACAGGTAAGTTAGTAAGGCGTCTTTTTTTTTTAGGGCCAAAACATTAAACGATCATTTCTAGTTCTTATTCATTCTGTTTTCTATCTATTTATTTATTTATGTATTTGTTTGTTTGCTCTAAGTACTTATTTGTGTTGTAAAGTCTAGAAAAGCTCCACCATGACTCTTATCTGTGTCTTTTAGCCAAAACAGAGTAGAATATGAAAAAAGAGTTCGAGCACAAGCCAAAAAGTACTCTCCCCCGTAAGAGGCGAAGACTGGCTCGGCTGCGGCAGAAGGAATGGGTTTAACGAGAATCACCTCCCCGCTCGGTCTCTCGATGAATGTGCTCCTCTCACATCAGGACTCGCTTAAAGACTTTCTATTTAAACTCCACACATTCTGTGCCATCCCTTCTCCTTTCACATCTCAACTTTTTTCTTAATTGCCCGTTGGCGTTATGCTGAGAGGGGACGGGTGCTTTGGCAGCACCCAGGTCATTTCTTCTAAAACATTGTCTTATGTGGTGTGAGGGACAGCCTCCGATCCATCGACTCCATGCAAGCTGGCTGTCATCCGTGTCCATGGAAAATTTAAATAAACAAAGTCTTTGTTTTATTTTACTCTTTCACAGGGTCCCTTCCTTTTTGATTTCCTTTTATTTTCCATAAATTTAATGTAAAATTGGCTTCTTTCATTGTCAGTATTTGAACTGCTGTATAATGAATGGCACTTTTCTACCGTTGTATCTCCCTAGTGTCTAGATGGCTCTGTCTCATTTTCTTTCCCAGTATTTTCTATTCAGCATGCTGTAATATACTATAGAATCTGCTGCCTTGGCTGTCTTTTTGTTATTCAGAGTGTTTGCTATGGATTCAATGAAAATAGCCACAGTGACTGAGGCAGGTAGGCTTATACTTCTGTACTTCAGACTTTAAGGTTATATGGTGCTTTGTCATGTATGTGTTGGCTTAATAAAACTTTCTACAAAATGTAGCCATGTCTTTTTTTATTGCAGAAAATGCAAAGAACAATTTAAACATGTTGAATTTCATAAATGTACGTCAGTAGCAGTATCCTACTAAATAATGTTGCATGATAAAATGAATATAGTGACAAACTGGCTGTAGATAAATGCAGCAACATGCAACCAAGCGTAACGTTTCTTTCATTCTCCGGCTGTGCTCATGTTGAGAATCGGTGCTGAGCCAGGGCCCCCTGGTGCCCTCCTGCAGCACAGCCAGACTGCTGGAAGCAGCTCAGGGTGCAGTACTCGTTGCAGTACCAGGGAGGCTCTTTCTCCAGAGAGGTGTCGCTGCTGAGCCAGCACCCTGAGTCATCAGCTGGGCTCCATGTTTCAGACCATGCAGGAGTCTTTCCTGAACTCCCCTGAGCTGACAGCCAGCCCACACTGTCGCCTGTGTCCGGGGTGCTGAGGTCAGCATCGCAGGTTGAGGTGGGCACGTTGCTGTATTCCCTCCCCTCCATCACTTGATGTTCAAACATGGCTGGATACTCATCATCTGGGATGGCCACAAATTTAATCAGGGTGTCGATTTGAAGCGTTTCCTCTTCTTTCAGTGCATCTGGGTTTTCTTGAGTAACAACCCAGCTCTGCAACCAGTAATGATTAGAAACACGACAACTTCAGCTGTTTGACATGAAAAAGGCTCAAAGTACCTTAAAGTCTCCCTGGTAGTCTTTGTATAATCCGTGGAAGTATGGAGCAGGAGTTGGGATGAAGGTTCTTTGCCTCCAGCTGTTGAAACATGTTGGGATGTTTTTACTGAGCAAAAAATTATTTGTTGAATCGTCATTCAAACTCACAAGGGCCTTACACTTTAACAGGCCCGTAGCACAAAAGCAAGATGACCGCTCCCATCACTGACAGGGCAGCAAACCCCACACACAGTTCAAACGATGGGAAACCTGTGAGGACCAACAGAAGTGTGTGTGAAGAACAAAGGATCTGATCCTAGTTCCGGGCTTCAGGAGGACAAACCCACCATTTGAAATTGATTCTGTCCTCCAAAGAACATCAGAGGACCAGTCACTCCACTGACCCATATAATGGACCATGTTTGGACTGGACCGCACTCTGGCAGCATACTTGGTGTCTGGCACAAGGTTCTCCTCCTTCACAGAGATTTTGGTGTCGTCTGTGTTGATTTGGGTTCCCACCTAGTCAAAGAGCCAACAGAGAAAGTAAAGTTCCGTTTTTGGGGATGAAATTTGTCCTAAACAACTGTGAAGACTGACACTGAACCGAACAACTATTAGCAAGAAGATGGACAACAGCATCGTGCGTTTATGAAGAATATATTTTGGTATTTTTGTGCAAACAGTCACTAATCAAAATATACAAACATAAGAGGGGTAAAGAAATGCAAACAAAAATAGAATGTGCACTAATTAAAATGTTTACAGTATGAAATCGGACTATTCACGACTTTATTTCCTCTACAGACTGAAAGGGTCTAGCTCAAAGATATAAACATACGTCTTTAAATGATTTCTCCATTCAGTTCACAGCAAGGTGCAATATGTCATTTCATATTTATATTTTTATTTTATTATTTTTATTAGAGTGACTCGTACCGCAGCATGCTCATCTGTTTTGTAGAGAAACAGTTGATACTGCAGATATTTTGGCAGCTGTGTGGAAGAACTGTACTCCTCGTATGTGCTCTTCCAGATGAAGTGGTACTCACTGGAGTTGTAGCTGACTGTGAGGCAACACGGTGCGTTTGGTTTAACTGGTGAGAAGATATTTGATCACATTAAACACACACACACACACACACTTGGCCATTAAATCAGCTGTTCCTTACTGTTATTAACTGGCTCGTACGCTTCATCCAGGACTTCACACATGTCAGAGCCACCACCTTGGCTCTGACAAAGTGAGATTTCATACAATGATAAGTCCGTAAACATCTCTGAGGAATAATCATCTGCTTCTGACACTCTGATGGAGCAGAAATAACCATCCGAGGTGATTGTCAAAGAACAATCATATGTGTCTCTGTGAGGAAAAAAGTTGATATCATTATCATCATCACCATTATCATTATTATCATCACCATCGTCATCATTATTATCATCACCATTATCGTTATTATCATCATCATCACCATTGTCATCATTGTTATCATCATCATCATCACCATCGTCATCATTATTATCATCATCACCATTATAATTATTATCATCACCATTGTCATCGTTATCATCATCATCATCACCATCGTCATCATTATTATCATCATCACCATTATAATTATTATCATCACCATTGTCATCATTATTATCGTCATCACCATTATCATTATTATCATCATCATCATCACCATTGTCATCATTATGATCATCATCACCATTATCATTATTATCATCATCACCATTGTCATCATTATTATCATCATCATCATTATTATCATCATCACCATCGTCGTCATCATCACCACTGTCATCATTATAATCATCATCACCATTGTCATCATTATGATCATCATCACCATTATCATTATCATCATCACCATCGTCATCATCATCACCATTGTCATCATTATTATCATCATCATCATTATTATCATCACCATCGTCGTCATCATCACCATTGTCATCATTATAATCATCATCACCATTGTCATCATTATGATCATCATCACCATTATCATTATTATCATCATCACCATCGTCATCATCATCACCATTGTCATCATTATTATCATCATCACCATCGTCGTCATCATCACCATTGTCATCATTATAATCATCATCACCATTATCATCATTATCATCATCATCACCATTATCATTATTATCATCATCATCACCATCATCATCATTATTATCGTCATCATTATTATCATCATCATCACCATTCTCATAATTATCACCTTCATCATCATCACCATCATCATCATTATTATCGTCATCATTATTATTGCCATCATCATCACCATTCTCATCATTATCATCTTCATCATCGTAATTATCATCATCATCATCATCACCATCGTCATCATTATTATTGTCATCATTATTATCATCATCACCATTCTCATAATTATCACCTTCATCATCATCACCATCATCATCATTATTATTGTCATCATTATTATCATCTTCTTCATCATCATCACCATTGCCATCATTATTATCATTTTCATCATCATCGTAATTATCATCATCATCACCATTGTTATCATTATTATCATTTTCATCATCATCGTAATTATCATCTTCATCACCATCGTTATCATTATTGTCATCATCTTCAACATCACCATCATCATCACCATCAACATCGTCATCGTTATTATCATCTTCATCATCATCATTATTATCATCATCATTACCATCATCATCATTATTATCATCACCTTCGTCATCATCACCATCGTCATCATTATTGTCTTCATCATCATCACCAGTCATTATTATCATCACCTTCATCATCATCGTAATTATCATCATCATCACATCACCATCATCATCATTACCATTGTCATCATCATCATCATCTGTATCATCAATATCATCATCATCATCATCGTCTTCTTCATCATCATCTACATCATAGTCGTTCATCATCATCTTCATCAACATCATCACCATCTTCATCATCATCATCTTCATCACCATCAACATCATCATCATTATTATCATCATCTTCATCATCACCATCACCAACATCATCATCATCATCACCATCATCATCATCGCCTTCATCAATGATCAATGATCGTCGTCATCATCATCATCGTAATCGTCATCATCACCATCATCATCTTTATCATCAATACCATCATTATCATCCTTGTAATTGTTATCATCTTCATCATCACCTTCATCATCACCATCAACTCCATCATCACTGTCATCATCATGACCAAAAAGAAGAAACTTGGCCTAGATCCCACTAACTTTACTAGTCCACGTCGTATTTCCAATCCACCCTTTATCTCCAAAGTTCTTGAAAAATCGATTGCCTCTCATTTACACAACCGCCTCATCACCAGTAACATCTACGAACAGTTTCTGGCTTCCGTCCTCTTCACAGCACTGAAAAGGCACATCTCAAAATCACCAGTGACCTTCTCGCCTCTGAATCTGGTTTATTGTCCATTCTCATCCTTCTTGATCTCACAGCAGCATTTGACACCATCTCCCAAAGCAGTCTTCTTAGCAGGCTGTCATCTATAGGTAGAACTCACATTCCTATTGCCTGATTCACCACCACCACCACCACATCATCATCATCGTTGTCATCATCATCATCATCATCATCATCATCATCATCATCATCACCATCATCATCATCTTTATCAGAGACACATCATCATCATCATTGTTATCATCATCATCTTTATCATCATCATCTTTATCAGAGACACATCATCATCATCATTGTTATCATCATCATCATCGTTGTCATCATCATCGTTGTCATCATCATCATCACCATCATCATCATCTTTATCAGAGACACATCATCATCATCATTGTTATCATCATCATCTTTATCATCATCATCTTTATCAGAGACACATCATCATCATCATCATCAATTATCATCATCATCATCTTTATCATCATTATCATCATTGTTATCATCATCATAATCTTTAACAGAGACACATCATCATCTGTATCATCATTATCATCAATATCATCATCATCGTTGTCTTCATCATCATCTACATCATAGTCATTCATCATCATCATCTTCATCATCATCATTGACATTAAAGTAGAGTTATTAAATAATAAAAGAAGATTCCTCACAGAGTATACTTTTCCTTGATGGTGAGCCAGTAGGAAGCATTTCTTGATGGTTCAATTTTCAGGGAGCAGTTGAGAGTCAACAAGTAATCATTCACACAGTGAAGATGGTGATCAAATCCTGAAACACACACACACACACACACACACACACACACACACACACACGCATGCATTCACTTGTTAATTGATTCAACAATAACGAGACATGATTATTGTATGTTTAAACTCACAGGAGCTCTCTGAACTAAAATCATTCAGAGACATTTAAACATCATTTTCAAACATCTGGGTGGTATTTGAAAAGTTTCACATCTTCAGATTTCAACTTTTTTTTCAAAGTACTTGCATTCTTCAGAAACATGCATTTAAATTAAAGCTACCTTCTTCTTTTTTTTGGTCATTTAAAAAAAATATTTATTTGACTCATTCTTTGCTGTCATCAAGCGAAACTCCAAATAAAACATAATTAATGATTAACCCTCTGGAGGCAGGCGTTGCAGATTTGCAACATTAAAACCTACCTACCTGGTTACTCCACATACGTATTTCATGAGCATTTTTAACTCAGAAATACCCCTGAAGGACTTAGTTGTTCATCCTTTTTATCAAAACTTATTTTGAGCCTGAGGTCAAAAGCTGCTCCTCAGTCAAATACACAACACAACACAAGCATGATGCTGATTTCCACAGCATTTTTCACAACTTTCATTTGAAGCTCTTTAAAATGTGCTTGAGGACTGATGTTCACCCTAAAACCAGATACGTAACGCTAACAGATGAATGAGTCAGAGAGCACACTGCAAAAACAGATTCTGAATAAAGGAAAAGTGATCATTTTAGACATTTTATCTTATTTTGATTCTAAAAGAAAGAAAGTCTTATCTGCAAAAACGGTGCTACTTAAAATAAGGTAAATATTCATAAACACGGTAAATGGCCTGTTTTTATATAGCACCTTCTTAGGGTTCTACACCCCCCCAAGGTGCTTCACAACACAGTCATTCACCCATTCACACACACATTCACACGTGGGCGATGATGAGCTATGATGTAGCCACAGCTGCCCTGGGGCGCACTGACAGAGGAGAGACTGCCCAGCACAGGCACCACCGGTCCCTCTGACCACCACCAGCAGGCAATGCAGGTTAAGTGTCTTGCCCAAGGACACAACAGAAGCATTCTCTGTCAGAAGCCGGGATTGAACCTGCAACCTACCGATTCCTGAACAACCTGCTCCACCTCCTGAGCTACTGCTGCCTCATGATCACAATTTTTGGGGGGGTTGATTAAAAGAATCTGCCAATGGCAAATAAAAGTAACATCCTAGTAGCTCATGTTTTTACTCAGAACTAGGAAATGTGTTTAAATTTAATAATATCTACCTCATTTGTTTACTTTCTACAAAATCAGTTTGCTGTGCACTTTCTTACTTTGTAGATCGTCAAGTCACGAATAAAAATGATTAGAGGACTCAAGCTTTCAACGCTGAATGTATTTTAAAACTTGCATCAACATTTCCGTGTGTGCATTTTTAATATGCATGTTTTATTTATAATGAGAAAAAATTAAAACAACAAAAATGGACGTCTATGAACCATCGTCAACTGAAACAGCAATTTCTTTCTTTTTTTAAGAGCATCTTACATTTGGCTGTTAATTGCTCAGCCGTGCCAAAGCGAAATAATAAGATGCAAGCAAAAATCAAAAACATGTCTTTTTATTTTAGTTTTTTAGTTTGTTTCTGCAGGTAAACACAGTTATTAGAAGAATATTCATGCATGAAACCAGATTCTGACCTGAGAACACATCTCCTTGCAGCCGCACGATGCCAGTGAAGTTGATTAGAAAGACGACCCACAGCAGCTCCTTCATGCTCAGAGGGGGATGAAGATCTATTGCTCTGACCAAGTCGAGATGTCAGAGGAGACTTAAGTCTTGAACACGCAGTGAGAGAGGGCAGGAGTCTGCCCCTCCACACCAGTGGAGGAAGAGGATGTGCTGCTGTTTAAACAGTAGCTTTACATTTTGGTTGAGTGACACGTTACTGCTGCAGATTAAAGTACAAGCCTCCTAGATTTATCACACAGAGTAATAACTCAGCTATTTTTAGCGTTGGTGTAATTTCGTTAAGACCATACTTTCTACTTTTCTCATTAAACTCAGCTTTGAACATCATCCAAACACATTTTTGCGTTAAATGACTTTTGAAAACTCAAAAGTGGACAGTGGACTAATATTTAACCTGTGATGAGATTCATTCTGGTTATATGTCTGCAGAAATAGATCAGTCTTGTTTCTCTTTTATACTTCACACCGGACCATCCTTAACAACGACCACTTTAATTCTGTCTCACACAGTCTTGGTTAATGCGTTGAGCAGCAGCAGTTGGTCAGGTAGCCCTCTTCTTTGTCCGTTTTCATTGATTTATTTTCTGAAAGCTACGGTGAAGGAGTTCGTGTTGATGGGCTTTGTAAATAGAACATAACCTTTGACATATGCATCTCAGGTGCACCGATGCCCACTTGATGACAAACCAGTTTTATGATTTCGTATCAAGACCCCTGCTGTGTTGGCTGCTGTGCAACATAAAAGTGTTTTGCAACCTCTTGTGCGCTGGCAGAAATTCGACTGAATGGCGCCTGGGTGTAGCTGTGATTCTGCAGCAGATAAGAGCAGAAAGTGAGGCCCACGGCTTCCTTCGGGGCTTCTGATTTAGTGATCGTGCTTGTTTGGTGGTGTACTCATCCCCCCGAGCTTCAGCATAACTTCGATCGACACAAAACTACAATGTAGATTTCACACGACAAACTAAGCTCTTGTGGCTCAAATTTAAAATAACTTCTTTGACCTCTCAGAGCGTTGCATGCTATCGCTCTGTCGGATGATTATGATAGGCAACATTTGAGTTTAAGTTGGGTGTCGCTATCAGAAATATCTCTGTGCTTCTGATCACTTCACCACAGAGCATATCTGAGGCCTATTTTCATTTACTGAAACCTAACTGTCCCCTGTCCCCCATCTTTCAAGCTGAATGCAGAAATGAGCAGTGGAAGATATCATGTGTCCATTACGCAAGACATGAAATTCACGCAGTTCTGCTGCATCTGATAGGAGTAGTGGTTTTAGTTTTTTTGGGTTTTGTTGCTGGTGTGCTTCAGACAGAAAACCATTTTCCATTTTGATAGTAAACCATCTCACATGATAAATTTTGGGTGACATGAAATAACACGCAGTGAGACTGATAAGGATTCTGGAGAACATCTTCAGCCTGATAAGAAGAAAAAATAACTAGTAAATATTTAAGACCCACATTTTATTAATAATCCATCGGGAGAACAAACGAATGAGCGTCCTCTTCTACCAACAGGTGCACTTCTTCTGAAATTAGAACTTTAATTTCTTCAATTTCCAAATTGCACAAATTTGTCACACATCTTACAAATACGACAAAAAGTCCTTGCAAAACAACATATTAAATATAAACATCAGGGACAGCGCATTATAGCCGCTATGGGATAAGTGTACAAGTTTCTGTTATTTAAAAAAATTCTTACAAAAAGTGTCATCGACATACCCTTGTGTGACATTTTGAGCATGGCTTTAAATTTCCATTTAGATCAGAGATCTAGTCAAGCACTTGGGGCTCATCTGCATGGGTCAATCGCATGCGAGCTTGCCGTCAAAGCACGAGAGCGTGATGGCGAAAGCCTGCAGGGCACACATGGGAAAGCTATAATCCATGGAGAAGACGTCCTCCGCCACACGGCCAAACTGCATCACAATGTAATCCTCTGGAAGGGACATTAAGAACTTGGTGAACGAGTGAGGGCAGAAGCAAAAGGGTTTTCTCATTTAAAGGGAGAATAAGTCATCGTACCATTGTCAGGGTGGATGATCTGGAAGTTTTTCACTGAAGCCTGCGTTACACGTCCGTGGAAGTTCAACACATACGACTGAGTCTGACCATTCCAGCTGGGAGACTTGTTCACCAGCGTTACCAGTTTGTCGTTGTCACCACTGGTATGGCGGACCAGCAGAGTCTCAAGCTCCTGGAAGGAACTAAAACGTCAGATCTTTTAAAAGACACAAGTGTCTGCATCACAGGTTGGATACTCACGCTTTTCGGACGAATCGACACTCTTTCGTCGTTCTCCAACATGCCAGGAATGATCACTGTCATTTTCCTGGGACCATTGAATCCCAGCACGTTCGTTTCCTGGAACATCACGATTGAGTGTTTTTTATTTTTTATTTCTAATTTATGTGTTGTGTAACAGGAGCGTTTCTGTTTAGGACTCACGTAGCATATGGCAGCCAGTTCTTGCCTCAGTGACTCACTCTCCTTGATGAAGGGCTTTTTCTCTGGGTTCTCCCCTCCATCATAAACTGTGAACTTTGTACCCAGAACATTGGACCTAAAGCAAAAAAAGGTAATTAAAGAAAAAAAACAAGAAGATGCAAATGTTAAAAACGGGTTTGGAAGAAACTGTTAAAAGATTGAATTTGGAAAAGATTAATGTGCAGAAGGTCAGTTTTGGTGGTGGAGCTGCTACAGATATAATAAGATGATGAGAAAAATAATTTGGGGGAGTTCTTGAATCCTACTAACACATCCTCCAGAAAGAAACTGGAGCCAGAAGACATGGAGATGGATCGACTAAATTCTGAGGTCTAACATCTAAACATGGCAAATCCATGGTGTTGACGAGGTGTTTAGCCTTGGTATCTCTAGATGTTGTAGAACTGTATTGTTGACACGCCTCTGCAACATTGCGTGGTTATTGGGGGTGGTGCTTGTGGAGCGGCAGACTGGGGTGGACATCAATGCTGCTTACATATTAACGTCGGTACGGTTGGGGGAGGATAGCATCAGTTCGATCTCAAACGGGTGTTGTAGTGTTCACATAAGTTCTGAAGGATTTCTCTGGAATGTGGAAATCCCTGGGCCCGTGGGCAGCTTTTTAGATGCGTGGGAAAGTCCGTGTGGTGTCCTCCATAATAAGATAAACAAAGATGGGCAAGCTGTGTTGCTTCTAGAGACTCTGAACCACATAATTTTTTTAATTTGCTGTGTGTGTCTTCCTTCTCCCGTTCCCTCTGAGTGGGAGCTCCATGCTACAGACAGAGATGTTTACTTGTTTACAGCCTGCAGCATGAAATTGAATCGCACATACGGGTACCCCTGCTGGCTCAGTCCGTAGCGTCACCTTGGTCCCAGCTGGACCACCGGGGAGGAGGTCTGAAAAACAGAGTCGCCTCGGAACCGAAAACGCATATCTGACCCTTGTTTGAAACCAAATTCCAGCCCCATTTGGTGCCGTACCTGATGCTAATCAGTGCGTTTACATGCAGCCAGTAACCCTTTTAAAACCCGAATATTCACAATAACGCGGTTCCGCAGGTCCATGTAAACACCGCCAAAAACCTGGATATGCTCATAACCGGGTTTTTAAAAACCCAGTTACTACACCTGGGGTAACCCTTTTCTAACCCGAATGTTTGGTCGTGTAAACGCATATCGGGATATCCCCATCAAAGCGTGTGTTCTGCGCATGCTCTGTTCGCAAGGAGTCTTGATCTTTTGAGTAGCGAGACGTCTTGTATGCGCCAGAACACCGGAAGTAAACAACAAGTTGGGAGCAGCATGGCGAGTCGCGGCACAGCAGCACACTTTTGGAGAGACGAGGAAACTAAAGCGCAAACAAACGCGGTCGCTATCTCTTCCGAACTGGGAAACATGTTGTTGTTTTCACGGATACCGGAACAAGAAGAACCGTAAATGACGCATATTGCGTCTGGACGTAGTCCATACGTCCTGACGCTACCCCAACATCCGCATTTAAATCGGGTTATGCAAGTTAGGGGTAACTCGTCCTATTTATGCTTGTAAACGGGTTATTCTGATCAACTCAGAAACCCGAATACCGACCTTAACCCAATCATAACCCGGATATTGGCTGCATGTAAACGTAGTCAATGTGTAAGCGGCTAAACTTTTTAAGAAAGAGAACCAGAGGGTGCGTTCCAACTAAGGTCTCCAAGGTACTGGAGAGGAGGATCCAGTCAAACTCAAACTCAGATAAAAGAGAAGGCAATGTGTTATGGAAATCTGGAGAAGGCTAATGACTGACCCCCAGAGGGCACCCTGTAGGGGGCACTCAGGAAGTATATGGTGGCTGGCCCTCTTAGCCTCTGTAGTGAGAAATAAGTTAGACCTGTTTATGGTGAGAGCTCTGCCAGAGCTGCCCTTTGTCACTGGTCTCTAGCTGTGGAGCGGAAGGTGTTGAGTTTGGCTGCAGAAAAATATCGTCTCTCTCACTGTGTGGGGAGGTTCAGTGGGAGTGTGAAGCAGCTGGGATGAGGACCAACATCTCCAAATCCAAGGCCTTGGGTTCTTGACCGGAAAAGATGGACTGCCAACTCCAGGTCAGAGAAGAAGTCCTACCTCAAGTGGAAGAGCTAAGTATATCAGTGTCTTGGTCATGCATGAGGAAACGAGAGGGTGAGGGATTTACAGGTAGATTGGGGTAAAATCTGCAGGGAAGTGGACGCTAAACCAGACTGTTGTAGTGAAGAGGTAGCAAGGCCAGAACAAAAAGCTCTCAGCGTACCAGGGGACTTATCAACGTCTCATCACTCACATGGTCAGTCTGGTGATTTTGAGGTTGTTTCAGTAGCCTTTGGGTACTCTTGGAACATTCAGCCACATTTTCTAGAAGGCTTAACTCCCTTTTATCCAGAAAATATAGCTTAACTAGACATGCTATTTTTGATGCTAACTGGCCCCACTGCAAACAGAGATTTGCACAATAAAAGCAGACATGATCACAACAAAGGGACGGTTCTGAAAGCTGTTTTTTTTTGTTTTGTTTTTTTTACTACATCTTGTTACCTTTTTCACATGATGAGGTATTTTAAAGTAGTTGCAAATACCTCTGTTTTAGCATTTGATATGGCTTGAGTTATAAATGGTGTTGTACCTAAGTTTTCCAATGTAGGAGTTTGTTTCTTTAGACAGATTTGTTGGGTCAATGGAAATGAGATAGTTAGAAGTTTTGCTCTTCTTTCTTTTTCTGCCTGCCATCAGAAACACCTTTGGGGTGAGAACAAAAAGGAGATGAAACACAAAACAAGGAGAACTTAATTAGACAGCAGAATTAAAAAAAATAAATAAAACAACAACAATGTGAATAACGACGCAGTAAGGATTTGCTGACCCTCTTCCCGTCTTCTTTCTCCATGTGGAGGTAGTAAGTTGGGTAAATGGCCTTCTCCATGCCCCTCCTGTCCCTGGTGACTCTGCACTGGATCGTCACGTCTCTGGGAGCAGGACATAAAGCAAACCTCTCCAGGTCCTCCACTGACACTGGAGAGGACAACTGAGACGAGAGAGAGGAAACAGTTTACTCTGCCGTTTAGATTTTTTTCGGGTATAGTGTTTTCACTGGTGTTTTCTCACTCTGTCGTTCTGTTCACTGCCTGATGATGAAGTCTCTCTGTAGTTGGAGTTGAGTGAAGCCAGCCTTGATGTGGTTTTATCCACTTTGGTGGACTTTTTTTCTTTTTTCTCTTTTTCTTGGGTGTCCTCGTCTTTGCTTTCGTCACTTATTTGACACCTGGCTGTGAACGTAAGGACAAAAACATTAATTATTCAATCTGACTGTTAGATAAGTCAGACCAAGTCCTCACTCACATGTGTCCAGTGTTTCTTTCTTCTCAGGTGATGGAGGAATGGACTCCTGAGGCCCCTTCTCGTCCTCATCGTCGCATTTCTTCTCCGGACTCCTTGTTTCCACCACTGACTCTGTCTCAGGAGTTGAATCTTCCTGCAGATGCTTTTCTGCAAATCATGAAAACATTAGATGTAATATAAACCCCTAATCGGAGGCAACACATGGTAAAAATGTCATAAATTTCATGGTGCAATACTGATCATTACTTTTGCGCTCCTGTTTGGTTGTCTTGTTTGTCCTCTGCACATCCACAGACTCTTGAACTTTGTCCCTTTTCTTGTTTTTCTTCTCCTTTTTTGCTTTATCTTTATTGTTTTCTACCTCCTCCTCATTCTGTTCTGCCTCTGCAAAATGTGTTAGTTGTTTTTAATATTTAGTCAAAGCAAAGTGCCTTCTAACTTTTCAGAAGATGAGAAAAAAATCGTACGTTTTGCTTTCTCGCTTTTCAGATCTTTCTTTTTTGTCTTTTTCACCTCTGTGGAAGCTTCTTTGTCCCCATCACAGCTGACTTCAGGCTCTCTGTCTACCTCTAAATTCATTGACTTTGGAGTAACGGGCTTCTCCAGAGGCATGTTATCTGGAGCCATGTTTGCATTCATGCGGCTGTCATCCAACACGATCTCGTCCAGTGGGTTGTCATGGGCGTGTTCCACTTGATCTTCAGGACAAACAAAAACAATGAAACTTTGGTTCGTCACAGCTGACAAGTCATTTTTTAAGTTTATTTTAATTAAGATCAATGTATGAATTTGTTTTGTAAAAATCAAATACTAACCACTTAGAGAGGCATTGCTCAGAGACTGACAGATCAGCAGAGGTGTCTCATCAGATTTGATAACTTTGTGTTTTCGAATCTTTTGGCGAGTATCCCAGTTTGCCACCACCATTTGAGTGTCAGCCCTCTTCTTCTGCTGCTTTTTCAATAAAAGAGCTTGCTGTGGGGGGATAAAGAAGACCACTGTATCAAAACTCTGTCTACAAACAAGAATTGATGTAATAATAATAATAATAATAATAATTATTATTATTATTATTATTAGTCATATAGTATTTTGTTGATGTTGTAACTGCTTGGTTTGTAATAAATCACAGCATTTTGATGCTTATGACAACTCAGCTAAACTTTATAACACACTGTAAAGGTGCAATATGTAGAAATGAAGTCAAAATGACATCCTGTGGTAACATTTGGTTACTGCAATCACTCTCACTCCTGTTCTGTTACAGATCAGCACCAGAAGATTCTAGATAACAAGCAAAGACGAGTCATACACTCTAAGTGAACACATCGTCATATCTAGTGTTAGCACTCTTGGGTATTTTATGGTAGGAGCACTTGTGACACTTATTATGTTAATAGGCCTCCAGCATAGAGGAAGTGTTGTTGTTTGCCATCTTGCTGTCAGCTTGTTGTTTTGAATGATAAATGACCCACATTTGTATAGCTTAAAAACTCAGACTCCAAAATGCTTCACACTACAATATATCATTCATCCATTCCACACATACATTCACACGCTGATGGTGATGATCTACAATGTAGCTACAGCTACCCTGGGGCGCACTGACAGGGGCGAGTCTTCCGAGCACAGGTGCCAACAGTCCCTACAACCGCCACCAGCAGGCAAGGTGGGTTAAGTGTCTTGCCCAAAAACACAACAACAGAATTCTCTATCCAGAGCCAAGACTGAACCTGCAACTTTTCGATTACTGTACAACCCGCTCAACCTCCTGAGCTACTGCTGCCCCAAATTACACTCAACAAAATTATAAACGCAACACCTTTGTTTCTGCTCCGATTTTTCATGAGATGGACTTAAACATCTAAAATTCATTCCAGATACACAATATTACCATTTCTCTCAAACATTGTTCACAAATCAGTCTAAATGTGTGATATTGAGCACTTCTGCTTTGCTGAGATAATCCATCCCACCTCACAGGTGTACCTTATACTGCCCACAATAAGTTTTTGCTTTATTGGGGGTCTGGGGACTCAGAACTGGTCAGTATCTGGTGTAGCCACTATTTGCGTCATGCAGTGCAACACATCTTCTTTGCATAGTTTATCAGATTGTCAGTTGTGGCCTGTGGAAGGTTGGTCCACTCCTCTTCAATGGCTGTGCAAAGTTGTTGTATATTAGTGAGAACTGGTACACGCTGTCGTATACGCTGGTCAAGCACATCCCAAACATGCTCAATGGGTGACATGTCCGGTGAGTATGATGGCCATGCAAGAACTGGGATATTTTCAGCTTCCAAGAATTGTGTACAGATCCTTGCAACATGGGGCCGTGCATTATCTTACTGAAACATGAGGTGATGTTAATGGATGTACAGTACAACAATGGGCCACGGGATCTCATCACGGTATCTCTGTGCATTCAAAATGCCATCAATAAAATGCACCTGTGTTTTTCGTCCATAACAGATGCCTGCCCATACCATAACCCCACCACCACCATGGGCCACTCGATCCACAACATTGACATCAGCAAAGCGCTCACCCACACAACGCCACACACGCTGTCTGCCATCTGCCCTGAACGATGTAAACCGAGATTCATCCGTGAAGAGAACACCTCTCCAACATGCCAGACGCCATTGAATGTGAGCATTTGCCCACTCAAGTCTGTTACGGCGACGAGCTGGAGTCAGGTCAAGACCCCAGTGAGGACGACGAGCATGCAGTTGTGCTTCCCTGAGACAGTTTCTGACAGTTTGTGCAGAAATTGTTTGGTTATGCAAACCAATTGTTTCAGCAGCTGTCTGAGTGGCTGGTCTCAGACGATCTTGGAGGTGAACCTGCTGGATGTGGAGGTCCTGGGCTGGTGTGGTTACATGTCATCTGCGGTTGTGAGGCCGGTTGGATGTACTGCCATATTCTCTGAAACGCCTTTGGAGACGGCTTATGGTGGAGAAATGAACATTCAATGCACAAGCAACAGATCTGGTTGACATTCCTGCTGTCAGCATGCCAACTGCACGCTCCCTCAATGCTTGTGGCATCTGTGGCATTTTGCTGTGAGACAAAACTGCACATTCCAGGGTGGCCTTTTACTGTGGGTCGTATAAGGTACACCTGTGCACTACTCATGATGTTGGATCAGCATCTTGATGTGGCACACCTGTGAGGTGGGATGGATTATCTCAGCAAAGCACAGGTGCTCACTATCACACATTTAGACTGATTTCTGAACAGTGTTTGAGAGAAATGGTAACATTGTGTATCTGGAATTAATTTTGGATCTTTAAGTCCATCTCATGAAAAATCGGAGCAGAAACAAAGGTGTTGCGTTTATATTTTTGTTGAGTGTATAATTCTAGTTCTGAACGACTCATTAAAGGAAGTAAAACACCACCACTGACTCACTATTCACTTCACACATACTGTAATATTAAGTTGTTGGTTATTGAAAAATTTGTTTGAGATATTTTTAGGGCCAAATATTTGCTTCTAATTCACTGTTAGCATTGTTAGCTCAATGTTAGCCTCAAGCCTGCTTCACAAGATATTAGAGTAAAACATAAAGATGCCGTAGCTTCTTAGAAATTACTTTTGGGTCGTTCTTGTTACTGGCGTCAGTACTTTAAACAGCTCTGGAGCTTTTTGCCGGCCGTAGTCGAATCACAAATGCTTGTGCTGCAGCGTTAGCTTGCAGAAGACATGGCAACCTCACACTCAATGATGGTAAACAGAAGCTCCTTCCTTCATTTATTTTGAAAGGAGAAAAACTGAATTCTCCCCACTGCCTGAGAATGAAATGTATGTCAGTGTAACCTTTCTTACAGCATAAATCTGACATTGGACTGTTTTGGGATGATTTCACCATAGAAGGCTTACATATTGCACCTTTATAATAACAATGCTGACCTAAGTGCTACAATGTGTAACTTGAGAATAACAGCAAAGTAAAATGAAGAATAAAATCACATATAAAATATGCTACAATTTTGAAATAAATGAAATGTCAACAAATCAAGCCAAATCATGGGCAAAAGTGAATACCGTACATGTGTTGAAATCCATTTACTACTAAAGGAACATATCTGTTCATGTAAATATGTACCGTTAAAATTCGAGCAGGAATCTTTATTGAGTTTCAAAAGCAAAACACTAATACTTTTTTTGGTAAAGTTCTGCCTCACTTCTAAGCATTAATTCGTTTAAATGAAATTAGCTGTGTCATTTACACCATGTTTGCTTTAAAAAAATGTGTAAAATATAAACAAATTAATAATTAATGTAAACAGCCCGAGGAAAGTTTCTGCATCCAAACCAGTGTGGAAGTCTTCTGAAAAGTAGTGATTTAATTCTTGCAAGCAAAAATTCACAGATAAAACCATAAATATAAAAATAAGTAAAATTATATATAAAAAATGGCATCACCTGGTTTTCCAGCTTCTGCTGTCGTATATCAGCGTCGTTCATAGCTGGACAAAGACTCACACTTTGTAGCAGATAAATCAGAAGATGAGTAGAATATCTACACGCACAGCAGCTGTAGCACGCCGTCAGTGTTCACTGGGACTAAACTGGCTGATTTTGTCCTGAAGACGCATCCTTCGACATAGTTAAATACAGACGCGGGTGTTTGTGCCACCCAGATCCATCTGGTAGTCTGTCCACCTGCATGCAGCAGACGGCAAAGTGGATTAAAAGGGATCAAGTTCTTAAACAACACTGCACAGCCATCACAGCATGGATGGGGATGCTATAAGACCTGTTGAGGGAGGGGAAACAGGAGGGTGATGCTCTGCTTATGCCACTCTTATTCCAGTCTGCATCACGTTAAGACCAAAGCTGCTCTGAATTTCAGTCTTGTCCTCATTCAGAGACCCGCTGAAACAACAAACAAAAGCTAGAAGCTGGGTGGGTGGGGGGTGGTATATTAGTAAATTCTTACCAGATTGGTAAAAAGAGCTATAGAGAGCTTGTTTTGCTGCTAATCTTTGCTTTAAAAAATCCATAGAATTAAATGCAAATAACCTTAATAGCTAGTTAAAGGTTTATAAACGAGCGTTTGCATGATTATTGATCTTTTAAAAATGGAGACGTTTTAAGAAAACAGTCATCTACTGTAAGTAAGACAGTAAACTATTTGTAAAGCACTTTTCACAGATAAAAAAATCACAAAGTTCTTCACAGTAAAACAGAATAAAATGTAATAAAATAAAGAAGCAACACTCATGAGTGAGATGGAATGTGACAATAAACAAAAATATGTAAAAACTCGTCTAAAAAGCCAAGCCTTCAAAAGGCTTTAAACACACTAAGTGAATGTGCACTGCAGATAGAGAGGAAAAGAGTGTTTCACAATCTCGGAGCCATAGCCTTAAAGGATCGATCTCCACAAGATTTTACCCAGTTTTTAGGACCACCGGGAACATCTGAACTGGTGATCTCAGGCAGCGTTTGGGAGTGTGGATCTGCAGCAGGTCAGCTATAGGAGGAAGCTTGGCCATGTAAGGCTTTAAAGGTTATGGTTAGGATCTTAAAATGAACTCTAAATTGTCAGTGAGCCATTGAAGGGAGGCCAGGATATGAGAAGTGAGTCGTTCATAACTTCAGACAACAGCTTTGCAGCAGGATTTCGCAGCAGCTCTAAGCTTTTTTGCTGCTAAATATTTAGAACAGCTAAAAGACTGTTGCCCTAATCCAGGCATGAATGATCCTTTCCAGTCTTGGGCTGCTTATTACTGAGGGTATCCTTTTCCAGTGCTACTATGTAAACCTCAGTTTTGTTTATGTTCAAACTTAAGTAGTTTTCTTTCCACGACTGTTTTATATCAGTCAAGGTGATTAGTAAAGATAATTTACGGAGCTCATTTGAACCAATGGGACAGTACATTTTTTTGTCAACAGCATAGAAATAATACAATAGATCGCTTGAGGGGGAGCAAAAATAAAAGGAAAAGGACTGGACCCAAAACAGACCCCTGGGGTACCCCAGGTGACAGGTCTTTGTACAGATTGCAACAGATTTATGGAAACATTAAAACTTCTGTCAGAAAGATAACATGAAAATCTGATTAAAATCATTCCAACAACATCACAGAGTCTGGTTATAAGAAAGCCATGATTGACAGTTTTAAACATGGCAAAGAGAACCAACAGGCTGTAAGCAGAGTCAGCAGCCATCAAATTGTCACTGGACACCCACAGTGTTATAGTGAGCCTAAGCCACGACCCCAATTACTTTCGAACCAAGGCATACTGGCAAAAAAATCCGAATGGGAGTCTAAGGACCGATAAAAGTTATTTTCTGATCCCGTTTGATATGTGCCATGAATTTAAAATATGTTGTCCATAGATTTTAAAGACACATTTAGATGCCAAGAAAGCTCTTATTTTTGACAGACAGCTACATTTTGTTCAGGTTTTGTTTGATGACGCTTAATGGACTCCAACTGCTTGTCTGACCAAATTTACAACCTCAAAAGAGACAAGAAGAAGAAAAAATGCTGCAAGATTCGCATCTTTGTTCCAGGACAAAAGAAGGAGGAGAAAACCAGCAGCTGAAGAGATTCTGATATGACGTCATATATGCAACGTCTGATTTGTAGTCTTTTTAATTACACATCCCAAATGCATGACAGACATTGATATTTGTATTTATAATTATTTATCATTTATAATTATAATTATTTATCATTTAAATTGAAGTACAGCATGTGCATGATTCGGGGGATAAGGCAAAGTGGACCAGAGAAAACCCCTTATAGTCCCATTTACTTACATTGATTTTTCTTTTCGTTTATGGAACCCATGAGCACACAAGAAGGAGAGGAGATGCTTCATGAGTGATGTGGTTAGTAACAGCTTATGTCCGCCAGAGGGTGAAAAAACAAAAGTTAACACCGGCAACACCGGAGAACTCTGATGATGGAGTCATCATACCACAGAAGAGGATTAGGGCCACTGAAAACATAAACAAACAAAAAAAGAAAAGAAAGAGACTTTAATCTCAGAAATTTAACTTTTAACTCCAAGGATCTAAAGTGAGTATTGATAATATATTTAATCTTTTCTTAGTTAATATGTAAGTTAAGCCACTTTTTAAGTTGGTTTTAACCAGACGTTAGCTCACTAGCTAGCTGCTAAGCAAGCCATAGATCCTTAGTAGACACCACAGACAGCAGAAATAACATGTTTGGGGCTCAAAATTCATGTTGTTGACCGAGGTGGGAAAAAAAAGTAATGGAGGCTACATCACTTCCGGGTCACTGAACTGTCACTCAAGAGAAACCACTGTCCTATGGGAGAGGACTTCTCTGAAGTCCCACCCACCCAAAAGGATTGTGTCAGAATTGCAACCAAAAACTCAGGGATTGCAAAGGAGAAAGCCAGAAAGTGTAAGTGCAAATCTGGTAGTGAGAGCAAAGCTGTGAGCAACGAGAACGAAACTAAGGAAACTGATAGCAAAAACACATAGAGGCAAACAGAAAAAGGAAACATACTTTGTTACTCATTTTAAGAAGTTGATTCAGGTAGTAAGTTTTACTTTAGAAACATTTTTTTTCCTTTAGTCAATATTTTTGTTTTGTCAATTTCTTAATTTTTGTTTGACCATCAAAGTGTTTTTCTTGATCATTTTAAGAATCTGATTCAGATCGTAAGTTTTTCTTTTGAAACATTTTTTTCTCTCTCAATGTCTTAATATTTGTTTGATCTTCAAAGTGTTTTTTTCTTGATCCTATTGGCACAAATCTAATCCCATAGCTGTTTCAACCGTGTTCCTCTCAAATTAAAGGAACATCGCGTTTTGGAAGGTTTGTCCCTCGACGAACACCATCGCCGTTAAAGACGAAAACAAAGCTGCTCCTCTCGTTGTGTAAAACATGTGAAATGTCAGTTTTACGCAGAGGTAGAGAGTGGGAAATATCTGAATCTGAGGAGAGTGATGCTGAGCAAAAATTTGGTTTAAATCGCGACGAGAGGAGCAAATCTCTCACCGCGTCACAAGCTAACAGCAATTATGCAGAAACGCAGAGTCCTGCGCGGAAACGCCGCACCAAGGAAGAGATAGAAGCGGAGAGGCAGAGAATTAAGGCGAGAAAAGAGGCGAGAGAGAGACAGAGGGCAGTTAAAGCTCAGGAGAAGGAGGAGAGGAAGCAGGAGCAGCAGAGGAGGAGAGAAGCTGCCGAGAGGGTAAACCATCTCCGGCCAGAAAACTACATCAAGCTTCTGACTGTCTGCATTGAGCCTGGTAGGTGCTGCCTTCTGGTGCTGTGGGAAAGTCGACGCTCATCCAGCAATGTACAGATTCCTTCAATCATCAAAAATATTTTATTTTAATACTAGTTTAAAGTTAGAGTTAAGTTATTTTTAGTCTGTTTCTCCTCCAAATTCTCTTTGCAATGATTTGTCAGAAAGAAAAAATATCTAGTTAATAAAATATGGAATTAAGATAAAACAAAGCAGAATAAAATTATAATTTGGTTGAATAGACTACAAAATACCACATTGACCTTCAAACAACTAAAAAAGGATGATCTGATTATCTGAATGTATAAACTTTGAGAGAGATCTAAATCTGGTTATGATTTCCACAAGCTACTGAAATAGTATAGGTATGCAGACTTATTTTATCTTTGAGCTTTTGTTTCTGCAGCTCTTTTGCAGCTAAGTGGCTCAGACCTCCTTCTGGACTCTCTGACTGCGTTGGAGTGCAGGTTTTCCATTCAAAGCCAGCAGATTGCACACAGCATCACCTGGACCAGCGACTTTGCTCAGGTAGAAAGCTGACTCATCAAACTAAAGAAAAAAACAACAATATTCTCCACTTGTCTTCACATGTGCGCAGGAGGAGGAAGGTTGGACCTCTGTGGAGGAAGATCAGATTGTTCTGGTTCTGACTCTGAATGACTTCTTGGATATCGTGATCTCAGTAAAAAAGGTGATGGAGCTTTTAAATTCCTTCCTCAGGAAGAGGGCAGCATTTACAGTGTTGTCCCCTTTGACATGTAGATGTTGGACAATCAAGCGGAGAAGAAATGGACTGTCCCTCATCCTCTTTTGGAGTGTCTCAACCAGAATCCCATGAAGGTGGTGACAATGTTGGTGATGGATGATGAGGAAGATCACAGGTCTGTGTGACTTCCTGTGCCCTAGTTTATGTAATTTCTGCAGTGGCATGCCTTTAAATTACCAGTACTGATTTACCAACAGGACAAAAGCTCATGGGGGGCATTTTCCTGAGCAAATGCTACGATCCAAACTGGTAATGGAGAACCTGGACGCAGAGGAGGTCAGTTAGGGATTAACATATTTTTTCTTGACTTACATCATCTTTTAATCAAAGATACTTTATTAGTCCCAGAGGGAATTTTAGTAGGTGTTCTGTTATGTATTCCACTTCCTGTGGGGGGTTTTGTGTTCTGTGATCTTAGTTATAATTCTAACCACTATCTCTAGGTTGTTGTGTACCTCCAACTCTACCAGAACATCTCGGTTGTGTTCCTGGACAGCTGGCAGGACGTCACTGACCATGTGGGCACCATCACCAAAGCATTGTCAAAACGTCCTTTCAAGTATTGCGCCCTAAAATCCGTTTCAGTGATTGTGAAATAGACAAACTAAGGGCCGAGCTAATAAAATGTACCCCACCTCTTCCTGCAGACTCCTGACGGAGCAATCAGAGCTGCCGTTCTGTGTGGACGGTGCATGGGCTGCTGGGGTTCGCGTGGAGAGGGATGGCTCAGGGCTCGGTCAGGTCTGGAGCAGGCAGATCCAGCAGCTGAACAGAATCAGCCCTGCCATAGCCTCCGCTGTGGCTGCATCATTCCCGTCTCCTCAAACGCTTCTGCAGGTACCTCTGGCCAAACAATTCTGAATCATAAACTGTAAATAAAGGTAGACGAGGTGTCTGCCTGCTTCCACTGTGCAAAACTAAAACTAAAATATCTTGTTTTCAGCCTGTGCTGTAAAAATTCAGCAACGAACGAACAAGGGCAAAACACAATGGCAAAGTATGTTTGTCAAAAGAATACAACTCCATTATTTTGTATTATGACCTCCACATGTTTGGTTGTGCATATTTTTGCACTCTGACATGCTGAGCTTTTCTCTGCCTTAATAGCACTGCTGTTGAGTTTATAATGTTCATAAAACACGATAATAAAAAAAACACAATTATCAAAGTAATTTAGTCACATTCCACTTTGAAAGCACAACCTTAATTTGTCATGCCTACTGGCTCCTCTGGAGGCCACAAGGACAGCAACACTCATGAGCGTATGACACATGTTACATTTTTGCATCCGTAGCTTATTCTTGCTTACAGGAATGAACTTCATTTGTAACTTTTCCCTAGCTTGGCATGCCATCCATCCATTATCGGCCACTATCCAGGGTCGGGTCGCGGGGGCATAAGCCTAGGCAGAGAGAACTAGACATCCCTCTCCCCTGCCACTTGGGCCATGGCGTTCTCCAGCCAACTGAGAAAGTCCCTCCAGCGTGTCCTAGGCCTTCCCTTGAGTCTCTTCCTGGTGGGATGTGCCTGAAAAACCTCACCAGGGAGGCATCCTGACCAGATGCTCGAGCCATCTCAACTGGCTCCTCTCCATGTGCAGGAACAGCGGATCTACTCCGAGTCCCTCCCGGCTGACCAAGCTTCTCACCCTATCTCTAACGGAGGGCCCAGTCACCCTGTGGAGAAAACTCTTGCTTGTACCCACGATCCTGTTCTTTCAGTCACCACCCAAAGCTCGTGACCGTCGGTGAGGGGTAGGAACGTGGATCGACCGATAAATCAAGAGCTTTGCCTTCTAGCTCGGCTCTCTTCTTTCACATGACAGATCGGCGCAACACCCGCATCGCTGTCCCTCACTCGTGAGCAAGACCCAGAGATAAACTCCTCCACTTGGGGTAGGACCTCATCCCTGACCTGGAAAAGGCATTCTACCCTTTTCCGACTCAAGACCATGGTCTCAGATTTAGAGGAGCTGATTCTCATCCCAGCTGCTTCACGCTCGGCTGCGAACCGCTCCAGTGAGAGCCGGAGATCATGCTCTGATGAAGCCAACAGGACCACATCATCAGAGACCCGATCCTCAGGCCACCAAAACGGACCTCCTCAACACCTGGCTGCACCTAGAAGTCCCGTCTATAAACGTTATGAACAGAATTGGAGACAAAGGGCAGCCTTGGCGGCGTCTTAACTCTTTAGAGTTACTGCCGGCAACGCGGACCATGCTAATTTTAATCAGCACTGTACTAAATTGTGATTATGATTTATTTTTGCATAAATCAGCAGTCCTAACTGAAGGTGATTTTAAAACTAAACAAATTTGTTATAAATTGTGTTGCATTTGTTTAAATGGAGGGGGTGAGGCTTGAAACGTGTACTCCAGTCAGCCAATAGGTGGCGCGTGTCTTGTCTCAGCTTCCAAGTGACAATTCTGTCTAGTTTTAGTCTTTAGTCAAATGCTACTATAGTTTGTACAGAAGATGTAACACAGATGTTTTTTTTTTTGTTTTGTTTTAAAGACTTACCAGAACTTGGGATCAGAAGTGGAAAGAAAAGGAATGCTGACTGGACTCTTGGTGAAAACCGAAGGCAGAGAGAGGCGGATCGGAGCCGAGATTTCAGCCAGACTGTACCGCTGCTTCACAGCCCAGAACCCTCAACTGGTCCTGGACTAATACGGCACATTGAAAACCCAGGATCATGAAACTCCTTTTTCTCTTTGGTGCTTACAAGCCAACAATTTTTATGCACATTTCTTTGGGCTAGAAATGTAAAGAAATAGTTGTTTCCTCAGGGTGAAACCTTCAGCTACATTATTTTGTTTCTGTGTGGAAAAAAAGACAAAAAGTTCTTACATTTTTTTTATTGTGTAGAATTTCCTGAATAAGAAAGTTCATAATAAGAAGCAGAACTGTAAATAAAAAAAGAGTGAATAGAAAATCTCAATAATCTTAATTAACACAACCACAGCTCAGTTATTATAAAACACATAAATGTTAGTTTTGCAGTATCAAAACGCAGCTGGAGTCTTCCTGAGAATAACTCGGTTTTCTCCAGTCACCAGAGCCTGACGTTCCTCGTTTTAAATAAGAGTGTTTTTCAGATAAATCAGCTAGTTCTCAAGTTGGTTAAAGCAACGATTTAGTTAAATGTCGACTAAAGTTTGAGATTGCTCTGAGCAGACTTTGATGGCAGTGGTAGAAAAGAGCCTTTTAGAACATTTTAGAAGAAGCTGGTCATGTCCAGCGGCATCTTTTGCACTGATAGTCCTCTGGCTCGGAGCAGCAGCTGTCGTAGTCGCTGCTCGTCGGAGTGGGAGGGCAGTAGCAGGATGTGGGGTGAGTCTGATGAGATGCGAGGAATGAGTCGGGGAACAGGTCGGGGGAGGAGCAGGCACTCAAGGAGGATATGGGGCTTAGGGTGGGACTGGGAATGGGGCTTGAAGGCACGCTGGTTTCCTCCTCTTGTTGGGGGGATTCAGGGAAACATGCCTTTTCCTCTGAGGAGTCAGGAATGCTGCTGAGGTTGAAGACCCATCCCAGCTGGTTCTTGAGGAGGACACACAGACCCGGTGGCAGTGCCAGGGCATTTAATACATCAGGGCAGCAGGGCATTGTTTGGCGCAGTCGGGCACAGCAAAGGTACTGCAGGGAGGTGGGCGTGTAGCAGGAACGGATCACCTTCATGCTGCTCTTAGCTGCTGTGGAACACACCATGGGGTAGATCTTCTTGTTCTGAAGCCTGGTGGTGGCTACGCCTGTTAGGAGGACAGAGAGGATGGAAACTGATTCAGATTATCAAGATAAAAAACTACATTTGAAACGTGTAGAATGCATGGGGGAACCATCGACATGTATACGGGGAGGAACGCACATCACCCGGGGGCTCATGGAACCTGCGATGACAAAGAAGCTTCCCAGAAGATAACACATTCTCCTCTGGTTTGATTTAGCTTAATTATTGATATAGTGGAGAAAAAAGACTCGACACCCACACAGCAGTCGGTGAAGGAGGAAATAAAACACATTTTCTAACTGCTGATGGCCCGAACATCCGGTGTTTAGGATATAGTGACCTCTAGAGGCTAAAGTGGTGTATAACAACAGCTACAAACAATACACAACACAAGATGTTGAGAAATTATGGAGGTATAGAAAAAATAAAAGGAGTGATGAATATTAGCTACTAACACATTAATGTTTAGCTCCAAATCTGCAAAACTGAGTGAGTTTTAACTATTTTGTGTTAGCTAATTTTGATATGTGACAGCCATCTTGAAGTGTGTTGGCTCTAAAGGTTGTGGAGGTAAATCCAGTGATAACCTCCTGAAAGCTTCCACCCTGCGCGCGCAGAAAAACTCACCTATGCAATGTCGATTCTTGTAAAAAGTCAGGGTGCCGTGCCACGTGTCCAGGTGCACTCCAATGATTGATCCCTGACCGAACCGAGAAGAGAATTTCACTTTCTCCCCTTTATGCTGGAGCAAACCTAAACACACAGAAATGAGCCTGTTACTTTAATTGTGAGCTTAAAAACGCATAAAAGTCCAAACAGTTCCTTACCAGTGTAGGAAAGCCCCCAGCTGTCCTCATCATCACCCAACAGACTACCAAAGCTGTATTTGTACTTGTCCAAGTTCACCTCAGTGGTCCCTATCCCCACCATCTGCACAGAGACAAACACAAGAAAACGTCTCGCTTGATAACTGAGAGTATATTTGGATCAGACGAGTTCAGACCACTAACCATATCTGTCCCGTAGACCGGAGAGGTCATTTTGACCTCCCAGTAGTGCTGGCCGTCCGACAGCTCCTTGGTGCCACGGATGGCGGCGGTGCCACAGCTGTAGTCTGAGTGAAAGCTCACCTTCCTGTCGTCGCAGCTCAGGGAGGCTCCGGACGTCTGACAGCATTTGTCCCACACCCAGTCAAAGACTAAAACAGCATAATTATTAAATGTGTTTTCCTTATTTATGGGGGCCAAACCAACTGAAAGAGACTGGATGTGTGTCACAAATCATGGTTTTGAGTTGGGTTTTATCTGGTAACTTGTCAGGATTAATCACTGAGAGGCTGTGATCCATTGTTAGGTCACAGACCAAACCAAACTAAGTGCACCGTCATAACATGTCACCAACGTTCTAACGTTATGGTTTCTACATTACACAGGTTAAAAAAACTACAATATGGTGCCAAAGTTCATTTATGTCAGTAAGTCATCTTAAAAGGTTAAAGTAATACATGAGACAGACTCATTACATGCAAAGCCAGATATTTAAGCTTTTATTTGTTATAATTGTGAGGATTATGGCTTACAGCTCATGAAAACCCAACAATCAAGAATATTGTGAAAAGGTTCAATATTCTAGACTCAAAGTGTCACACTCAAATCAGCTGATGGACCCAGAACACCTGCAAAGGGTTCCTGAGCCTTTAGATGGTCTCTCAGTCTAAGATGAATTACTGACATAAATAGACTGGCACCATATTCTCATTTTTTTTATCTGTATTAAAATGTGTTTTCTGGAGAACTGGAGTTTGAGAAGATTTTTACATCCATTTGCATCTGATGGTGTAACAAGCTTTTAGCCATTTTATTCCATTTTCGTTTGCACTATAATCATTCAGTTTTGTGGGGGTTCTTTCCTTTTCTATTGACAAGATAAATGAACTAAAATTAAAGCGTTTTTCTGAAGAAGTGTGTTTAACCTTCTTCCTAGAATTTTCCACTAAGATTCTCTTGTATTCGGAAACGATGGCGTTAGAGCCACTCTGGCCAAATCTTGAGATAACATGCATGATCTCATGTAACATTGCAACCTTTTGCATGATCTGTTATCACATTTTAAAGAATAAAAAAAGACTTGGTGGAGTTTTTCTAATACATATGAAAACTATATATTTAACATTAAAAGACAAACCCGTTTTTTGTGCAGAAAGAAACATGACTGTTATGTAGAGCAGACGTCCACAAAGCATGACAAGCTTCCACAGTATGGTCAGACTGTGAATGTCTGTTCTTTCACAAAGCTGTCCTCACCCTGATCCTCCTCCCCACAGGAGCAGTCACTGTCGACCCTGTAGCCTCGCCCGACCTCGTCCTGCGGCACACAGTGGCAGAACGACTCCCCCGTCACTGGAGCTGTGCACGGTAGAGCCTCCAGCTTGGGTGTGGTGTGACATTTGTCCACCTCCACCTCCACTTCCAAGTCCAAGTCACTAAACTGTTTCACACAAAAAGCACATTTTAAGTCCTCAGATGTAGCCGTGCTTGATCCTTAGTAGCGAGGAGAGGGACTGGTTCTAGAATGTGAGGTTTGTTTTGAACATTTTTGTAATCCAACCAACAGCGGGGAGGCTTTTGTGGACAGCTTCTGCCAGAGATTGTACCCGGTAGAGAGGCTGAGATGAGAAAACCATCATTTAAATTCCTAAACGTGTGCGTCATGTGCTAACCTCTGATTAATTTGTGTTTTCTCCAAAAGGTTTCTACTTGTGTGTGTGTGTGTGTGTGTGATTTCCTCTGTTTACTTGTGGAGCACATCTATGATTTCACCTGTTCTAGCGACAAAACACTAGATTTAATCACTTCTTATCATCCAGAGGAACCAATTTCTTGCTCATCTAAGTGATATTCGTGATTTTCTGCACCTCTAGTCTCACCTGTGTCTCTGTCTGGCTCTGACACTCTTCGCCGTCAGTGGATTGGACATCTGTCTCCTGTCTCAGGTCACTCCAGGCCACGTGTCGAGCTCTGCTGTTTCTGCCTCTTCTCAGCATGGCAGCTCTACGGACAGCCGGCACAAGACTTGGTGACCAGCTGTCAAACATTCTGGAGGCTGTGCACTTCTTAAGGTCAGCGGTGATCTAGATCAGTGGTTCCCAAACATTTCCACTTCAGACCCAGAAAATAGCAGTTGTGAGCCCAGATATTTTTGATTTCACGACACAAAAATGCTTAAAAAGTCAAATAATTCAGGGCATAATAAAAACTGCTTCAGCTCATGTTCACTTACATCCATTTATGAGACATTAGTGGAGTTTTTGTAACAATTATGCTAGAAATATAGCTTCAGTAATCGTTTTTCAGTTTTATTTTGACTTCTCGAAATCACCTCGAGACTGCCTGTATAGCTCTTGGTGACCCACAGTAGGGTCCTGACCCCAACTTTGGGAACCACTGAAAGATCCTAGAAAACTGTGAAATAAATCAAATTAGAATGTTTTTAGGTAGCTTTGGCTTTTAAAATCTTTTTGTACTTTTCAGTTTTGTCCGCCCACATTTTTCTTTATATTTCAAAATCCTGTCAGGCAGCTCAAAATGGGTCGGTTTGAAAATCTGTTAGTTTTGGTGCCTGGAAAGAGTCATGCTGAAGCTGCATGACATGCCAGTCAACATGAACGATCTGTGTGTCCTGGATCTCCTGTTTCCATCTGCTCCCATATGGCACAGCTAGCAACAGGAAGTCCTTCCACACACGCTAAAACCTTTAAATCCAGTGCTTTCTACTGGAAGTCACTTGACCCAACATATAAGTCAGAAATCACAGAAAAGACCAATCTTATTCAACAAACTGCCACATTTTACACTAGAGGTGTAACAGCTGGGTTATTTAGTGAAAAGAAAAAACAGGAATGGCATCATTTTTAGACGTCTGAGTCTAATATCAATTTTTAAAAATCTTAGCTAATTTACTAAATGCAGAGTTCTGTTTATCTGATAACCAACCTCTATGTTGCATAGATTTAACAGATGTAATAGATTCATTTTAAAACGCTGAACTAGGGATGGACAATATATCGACATCAACAAATCGGTATTGGTTCGATAAATAAAACCGGGCCGATATTAACAACCGATAGTTTTTCCATCTTGTCTCCATTTGTTTGCCTGTTTCAGAGGGTGATGGGGTGACGTGTAATTGTTTAGTCGTGTGAACAGTGATTGTAATCATCTCAGAAGTGTAAATGTGTGTGGTGTGTGTACATAATAATGTAAATTCAGCTTTAATAATTTTCATTTTATACAAAATTGCTGATTTTAGAAGCGTTGGTGTCAGTATATCAGTTATCGGCCATAACAAGGATATTAATATCGGATATTGGTATCGGCCCTAAAATGTCTTGTCTTATCGGCGCATACACTGACCCCATTCTGTCCCTCGACCTGATGGAAATATTTCTGTTAATTCCAGTCCTGAACACAGCAGCTGGTTGCTGCTTCACAAACAGGTGCAGTGGATGGCTGCCCATTAATTCAGATTAGTCAGTCTAGAGCAAGTCTCATTTTAATTGAGCCTTACCCCATATCTTCTGAATGCATCAGCTGGAGGTTTGAGTATGGACAGAACACTGGTGAGTCAGTGTGCTCAAGGATATAGGAAATAAATTTAATAAACTCAAAGGCAGCTTTATTATAACAACAGACACAAACATTTAAGATGTTGTAGTCACTTTTAACTGTCCCGCTGCAGAATCGTACCTTCTAGTCACAACTTCACAGCTGCAGCGAGTTCTGCAAAAGTTCTGCTTCATCCTAAAACACTTTAAAGCACATGGTAACATTTGTGAGTCTATGCTCTTACCTTAAACTGGTCTTCTTATGCAGTCTAGCAGTAGCTCATTCACCTTTCTGTGCGTCTGTGTGACAGCTGCAGTGAGCACCCTGCCCCACTTCCACACAGGATAGACGTAAACACAACCTTTGTGTTCCCATTGGATGAAACCTTTGTGGGGGAGGAGTTTATGTACATCTTATTATTGCTTACGTCTGCTGCTCAATGACGCATCATGTGAGATGTGCTGACCTGAACATATTTTAACAACAAAACAACACTTTATACTCAACAAAACGTGATATAAAATAATTTCTAAACGTATAATTTGTGTTGTCCTTTGATGAATCAGCTGCAAAAGAATTTCAAATAAAATCGTGCTGAAAACTAAGAAAAAGTATCAGTTGGTGTGTAATCTACGGAAGCGTATTACTCTTCTTCCAACCATCGAATCTTAAATATTTTACAGCATGAGACGCACCTGAATGTATCATTTTCAAAACTAGTTTCTTATTGGTTGCATTTTTTTAAAGGCGGGGCCAAGATGCAGCATGAGCTGTGTGATTGGTGCGTGACTACGTACAGGAAGTGTTCTGTTACCGAACTCGTGTTAGCCCTAAATCTAAAATATGGAACAGAATAATGGTAGGTGGAGGATGTTTATCAAATAGAAACAAAATAAGTCCGGATTTCTTCTGAAATTTGTCAATTCTTACATTATCTGTTTAATTTTATGCCTAAAAAAGTCGAAGTATCTTATTAGCTTCAGCTAACTAGAGCTCCTTAAGATTAACTTGCTCTTAATTATCAAAGTGAAATGAAAGAGTTTATTGTTGTTATTATTTCGTCTCAGTTCATTGTTTCTTGTCATTGTGACGTCTTGGTTTTCTTTGCCTCACGTCAGACGGGAACTTGTCCCAGGTTCGTCATGTTGTTCTGGTGTTATCAGGGAAGGGAGGCGTGGGGAAGAGCACCATCACCACAGAGTTAGCCCTGGCTCTCAGACATGCTGACAAAAAGGTGAGCATATATCACATCTGTTTTTTTTTTTAACTCTGGTGACTCAGAGATGTCCTCATCTCATGGTTAGAGCAGCAAGTCATACCTTTCAAACATAAGTGTTCATGTCACCACCAATAACTTGTTTTCACCAATGCATTTCTCTCCAGGGGTGTCCCACAAATCTCCATACTTGGTCCTGTTCTTTTTCCACGGATTTTATCACTTTTACGTTTAAACATTGGGCACAGTAATTGCATACCGCTTTTTTAAACGCTGCTCGGTGTGCAGTTTTAATTATCAATTGTTTTTTATTACATGTTTTTACTTTTCTGAAGTGGTAGTGTGTGGGATGTACGTGACCCCCCCAATGCCTCCGCTCACCTGTAGCCCTGGCTGTGACAGCTGTCTCAACCTCACTCGAAGAGTCCTTGAACTAGAGCAGAGGATTACAACTGTTCAGCAGACCCAGGAAAATACAAGCAACTCTGTTGTTATCCTGGAACGGACCTTCTCCACTGCCACTAGCGCCCAACTGGCTGATACGGTTCCCCTCCAGCATGACGAGGTTACGGAGCGGGGATCCACCATAGGGTCACTGACCGGACTTGGGGTTCCGAATAACCATGCCTCCCCTGCAGCAGAGGACGATCGCTGGTTTCAGCAGGTGGCGAAGCCTAAAGTCCCGACCAGCTCCACTCCAGTCGTGTCGGGCGCCTGGTCCACAGTTGCGTCCAGCCGCGGTAGGGGAGCACGGGGCGCTTGCCAACTCTCCCCTCCCTCCCGCCTGCCCAGGAGGCACCTGTTTGGGGCAGATGGGCTCCATCTAAATAGACAGGGTACCCGTGCCCTGGCTATGAGTTTGGCATGTCCACGACCCCCACTATCCACCACGCCATGCCCTGCTGCCCCCACCCTCTCCACCCCGTCCTCCCACTCAACCACACCCTGATGTCCAGCTGGTCCCTGCTCCTATGACCCCAGCTATGATTTTAACAGTAACTCAAATATTGGACTTGGACCTCACACCAGCTCACTAATTCCTGTCATTATCAGCAGAGAGTGACCTAATCACCCTAAACCAAACAAACGCAACTACAGTAATCTTAAACACTTACCGATAGTTCCACAATCATACTGTCACTTCCTCTCCAGTTACCATTACTATGGCACTTTTAAATGTCCGCTCTGCTGAATAAAACTTTTATTATTAATGATTTGATTTTAGATCACAACCTGGATGGTTTATTTTTAACAGAGACCTGGCTGAGTGCAGATGCCCCTGTTGTTCTCACAGAGGTTTCCCCACCTAATTTTAATTTGACTTATTCTACAAGGAGCAGCAAAAAGGAGAGGCGGTACTGCCTTTATAATCTCAGCAACACTTAACGCCAAACCTGTTTCATTTGATAATTTTAGCACTTTTGAATACAATGCAGCTGTTTTTGGGACTCCTCAAATTCTATGTGTCACAGAAAAAGTCATCACAAAAAAAGCACATCTTTTATAGAAGGATTTTCTCAAAGTTTTTATCAAACTTACACAACTCTTACGACCAAATAATTTTAGCCAGTGATTTTAATTTACGTGTGGATTATCTTCTAGACCCTTTATCGACTGATTTTTGAAATATTCTTAATTATATGGATTTTAGCCAACATGTCACACAGCCAACTCACAACAGAGGGCACACCCTAGACTTTGTCATCACGTATGGCCTGTCTACCCGTGTGCTCTCTGTTGTTGACTTGGCTCTCTCTGACCACTATTGCGTGTTTTTTAATATCACCGGTTTCACCCAGCGGGAGACCTCCGTGAGAACTGTCAGGAAACCTCATCTAACCCCTGAAGTGGCTGCAGGTTTTATTGATATCTTAGAAAAGATACCTCCTATTGCTTTACCTGCTCCCTGTGATTTTATAGTGAACGATTTTAACAGCAGGCTTCAGTCCACCCCTGACCGTCTGGCTCCACAAAAAATTAAAAAGATACAGCCTAGACTTACATTACCATGGAGGAACAAATCTCTCAGAACACAAAAGAGGAACTGCAGGGTGGCAGAGAGAAAATGGAGAAAAAACTAAATCACTATAAACTATCAGATATACAGAAAAACTCTAAAGTCATACAACAACACCGTAAGGAACTCAAGGTATGCATACTTCTCCAAAATCATCTCAGAAAATAAAAATAATCCTAAAATCCTGTTTTCCACTTTCAGTAAAGTTTTTAACAATACCCCTGATGCATCTCAGAAAACACCATCAAACTCTCTGTGAGGAGTTTGCAGACCACTTCAGAGGGAAGGTACACACAATCAGATGCAACATTTTATCCTCTCACAGTGACATGGTTTTATTGAAATCTGAGTGTGTACCTTTACCAGAGGAAACACAGGACAGTTTTGTCCTGGTTGAGGCTGAAACTCTAGATAAAGTTTTCTCCTCGGTGAGGCCCACCACATGTCTTTTAGATCCAGTTCCTACTTCGTTTTTTAAGCCATGTTATGAATATTTTAGAGATGAGATTTTAACCATGATGAACTGTTCTCTTCAAACAGGGGTCTTTCCTGCTGCCTTTAAAGGGGCGGTGGTGAGGCACCAGTTGAAGAAGAGAAACTTAGATTTTAGCGATTTTAACAACTTCAGACCGATGTCTAGCTTACCATTCTAAAGTAAAACTTTAGAAAAGCTTGTTTTAATCCAGCTTAATGATTTTATTAATGGACATAATGCCCTTGAGAAATTTCCGTCTGGTTTTAGAGTAAACCGCAGCACTGAGACAGTCCTTTTAAGAGTTTTAAATGACGTAAGAATAAATTATGATGCACAGAAAGTGACTGTTCTGGTTCTACTGGATTTAAGCGCTGCCTTTGACACAGTGGACCACAACATTCTTTTAACCCGGTTAAAACACATCAGCCTCTCTGGTGCTGTCCATAAATGGTTTACTTCGTATCTCACAGACAGGACTTTTATGGTAAGTCTAGATACCTTCTGTTCTAAGGCCTGTGAGATTACATGTGGTGTGCCCCAGGGTTCGATTTTAGGCCCAGTACTTTTTAATCTTTATTTGCTTCCACTTGGTGGCGTCATCAGGCGACACAGAGTGCAATTTCACAGTTATGCAGATGATACACAGTTGTACATCTCTATGTCTCCCGATGACGCATGATGACCATTGGATGCCCTTTTTAATTGTATTTCGGTTATTGAATCCTGGATGGCAGAAAACTTTCTCCAGCTTTACCGGGACAAAACCAAAGTTTTAGTCATCGGTCCTGAGACCCAGAGAGAGAAACTTTTACCAAAGCTACAGTCACTAACACTAACTTAATTCGTCTTCTCAAGTGAAGAACCTGGGTGTGATTTTTGACTCTGAGCTAACTTTTATCCCCCACAATAAGAACGTTACAAAAATAGTTTTTTATCACCTGAAAAACATCGCCAGAGTCCGCCCCTTTTTCTCTCTGGCCGATACAGAGACGCTGATGCACGCTTTTATCACCAGTAGAATTGATTACTGTAATGCCCTGCTTTCTGGTCTTCCCAAAAAGAGCACCTCAGGCTTACAACTCCTACAAAATTCAGCAGCTCGTGTCCTGTCTAAGACCAGGAGGCAGGAGCACATTACACCTGTCTTAAGCAAGCTGCATTGGCTTCCTGTACGTTTCAGGACAGATTTTAAGGTTCTTTTAATGGTTTTTAAATGTCTTAACGGTCTTGGGCCTTCTTAACTCTCAAAACTGCTTCATAAATACGAGCCTTCGCGGTCCCTGCGCTCCTCTGGCAGCCATCTCCTCGTCATTCCAAATGTCAGGACACACTCCCAAGGCGAGGCATCCTTTCAGTTTTATGGCCCTCACCTCTGGAACAGTCTGCCAGAGGACCTCAGGGCCGTAGAGAATGTTCTTGTTTTTAAGGCCAGGCTCAAGACTCACCTTTTTAGTATAGCTTTTAGTTGATTTTGATCTATTTTAGCCTGTTTTACCATCTTTTATATAATTTATCAGTGTTTTATTACTTACTCTTTTAATTAAAAGACATATTTTCTTATTTATTTTAAATTGCAATAATTATTAGTTTTAACCAGTATTGATAAGCTGTTGTACAATATTTTTATAAATGTAATTATATGTTTCTACTTGGTTATCTTTTATCAGTGTGTTTTATTTAGATTTTTATTTATCAGCTGTTTATGTTGAATTTGTTTCTTAACTTATCTTAGTCTCATTAGTAAACCAGTGTTTCGTCTGTGGGGGCTGGCTGGCAGCGGTGGAATGTGGCGGCCGGGGTGCTTCTCGTGCCTCCTCTTGCCCGGGCTGCTGCTGCCGATCCTGCTGCTCCCGGTGCAGTTGGCTCCTTTGATGGCGTTTCCGTCTTCTTAGTGCCTACTACACCTGCACTCAGCCAGCTGCCCTTTCTCTTTTTTACGTGTGTGTGTGTGTGTGTGTGTGTGTGTGTGTGTGTGTGTGTGTGTGTGTGTGTGTGTGTGTGTGTGTGTGTGTGTGTGTGTGCGCGTGCGTGAGTTTGTATCTGCTTGGGATAGGATTGAGGGTGGGAGGAGGGAGATACAAAGGGGATCGCTTATGTGAATCTGTGTGGGTGGGAAACCGACTGCTTTCTGGTTGTTTTGAATATTGTAAAGCACTTTGAGATGCATTTGTGTGAAAAGCGCTTCATAAATACATTTGATTTGATTTCCACATGCATTGCTCCTTTGAGTGCAATATTCCAGAAACACTTTATTCAGTTTTGTGTGGGTGACTCACCAGGTGTCGGAACTATCCTTTGTCTCTTTGATTTTCTTACTGGCATGAGGAAGTGGATGACCTTGGGTATGTTAGTTAGAATGAAATGGAATTCATGCTGTTAGACAGCCTGTATTGATCTCTCCTCACAGGCTCCTTATGATACAACTCTTATCCCATATTCTGGTGTATTAATGGATAATTTCCTTAAATGTGGGTCTGGTTCAGTCGGGATGAAATCTTTCATTCATTCAGGTGGTTGTCAAAATCTAAACCAGTTCTGTTGAAACACAACCTCTACAGGCCGGTCTTTTGAACGGCTCTTTGAGGTCCTTTACGAGTCCGGTCACTAGTAGCCCCCTCTTTTAGAGTCCTGCTTTTAAACCGTCACAGCTGTATGCTTTTTGTGTTTTCTTGTTGATTTTAATGTTTTCATTCTTTTATACTTAAGGTATTTGGATGTTTTACGTCATGCAGCACTTTGGTCAACCTTTGTTGTTTTTTTACGTGTTATGCTGGGATCTTTTTCAGGCAGATTGCTACAAAAAGTTTACTAAACTCTTGTGCTCATCAGGTCGGCATCCTGGACATTGACCTTTGTGGGCCCAGTATTCCTCGCATGCTGAATGTAGGCCAGACTGAGGTGCACCAGTGTGACTCAGGCTGGGTACCAGTCTACACTGATGCCCAGAAGAGCTTGGCACTTATGTCCATTGGTTTTTTACTAGAAGACCCAGATGAAGCTGTGGTTTGGAGGGGACCAAAGAAAACAGGTATGTTTACCTATCAAAGCAAGTATAAGTCATCGTCACTTTGACAAGTTCTTATAAGAATAAATACATGATGAAAGAGCTTTAGTCACTGCAAATCACCGAGCTGCTTTATTTTCTGTACTGAATCTTTTACCCAACAGCTTTGATTGGCCAGTTTGTGTCTGATGTTGCATGGGGGGAGCTGGATGTGCTGCTGGTGGACACTCCACCTGGGACGTCTGATGAACACATGGCTGTCTTGGAAAACCTTAAAAAGCATCGAGTGGATGGAGCCATTTTGGTCACCACACCTCAGGTAAACAATACGAGTCACAGAGCTAAGTTTACATTAGAGGTGACGCAGCTTTCAACACCGCAACAACTGTCACCTCAAATGTTCCTCATCTTAATGCCTGGAAGTCATTTATTTCTATTTTAGCGCTCACGTGAACCACTTGTGTGTTTAAACTTGAATGATGCAAAATGAGATTTTTATTGTATGTTGACACAGGCAGTGTCAACAGGGGACGTGAGGAGAGAGATCACCTTCTGTAAGAAGACGGGTGTTCGAATCCTGGGAATTGTAGAGAACATGAGTGGTTTTGTTTGTCCACACTGTTCTGTGAGTGATCCAACCTAATAAGAACCATCCACTAATGCAGTCTGGATGTGTTACTCTGGTAATCTTGTCCTCTTACAGGAATGCAGCAACATATTCTCAAAGGGTGGTGGTGAAGAGCTGGCCAAGCTAACTGGATCAGTGTTCTTAGGTGAGCAGTGATAATAGATGTAATGTCAGCCTGTCACAACCAGGTGTCCTCACACACGTCCCTCAGCCCACTTCCGATTCTCACTTTTGCAACTGTAGGGGTGTTTGCGTCACAGCCAGGCTGTTGAAATGGCTCATCCTGATTCTGGTGCAGCAGAAGTATAAATATAAACTACTAGAGAGGGATCAGACACCTCATTCATTCTTGATCGAGCTGACAGATGAATGCTTTTCCACAGATGTTACAGATCAGTCTAGTTTTATGATAAAAATGTAGCCTAAGGCATTTATGCCCACTGATACACAGCTGACTGGTAATTGTCTCTATTTAAGGTTCGGTACCACTGGATCCACTTCTCAGTGCCAGCTTAGAGGAGGGAAAAGACTTCACACAGTCCTTTCCTGACAGCACCACGTTCAACTCCATCAGCAGAATTTGTCAAACTCTGCTCAAGAGTCTAGAAACAGACTGAGTTTGTTTGCAGCTTATTGGTAATTTTGCAGAAATAAAGATGTTTGTTTTGCTTAGCTAAAATAAAAGGTGATCATGTTGGCCTCCTGTGTTCCTTTAACTCATGAATAAAACAGGCTTTCTGTGCTGTTCATGGTGTAAACATAACAGAATGAAACTAAACGAATGCAGCAGAGCAGCAGCTAGGCTAAGCTTTAGCAGTTGTGCATCATTTTAGGTCATGCTGCCAATGTTGGGAGTTAAAATGGTCACAGGAAAATACAGTACTGAAAACACATTTGTGCATTTGGAAGTCAGTCAAACGTTGGAATCTTTAATTGTGAAAACGTTGATACATAGCTTCGATATCAGCGCTTGTACAGGATTTAAGACAGCTGTTTCAGTTAAACGCTTCAGCAGTGCCATTTCTCGTGAATTAACTCCAGATCAAACAGGTCCAGAATGGTTACACAAGCCAAATGTCCCAATGCTTACTGCATAAAGCAAATTTCTCTAAAGTAATTTTAAATCTGTTATGATGTATTTTTAGTCTGGATTAAATCTTCTGAAACAAGCCTGCTCTGCAAGATTATAATCCCACAGCATGAAAACACTGAACCCCATGCAGGATTGGATGGCTGGAATGAGGACGAGATGAGGTACAGCCACAGATGGAGACGAAGTCGTGGAGATGGAATGTGGAAATTACACTTGTGAGACCCAACACAGGGCACGCGCACACACACACCTTTAATGCAAACAGCAGTACTACATGGAAAAAAAACACTGAAGTTTGAAAATATTTGCGTTTGATCAGAAAACAGCTACACACACAACTCCCACTCCACCAGCAACATACTAAAGGCAGTCTTATTAAACCAAGAATTACATCCAGAGGAATTCCAACCACTTATCACAATTAACCCACAGTGCATTAAATCTATCTATATAGATATTTATGTCTGTATATATATATTTATATATGTATATATCATGGACAATTAGAGTTTTGCTGCATTTTAACAGTTCAATGAATAATTTCTTATAAATAAAATCAGCGGAAAACAAAATCTGAAGTCCATACATGTTGCTCTTTACGGTTAGATCCTCAAGATTAATTCAGATATTCTTACAACTCCCACGTAGATTATGGGAGAAAAAAAGCTGTGTGGCCCTTTGGTCAGCTCTCTAAGACCAGAAGCCCAGCTGTCAAAGCTGGCTTCAAAGCCTGAAATAAGTGGAGGGAACAAAAAAATCATTTCCTTAATCTTTTTTTGTTTTAACACACACACACACACATACATACAAGACAGACAAATCACTACATTGCGCATTTACAAGTTGACTATCAAACTGGGACAACTGTACACATTGTTGAGAAAAGACCATACTTATGGAGCCATTTGAATCATTTTTTTCTCCACCTTCATTTCTTTCATCTTGCATGGCAGATTTTATCTTTAAATTTTTTCCCCACTCTCCGTTTACACACACTTTATCTCCAGCAGCAAAACAAAGAACCACTCTTGTAGTGGAGACGTTTGGGTGTTTACTTTGTGGACAGAATGAGGGCAACAATGAGGCCGTAAAGACCCAGGACCTCAGCAAAAATCAAGATGAGAATCATGCCCACAAAAAGCCGCGGCTGCTGAGCTGTACCCCTCACGCCTGCATCGCCCACAATGCCGATGGCGAAGCCTGCTGCCAGCCCACTGAGGCCCACGCTCAGTCCAGCTCCGAGGTGGAGGAAACTCCTACAGAGACACGGACACAAGCATTAGTTAGCTAAACGACACAGACTGTTAGATAACCTGGGCTAGTGAAAGTCTGTGAACTATTAAGGTAACAAGAAAGCATAAATTAAATTCTGACTGAATTTATGAATGATCAGTAATTATTTCAGTGTGTGAGATGAGGTAGTTTCCAGGTAAATATGCACAGTACGAATCCCGGGGGGCTGGTCATTACCACAACAAACATTTGGTGGGACGAACTTTGAAGATGAAATAAAAGAGGGTGTTAAGACAACAGCTGGACCCACTTGTATAGAGTAATCTTGTCCGAGATGTTGTTGGCGATCAGCACAGCTACCACCAGGCCGTAGATGGCTATAATACCAGCCATGACCACAGGGATAATAGACTTCATGATGAGCTCCGGCCTCATCACAGACATTGCAGCGATACCTGTGCCGCTCTTCGCTGTGCCATAGGCTGCTCCCAAGGCTGGAGGGAGAGATCCAAGACAACTTGTTAGACGTGTTCATGGATACGATACAGATTGGCAGACAGCTGACAGAAACCAAACGACACTGATGATTAATAAAGCAGAAGTGAAATAAGAAATGGAGAAAGAACTGTCAGACTCTGGTTCCCTAAAAAATCCAGCATGGGTCAACTCTGGGGATTCCTCCTGCTGCCACACCGCCGCTTGTAAACGCTTTATCTTCTCTCACAAAACCCATGTCATCCTACAAATGTCTTTGCTGTATGGATGTGATGTTTAATCACTGCCACTAAACTGCTTTAATAAACAGGACTTTTTACACAGCAAATCTGGAATCAGAAGGGAACTAGCTAGTGTTTCTGATGCAGCAAGTGTGTGGAGTTCACTTTGTACAAGAATCAGTGCAACATGACAAAGATGATAAAAGGCTCATCAATAGGCGTAGCTTTGTAGTCCTGATGACGTTCTCTCACACATGTGGCACTAGCAGTCAATCACAAAGATTCAGAAACGATAAATAAAAACATCTACCATCTACTAACCATTAACTCTGGTTGACAAACTGCAGGTGAAATAAAAAGCTGCTAGCATCAAGCTACACCCGCCAGGAACCCGACAGGTTATTATTCAGAGAGACTGGTTTGACAAGGTTCCTCGGCACTGTACTGAAAAACCGACAAAGCAGGGTAGAAAAAGTGCTGATGTGGTTAGTTATCCGAATGATTGGGCTGTGCTGGCTCCTATACTTAATATAAACATTTGTTTGAGTTTTAATGCTGTTTGTTTCGGAAGTCAAACACAAATGATAAACATATTTACTTATTTTTAAAAGAGCCATCAACTCAGTCTGGGAAGGTCATCGTTTCCCAAAAAACAAGGATGATGATTGCATGTGAAAGTGTCCAGAGACATGGAAGAGTCTGGGGTGTCCTGCAGCAGGCCCGTGACGTTCTGGTGAACCACACAACTACCTGAGAGGCTTTCTGGCAGAGCGGATCTTTAAATGTGCACGTGGCACCCGGCCATGTTCCTTTCCATTTCTAGTGATGTATGACCAGACTGATGCCATCAGGACAAGTTAAATCACTCCAGCTCATCTAAGGAGATTTGCCAGAATGCAACTGGCCTCTGCTTTTGCTAACCTCTACAAAAGCAAAAGACAGCCTTACATCTAATCTGAATTATGTACACAAGTCACACTATCTGCTGTACCTACAGCAGCCGCAGACAAAAATGACCAGTTGATCTTATTTTAGGAGAGACTTTGTCATTTAAACAAACAAAGGCTAAAACGGACAGCGTGGAAAACTTTGACTTTGTTTTGAGATGTCCTTTTTTAAACCATCCATCAACACTTTCACATTACTCACAATAAGGCAGTTATGTCTCTGCCTGCCTATTGCCTCACAGGCATGGTCTAACTTAGTGGTTGGTATATGATGACAGAAGAGACAACACACAGATCTTTTAATTGTTGCTGTGTACCAGCAAGTCAAAGACTTGATGCGTGGGGGGGTTCTCCATCCCAATCCTCTTTTGCCATTTGTCTTTCTTTATCCCTGATGAATATTCAATATGGGATGCCTCGTGACATCTCTTGATGTCAGAGGAGGTGGTTCCTCTAGCAAGGGATGATCTTACATGCTAAAGTCCACACACCAAAGAGAAGACTGCTCTGCTCTGAAATGTAGAGGGAAGAGACGGATATAAACACGCTACTCATACACTAGACATTTAAAACGGCACACTAGCTGTAAAATGTGGAAATTTACCAGGCACAGAAACTGCTGACCTATTTCTATTGCATCAGAAGGTACAAACTCTGAAAAATCCAAATCTAGGGAAACTAAAAACGAGAGAAACTGTGGAAACATTTTGCATGGTTCTGCCACAAATATAAACAGGACTGCTCCTATGTTAAAAGCACTACTTGTTCCATTTGAGTTGTTCGAGTCAGACTTCTAAATCCCCCCATCAATTTATTCATGCAAGAGAAGCCACGAACCAGTTATTTGCAACATCAGTTTATGACGATACCCGGCTCTACAAGTACTTCATATCCGAAGCCCGCATCATTAACTATCCGTGTTCATCCCACCACCATCACATCCCTTCTTCCTGCCAGCATGATCCCCTCCCTACCAGCTGTCACTCCTTCAGCATCACAGAGCGGCTAGTGCCACAACCAGCGTGCCACTTCCCATTAATGCACATTAAACTTCTTTAGGTACAAGCACCTCCTGAGCTGTTCCAGGGAAAAGGAGATAAATAGCCCATCTTGCATTAATAAGTTAGATGTTTTAGGTATGAAACATGTAATGTCTGCTATGATCTGGGGGGCAGCTTACTTTCATAATTTGCCATCTCCAACTTCCTTAATACTCAAGTTTCATCCAAAGTACAATGTTCAATTAGCAGATTGCAAGTTTCACATCAGTCACATATTAGCACTTTCTGTAGGTTCTGCCTTGAGTTGATAGAAAAAGTGCAGTGGTGGTTGTGGGATCTATAAACAGGTACTTAACTACATAAAAAAAATTTAAAGTCCACTGGCTGTGTAACTAAAATCTTTATACAAAGACTATAACTACCTTAGGGATAATATAACCAAGACATATTTAGGAGAAATACAAAAACACGTGAGTCTTTATTTTGAACAAATTTACTGCTAAATAGTTACAAGTTTAAATGTGGATTTGAAAGGTTCAGTAGCTATATGAGCGTCAGAAGTCTCATCATGTGATGATCATGTGACTTTCTGTTATTCGTTCAGTAAAAGGGAAGTCAACCAGGTGATAACGGTTTCCAGTGGCCATTTAAATGGCAATTAGGGTTTTTTTACATATATATTTTAGTTCAAAAGCCACACCAACAACTGTATTTAATATTTCACGTGACACATACTTTGGTAATACAGCTTACGTGGAACCGCGTTAGCATAAGTTTTAATTGAACCAGGTTGTTTTTAATCGTTTTTGATGGTTTTACTCGCACTTTGTGACATATACAACATTAAAGCAGCGAGGAAAAGGAAATCAGTCTAATGGGCTCCAACTGAAGGCTCGTTGCAAGCTAGCTGTCTAAGGACAAAAAATTAAATCGTGTTGAATGTAAAAGTAAATCTATTATAGCTGATTTTAAGTAATATTCCCCTGTTCTGACCAGATAAATGTTTCTTTTACCCTTATACTTTAGTTTCAGTTGCAGCCGAAAAAAGCTAACGTCAAAGCTAGCTTACGTAGCTCCCAACAACTAGTTAACCAACTCCACCAGCCCTTACTGGGGTTACCGATAGATTTTCTAACCGATAATCCCACAATGTGAACGTTAAGCAGGTAAGGCCACTATCTTACTCAACAAAGCCTACAAAAATGACAGCGCTGAAATGTTAGCATCAGAGTAGCTACTAGTGAGCTCCGCGGTTGGCAGTGCCTCCTCGTGGGATTTAAACACATGTAAAACATTAAAAATCATTCACACCGATAACTAGTTAAAACATCTTAAAATGAAATGAAAGAGTCATATTTACCGCTGAACACCATAGCTGCGGAGGCACCCATCACTGCGAAGAACGGTGAGTATTCGGGGCTCGACATTCTTTCTGGCTATAAAAATAAATATACAAAACTAACAATGACTGATTGGGCAAAATAAAATAATAAATGGCACTTCACGGGAAGTAATTGAAGGCCACGGGCTGGAAATGCGACAACGGGTAAAGCAGAAACCGTCTAATCAGCTAACTAACAGAGTAAAAGGAACAGTCACGACTCTTCAGATAAATACCCGGCGCAGCAGCACAAAATGGCGAAGCGTAAAGCATCACCTGACTGGCCGTGTGGACGAAACCACTTATGGACAGAGGGAGGGGTGGAGAAACACGGAACTGAAAACATGAAATAGTTTTTAAATCGTTATCTGGAAAAACAAGCCTGAAACCAAATACATTTTATGAAGATAGTAAAATAACCACCTGAGCGAGATTATGAGCAAAAGTCCTGTTCGTCTTGTTCGTAACGTTTTGGAAGATCTCGCCTATGAGTTATCGTTTTGGTATGGTCCGCTGCAGGCTTTCCCTGTGATGTCTACGTATTCACCTTTCAGAGGCTGAGAAGTACAAGATGATGGGGATTTAGAGGGTGTGGAAGAAATATTTGTGTCAATTTTAATGATTTTACTTCACACTTCATCGGATTAGAAAAGACGAGAACATTCACGAATAATTGAATATGTCTGTCAATAAGATGTCCATCTTTCTGACAGTTAATAAAAAATATCTTTAAAAGCTGATGCTTCTGTTTGAACACTTTAATGCAGATTGCCCCGGGACTCCACTAGTCTACAGAGCATGTTTTTCTTCTTTTTAACAGCTACTTGTGATTTGCAGCAATGTGGCATGTGAGAAAATTTGAGTGCTTAAGAGAGGGGTGGTATAGTAAGTGACTGAGAAATCCCTCCATCCTGTCCCATCCTTCACTGTACAGCATCCGGCAAAAAAGAGAAGTGAATGCCCCAAAATCCAAAAAGGAAGGGTCAAGGCAATTGGGACCCGATATATGTTGTGTATGACTCAGAAGGACCTTGTGCAGTCCTTCCTGTCTCCCTCCATCCCTGCTCTCTATGCACTGCCTGTTCCAAGTCAGCAGCATTGGACCCCTCCCCCAGAGCCCCCATCACTCGTGATGCAGTGTCTCCACATGCATCACCGGCCTCCTTCCTTTCAGACACCACTCCACGTCGTTCCAGGCAGACATGAAACACGAAGGCATATTTAATAAACAAAGGTGATGAATCAGTGTCAAGCTCACTGTGAAGTTCATCTTATTCTCCATTTCTGTGGAGACTAACTGAATATTGATGAAAGGCTGTGAGACTGGACGCTTTTAGGAACACTCAAGCATTTCATTTGGAGTGTGTGATCATTTATCACACAGATGCTTCCTGTTTGTTTTTAGTGAATCCTCATTTTATCGAGTGGCGTTAAGCAGCGGCTTCCACATGCTCATTCCCTTTTTAGGGAAGAGAAACTGAAAACTATCAGACATCCTCATAAGACATCCTTCCAGATTTGTGCTTACTACCAAACCAGATCCCTTGTCTTTTTAAGATTTTACAAGTAATAAAACACCTTCTTAGTCTGGCCTTTAATCTCCTGCCCATCTGATTGTTCACTAAGATGGGCGTGGGTGGTCAAGGGAAACCCCCACCTCATCTTGTGGTTAAACCCTTAAGCATCTTACTCCTGGAGGCTGGAGGGGAAGGTTTTCAGGAGATGCGCCAGACCAACACCCAAAGGAGTGGCTAAAAATAGAAGCACATGTGCGATTAGCCGTGTGAATCCTGAATGAACAGCACAGGCCTAGTAAAGACAGAGTCAATACTTCTTACTGTAAAGAGGGGCATCACATCACCACTCTGCTGTCAGAGACGCATCCGATGCAGATTATTATTGAACTATGGCATCGATCAGTAGAAATGTTTTTAAACGTAAGGGTTCAAACCAAATGTCTGAGGGAGAAAATGAACACGCGTTCATGTTTGAGCTATACATCAGTGCACCTCCTCTACTGGGTTTTACTGACACCTAATAAAAAAGATGGACATGAAATGTGCGACCCAGCTCACTATTCAAGTGTTAGATGTGTGTTAGAATGTGATTCATTCTAACAAAACATTTTCCAGTCAGACCATTCACCCCCAACTTCCACAAACTAAACTAAAATAGAGAATGTGCCTGAAGAAGCTTGTCTGAGTAATGCAGCTGTCATGGCGGCGTTTCAGTAAATTAGACCCAAGTCTTTGGTTCAAAATGAGAACATTTAAACGATTCTGTCAGGGATCAGCTGATTTTATGACCAGATATGCATAGGAGCAGATTTTCTAACCAGTCCATGAATCCGGCTCTATTTTTACTTTTCTGAGTGAATGCACCATAGCTACGCTGCTCGTGTTGGCTTGGTTTGTAATGCAGGGGCTAAAGAGGCATCTAGTTCACAAAAATACTCCACTATTAGTGTCAGGTTATTGGTACAAACATCTCTGTTCTAGAACCAGAAGGGCATCATTTTTAGATTTTCATTGACAGGAAGTTCTAATCTGGTGTTTTGACAAGCTTTACTGTAAACATTACAAACACAAAATACACTGCCCGGCCCCAAAATAAGCCACCACCAAAAACAAAAGGTCACCCTTTATATTTTGTTGAACCGCCTTTAGCTTTGACTAAAGCACACATTCGCTGTGGCATTGTTTCAATAAGCTTCTGCAATGTCACCAGATTTATTTCCATCCAGTGTTGCATTAATGTGTCACCAAGATCTTGTACTGATGATGGTAGAGTCTGACCGCTGCACAAAGTCCTCTCCAGCACCTCCCAAAGACTCTCAATGGGGTAAAGCTCTGGACTCTGTGGTGGCCAATCCATGTGTGAAAATGACGTCTCATGCTCCTTGTTGGTCTGGTGTTTATAAGCTTCACTCTCCCGTATTCCAGTCAGAATTGACAGCTCCTCGGATGAGGAGCAAAAACGTCTTCAAGGAACCAGCCTTCATTCAAACCCCTTTAGGATTACCAGGACTTTCTGGTGGTCCACTGTGTTTTGTGAGGTCAACGCAGCCGTCCACCAGGAAGTTTTAAAGCACCTCATGCTTCCTGCTGCTGACCAACTTTAAGGAGATGCAGATTTCTTTTTCCAACAGGATTTAGCACCTGCACAGTGTCAAGGATCATCCCTGCTCTTCATTGTCCAGCAAACTTGCCTGAACTTAACCCCATAGAAATCCAACAATTCAGAAGAGCTGAAGGCCACTATCAGAGCAACATGGGCTCAGAACACCTGAGCAGTGCACCAGACTTTAACACTCCATATGCCACGTAGCTTTGCTGCAGTAATCCAGACCAGCTGAGCTCCAACTAAATATTGAGTGCTGTACTTGCTCATACTTCTCAGTTGGCCAACATTTCTAAAATGCCTTTTTTTAGCATCGCGTTTAATTGATGTTCTAATTTTCAGAGATACTGAAATCAGGACTTTCATTAGTTAGCTATAATAATCCATATTAAAAGAAATAAACATTTGAAATAAATCAGTCTGTGTAATGAATGAATCTAATCTACAAGTTTCTCTTTTTGAATGGAATCACTGAAATAAATCAACTTTGTCATATTCTAATTTTGTGGCTAGCACCTCGTTTCTGCAATCTCCTTAGATGTTTTCTCACATTGATGCACGCCAGTGACCTGACCCTTCTCAGACCAACATCTTTTCCACATGGTTGCTTATGAAATGAGAAACAGAGTTGGGGTTAAATAACTTCAGACTCTGCCCATGCCGTAATTACCCAATAGGAGGCTCGCACCTATTTAGTTAAAACCAGGTGGTGACTTTTATTTTTTGGCCAGCCGGAGTATAACTCAAACTGGCAATCCTTGGGGGAAAAAAAAACAGGAATCGGCCTAATGTGGATCACAGTGGAACTCAAAAAACAGGTTCAGAAAACTGATCAGTGCATCTCCAATGTGGCGTTTATACTTTTCAATAGACATTTGCTCTACTTGGCTATGTAAACCTCTCTAAAGGGGCAGAAAGTGGAGAAGCAGGAGGGTGGAATAAGCTGCCAGCAGACTTAAAAAGGCATCCGACACATTTCTGAGAACCTGATGAGTGCAGCACGCTCTTTACAAAGTCAGTGATGCGACAGAACGAGAGTAGCAGAGAAAAAACTAACCAGACAAAACACCAGGGTCACTTCATTGAACACGAATACTGTATTTTCACATGTAGATAACAGCTATTGCACTGATAATTCACTGGAACACACACACACACACACACACACACACACACACACACACACACACACACACACACGTAATCCAACACTTTACCTACAGAACTTCTCCTCAAACAGGCAGAGAAAACAATGAATAAACTGTATTTATGCTTCACAATGAATTGAAAATGTTCTTTTCTACATTTCTAGACCAAAAACAAATTCACATTTAGTGCAAAAGGCTTCGCTCAAATTTACTAGACATTCACAGACATCTACTAGGTTTATTCATATATCAGATTTCGTCCAGCACATCCAAACATCTAGGAAGAAAGAGACAAATCTAGATCTAAGTTTTACTTGACCTGGTACAACTTTACCACAGTTATGTTCAACATTTACCGCGAAAATGAAGGACCTTGCCTCACAAATGTTCTGGAAACTTCAGTTTGTCAACAGAATCTGACAAATAATCTCCCTAAAGGACCGGACGGCTCATTTCTTACTCTGGCAGGACTCTGAACACAGAAATGATCTCAGTAGGAACATAAACACGGTCCTTCATGAGCTTTTCTACTTGATGAGTGCAGCACAATATCAATATGTAAACACAAACGTAAACAGAAGACAAACACACATTTATATATACATACTTTTCAATTCATTTAGAAAACAAAGAGAAACTCTAAACATTTTGCGGGTTGAACAAAGCTCTGCTTGCAAACCCGTTTTGGACTTTATGCCAAGGAAATGACTCCCTGCTGTAACCTTCTAATATGTTTGAGTGTCTGAATCTAGATATATTTGACTTGTTTGTGCACGTGATTATTGAGCCATGGCATCCTGGAACCCCCACACCTCCAGCAGTGAAACCTGGAAGCTCTCTGCACACAGCGGCGGGTTGTCGAAAGTGGTGCATCTTCCGGTGCGTCCGTGGTTCAGCTCAGAGTCGATGTACAGCGCGTTACCTTCACCCCCTCCTGAACAAACAACAGTACACATTTGATTTATTTTGTAAACAAAATTGGGATGTTGACCATTTAAAAATGAGACAAACATGGTAACCAGATGCAGTGAGCTCGCTCACCCACAATGATGGAGTCAAAGTTTCCAGCCATGAACATGGAGGTGTTCTTGGAGTTCAGGTTGAAATGGCGAGCAGCCAGAAACGGTGACAGATCTCCAGCAGCTTTCTCCAACTGCTGTAAGCTGTCGACTGCATTTTGTCCCTCGGAGGACGCCGTGCCCTCCTGGACCTCTGTTTTGATGGAGGATGCCAACTCAGGGTGGCGGATCACCACCCACTCGTAACGTTCCATCTCGGGCTTCAGCTAAAAGGGGAACAAAAAAGTTGTACGCACCTTTAAATAGCATTTTCCACACATACAGGTGTAGTAGCATAAACATGATACCGGGTTTGTAAACAGCATGAAAACACAAGGTCACAGTCGTCATTTCTTACGTGAATCATGCTAATCACATTTTTTACTTCAGGCTTCGAGCCGGCGCATACTTCTAGAGATTTCCTGACTTTATTTCAAATTAAACACAAAGAATATTCTTTGTAACATTAAATTCAGTTAAATATTTTATAGATCTGCTGGGTTTAAATGTCAGTATTAAAACAGAACTTGGTTCACAAAAAATGACCCAGAGCCAAGAAAATAAGCCAGAAGTCAATGGGAACCTCACATTTACAAAGAAAACGGTCAGAATGAACTCAAACCTATATTAGCTGCAGCCTTTCATGTCTGGGTTTTACACTCGGACCATCTTATGTGGAGAAATGATGAGTTACAGCCATCTTGAATGGGTCTGACTCGGTTAATCAGCTGTAGATGAAGACTGTATGATGGTTTCATAATAATCCCTCCAGTGGTGGAGAAGATATTGTACCAGTTATCACATGCAACCATCCATTTAGCGTTTTTTTCAGGTGATAATGGACAGAATGAATTATTTTAGTTAAAGGAGTTCATTAGTGAAACTTTCCATCTATTCATCCATTGATGTGATCAGAATCTGCTGAAAATATCACCAAAGGGAATATTTCTCCACAATCATGTGAGTCAAGTTTACATATTAGGATCATGATTATTCATTTTTTTTAACCATCCATCCTCTTCCACTTATCTGGGGTTGGGTCGTGGGGGCAGCAGCCTAAGCAGAGATGTCCAGACTTCCTTCTCCCCAGCTACTTGGCCCAGCTCCTCCAGGGAAAAGCCGAGGCGTTCCCTGGCCAGCCGAGAAACAGTCCCTCCAGCGCATCCGGGGTCTTCCTTTAAGTCTCCTCCCTGTTGGACGTGACGGGAAAACTTCACCAGGGAGGTGTCCAGGAGGCATCCCAACTAGATGCCCGAGCCAGCTAAAATGGCTTCTCTGGAGTCCGGCATGGAGTTGGGGCACGTTGGCGAGTGCCTGGTGGCCGGGCTTTCACCCACGGAGCCTGGCTGGGCATAGCCCGAAGAGAAGATGCGGGTCCAGTGTGAGATGGCCGGTACTCGAAGGCAGGGACCTTGGCAGTCTGGTCCTCAGCTACAAAAGCTAGCTCTTGGTACGCGAGTGTCATTTTTAACCAATTCAAGTTTTTAAAAAATACATTTTGTTTCTTACAGGCATAAATGATCTAATTTACGGAGATGAGCCAAAAGCAGAAGAGCAGATTTGTCCCCTATACATCATGTCTAATACCTCCTTTTCTTTAATCTCTTCTGTGGCACGAGCCAAACAACAGATTTTGACATTTTCCCTCAAATGAAAGTTAAAACTGAACTTCAGTTCAAATAACTGAGCCACACGGGACCTATGTGGCATTCAACACCACCCTAGTTGCCTTTTCCCCAGGAAGGTGGCCACAAAAGCCAGATTAAACATCTGAGCAACGCGTGTTAAAAACAAGACATCTACAGAGCTAATGCCATGTACTGACATACTTAAGCCTGTTCCACATCTTTCCTCTCTGATCTCTAACAAATGTCGTCTCAGACCTGCTGTGACTCAGGTGTGGTGTCAGGTGAGAGCCTGCTCAGAAACAAGCGCATCAGGTGACAGGAGTTTCCGATCTGTGTGTGCTGAAGTGTTACTGTTGAGATGATTGTGACTTTTGGTGTCTAGGCTCAGACATCCCACAGCGGTCCACCAACACAGTGGGCTGGATAAATAATTCACACAGAGGGCATCAAAGAGTTGGTCTTTTCTGTTTCAGCAGCAGGTAATCTCCTAAAGTTAGGATGAAACGCTGCACTACCATCACCAGAGGGAAATGACAAGGTTGTTTATGAGAAAACAAAAACATCTGGGGCCTTGTGGCCTATAAAACAGTAAAAAAAAAAAACAAAAAAAAAAAACACACACACCAGTCTGAGTGTGTCAAATGCCAGTCAGGAACATGTGGAAATATGGCTGATGGTGCCCTCTGGTGGTTTAAGTGTAGTACTGCTAAGATAAAACGGGAACAGAAACAAACTCACCCTGAAGACAAAACACTCTCCCGTGCCAAAGAAGCTCAGTTTGTTCCCCCCTCTCTTCCTCTCCTCCCAGTCCGATGACAGGAAGGCTCCACATACCTGAATAAAAACAGAGTTGGTAGGTTGGAACAAAACGGATCACCTGACCTGTTCTGGCTTTATTGCTTAAAACAGCTCAGAATTAAAGCCAGTAAAGGTCTGCTGACTCGGAGGTCAATGTTCAAGCAGCATCCCTTTGCAGTGCTGTAATCCAACCGTATGACACCTGGTCACATGACTTTTGACACCAATTCACAGAGAAGGATAACAACAGAAAACTGAGTTCAAGCTTCACTGCAAAGTCACCTGAACTCATTTAGACAAAAATAATTAGATCTGAAAAAAAAACAACTTTTAAAATCTCATTATTTTACATTTTATTTTGAAAATTACAGCAATGAAAGTTGCACAAAGCTCCTAAAACTCTGTTTAAATATAGACAATATAGAAAAAAGCATACAGATTTCAATAAATTAAGTGCAGCCCTAGCCATTTTATGTCCTTACTTTATGATAAAACAAGTTGGGTGTGTTGCCAGACTTGGTTTATATTTGATTCTCTTCTACGTTTTTAACTGACAGTTGTGTCTTCCTTGTCAGATTAGAAAAAACCCAAAAACCTCTGTGCTGGTGAACTACTGTAAGCTTTTGTGGGACAATTTCCTCCACCGCTCCTGGCTGCAACATCTTGCTGCCTGTTCTGGTTTGAGAGGATAGTTCCTGGGTCTATGATTTTGATTGGATGGAGGCAAATGACTCTAGTATTAAGCTACCCAATAGGCTGAAATAGAAAAAAGAAAGGAGACTTTTTGTTGACCTATTGTTTTTTCTGTCACAGCATACATCTATTGATTGATAAATATTGTTATTGACATACTGACCACTTTCCACACTCTACTTTCTTCTACCACTACTCTCTAATTGCATTATTTCCTGTTACTTCAGCTGTTAGCTGTATTTTCTCTCCCCATAAGAAGCTGCTCTGCTGAGCTAAGGTAGCCTCATAGAGGGGGCATTCTCCCTCTCCTGATAATAATATTTTACTTTCTTTAACACGGAAGTGCTGCTACTAGTTTGTCTGTTGAATTAATTATAGACCCACTAAGGTGAGGACAATAAAGTTTCTCTTTCTAATTGGCCCTCATCTCTGGAACAGGCTGCCAGAGGACCTTTAGAGTCGCAGAGATTGTTTGTTTTTAAGAGCAGGCTTAAGACTCACCTTTTTACCATAGCTTTTAACTGATATCTGTTTATAGCTGCATTGCTTGTTTTATTTTAATTTGATAATTTATATTTTAGTTTTATTAGACATTTATGTCTTAGTGTTTTACTATCTTTTAATCACTTTTTTTAGTTATTTTACTATCCAAATTAGCTCATTATTTTTAATGTTACTTATTTGTTCGTGGCAGCGTTTTCCTCTGTGGGGTCCTCTGCCTCAGGGGTAGTGGTCGATTGTGGCGGCCTGGGCTCACCTCAGGGAGTGCTTAGGCAGTGGTGGTGGTTTTCGCCCTACCTCCCTGGGAGCCCTGGGTTGGTGCCTTGGCTGCTGCCGTCGACGGACTACTACCGAGGCAGACGGCTCACCTGATGGCGTGTCATTCGTTACCTAACCCATCTGAGCTCGGTCTAGTGTTGTTTACTTATGATTTTATTTATTAAAAGTTTTGTGTGTGTACATGTGTGCATTTGTTGTTCGTGTGTGTGTGTGTGTGTGTGTTCCTTAGGAAACAGGTTGTGGGATTGGGGGGTGGGGGGGTGCAATTGTCATTATTATTTTTATATTTTTGGGGAAATGATGGGATTATGGGTTACATGGGGTAATTTTAACCTGTAAAGCACTTTGAGCTGTATTTATTGTATATGAAAAGTGCTATACAAATAAAGTTTAATTGATTGATAGAATATCTACTAAGAAATCCCAATGTAGCCATAGCACTTGGTATTATGGTTGCAACGATTATACATTTTGGTGTTATGATTATGGTCTGAGAAATAATCACGGTTTCACAATATTTTTCATGAATTGATTTCACATCTGTACTAACACGTATAAATCACAGACATTCTATAAATCTTTGGTAAAAGGCATGATTACATTGTTTAAAGGTTTCGAAAGCCTGAAATTTCTATTGTTCCTTTTCAGGGATTTTGCCAAGACAAATTTACTCTAACACTGATTTGCAATGTTGATGTTTTACCTCCACAAATAACACAAGCCTGGAGGAGTTCTGCTGTGTAAAGGAGTAGCTTCTACTAGTCAAGACGTTCTCTGCCGTTTCCTGGACGCTAAACCAACAACAGCCTTCCCCGTCGTGAGTCAAGATGGGCGAGTCCGTGAATGTTAAGTGACAGTGTGACGTAGATCTGTCAAGATTTTCTAATCCTAGAATTCAACATCTATTTTCTATCAGAAGCTAATGCAGGAGATAGGTGTAGGAGACTAGTTTCAGGAGAGGGAGAATGACAAGCCTGCATGAAAAACTCAGAATGACTGATTATCAGAAATAATCATTAAAATGGTTTTTTTGAGTGAACCTTTCATTATATTTGCCTAATAGCTTTTTTGAGTTTCTGTAAAAAGAAAAGAAACTGTTGACAGCTGGTCAGGGTTAGCGCTGAAGGTTGGAGACACCTTAATATATTAAGATGCTTAATTCCTACTAGTGCAGTTGTTATATTACTTATTACTTAAATGTAATTTCTACTTGTTCATGTCTTTTGAAACTCCATCAGTAAGACTATTATTTAGACAAGAATAAATTATATTATTGCTATGTAGAACAGTAATTACAAAGAGGTGTTGCATGGTGGCGCAGTGGTTAGCACTGTTGCCTCGCAGCACAAAGGTTGCAGGTTCGAAACTCGGCTGCGGCCTTTCTGCGTGGAGTTGTGTGTTCTCCCCATGCATGCGTGGGTTTCCTCCGGGTACTCCGGTTTCCCCCACAGATCACAACATGCCCTATAGGTTATAAATTGTAAGTCGCTTAGGATAAAAGCATCTGCTAAATGAATAAACATAAACATAAATATTAAGCTGGCTTGCCGTACATGCTTGTTATTGACTGATACAGAGCAAACTTAGTACAACACAATATGAACTAAGAACTGCAGTGTTCTAATATTACTGTTATATTTGCTCAGTCACTAACGTAATCGGACTCGGTTTATTTATCTGCGTGACGATCTCAGAGATGAAAACAAGTTGGGAGTGCCACAACTTTCTTTTCTGCCAGCTCTGCAGATGGACGAGCCATCGTCCTGAATTTGTCTTTTAGCAGCTTTGTGGGTTTAAAATATCCCCTCACAGGAGACTTAAGCACTTCCTAGAGGGAAACGGAGAAGTCCCGGTGGTTGTTGATGCTGGTTCTGCTGAGTGCGTTCGTTCAGTTTCACTTTGGTCCGCTGAGGTCTTTCTTATTTTAGTTTACGGTGTTGGGGATGTCTTTAGGTAGGTTAACAGCAGCGTTTCACACTGTGGTTAATAAGTCACACTGGTTAATCCTTGCAACCCTACTTGGTATACGTGTTGTGTGCGTGTGTGTGCGTGTCTGCTCGGTCTTCTCCGATTCCCAGTGAGTTGTGGCGGATGGCTGCTTATACTGGACGTTTCTTCCTGTTAAAAGGGAGTTTTCCTCTCAACTGTCCCTACATGCTTGCTTATTATGAGGATTGCTGTAAAGACTGACACCAGTCAGGGACTTGATGCAATTTTCTGGCTTCCTTATTTAGGAAAGTTTTTACTGATTGGCTTAAAGAACTGACCTGAATTGGAATGTTTACTTTGTGAACTGCCTTGAGACGATTCGTCATCATTTGGCGTGATATAAACTGGATTGAACTGAGTTATTGTCCATAACGATTCAAATATTCTGTTGATTTTAATTCCGTTGATTTGACCAAAAAGCATCTAAAACATTGTTCCTCATTTGTACCAAATTCTCATAATTATTTAAGTGAAAGGAAGAGTTTAGAGGAAAATCCAAAAGGAAGCTTGTGTTTCTTACATCTCCACCTGTGGTCCTGATGAGGAGCAGCGTGGGTTCGTAGCCCTCACAATGGGAGTAGAATCTAAAAACAAATGTACAAGTTCTGTTCCTGGCACGATTTTCAAACACCTCACTGTGTCAAACATTCCTAAATGTAGCCTGTGAGTGGAAGCCATGTGTGGGATTGGACCACTGGCGCGAGGACAGAGGAGCTCACCTGTTGAGGCTGCAGCCGTGGACGGAGGTAGTGAAGAGCAGCTGTGGCTGGCACAGGGCAAAGCGCTCTGGGATCCATGACCAGATGTCGTGCATCTCCTTTGGACTGACAATCTCGGAGGAAAAAGTTTCAGGATTTAAAGCCAGCTGCACATTCCTCCTGGGACAGGCCGAAATGGAGATGAATGTCAGAATCAGTGGAGATCATTCAGTCTGTGATGCACAGGTCTTAAAGACTTATGCAATAAAATCTGACATTTTGACTGCAGTGACACTGACCATATAGAAGCCATTTAGAAAAAAATAAGGGAAAAACTGGTCTGAAAGCAAAGCAACAAGAAGTGAACCCACCTAGAACTGCAAAAGAACCAATGGAGGAAACACAGGAGTGCAGATGAGAGGGGGTGAACAAAAAAAAAACACAGAATAAACAGAAAAAAAACAAGATGTGAGACGATGCTAAAGCAACCAAAAAAACAAGATGATTTGAAAGAACAGGGGCCTCATTCATCAAACCTTCATACAAACACTCCTATAGTCCTTCCTAAGAATTTAGAATGATCGTACTAACGGTGAAAATCCTGATTCATGAAAAATGCGGTGGCCACTTGTACGCACGTTACTCCGCAAACGTCTAATAAATCCCACCTGTGCGTACCCAGGTGTTCGTGTTCATTCAGTCATTTACATACAGAAACGCCCTCAATTCACCATAATAGGTCACACCACGTCTTCAGCCCATGAGGGGAAACCCTGCGTTCTTCCAGAGAGAAAAAAAAAAACAAAAAACTTTATGGACTGCAAGATCAAGGCTCTGGCTGCCAAAGCCAAGAGAACCAAACTAGTTGCAGAGGTTATAAACGTGGTCGGGACCCCGTCAGGAATGAATAAAAATGGTTCCTCATTAAACTGAATATGATAAATCATGGACATTTAAGTAGTCGTTCTGTTTGGAGTTCGTTTTATTTGGAAATGTTGTCCGAGTGCAGCCTCCTCTGAGCTGTCATTCAGTCTGGTTACCTTGGCAACACACTGGGGGCACACAGGAGGTTCTCGCAGGTTAACAGCATAGCTCCAGAAGGATTTCCTTCAGGAATCAGATCAGTGCGCTCACGAAGGACGTGTCTACTCCAGAGTGCACGCTCTGCCAAATCCTCCAATAACACAGACCAGCCATGCTACAATGTCAGATCAGTGGTGTCTTGTATAAGTTTCAGTACCAGATATGCGTTTTACACCTAAATAAATATTTATTAGGTGAAATAATATGTGGATGAGAAACATGTGACGATGACTGAGACCACTGCGGTTCCTCCGTTCTACCACTATGCTATTCATATGCATGGTCTGAGGTTTGCTTATGTAACATTTTCACGCACGAGTAAAAAATGAATACCATACAATGCATTAATTAGTTCCTACGCACGAAATACACACAGATCTGTGAGTACGGATGATAAATGAGGCCCCTAGAGTGTCAAATATAGCATTTATATGAAGAGCAGATGAAACCTACACCTCTACTAAACAGGATTTTACAGAGTCTGAGTTGGTCCTGTAGATGCTAACGTGCTGCTCTTCACTCTCGCTTACCTCTGAGATTCCATTTATAAAGCTAAAGGCTTACTTTGTATCTTCATTCAAGTCCAAGAGCCTCGACTCAAATGAAGTTAGGATATGGATGAATTTTTCTGAATTGACAAACTGAACTTACTTACATCCTAAAAGAAAAATGGCGAATAAAAACAACCAAAATGTTTGTGACATCACATAAAACAAAATTGTTGAAGCTTGATTGAATTTACCGCTTCTGTTTGACAGTGATTCCTTTCTGCTGCAGGGACTTCTCATTTGTGAGCTGCAGCAGAGTGATTTCCTTACGGTTAATCAGACGGATGGAGAAAGACTTCTCCAGCAGCTTTTCAGGTGTGACGGTGGAGGCGATGCCCTTGATAAAGGCCTGAATATCTGACCTAATTTTACTTGAATCCTGCTGTTGCCGGCCCCCCTGCCCTGCTTGGTTCCCTGTTCTATGCTTACGATAGAACTTGAGCAAAGCTATGGCCACGCGGTAGAGAACCTTATAGCCCTCTACTAGATAGACATCAAAGACCCGGACCAAATGGCTAAAGGGGAGGTCACCAAGCACCCAGCGCTGCCAGTCGGCGTACACCTCAAGCACATCCTGGGCCGTGGTGATAATGAGTTTGTGAGCAGCTGTACAGTACTTATTGGCCAGGTCGCCGAAAGTCATGCAGCTGGACTCATAGGCCAAGAAAGTTTGGTCCAGCAGGCGTTTACCTGGCTCGTTGCAGGCCAGGATTCGGCTGACGTGCTCAAAACACTGAGCCTCATCTTTGCTGAAGTGAAGGAGCAAAGAAGTAATGGCCGGGAGAGAAGGGCAGTGGGAGATGTCTGGAAACTGTCCCGCGATGCAGCCAATGATGCGATGGACTGAGGCCATGGCCTCGGCCTTCAGGCAGTACCGTGGCACAAGGTTTCCATCCACAAACTCTGGCAGCGGGGTGTGAGAGGAAGGCTTTTTCATGGCTGTGTCTCCCATGATGTCACGATAAACTTCTGCGTCTGGAGTGACCGTACGACAAGGTATGGCTTTGATGAGCTGCTGGTAGACTTGTGCTCGTAGTTGGTGATTCTTGGCCCAGTAACCTTGACGAGCCATCTGCTTGAACTCTTTCAGCTCTTTGCAGTCTAGTTTGGTGGGTCCGATGCTCTTGGCCAGATCTCCCATCTGAGCCCAGTCCACAAAGGTGCCATAGTCTTCCTCAGCCATGGTGGTAGAAAACAATCCCAGTAAGAGGAGGGGGAGTGGTCACTGAGGTATTTCTAACCTTCTGTCCTCCACACTGCAGATAGCACACTTCTTTATACTAACTGCCCATGATGGTTACTAGAAAACAAACAGATGAATAAGTAAATCAAACCTCCATTTTTTTTATTTCATACATTTTCAATTTAAGAATAATCAAACCAGGTACGCTCAGCATGCTATTAAATCATTCGGACCATGCAGCGTGAGGGCATTTGCCAATTTCCAGCTTTAACAAAAATTTACAGGTGAAACAAATTCCATTCACCTGATACTCCATATACATTTATTTAGCAATAAAGCAATCCTGAGGTTGGTTGAAGTAAACAGATAATTTTTTCCTAACTGTTCTTCAACAAGTCACATGAGGATGACCGTCCAAAGGTCAAGTGTCATCAACAGATTTTAAATGGTCTTTAAACAAATCAGCCGGAGCTACATGTAAAATCATAAAATAAAGCATTTATGGTGAGTTTAAAGATTAACATGTCACATTTGGCTGTTAAAAAACAAAAACACATCCCAAAATGTTCCATGACATTGGGACAAATGTCACTGACTAAAAGGTCCCAAAAAAAAAAAAAAAAAAAAAAAATCAGTATCAGCACTCAAAACCACAATCAGTGCATTTCCACCGCTTTCTACATCTTTTCCTATCTGGAGGACAGATATGAGCTTGGTTAATCAAATGGAAAGAAACTGAACATTTTTCTTTGCATACTCATCAATCCCTGTAACATGGACCCTCTAAAACCGCTGTAATTTACAGCAGAACATTAGGAATCATTTATTTTAAAGAGCAAGTCACCCTCAAATCAACTTTTTTTTGTTGATAAACTATATAAATGAGTGTCTAATTGCTCTGTAGACACATTCAGTCAATAATTTGGCATTTACTTAATCTTAGTTAAAATTTAAATAATCTGCCTAAAACTGTCAGCGATGCACCGTCGTCAGGCAAAAACTCAGCACTGCATTTGAGTTTAAATCTGCCATCGCTATTGGCTAAGAGGTATACTATGATGTTAGATGGTACATTATGATGTCACAATGTCGTGAGTGTGCGTATTTGTTAGTGGTTCCACCCTCTTGGTCTGCTAGGCAACAGCATTTGTTGCATTTTTCAAACAGGAAGTGGGAGTTGAGTAAGAATCTGGCAGGGGGTGACTTGCTCTTTAACGTGTTTAACCGTTATTTCTCTTGAATATAAGTGGATAATTTTCCATAAACTGGACCATAAACTATTTTTAAACTCTCATTCTAAGACGGCTGGAGCAAATGAAACATCAACACTGACGTTAATCAATGAAAGGGAAAGTATAGAGATCACCTTTAATAAACTAAAATGATTGAAAGGTGAATATTAACAAAAAATACTGAAATGATGGTTTCTAATACACGTCAGGCCACCTAATCAGCCTGTTTTACATTTTTCACGGGTCAAGAAGCCAGCTGAGGTGAAAGTAGCAGTAGCAAGTTAAGAGGAAGCCCGTATTTACCTTCATTACCGCATGAGCTAATCTGATTCACACCGACTATGTTAGCACCATGCTAGTTAGCTTGTAGCAAACCGCCCCGGATTACAGCAGCCAGCGAAACAACACACAGGCTGTGCAATTAAACACAACATGCATCTAAAAGCAAGTCAACACTCAAGACACTCGAAACCGACGCGGATATATTTTGGGACACATGGATGTCACCAATCACAGATTAATAATCTACTCATGTGCTTCAATTTACCCCCACAGATTAAACAAGACAGTCATGGAGATAAAAGAGCCCCTACTTTACAATATTTAAGCCCTGGTAAACACGCGATAAAGACATGCCGACAGATTAACGCTCGGGTCTCCTACCTGCATGCTGCCTGCTGGACGTCTGGAGACGTGAAGCTGGATTCACCGTTTTGCTGCTTTAAGCATGCGCAGTTCCTCCGACCTCAGCTGCTGGAGCAACAGAGAAGCTCAGTGGGCTGTAGCTCCACAGCCACTGATTTTGCTTAAAAAATATATATTTTCAAATTAAATCCAGCTGTTTTACAGTGAAATCATCGGCTTAAGACAAAGATAAAAACGCATTTAATGATTCTACATTGATGTACAAAAGCTGTTTAATGGCCTTTGCTAATATAGCATAAGCTTTTTAAGTATATAAGTGCCTTGACTATGCTTTGAGGCTGTTTCCATTATCTGATTTGCCTTTTTTTGTGAAGATTTAATTAAATGCGTGATAGCAGTGGAACAGGGCATGGAAGTACCCCAGAAAAGAAACAAGCCCTGCCTTTGTCAAGGACTCAAAGCACCGACCAAAACACAGCCGCCCAACCCATGACATTTGTTATTGCTAATTAAATTATGGAATCAAAATTGCTTTGCAGAACAACTCAGGCAAAAATGTTGTTTGGATCTGTCCCGCCCTTCTTAGATACAGCTGCTGCCTTTTGCGTCCTTCAGAAAATCACCTTTTGTGCTTCAGTTTGATGGAAGAGTGACATATTTATAAATATTGATTGCAAAAGTATTTTTAAATTAACAATTTGTCCTACCTATAATTATTTATGCATATATGAGATATTTTGTGTGCATGTCATTGACTGTATGTATGGACAGACCCGTCACCCCGTAGGTTTCTGAAGAGCTGAATGGACTGCAAACTCCTCCCTAATAGGCATCAGAAACATCCATTGGCCGCCTCCAGTGGATGTGGGGTAGGGGGCATATATATATATATATGCAGTGTTCACCATTAGAGTGCAGCTTGGAACAAGGCTGAGCTCAGAGAGAAGTAGAAAGAGCAGGAGATGCAGATGGATTCCTCATCCTGCTGTAAATTAATAAAATTCTATCAAAGCTTTTAAAATGAATTCTTGCTTACAGGTGTTCCTGTTATGTGTGCCTATCAACCATAACAGATGTGCTTTAAGTTTGTAAGTGTGAGTCTACAGGAATTGATTCCCAAGTGGTCTAGTGACCTCTGAATAGAGACATATGGATTTAAAAACCCCTAAAGCCTTTGTATTCAGGCTTACAGAGTTTTATCTTATCCAATTTTTCCACCTTTGCACGCCATGTGACATGATAGAAACACAGGCCAATCCCGGCTCACTCAAACTCAGCCCAGCCTTCATGAATACATGAAGATTCAAAAGGTTAAAGACAATAGATAACAGCGTCACGCCACAGAAACATTCTAAAAGAAGACATTGAAGTAATTTGATCATTTTGCTTTCCATTAAATTTGAGGCCCTTTTCTTTTATTGCTCTTACGTAAATATCCAATGGAAAAATGAAGAAGAATATTAATAAGGATTTTTCCCATTTTTTCTCCCTGATACCAGTCTGAGTAATTAAATTATTAAATTCAATGAAATTTAAGAGGATTAAATGTCTGCTTGTAGATTCTTGGTCAGTTACTTGGATTACTTTGCAGACTACATACTATATAAGTAAATAAAAATAACTAACATAACTTCTGCCCAAGATGATCTGTCTTCTGTGGCCCTCAGTGTTTCGACTTGGTTTATGGCAAACGTAGGTGTGACTTCTAAATCCAACCATCTGGCTCAGGAATTTGCACATCTCTTCCCCAGAAATGCCCTTTAGGTTATAGTTTACCTCTTTATTTCATCTGAATGCATTTTTCACTGCAGTGTGAATACAATGTATAAAATAATCCAACTTTTCTAGACTCTTAGCTCAAGACTGATCCAGCTTTCTCCATGCTAAATGTCTCTGCTTGACCTGATCTCCCAAGTGTTAAATGAAGATTTGTACATAGTGATTCATTTACATAACGTTCAGCTGATAGGGAATTGTTGGTTGTAACCCTCATTTCTTTTTTTTTTTTCTTTATTTTATTTATTTTTCTCCCGTGTCCTGTCTGGCTGTGAAGCAAACAGAATAAATGTCTGAATGCTGGTGACAAGCCTTACAGATTTACTCTCAGGTGGAGCATCAAAGCGTCTGCTTTTGATGTCACGCCTGATACTTAAAACTTTATTGTTATTGTTTTTTGAATGCTTTGTAATTTCCGGACACGGAGACAGAGGTGAAAGAGAAAGGAAGAGACAAAAGGAGGTGGGGGGTCCACAAAAATAAATAATCAATGATGAACAAGAGTCTGCTTCTAGACCTGCAGAAAAGGGACACACAACAATACAACAAGAGCAAGCTATCACTGTGTCAACTTGATGAAGAAATGTAAAATCAACATTGTTTAACTGAACAATCACACGATAATAAATCACAGTGCATTTAGTGCCAGCCACAGCCTTAAGACCTGTGTTGAACGTGCCCAAGTCCATACTTATGAGAGCACCATGTGAGCACCTGTGTGTGTACAAGCGCTTGTTAATGTAAGGTTTCTCTATAGGACCGTCCAATAGAGAGTGTGAGGGGCCACAGATCTGCCCCCCCAAAGATGCATAGAAGATGGAGGGAGCTCCAAGTCCCAGAGATCCAGGAGCTGCCCCAGAGCACAGGGACCCCAAGGAGACCGCAACCCGAAAAGCCCCTGCCCCCCTCGAGAGGCGCAGAGGATTGCCCCGGGGGCCACAACCAGCAGCCGGCAGAGTCCTGGGAGATATCAGCGGCAAGCCCACAGGCCCACCCGCAGCCTCCCACCCCCCAGCCGGCAGAGCCCGAGACCCAGCAACCCGGGACCCAGGGGCGACCACCCCCACCAGGGACCCAGCAGAGCCCAGGGACCGAGAACCCACCGGGCATCCACTGGGATTGATCTTGACCCCTCTGACCCGGGAGCCACGAACACTCAGGCAGACCAAGGCACCACACTCCACACCAGGTGTGGCAGAGGGAGGGGAGAAGAAGATTTATATAATCAAAAGAAGTCCCAGGAGAAGCGAGGAGTCAAAGGCCCCACCTGACATATATAGTCATACACAGACACAGTCACACACTCCCTCCCTCATGCTCACACACACACATACAACCAAAAACTTACAAAATGCATGCCGGACACCCACTCATGCTCCCCATACACACCCCATTCACTTTGGGTTGGGGTACAACCATTACTGGTTCCCAGAGTTACCTCATTTCTGAGAAGAATACTGAATAAATAATCACCCTCTTGGAATGAAAGTGCCACGCTCCACGTCCGTCGCAGCAAACCCAAGCCAGTTCCTAAAAATGGATGATTTCATTCCTTTCTTAGGAACAAACTTTCCACTCTTGCCGGTGGTCATGGAGTCATTTGCTGTTGATGTTTTGTGTGTGTGCTGTGACGTTGTTGTCGCCGTTATGTGAAACTAATGCTACGGAAGCTCCGAGGGGCCAAAAGGCGCTATTACATAAAAATTCGATTGACCTTTTTTTAAATCGCCCGCAACAAAAAATTCGAATTAATTCATTAAATCAAGTTATCGCCAGTGTTGGGAACGTTACTTTAAAAAAGTAATTAGTTATAGTTACTGATTACTTTGTCAAAAAAGTAACTCAGTAACTTAGTTACAAGATCATAAAAGTAACTAATTACCAACAAAAGTAACTACTTAGTTACTTTTTTTATTAAAGCATGCAAGAATTACTACAATAGTAAAATATAAATGACTAATGACTGAACATAATAAAATGTATGTCCAAATGTTTTATATAAACCTGAATAATTTAAACAAATAAGCACTTAACAGGAGGAACTACTAATAGGAACATTACACTAATCTAGACTATTAAAAGGTCACTGTGTGATATTTAACAAAAACCCAATCAGCTAAAATTTAAAATTGCAAATAGAAACACCTGTAAAGGTTCCCGAGCCTTTAAATGGTCTCTCAGTCTAGTTAAATTACAGAAATAAATGTAATTTTGCACAGCATTCTAATTTTTACAGCTTCACATAATTGTGTCTTTTTAGTAGCATTTCTGTTGCTACTAATCTCGTATCGGTTAAATAAATAAATAAATATCCTTTAAAATGACACTAAGAGGCACAAGCCTAGGACTTAAATGTACTAACATGGGTGAGACCCAAACACAGAAGAGCTGAAGCTGGGTGGTGAACACACACAGGTAGTTCTAATAACACCTGAGCTCCATGCCGTCTGAGACTGATGCATCAGTGTTACAGCGTGACTAAAGACATGATCAGGAGCAGGTTACAGCTGGATGATCTAGGAAGGTAGAAGATCAGGACGTCTGAGCGGTGAACAGGTGAGCGGACCTTCGGGACGTCCCGCTGTCACGCTAAGAAGGGCACGGCTGCAGACCCGCAGATTCGCTGCTGCAGCAACAAATCTGCGGGTCTGCAGCCGTAGACTATTCATCACGTCTTCCTCGTTCTTCACGGGCCGTGATGCTCTTAAACATCTGCCTCTTTAGCTCCTGATCAGCTGACGACAGCTTCAACACACCGCACTGCTTAACGCACGCATTTTCTTATCAGTAACAGGAACGACGTTTTGATAAAAGAAGACGTAATTAATTAGTTTGCTTCTTACAGAAAGACATATTTTTTATTAACGCGGTTATTTTAAACGGAGTTATTCCCGTTGTGTCTACAGAATGCAGTGACTGAGACCGTGAGGGTCTCCGCCCACCCGGCCAATCATCATCGTGTTTGTAAGTGCGTTACCGACACCTCTCTCTCCCTGGCTGCAGCTGAAGTGTGGCGGTCGGAAAGCCTCACACTGTTGCTCAACGTTCGACAAGCACATAGTAACGCACAGCGTTCCGTCCCCAGTAACGGTAACGGCGTTGCAACGGCGGGAAAAGTAATTAATTAGATTATTCCGTTACCTATAAAAGAACGCCGTTATACTTAAACGGCATTACTCCCAACACTGGTTATCGCCCAGGCCTACATATTAGGTATTTAGGGATTCTAACAGTTATTAGTCAGACTGGGTATGTATGTAGCGACAGACACATGCATTTGACCCTCTTCACATGATCTCACGCCACACCTCCAATATCTCACTCTGATCAATCACCCCCCCCCCCCCCCCCCCCCCCCCCCCCGCTCTGAAAAAATTTAATTACTCAAAAGTTGTTGCCCTGTATACCAGATATCTATAGTTTTATTGGTCCTAGTAGAAATAAAGATCGCAGATACCCATGAGAACATTCTTACTGAAACAACCTTTTAGATAACTAAATGGTCATTCTTGATAGTAAGAATCATTCAGTTATAAACATGTTTGACATTAGCGGATCTACTCCGAGCCCCTCCCGGATCACAGAGCTTCTCACTAAGGGAGAGCCCAGCCGTCGTGTGGAGAAAACTCATTTCGGCCGCTTGTGTCCACGATCTCGTTCTTTCGGTCACTACCCAAGGCTCGTGAACATAGGTGAGGGTAAGAAAGTAGCTCGACCGGTAAATGATTGGCATGCATGAAACCAAAATAATTGAATGCACTTTTAAAAGAACAATGCTCACAGGGTAAAATTCATTTATTTAAAAAGTTTAAACATTTGTCTGAAAACTAAATTCTCACAGCTAAACTGGACTATGGATTCATTGAACCACATGATTAAAATTTGTATCTGAGTTATATTTAAAATTAAGCCAATTCTTTTCCTTTTGACTGCAGAAAAAGCTGATTTTATGCGTTGTCACCACTGACAACGACGGATAAAAAGATGACTCTTCCAGACCAGCAAAAAGACTCCAGAGAGGGCAATATGGTGGTGTTCCTAATCTGGATTATTGTCCCTCTCCATCCCTGTCACTCACCCACCAAACTTTATAACTATTAAGGTGATGTTTTAACTTTATTTAATCAGAACACTCTATTGGCAGCAGTGTACATATTAAATGGACACAATAATCCAACTTTTACAGACTTAACCGAAGGATAATGCAGCTTTCTCCATGTAAGATGAATGCCCTGCTTCAGAACGAAGGCTTAAATCTCACCATCTAGAGTGAAAGAAGCTGTCACACAGTAGCGTCTGCTCCATTGTACTCACAAAGGACCCAAGTAGCACTTTGGGTATTGTTTTCGCTAAAGGGGAGTTGGGTTACCTTGGCAACCATAGGATGTCGTCTCATAGGCCCTTAGATATAAAATAGGCAGGGCCAGAGAGGCAGGGAACGACAGCAATAGAAGATTTAAAAAGAGACTTGCTAAACTCTGTTTCAGTTCTTTTACTTTTTGTAAACATTTGAGCGTTTTGCACAAGGATTACCGGTGGGTTGTGATCAAACCGAAGGAGGTGAGGATGTTTGTGTGTGTTTATGTGTCTGCTGAGTGGCTTTTTTTCAGACAGAGCCGCTGAGATGTTTCTGTTTCACACCAAACAAAGAGCATGCTGGTGACAACACTTTTGTTACTTTCATCATTCTTATCATTCACATCAACATTAAACAAAAACAAGGGGAAAACACACCAAAAGCTGAAATGGTTTTCATGGCTGGTGCAGCTGGAAACAATATTGTCTCGTGCCTAAAAGATGGAAAAACTGGAAAGTTGCTGAAATGTTTAATGTTCTTGTTTTGACAGTGAGATCTGCAGTAAAATAAGAATGATGCGTGTTGCATTGAGGCATCACAGGTAAGCGTTACCCTCGTCAGTTTGGTGCAAAAATATTCTGAAAAATAAACAATCTTCATGTTTGACTTGATTTTCTTTACAACGTCACAGCAGCTTATCCACCATTTCCACCAGTACCCCATAACCTCCTCACCTGTTCCTGACAGGAAATCACCTGTTTACCAGTCCATAGAACACGAAGGTTCCGGTTAATGTTTTCACAAATTTGATCAAAAGGAGATCGATGCAGCCGAATGGAAATCTTTTATCCAGGATCTAAATCTGGATCTTCACAATAGTCCTGAAATTCTTCCAAATATTAATGTGTATCCCAGCAGCTTTTATAAAGTTAGGACTCATGTGTTGATTGGGCTGATGACAGAGAGGCTGCGAGTCACTACTTCTAGAAAGCCCATATGCCCTTTCATGCCTTGATCAGTACAATATCACTCGTTTTATGCAGAGAAATCATTCAGCTAATTGTTAGTAATGAGCAGGTCTCTTTGTGTGTCTTTGCACCCTCTAGTGGTTGCCTGGTGCTTTGCCTGTGCCTGTCCCTGATCACCCTGCTGCTCCAGAGCCTCTGGATACCGCCTGAAATGACTGAGGACAAAGCTGCTGCGAGATCAACTGGGGATCAGAGTAATGCACTCACACACACACACACACACACACACACACACACACACACACACACACACACACACACACACACACACACACACACACACACACACACACACACACACACACACACACACACACACACACACACACACACACACACACACACACAGTAAGAAAAATGTATTTACCCTGCAAATGAAGCTGAATGAAAAATGTCTGAATGACATGAAATGGAACAGAAAACAAAGTGTTTAGGGATTAAGACCTGATCTCCCAAGTGTTAAATGAAGATTTGTACACAATTCGTGGAGGGTCCTTCTACTCATGCATCCTCATTTAGCTGACAGTTGAGGGTTTGTGGTGGAGTGAAACCAAAGTGTTTTGGTCTGGCTAAACTGTTTCTCCTAAGGAGGACTTTTAAGACCAGCGGGGACGGTTGTTTAGCACAAAGTATATATATATTTTTTTACTGGTTCATTCGAAGAGGCCACAGTCTGATTTATTTCTGCTGCATTCAAAGAATTAACCAACATCTTTTGGCGTTTCATTGAAATGACACCCAAATTTCTACATATTGACCAATTATTTTCTTTTTAAATATATTTTTTTATTTTTTGTAATTTTATTTTCGCTCAGTGCTCAAAAATTTAGCTATTTTCTCCAGTTCTCTTCTTTTGAATAAAAACTTGAAAAAAAAAACTCATTGGTGAAAGCCATGTCTCAGAAAAATGGATGATCATAACAGAAATGAAGCAAACTCAGCTTGTGTGAGAGCCTGCAGCAGTGTGGCTGCTAATGACTCACATTGTCACCACAGGAGACAATGCTTGACCCAAACATCCCAATCCTTTTTCCGCTCACATTTGAGGAAAAGACTATGTAACCCACATCTCTTCTCAGCCACAGCTGCTTTGTGCTCCAAGGGACCCTCCACAAGTTGTGTACAGAGAACCACCCAGCAGTAGTTCTGTTGGAAAATGTTGAATGCCACACCGAAGAAGCTTTTTCTGAGATAAATCAGCTCAAATCAGTACCAAATGTTGAATATGTGAGAAATCGTAATTTATGTTCCAACTGTTCTTGAAATCTGCTTGAATTTTCACATTGGAATACAATTACTCAAATAGCATACTTGTGGAAAAACGATAACAACTTTTTATTGAGGGCAGATTTGCAGATTTTCACTGTTTGTCAAATTTTCATGATGAAACACATTTTTGAAAACCCAACATTTTCTCTTTTTTATGTATTAAACTGCAGTGTTTTTGAACATAAACCCTTAAAGAGACAACGTGTAGTTTTTAAATCTCTGGAAATATCCATCGAAATGCTGTTGAAAATGAATTATTGCCCAGTTGTTGAAAAACATTGGCAGCTTCGTGACATACAACCATTAAAACCGGGTTAAAAATACATGGAAGCAGGTCTATGGGTGTTTCTCAATGCCAAGGAACCTCGCCTTGATGTCTTGGCCCCACCTCGATTGCCTATAGGAGATACATCAGGAGCCGCCAAGACGTGTTCCAATGTTCATGTTCTACCGAGGCGTCTGTTCTCCGTTTGTTAGCCATTTAGCTAGCTAAGCGAGGATCCACGGGAGGTGTCTTGTAGCCTAACCTTGGTCAAAAATTACCCAGAATACATCGCAGTGTTTTCAAAAGTATGGCGGATCAGAAGCCGGCAGCTACTTCAGGGACAAATTTTCAATTTAAAAGTAAGTCAGCTAATTTTAAATGTTTTTTTTTTGGATCCAAAGAAATTATCTATTGTTGGTTAGTTGCTCAGTAGTTGCAGCTTCAGTGGCTAGCAGGTAGTAACTCGCTTATTTATACATTTAATTTAACAAACATATACACTATTTAAAAAGTAAAAGCCTTGTTCTATATTTATATTGAAACTGATACATATAAAATATAGCGCTATCTCCCGTGTCACGTGACGTTACGTGACCGCTGTGGAAGCCGCGATCACGTGATGCAAGTCTGTTCCATTTAACCATTTTCTTTGACCAAGGACCATGTCCTCACAAGGCCAGGCGCCTTGACATTGAGAAACAGTCTCCAGGCAACACCATATTAGATGCAATGTTTATTTCTACGGGAGCCTGTGCGGACCAAACTCATTCACTGATTTGTAAAAAGTGGTTACAAAACTTTCACCATTCATAAACGTAGTTGTACACATTTACCTTTTCGCTCCTTTGCAGTGACGAAAGGGAGTTGGATGCTTGTCGTTTTGTTGGAGGTTAAACAATCTGATAAAGTACTTGTCATGATGCAAGGGGTATATCTAACCCACGACATGCAGAATCAACCCAAGAGTCAAATTCAGGAAGAACAAAAAATATTTATTAAAGAGTGCAGAACAAAAGGCGCTGCAAGAGAACGTGCAGGAGGGGATCCATTGGACGTGGGTCTAGAATACAGAGAGGTGTCAGAATATGCAGACTGCGGAGACTGGACCTGGTTTGAGGTGAGCAGTTGGGGCATACTGTTTCCCGGTGAAGATATGGACCCTGAGGGGGCGAGTCAGGGTAAGGTTGGTGCGAGCTGCTGGAGATGTCGAGGAGACGTGGAAGGAGCTGACCTGTGAGGTCCAGAACCAGGTGAGTGAGAGGCGGGGCTGAGAGAGGCAGGCAGGTGGCTAAGAGCGGCAGGCCAGGGGGGCAGACAGCGGGATGTGAAGGCTTGGAGACGTGGTGACTTGTCTGAAGGCTGTGGTGGTGGAGACTGGAGAACCTGGAGATAAGGAGAGGCAACGGGTCAAAAGACTGTGGAGGTAAAGCTGTGGCAAATAACAATGACAAGGCTTGGAGGCTTGAGTCAACCCAACACAAATTTTGGTACCAGTGTGAGGAATCATCCAGCATTGGCCATCTAATGGCCATCCGTTGGTAATCTTACTCCAACGCACAAAAAAACGCTTGCAATGATTTAGGTATGTATTGCCCCTTATCGCCAGGAAAAATACACACAGTCACTTTAAAACACATCACTCTGACAGTTAAAACATGCTCAGATTAGTTATTTTTATCACAACTAAGCAGTTTTCTCTGAAGGGTGTCTGAGCTCTTTTTTAGAGATAGTGTGAGAAGCTTGATCATCCAGGAGAGGCTCAAAGTAGATTAGCTACTTCTCCACATCAAAAGGAGCCAGTTGAGGTAGCTTGGCCATCTGGTTAGGTTTTCAGGACACATCCAACCAGGAGAAGACCCAAAGAAAGACTCAGGACATGATGGAGGGACTATGCTTCTTGGTCTGGGAGCGCCTTGGGATTCCCTTGGAGAAGCTGGCCAAAGTGGCTGGGGAGAGGGAAGTCTGGGCCTCTGTGCTTATGCTGCTGCCCTGGTGACCCGCCCCCGGATATGCATAAGAAAATGGATGGATGGAACCAAGGAGCTATTAGATCCTTGCATACTGTTTATAGGTTTCATCAATTAATGTCACTTGGGCAACAAGGTGGTATGTAATTAACTGTCATAAGAAGTTGCATCATTGTTCTTTAAATTTATAATATCAAAGAAACATCTTCAGCAAAACTACTTTTTGGAAACTATACAACACACTCAAGTCAATTTTTGCTGTAATCAGTTCATGAATCATAAACAACTCATGTATTTGTGCTAACATTAAAACACGGGATTGTGTGAGTTTTAAATGACAGCTTCTCTTTCTGCAGGGGATGCTCCACACCATCTACACATAACAAATACGGCAAAAGTTTCTGGTGTTATATTTGTATGTAATTTGTCCTTTATTTAAATAATGTTTTCGTTATCTCCATTTATGGAAAAAGTATGATGTTCCTCTCTGCCGCTAGTTGTCCAAAATTAGTCAAGTTGTCATGTATTTTATCCACCACAAGGGAGAGCTTGTTTTCCAGCAGACCCATGCTGATGCCTGTTTTTTTGTCTGCTGTGTGTCTGAAGTGCTTAGTTGTGACATGTTTATAGTCAGCTGAGCAAACAGATGAAATGACATTATAGGTAGAATCCATACTCCCAGAGAGATCTTTAATAATGAGTTGCAAGCTGTCTCTCATAGCAACTCAATTCAAACTTCTAAACAAAACCCCCGTTGTGCTCATCTACATTTCCATTACTCTTCTGATGGTCATGCTGATGTTTCGCTTTAAAGATCCTAAATTTGTCAACTCACATAAATTGTTTAAGAGTTGTATTTGGCAGATAGGATGATGACTAACAACTGCTTTTAGCGTGGCTGTGACAGAGTCATACAGAGTCCATTGGAAACACGGAGAGGAAGTTTTCATTCACGTTTTGCTTTACTTTATATCCTATAGGTCAGCATGATCTTCGCTTCCACAGGCTGGCACTTCGCCTGGAGGCTTTGAGCGCTCAGGTGCAGAAGCTGAGTGACAAAACAGATCAGATTCATCTGAACAAAAATGACGTCAGCTTACTACTGCAGAGGTATTCAATACCATACCATACCATACCATACCATACCATACCATACCACACCATACCATACCATACCACACCATACCATACCATACCATACCATACCATACCATACCATACCATACCATACCATACCATACCATACCAGACCAGACCAGACCAGACCAGACCATACCAAGTTTATTTATATAGCACATTTAAACACGGCATGAGAGCCGACCACAATAAAAACAATCAAAAATAAAAACTAAAACCATTAAAATCGAGTAATCCAACTCGAAAAGAAAAGGAAAAAGAGAATAAATTAGACTGAATTAAAAGCCAACGAATAAAAGTGAGTTTTTAAACGAGACTTAAAAAGGGAAAGAGAGGAAGGGAGTCTGATCAGGAGGGGCAAGTGGTTCCAGAGCTTCGGTGCACAAACCGAAAAGGCGCGCTCCCCGCTGGATTTACAGCGGGAGCTAGGGACATGTAGGAGGTGCTGGCCGGCTGATCGGAGGGATCTTGTAGGGACATAAGGGTGTATGAGCTCGGACAAGTAGCCAGGTGTTAAGTTATTGAGGGATTTAAATACAAAAACCAATGGATGCAGTTGTTCCTAGAAATGCATAAAAATAAACATGATCGTGTATTTGTCAATACAAAGTGGTTGTTTTGTCTGTTTTTCAGGTTTAGACAGGACCAGGAAGGTTTGGCTCACTCAGTTGAGCGGGAACGGCGGAAAGTGTCTCAGACTCTTGATCAGCTCAGCCGGTACCATCATCCTTATCAGGCTGACACACCAGATGGTGGCAGGAGGCCACACGAAGGTGAAATTCTGATTAAATTAAAAATATGCAAAGTTTTCTAGTTTGTCTTGAATTTATTTAGAAATTTGTGTTAACTAAATTGCCGCTGACTGTGAATAACTATTCTGTCCATTCAAACAAACTATCTAAGATTTACAAATGCAACCAATGCGCTAATGTTTTTACTTTAGAAAACCTTGAAAATTGCATTAAACTGCACACCAAATTAACAGAATAGTAATTCTACTAAATGTTTAGATGAGCACATAAATTTAGTTTAACATTTTAGTTTGGAAAGTCTCACAATACTTCAAGATCTTGTATGATTTGATTGAAAAGTACCCATTTTGACAGGGTTAGAGCCATTTTGTAGTATTGAATATTTAGTAGTATTGATTATCAATGGCAGGTAGTCACCTGGAAGAGGGTTGATGACTTTTTGGGAGTTTTCACAAACACTGCACTAAACATCTGCACCTCATGGTGATGAGTGAAAAGCTATAGCGGAATAATTAAAGGTGCAATATGTAGGAATTCCACAGTGAAATAAACACAAAACAGTCTAATGTCTCAATCATGTTGGAAAAAAGGCTACATTGAAATAGATTTCCTTATTAGCCATCTAGGAGTTACCAGTTTTTCTACTTAAAAAATGGCAGAAAAGGGACGTGATCTTTATTTACAATCTTTGTAAAATTTGTAGTTCGACACCACCGGAAAAAGAAGCAGTGGTATGGAAAGGATGAAAGCCAGTAAAGAGGAGCATCCCAGAAGTTATTTATTGTACCCCTAAGAAGCCACGGCACCTTTTTGTTTTACTCTAATATTGGATTAAGAAGGCTAGAGGCTAACGAGCTAACAATGCTAACGGTAAATGAAAAACAAACAGCAACGACTTGAATGACTCATCTTCACTTGTTATCTGGAGCTGATCCATAGCTGGCAGCAACCATACAAGGCACAGAACGTGTGTGTGTGTGTGTGTGTGCGCGTGCGTGCGTGCATGTGTGTGGGACAGTGGGTACAGTGTTTTTTTTGGGTTGAAATCAATGAATAGAAATATAGCAAGTCCCACAGAGCCAGGGCCAATTAACTACAAAGGAAAAAGAGAGTTGGCATCTACCCCACGACCCTCCTAGAGGTGTCAGGTGAGAGTCGGGTTACACACACTCAATGGCACGCGAAGAGTGTGTGTTGAAGCACATGTGGGTGGTGGCGGCGGTAGATGGGGACCAGTCTGAAAATAAAATAATCTGTAAAAGCTTGGGCCACACAAGCCATCACCTGCATAAATGTGTGGAAAAACATGCCACCCGCAGACACACACACACACACACACACACACACACACACACACACACACACACACACACACACACACACACACACACACACACACACACACACACACACACACACACACACACACACACACACACACACACACACACACACACACACACACACACACTTCCACATCACCAGCCTGTTGGCCCCCTCATCCTCTCACATTACCTCAGAGCCATAAAATACAGCTGAATTACCCAGGAGTCCTTTCACCAACTCCTGCTCTTGTTTTTCTAAAAGGGGGGGACTATTTTTTTTCTTGTTCATGCAGTATATCTCTGTTTTTAAACCTTCACACATCTGCTTTACCTCTTCTAGTTTTCTTATCTTTTTTCCCTCCTTTTTTACTAGGTTGTTTAACAAAGTCAAGGAGTGTGTATTTTGGCTGGGGCTGGCACTGTAAATGGAAATGTTTGGTAGGAGGCAGGTGGGTCAGATGTGTGTGCACGAGTCAGCCCCTTCTACTTAACTGACATTAGCTGCAGATGGTGAGGGGGCTTACGGGAATGGGCTTCTGAAAACATACGGCCTCCTCTATAATGCCATTTAGAGGCAAGGCAGTGCTCTACTTTGTACCTATGGCTCCTGTCAATTGTGTATAATTCATTCAAGTTTTGGTAAAGTGGCTGAAATATGTATTATGTTGTCACTGAAGTTCAAATCTTGATGCATATCTTCCTTATAGGACTCAATGAGAAGTGTAAGGTGCCCAAAGATCCAGCATTTCTGCAGTGTGCTGAGAAAGTGGAGGTGAGAAGGTACAAATGAGATGTGTCTAAAGTCTCATTTTAGATCCTTCAAAAACTGATTTGGCTAACAGAAGTCAATTTTTTACTTATTTTGTTCCATTTCCTCTGGTAGTTTCTGCGTACACGTTGGCAGTCAGACCCATGTTATGCTTTTTATGGAGTGGATGGTTCCACTTGTTCCATACTGACATACCTCAGCCAAGTAGAAGATTTTTGTCCACCTCTCCCTGGAAGGAACAACTCTGCACTGCCATGGCATCCAACACCTAATTTAAACAGAAATAAGGTATTATGGGGTGTGCAGTAGGATGAAGCTGGGCAGTAGACACCACAGACATCATATACAGGGATGCCTTGTGGACTGGTGCTGCCTATGGGAGCTACCACAGTGGGCGGCTGCCATCTTGAATGGGTCTCCATTTGCCCCTAGTGCATTTGCTTCTACCAAGGAAGGTGCTTACCCCCCAAAAAAACACACACACATTCTATTATGCTTTTTCACAAAACCAGACACATGATAGGCATGGTACTTAAAATATGAATGTAATAAAATACAAAACAAAAGAAAACAAAACAAAAACAACTCAAATATAAAATTTCAACAGGTAGGCTAGAAAAGTCAATAGTAATGCCACGTGATGCATCGTATGCCAATTGTTGCAACCATAGGAGTGAGGAGACCCATCCAATATGGCGACAACGCTGTCACATTCTCCAGCACCCAATGGGGCATCTATGCATTCATGTCTATGGTAGCTACTTTATCCACAGAACTTTATTAAAGTTAAAGTGCCATTAGTCATCATCACACACTGGTGAAATTACAGCTCCACAATTGACCCATCCCCATGGGGAGCGGTGAGCTCAGCTGTGGCTGTGCTCGGGAACTATTTGGTGATTTAACCCCCCAATCCAACCCCTTAAAGCTGAGTGTCAAGCAGGGAGGCATTGGGTCCCATTTGTAAAGTCTTGGTATGACCCCACCAGGATTTTGAATCCCAATCTCCCACTCAGAAAAGGTATTACAGAACATGACCCAATCCCAATAGCTGCACTGCGCCCTACGGTCTTCTGTGAAGTGCACTTGGAGGAAGTGTGCTAAAGGCTTTGACGGCGTACTACACAAGTGTGCAAGTATTGTAACTGAGACAGTGACCATTTCGTCATCGACCGCGAAGCATGCAGGGATGCCGGTCGCTGTTTGTCATACTTTTTGGGAAAAAAAAAATCTATATTAACAACTTTCAGACAAACAATTGACAAAATTTACATTCATTGCTGTCCACATAAAATCTTGGTCTAAAACATTCAGAGCATGAATAAATATCATAAATAACTTCTTTCTTCTGAAAATACATATTTTCAGAAGAAAGAAGGCACTTTAGCCTGCCTTCTTCTCAAAATTCCCACACCGTAATGGATTGTGGCAAATACCCTTCGCTCAAGTCCGTATCAGTGCAGACTTGGGCAAAGTGTGGATCAAGTGTACAAAAAGGGCATTGTCAACTTCCACACTTGAGGAATCGGGGCACCCTATGCACTCACACCGCTGGACTGGAACGTGCAATTGAAGGGCGCAAGGGTGGAAATGCGAGTATTGGGATTGGGCCCACATGTCACATCCGACATCCATCTTGAAGCGCCTCGTGATTTTTATCTTGAGAGGCGCTATAGAAATTATATTTTCTTCTTCTTCTTCTTCTTACATTCTTTATCTTCTCTCTTCAAGCACCTATACTGCTCCCTAGTGGTTACATTACACAGGGTGCTGACTGAAAGTGATGCATATATTGAAAAATATCTAAATACTCTAATTGATTATAACATTAACATTTGACATGTTTAGCTTTAATGATAATATTACAATTAAATGTTCACAATATTTTATTACTAAATATTATATAAAATTTATATTAAACGTCCAAATTAATGATTACGTAAAAATATACATTTCAATCTAAATATTTTGCATACAGTCTAAATATATAAAATTACATTTAAACATGTACAATCAAGTCAAAATATATAACATTAAATCTAAATATGTACTCAGGTTTTTAAATAAATTTACCAACATGCATATTCAGACTTGGCTGACCAAAATAAAAGTGGAGTGAACTGATCTCCAATCTGACATTTCACAGTTTTATTGATGAGTTATCATGAGTCCATTTAAAAATGGACCTTTTATCAATATGCAGGGAGAACAATCTATCAATCTGAATTTGAATATTAACTAAATATGTTATTTGAAACTGTCACAAATATATTCAGATTTAAACATTTTCATGTAACTTTAAATGTATTGATGTAATTCCAAATATGTATAAACTTATTTTTAACATTTTTATCCAGCGTCATGTTTAAACATGCTCATATGTTTATGAATCAAAGCTTTATAAATAAATAAATAAAGCTTTGATTTGATTTGATTTGATGTTGATGTCATGAGAAGGTAAAAGCAATAAAAACAGTAGCTGTTATTATTTTACAACCAGCGCCCCATACATACTGTAATGTGTTTTGTCCCCTGGGTGGACATGCTATATGTTTTGATAACTCACAGGTTGACATACGCGACACTCTAAGCCCTCTTTATGGGGTGATCAGCAACAGCAGCAGTCCAGCAATTAGATTCATCTGGTCCAGAGTGGAAAGCCTGGCTGAAAGGTGGAGCGAGGCTGGTCGAAGATTGAAGCAGAACAGCAGCACAACAGTCTCCTCTCAGATGAAGGTATGTTTAATTTAGATTTACTTTTATTTTTAGGAAAAAGAAAGAAACGAGCCTACTTACAGTTTTGTTTTTGGTTAAACCCTTTCATTTCTATTCCCCCCTAAGAGTTCAGTTTGCTCATAAATGTGGTAAAAAGCTGCTCATTTCCTATTATATTGTACGCCAAAATAGCCATCACTGAAGCATTATACAAATGTGTTTTGTGGTGGTGTAGCTTGGTAAAGTAGGAAAATCCTGGAAGAAAAACCAAGCAGTTTATGAGAAATGTCGTCTATGGAAGGAAATAAATTCCTCCGGTTTAAGACTTTTAACTGCAGGCACATACAAAATTCCAACGTAACCAATGGAAGGTGGTGGGGAAAAAACAAATAAAAATGAATTTTGGACAGTGAAATTTCCCATCCTGCAGGTGCTGCTTTATCCCGGTGCACTGGCTGGAAGTGTGGGTCGGCACTTTGAAGCAATGGTGGAGAGAGGAGGTCCTCTTGGAGAGCTGGTCCAGTGGGCTGACCTTGGTGCCTGCCTAACAATCCTGGGACACAATGTGACCTTCAGCACCTCACAGCACCAACTTCACAGGTGGACATTACTATTCATGACTTTATAATGAAACAAAAAGGTTAATCTACTGTGCTCGTGCTTGCTTTATCGCTTCTAAAACCTATATCGACATATTCATGTAGTGGTAAAACTGGCAGCACATTGTTCTATTTTTCTGTAGATTATTGAATTGTATTGATTGTTCCACCAAACCAAAAGAGCACTGTGATTGGTCCACAAAACTAATAGAGCGCTGTGATTGTCCCACCAAACCAATAGAGCGCTGGGATTGGCTCACCAAACCAATAAAAGAAATGCTTGCTTAGTATGAGGATTGCTGTAAAGTCACTGGGTATTTCTCAATGTCAAGGCGCCTTGCCTTGCAAGGCGATGTCTTGCGAGGCAAGGTGCCTTGCTTGCAAAGACACTGTCCTTCCTTGGTCAAAGAAAACGGTTAAATGGAACAGACATGCATCACGTGACCGCGGCTTCCACAACGGTCACGTAACATCACGCGACATGGGAGATAACGTTATATTTTATACATATTACATTCACTATAAATTTATAACGAGGCTTTTACTTTTTAAATTGTGTATAAAATTAAAAATATAAGCGAGTTACTACCCACTAGCCACCGAAGCTGCTACTACTAAGCAACTAACCAACAAAAGATAACTTCTTTGGATCTGAAAAAACATTTTAAATTAGCTGACTTACTTTTAAACTTGAAAAATGTCCCCGAAGCAGCTGCCGGCTTCTGATCTGCCGTCTTTTTGAAAATACCGCGGTGTATTATGGGTAATTTTTGACCAAGGCTAGGCTACAAGACACCTCCCGTGTATCCTTGCTCAGCTAGCTAAACGGCTAACAAACGGAGAACACATGCCTCGGTAGAACATGAACATTGGAACCGACTGGAACACGTCTTGGTGGCTCCCGATGATGTATCTCCTAGGCTACCGGGGCAGGGCCAAGACATCAAGGCTCCAAGGTTCCTTGGCATTGAGAAACAGGCACTCACACTAGTCAGTGACTTGATGCAATTTGCTGGGTTCCTTATATAGGAAACTTTTTACTGATTGGCTTAATGAACTGACCTGTATTGGAATGTTTACTATGTGAAGTGCCTTGAGACTGCTCTTGTCGTGATTTGGCGCTATATAAATAAACTTGAATTGAATTGAATTAAAGCTTTGTGATTGGCCTACCAAACCAATAGAGCACTTTCATTGGCATATCAAACCAAAAGAGCGCTGTGATTGGCAAGACACAAATCTGCCCAGGCCAATGGGAGATCTGCTGAGGCAACCATGAAGCGTGGCTAACAACAAACAGAGCAAAATGTTTTTGGTTCTGGTATGCTCGGTCTAGATTGCTAGGCTAGCTAAATGTAGCACTTCTGGTCAATCCAAGGGTTCATTTTTACAGAATTATAAAAAAAAATTGCTGCTGAATTAACAATCTAGTTTGAACATTGGAAAGCTTTCTTGCTGAACATTTGGGTATAAATTACTTTTTTTAACTTTTACACACAAACAAAGTAAAAAAAAACCTGAAATGTTCCTTTAAATTACAAGTAGTTAGCTGAATTGTGCAGAATCTAAACAGCTGATATTCAGTAAGCATGCTGCAACCATTCTTCTTGTGTTGACACGATGGTTGACACCACTTGCCAAACTCATGTACGCTGGAACTTTTTCAGGCTGCATAGATTCAGAGTCAGTAAAAGGAACTATCTCATTTCTCATGTTCTTGTGTGGCAACAGTGGCACAGGAGTTAAGTGCTCGCCCCGTATTTGGAAGGTTGCAGGTTTGAGCCCTGATCAGTCTGTTGCTGTCGTTGTGTCCTTGGGCAAGACAAAACCCCCTTTGCCTGCTGGTGGTGTTCAGAGGGACCGGTAGTACCTGTGTACGACAGACTTGCCTCTGTCAGTTTACCGTTTTTACAATTTGTGTCTGATTCAGTATGATAGGAGCTGCACCAGGCCGAGGCAGTTGTCCAATCCAGAGTCCTCTCACCTTTGACCTTATCTATACTGACTACCATGGGCTTGCTCACCTCCATGGAGCCATGGGACTGGCTTTCCAGGAATATAAGTATAAGCTTTCTAACAACATAGTAAATATTTTACAATAAGAAACATACTTAATACATTTAGTGATTTTCTTTTCAGAGAATTTTGTGATTTTAAAATATAAATACAGTTACTTCCTGTAATCTAGGTGCCGCTTTAGGATTCTGGACTCATTCGGGACCGAGCCAGCCTTTAACCTTGGGAGTTACGCTCAAAGCCGTGGATATAAAACACAGTGGGGCAGCTGGGGTCTCCAACCTCTGCAGTACATGACCATGTTCCGTAAGTCAGTGGTGTAAGAGATGTTTGGTGTATCACATCCTAGTAGGAGGATTAATAAACCAGGTTAAATAACCCAATAGGAACTTTTATTCCAACACCTCTTCCCGTCATGTTTCCCACCCTGATGATGACGGAGACGAGCTGGAAGCGGTGAGCCTGGAGCTGCTCCTCATTTATCAGGCTGGGACATTTTGTTTGTTTGTCCGACTGAGCGGGAAAAGATATAGAGGTTTGTTGAGAATGTGAGGAGGAGTGGAAAGAAATAAAACTAAACAGTGGAAAGAAACAAAAGTTAAGATGGAAGACGTGGAAAGGCTGGAAAGTTTTAAGCTTCTGTTTCGCTAAAGATTCAGAAAAAAAAACAACCCCCCCCCCAAGATAATTCAGCCACAAGCTGGTAATCTGACGTGTGTGTGTGTGTGTGTGTGTGTGTACCAATGAGATTGGGCAGGTGTCACACACACACACACACACACACACACACACACACACACACACACACACACACACACACACACACACACACACACACACACACACGCAAGCACGCACGCACGCACGCACGCACGCACGCACACACACACACACACACACACACACACACACACACGTTACAGGATAAAAATGTGCTGGCACATTCTTTGTAAGGTAAATACTCATCTCTAACACCTTCTCCAGTGTGTCAGAAGGCAGCAGCTGCCTATCCAAACACCCGGCCCTCCTGACAAGTGATTAATGCTTCACACTCTCCTGCAGAATATAAACCACACTCCTTAGCTTTGTCAATGCTGGTGGCCAAAAGTAATATTCTGTACAGGTGAGACTGGAAACATTAGAATGTGGTGCAAAAATTAATTTATGTTAGTTATCCAACTTAGACCGAGAGACCATCTAAAGGATCAGGAGCATTTTGCATGCAATCTGGATTCATTAGCTGGTTAGAGTGTGACAGCATGAGTCTTTTCACAATATTCTAACTGTCTGAGATTTTGATTGTGGTGTTTTGATAAGCTGTAAGCCATAGTCACCTCAGTTATAACAAACAAAGGCTTGAGATATCTGGCTAATGATATCTCATACCGTATATTAGTTTTACCTTTTAGGTTGAATTGCTGTCATAAATGAACTTTTGCACCATATTCTAATTTTCCAGTCTCACCTGCACTTATTCTCTTCAATCTGCTTTGTTTTTAAATGTTGTTTTTGGTGACAATTTGCTCACCTCATGTGACCTTTTTTTCCCCAGCTCATACTCCTGACAATTCCTTCCTTGGTTTTGTGAGTGAAGAGGCGGCGAGGGAGGATAATCTCGAGTTTAAGGGCTACAGGAAAGGCAAGATAGCAGTCATCTACGGCAAACAGGAATACATGTGGAAGGTACACTGGTGTATGAGTGCAGAAAGCTGTGAAAATGCATGGAATGAGTCAAACAGTTAAAGATTAAATCCTTTATTTTTGATGATTTGTGATTTAAACTAATGTTTTCCTTAATTATCACCTCTGATTATCTGACTTCATTAACTCTACAACTTTACATTTATCTCATTAAGTTTTATTTTGTAAATGGGTTTTTGTTCTGCTAATGCAAAACATTATTTCAGTTATTGACAACGTTAGAGCAAATTTTGTCCTATCAAAAAAGTTTTATTTTAATTTTATTTTACTAGTAATTTAAAATAGAGCAGATTTATGGATTTTTGCTACACTTCTAGGTTAGGATGCTAAAAAGCCTTCAGACTCATTTCTTTGTTGCTGTCTTTGTTTGTGTTGACCTTGTTAATAAACCAGAGTAAATCGGATTACCTGAAGTTTATCAGTGAAGAACTAGAGACTCATGCCACAGTCTACAGACCTCCGGGACACACCTCCAGCCTGCCCAGTTTCATCACAAACCATGGACTCCTGTCTCAGAAGGACTTCTTACAACTTCTTCGGCGAGCAAAGGTTAGTTAGGAACACTTCACATAAAAACAACACAGTGTCTCTGCTTAGTAATTGATTACTTAATATTAATATTAAGAGATTGACAGGCAGATTGGTGCTGTGTCTGCAATGTAGCGTTGTACCGGTCTATCGTAGTAAAGAGAGAGCTGAGCCGGAAGGCAAAGCTCTCTCTTTACCGGTCAATCTACATTCCAACCTCACCTATGGTCACGAGCCTTGGGCAGTGACCGAAAGAACTGAGTTTTCTCCACATGGTGGCTGGGCTCTCCCTTAGAGATAGGGTGAGAAGCTCAGACATCTGGGAGGGGCTCGGAGAAGAACCACTGCTCCTCCACATTGAGAGGAGCCAGTTGAGATGGCTCGGGCATCTGTTTAGGATGCCTATGCCTCCCTTTTGTTGTACAGGTTTTTGTAGGTCTTGGGTTCCCCTATGAAGGTCCAGCTCCCATTGAGGCGATAGCTCAGGGTTGTGTCTTCCTTCAGCCACGATTCGATCCTCCTCACTCATCAGAAAACAACGACTTCTACAAGGGCAAGCCCACCACCAGACAGGTGGAAAATAAATACATCTTTATTGCCTTGTTTTGTATACATTTCTTGGTGTGCTACAGTGGAAGTAAAAATTATGATGTGTTTGAACGTCAGATCATCTCACAGCATCCATATGCTGAGCAGTTCATCTCTAAACCATATGTGTGGACAGTGGACACGGCCAACAGGACAAATGTTCAGGAGGCTCTTAGGTCAATTCTAAACACAGAGGTGATAAAGTTCACAAAGCCACCAGACAGAAATGTTGTGTGTATAAAAAGTTTTAAAAGGTGTTTGTTTTTGCAGGTGATTCCTTTCACTCCTCAAGAGTTCACATGTGTGGGAATGTTAAAACGAGTTTGGGATTATATCACTCGTCAGGTACAGAAACTTGCTACTTCAACATGATTTGTCACAAAGTGTCTAGAAAGAGAAGTGGAATTACTGTTGCATTCTTATTTAGATCATTTTCTGCTGTTTAAGTTTAAAACTCATTTCTGTTAATATGCAAACTCAGTATTGTTACAAAATTTGCTCCCCCCAAAATAATAGTTTAGTTCAAACTCAAATAATTCCCAATTATCTTTTTCTTCGTCACAAATTGCTCAAGAACTTCTGCAGTAAATCGGTTCCTACTTGGCCACCAGAAAGTGCTCTAAGGGTGCTCCTGGGCCCACTGGGCCAGTCTTGTGTGAGTGTGTGTCAGCACTCCTCCCTCTTGTGTGAACCTGCTCTGTTTCATCACCTGAACACTCCTGACACATTTACCAGGTGAGAAGGTGGATATTTTACTACAGAATAAACAAAAAGTCTTAAATAGGGCAACCACTTTCCAATAGAGTTGGCTCTGACGGTTACAGTTAAAATGAGCCTGTAGTTTAGTTTTGTTATGCAATCAATTATTTATAGAGCAAATAAAAGATTCCCTCATTCTTTTTTCTCTTCTTGGGTAAAATGAATAACATTACATCTATTAACTGTATACCACAAAAACTCACTGGTTTCCTTTGTCTAGGCTCAGACTGGACTGTTCCAGCATGGTACAGGACATCAACCACCTATTCCCTTCTTACAACCCATGGGGTCGGCACTGTGGCCTCCAGCAAGAACATCTGCTGTTCAGTTGTGCTGGATCTGACCCTTTGCTTCGCAGGCTTTGTCCTTGCAGAGCTCTCCTTGCTGCATGAGTAGCAGTTTAACCAGACTGTATTTATTCAGAGGAAAACAACTCAGTGCATTGAACTCAACCCAAGATAAACAAGTGACAAAGACATTTAAGAGTGATCTGCAGGCCTTAAAGGATAGATAATAATGTCTTTCTTTATCAGGAGGAATCATGTTCTGAATGATCATCTTCTTTAGTTTCACCCAGTTAATAATTAAATAAATAAGACAGCTTCTTGATTTTTCTTCCAGTTTACTGGACGGATGCTGCCACAGACACCGTTTGCCACAGGAGGGATTTACTTAAAGATGAACAGGTTTCCTACTATGGCTGCATAATACTTCTGTCTGGCAGCAGAAATGAGAATATAAATGAAAACTTTAGGCGGCTCCTGTATTTTTTTTACCAGCAGTTGCTGCACAGTTGCTCGGTCAGTGGTTGGGGTTGCTGCCCCCCCCGTTGGCACGGAGGGTGCGCAGGGGGCGTTCAAGAGTTGGGGTTGCTAAGCTGTCGCTTGGCCCAATCTTGGGGTTGCTTTAACAACCCCAGTTACCGACTGGTGCCGCCCATGAATGAAATACTAAATATTTAACTTTTCTCACAAAAGCCACAGAATTTATTGGTGAATTCAGGCCTGTATCGTCAGCCAAAGAGAGCCAGCATTTCTTTTGAAGTGTTGCCTCTTCTTTCCAGTGCACGTCAAAGCGGCGTGAAACGGCTGTGAAACGTACTACGCTGCAATTAGCCACCATTATAGTGAATGAGTTCCTTTCCTGCGGCAGCAAAGATTGAAGTTTTGGACACACTCCAGAAGCAAGGGCATGCTATCATTACGCTTCGAGTCTATTTTTGATTCACTATGCTTCCAAATTATGCCAAATTCCGCAGTTTAGATAGAGACGAACAGGAAGTCAAACACAAAAGCAGTGTAGAACATCCGGAAACTTTCAAAATAAAGTTCACGTGCAGTACGTCATTTCCTGTGAACTTCTGTTACTGATGTAAGCAGAACATAAAATAACCCAGATATGTTTTCATGAATGCAGCTGTCTTTCTTCTTGTTTATTATTGTGTGTGAATGTCTAAAATCACGAGTGGTGTTGCAATTCTCCCGTGACTTTGTGACGTCACTGGATCAGCTGTGTGGAATACTTTCAGTCCCGTTTTGCATCAGAATTGCTGATTGTTGGGAACGAGTTTGTGGGTGGACACTGTTACGTTATGCGACTGTTTTCGCGGTCAGTGGAAAGCCAGGATTAGAGAATACTGCTCTCTTTTCTGCATGTGGTTTTTATTCATACAATGAAACATAGAAAGACAATCGAATAAAAAGCTATTTGGATACAATATTGGTCCAATGTAGCCATCTAAAAAATATTTATTTTCCTAATGGTTGGGATTACTCAGGAAGCATCCATTAAGGAAAGATGAACTCGAGGTTTGTGTTAAGTAGAAAAATTTTTGACGATGTGTATTTTCCCTGGTGATAGGGGAAGTACATACCTATGGTAAATGGCCTGTATTTGATATAGCGCCTTCTAGGTTCCTGGAACCCCCCAAGGCGCTTTACAACACAATCAGTCATTCACCCATTCACACACACATTCACACACTGGTGGGGATGAGCTACGATGTAGCCACAGCTGCCCTGGGGCGCACTGACAGAGGCGAGGCTGCCGAGCACTGGCGCCACCGGTCCCTCTGACGACCACCAGCAGGCAACGTGGGTTAAGTGTCTTGCCCAAGGACACAACGACAGCGACAGACTGAGCGGGGCTCGAACCTGCAACCTTCCGATTGCGGGGCGAGCACTCAACTCCTGTGCCACCATCGCACCTAAATCATTGACATTTTTGTGTTTGAGTAAGTCTGTAGCAATGGATGGCCATTATGGTCAAAATACCTGGGAGCGCAACCTATAGCAAAATGACAAGCACATCAGACTCCCTTTCATCATATCAAAGAGGTAAACAACAACGTTTATGAATAGCGAAAGTAACCATTTGTTACAAATCAGTAGATGCATTTTGTCCTCACGAGCTCTCATAGCAGGAAACATGGCATCTAATATGGTGTCGCCCAGAGACTTAGACCTGCACCCATGTATTTTAGACCTGATTTTTATGGTTATAATGTTACAAAGCTGTGAATATTTGTCAATAACTGGCCATCATTTAAGTCCTTTTCAACAACATTTTAATGGATATTTCCAAAGATTAATTGTATAAACTACACATTGTCTCTTTAAGCAAATTGTAATTCACTATCTGAGGAAAATAAACTTTATTTAAAGCCTTTAAACTGTGTTATGGTCTCGTAGGCACACTAACAGTTTTAAGCTACACAATGAAACTGTTTTTCATTGACACTAGTCAGCGTTTCCTAGGATAATAGGTCATGTAGTTTCTCAGCAATTCGTAGGCTGCAGAAATTAAACTTGGCCTCAACGGACAGCGGGTGACAGCCTAAATGATGAGGCTCATTTTATGTGTGAATCATGGATAACCTCTGGAAACCTTTGGGAGGTCATAGCTACATCAGCATGATTACACTGTCATAGAAACCATCAGTTTCAAATTGCTTTTGACTTAAGAAACCCCCTAAGTGCTGGTTAAATCGATGCCCCCTGCTAGTTATGGGATAACCCAATTGTTTGTCTTTCCAGAACACATTCAAGCTTGGAAAAAGGCAAATGTAACAGCAATTATTATGTTTTCTTAAGTTATTGAATTACTTAAATTATTTTGGAGAATAATAAATGACTCTTGTAATTCTTGTGTTTGTGTAAATGTTGTTTGCTGATCATAACCTCCCCAATTTTGTATTTTAGGGGGAAAAAGAGGGAAATATCACATAGATTTGTCAAAGATTTGGAGAAGTGGTGCCTTTCTTCCAAAGGAAAGAAAGCAAAACCACCTGAAGTCCAGTGAGTGTCAGCGGCGAAGCGCTGCTCCTAACGTGGCACAGCTGTTCACAAAGATAGTCAGCTCCAAAAATTGCAACAAGCTGCTTCCTTTGAACTGTAGTTGGAAGCTTTTTTGGAACTAACTCAGCGATAAATTTTAACTGGCGAGAAAAGCTACGTTTTCCGCCACAGCGCACATTGTGTAACCAGAACATGTCACTCAGGGTTCGGACCGCTCAGGGCTGCGACAGTAAAGTAGTAAAGTGAATGACTCGTAAATGATTGTGAAATGGTCGATGAAAACAACATTTGTGATAACCTTGGCAGCTTCAGGTGGACAAGTCAGACTTGCTTGAACAGCTGGACTAACCGAGGATCGTAGAATTTCACTTGTTTCTCTTTCTTTTGAGCTCTAAGGGGCGCATGTTAAACAATTTTTTGGTGAAGTAGTTTGTCATTTCTGAATGAGTCACATGAATTATTCCATATAAAAACCGTCATGCTCTTCCCGTGGGCCTGATAGCAGAAGGTTCAGACTAGGGGTTGAAATGGAAGCTTGAGAATATCGGGAACTAATGTTGACAAAGGTTTTAGAGTTCCACACAAATGTCTGATCTCATGCTGAATGAGGCTATTCAGAAGTGCAAAAACCTATTTAATGGTGATACATAATGTGATACGCTTTGAGACGACAGTTATTTGATTCATGAAGGTAATTCTGGTCATTTTGGAGCTGTGAGTAGTGCAGGAAGCAGATTTATGCCTCAATTTCAGCCTCCAAGTAATTTGATTAGTTGCTAATTCTAATTCAGCTCACCACAAATCCTAATAATGCTGTTTGGGTATTTTGTGTGTTCAGTAAAATGAAGAGAAATAATTTGAATTTAAAGTCTGTGTCAAAGTGATCTGAAAACCACATCAGCCTAAATCAGCCCAGTGTTGCTAAAGTAAACGCTAACTCTTGTGAAGTTCATTCAAAAGCTGTTGGCGTGTCATCCGGTCTTTCATATAGTCACAAACTAAAGTATTTATGAGACTGATTCTACCTTGATGCTGACTGGATAAACCATAACATTAAAGGGATTATGTCATGCAGAATAAATTGTTGAAATTTTGACCATGTTAGAAGGTCAAAAGCCTTAACTCATTCACTGCCATTGATGACCAAAGTCGTCATTTGAAATTCAACCTTTCACTGTCAGTTGCATTTTTTTTACTGTGTGGGCAACGAGCCCCCACACCGTGAGAACAAACATCCCAGCTCTAAAGCCAATATTCATCCGCATACGTCACACGTCACATGATCAGGAAGCAGAAAATGTGTTAGGAGATCGTTTTGGGCCGCTGCTGTAAAAAATGTGAGGCGCGAACTGGAAAAGTTTCTGCCGACCACAATTCGACAACGGATTATGAAAGAACGGATAACGCTCAAAATGCGTGGATTCTTCCTGATGTAAGAGGTGAGTCTCCGCTTTGTTTTGGTTGTTTTGGTGTCAAAATCATCCTAGCGCGCAACGTTCTGTGACTCTTAAAAAAACAGTAAAAAAGGTGAGAAACGCCGGCAGCGAAAGGTTTTACCGATCAGGAAACGGCTGGCAGCGAATGAGTAAACAATTAAACTGGCAACAAATAACCAGTTTTATTTTGTTTGATATTAACTTCAACTTTAGCTAAAGCGCTAGCTAGTTTTTACAGTTCAGCACAGTAAACCTCAGATGGAACAGATTTCCCAGCATGCCATGCTCTTTCTTAAATGTTGAAAACTAAACAAAATTCATTAATTACATTTTATTTTTATGCAAAGTGAAATTATCATTGATGAAATGAAATACAGACCTACATGTATCAAAGAACAGCTGACTATAATTAGTTAACAGTAAACAAGCAACACCATGACTGAAACAGATTATGGAGTTTGTTAAAAAGGACTAATTCCAGTGTTGCAGAACAGAGCCTAATAAGAGTAGCCTGGCAAGCCAGACTAAATAAATGTATCAGACTAAATAAATGTAACAATTAGTCTGGCCATGCTCCATTGACGGCTCTCGGTTGTGGGGCGGGTTCCACCGTTGTCTTTCAAATGATCTCCGCATTCCACTGGACAATGAATGTGACATATTCTTGTTTCACTCTGCTGCATCATCCCACCCACCAGGTATATAGAGTGCCCTGATTGGCCCACAAAGCGGATAAAGCACTGTGATTTGTTCACTAAGCAGATAGAGCACTATGATTGGCCCACCATTATGGACCAATCACAGCTCTTTATGTGTTTGAAACCCCTCTAGAGAGCTGTGATTGGCTAGCCAGAGTCCTGGTAGGAGCTGCTGAGGTTCCAATGGAGCATGCCTAGACCATTCTTTGCAAAGCAAGAATTTGGTCTAGTTCACTAGGCTATAATAAGAGAGCACAAATAGTTGAATTTCACAGTAAAAGTCTTCATGTCTGAAAGTGGAGGGGTCATTATTCCCAATTATCAATAGTCCCCAGTCAAAATAACACCTTTGTTTACCTTCCTTAAACAAAAACTGTCAGCAGGAGTTTTTGGATGAGAGTTATTGTTTGTTTATTATTGTTTATTTATTTAGCAGATGCTTTTATCCAAAGCGACTTACAATTTATAACCTATAGGGCATGTGTGATCTGTGGGGAAAACCGGAGTACCCGGAGGAAACCCACACATGCATGGGGAGAACACGCAACTCCACGCAGAAAGGCCGCAGCCGAGTTTAGAACCTGCAACCTTCGTGCTGCGAGGCAACAGTGCTAACCACTGTGCCACCATGCATCCTAGCAAGAATGCACCCTTTCAAAATAAGCCTGCAAGATCTGGCTCTAATTAAGCCCCGACCAGAGTGGACTAGATGGATTACTTTTTTAATCGATGTCATTCCAGCATAAATACTACTCGATGGAGAGGCCAGAGTGGTGAGTAAAACAAAAATGCTAACTGCTAGCTAGTTATGAAGTTTGGTTGTCGGTGTTGACAAAGCTGCTTTCTTCATCTTCATCTTCTTATTCACGATCCTTGATGCTTTGCTGGGGATCCAGTTATGTCATGAAAAGAGTGGAGCTCACACCATTGGAGACAGGACTTTATCTAATTCAAGCGTCAATTTTGCTGTAAGAACTACATCCAGTATGGATGTGTGCCCCCCCTGGATGATAGAGCTTTTTTTGGATACCTTTCTTATTGAGTCATCATATTCTTCACCTCTTCAGTTTTATGTATTCCATTATCACACAGCATTTTCCAACACTGCTCTGAACTGTGCCATCCTTAAAAATTAGACTTGGCAAAAAGCCCAGGGTAGACCTAGAATAAGGCTGATTGAAGGGATCATATGTCTTCACTGACCTGGGAACACCTCAGGATACCCCAAGGGAGATTCAACAGGGGCATGGATGTCAGGGTTTCCCTTCTGGATCTGATCCATCTGAGATCTATTTTAGGAAATAGAATGGAAATTGGATGGTTGGATGGATGGATGGATGGATGGATTATCAACCTCAGCTATCCACAATCATAGTTACTGAATTGCTGCAAAAGTTTCACAGTAGTTATAGATTGTTGCCTCAATAACAGATTGCAACAAATTGATGATAACCATTGGTTATGACATTTATACAGATATATTAGACACAGTGAGTGATTTCCTGTTCCCTCTGAAATAGCATAAAATTAGATCCCACAAGGAGCTGACCACCCACTGGACTCTGAACCTGCATGTGCCCGCTGCATTACACCTCTGCACTCTCAAACCAGGATTAAATGCTACGAAAATAAGGGATGATTGATGGAAAGGAGATAACCGGAATCCCTGTGAAACCAGCAGATGAAACATAAGTCTCTAAATGGTCTTTTGGACATTTTGGACTGTTCATGCTTCATTTTAAAAAAGAGAAAGGAACTCTTTTGATCATTTCAATCCTTTTTCTTCAATGGGAAACCCTCTGGGCATGAGGAATGGGGCAGGTGTTTTTAACACAAAGAAAAATCAAGGTTCTCATAGAAGAAAGAAGTAAATCAGACTTTTAGCATTTCTAATGGAAATAGTAAGAATTTGTGGAAATGTTTCGTATTAAGATAGTCACCAACTTAACGTAAGGCTTTTTATTATGTCACAGACATTATTTGAGGTTTGGAGTGACAGCACATAAAAACGGAGGATGTTCAATTTAGTCCAGCATAAATGCATCCTGTCATAGATCAGTGTAGAATAAAGCTGCGTTAATATGTTAAAGCTATTAATCATATATGATTCAGTCTCACAGAGTATGAAAATGTTGTACATTCACAGATTTTATTGCTATATTTTGCTTGCATTAGTGCGTTATAGATCCCTCTATTCCCACTGGACTTGATAAACAATGCTATGCTGTCCAGTAAAGATCATTTAAGACCCCTAAATAGCTTTACTTTGTGTGACCAGTTACCGTGTCTCATGTTTGCATCTTATTTCAAATGTTCTTGTCTATTTAAAATGAGGATGTGTGGTTGGAAAGGATTTTTGACACGTTTCCTGGTAAACACTGAAGCCTGGCTTACCGAGTTGCTTAAGCATGACATTGTAAAGACCCTAAATTCCTCCACCTGTTGTCTGGAAAGTCTGTCTACAAACTTCTTTAAAATATTTTAGTTGCCTAAAACCTGAGGTACTGGAAATTGTTAACTGCTCTTCAATATCAGGATTTTTTCCTAAATCCCAGAAAACTGCTGCTGTGAACCCCCTTCTAAAGAAGAGGAAATTAGATCCCTCAGTGTTGAACAACTACCGACCAATCTCTAATCTCACTCTGATTGGAAAAATAATTGAAAAGATGGTAATGATCCAAATAAACACCTATTTAGAGTTAAATAACATTATGTACAGTCTTCAGTCAGGCTTTAGACAGCACAGAGACTGCACTGATCAAGGTATTAATTCACATTTGTCTCAACACTGATTCAGGTAAAGCATCTGTCCCGATGAAGCTTGACCTCAGTGCAGCTTTTGATAATGTAGACCATAAAATGCTTC